GTAAAGTTTATAGTATGGCTTCCTGGATTCGTCATCTAAATTACTTCCATTCTTCGGTTAAAGTTTTGGAAAGGGTCGTTTGGTGCACTTTGTAGGATCTTCCTCCAACTCTTGTCTGACTCTCTCCTTTTCTATTTCACAATATATCAAGTACGCGTTAGAGGGTCTTTTCGGTAAATCAGGATCCCGAAGGCGCAGTGCTCCCGAGGATGGAGCATCAGGCAATGTATTCGTGCTTTTGTTCGTCAAGGATGTTCTTGCTGTCTGTGTTTCATAGCTCTTAGCATTGTTGTAATTTAGAGATTCAGTCAACAAAGTTGGAGATGGCGGGCTCGATGAAATATTGACCGCGGTTCCCTTGTCGCCCGCACTTTGATTCTCCAATCTCTCCAAAAGGATCACGTATTCCAACCTTAATCTTCTGATGAACGCCTTTGTGCGTGACAACGCCAAGGTAGCAATTTGATTACTTTCGTCCACTTCAGTTATTCGCTTCCTCAACTCATGACATTTGCGTCGAAGGCGTTGTTCTGCGATGTTAGATATTGGATGATTACAGCATGGTTTCTTTTACTTACCTTCCGGATCAAAAAATTTTATCAAGTGCCATTGACGTTTTCATCATTCAACGGCTGTGAAGGGTAATAGCCTGAGTACAATTGATGTCCGCACGACTCTATTGATGAAAGTCGCAAATTCGATACACTCTACACAGCTCCTTTAAAATATAACTCATAAAACATCAAATAACTAAGAACTAATAGAGACCTCGCAGTCACAACACGCTAGTCACTGTAGATAACACCTCAAAGTCCGAAGTCTCGTCATCCTCATCAACTACATCGCCATCAACGCTGATGATATCGTAGTCTGAAATATCATCTGTGTGACTCTCTTGTTCCGCAGCAATCAAGGACGACTCTGCATCTTCATATTCCGAGCTTGAAAGTTTTGAATTGTTCAAGCTCTCTCGAGGGAGGTTAGGAAGTATCACTTGACTCGATTGAGAAATCTCCCTACTCTTCTCTAAAGACTCCGAAACCGACTGACCTTCAATATCCTCAATTTCCTTACCAGCGTCCACAAAATCTGTTGACTCTCCATCATTCTTCGTGTCTCCAGTACCTTCTTCAGAGATCTTGAAGATACCAGACAATTGTTTTGCATTCAACTCCCAAACCGCAGTGATTGCGCCATTAGAGATTAGTAATTTGAAAGGAAACTTCATGTGGCCACTACTGAGGGGGATATTGAATTTGGCGGATCTTTGTGACTTGATTCCATGCAGTTTGCGTATCGACATATCACATATTGTCTGGCCAAAGCAGTTCATCACCTTGAAGGTAATGTTGCCGCAATCGAAATCTCTTGAAGTCAAATTTGAAAGATGTACTGTCGCCATTCCCGATGAGATAGGAACAATCTTAACCGCAAGAACTTCTTCGTTTTCCAGGGCCATGTCTGATGAGTTATTGTTTTCAACGACCAAATCGGGCGTTAATTCAAAGTTTGGTGTGTCGTCCAAAAGAAATGGGCATTCCAAAATCTTTACGGAGCCAGCCCAAATTGAAAGCTCAATGTCACCCAAATCAGTAAATTTCGAGGGTAAAGATGGCAAGTTGAACCGCTTCTTGCGCCCAGGTAGAATTGGCAAAGTGTTGTTTACCCAAAAGCTTTCCTTCGCTGTCGCTCCTGCTGAAAATCTGAATTCAAGGTCGCCACCCCCGACTGGAACATTCGAACTGTTGGTGAGTACCACTGATAGAATACCGGAATTTGAAGCAAGCTCCTTCTTTTTGAATTGTACGTTCCCTGATGTGTCATTCACTTGATTGCTTTTTAATGCGGATTCGAGCAAGGATAAAATTTTTGCATGTTGCAACTCACTGTCTTCTGATGTATCACTTGAGATGAGACCAAGAAGCTCTTGATATCTCCTTGAATTATGCAATATCCGCAGAAAGTTCGACATTATTTCCCTTGAATCTTCATTCGCAAGAAATGTTTGAATAACATCCTTGTCTTCAGGACCGAAGTTGTTTAACTGCATATCAAGGACTGATGGCTGGTTTGAACTTGATGGTATTTCGAATCTTCCTTCTGGTTTAATAATTTTGGCCATAGTATGATCAGGCTCATGGCCACCAACACACTCCTTCAGCTTCTGCAATTCAGCTTCGCATTCGCCACATAAGTCAAAATCAGGACAAACTAAACACCTGAAGCGCACTCCCCTGATAGGCTTGTAAGCAGTGGGACTACACTTGTCGCAAGATGCTGACTCGTGCACAACCAGCGACGGTGGCAAGTCAGCTTTGTCGAGTGGTTTCACATGTGAAGTAGACAACTCTTGTACAATTTCCTTAAAATGCTCAATAGCGGCTTCAACTAAGGCGTTAGCCATCTTGCCGAGATCAACAGGAAATTGCTGATCTGTGGCCGTAGGCGCAGACGTTTCGTGAGTGCTATCTCTTAACTGCAACCTGACAAGACTTTTGACTTTCAAGCTCCTCCCGAGAGTTTTGAAATCTTCGGGAGTCTCTAATGCAACGTAGCGCTTGCTCTTCTTCGACTTGCGTCTATACGACAATTTCAGGGGATTAACATCTTTCAAGTAACCTTTCGACATGATCAAAGAAGTCAAGACATTTTTATCTTTGACGGCAGATAATTCTGATCTTTCTAATACGAGACTGAACTCATCCAAAAGTGGTTGAGAAAGACCTGTCTTGGAACGTTCTATCAAAATAGTTACTGAATCCGTCATAGTCAACTTACAGCTCACTAAACTATAAGATGCAATCGGGGTGGCAACAATATGTATTTCCTGTGGCCCCGCGATTTCATATCACCCCTCTTATCTTCCTGCACAATTGCTACGCAAGAATGCGTAAATTTGCAGACTGTAAATCTATGGCACCCTACGAGTATCCGAACGCCATAGTTTTCGATCTAGATTATACACTATGGCCACTTTGGTGTGATACTCATATTAGTATGCCCTTAAAAGCTCATACGAAGAGAAAAGTATTAGACCGCTACGGCACAGAGATTGCCTTTTATAAGGACGTCGAGCTGATTTTTCTTGAGTTGGAGGCCCAAGGAGTTACAATCATAGGAGCAAGCAGAACCGCAACTCCGAGAGTAGCACAAGAGCTTTTGTCTCTTCTTCATATTGGCGAAAAGCCCGCGATCAAATACTTTCATTCGCTCCAATGGGGACAAGGTTCAAAGATCAAACATATATCGAAAGCTGCAAAAGAGTTACGAATGACCAACGAGTTGAAACAGGGAGGATTTGTGTTGTATGATGATGAATATCGGAATAGCGACGTGAAGTCGATTAATTGTACCTTCGTACACCTTGATGATGAAAGTATAGGTCTAACTCGAACCAATTTCGAGAAAGGTATTGAAACCTGGAAGAGGAAGCATGCTGTGACATAAACCTTTCGTGTTCATAAATTAGTGTATACGTATATAGAGACATGAAGAAAGAATTACCTTTGGAGTATCCTCGTGAAGGCGGCAAAGAGCTTCATGAAAAACTCGAACACGGTAGCTGACACCACAATATTATAACTAGCGAGAATTCTCCTGGATTGACTTAATAAGGGAAGCAAGGTCACGACGAGTAGCATCCGCTGGAGGACTGATTTCTTTCTAACGTTAGTATTCATCTAATCGGATAAAGTCCACTAATACTTACTTCATGGAGCCATCCTTTCATCTCATTCTCATTCCACTGGGAGACATCCGAGTGTTCGGTATCTTTAAGGCTTGATGATGTTGGAGTCTGTGCCTCGCTTTCTTTCCGATCGACAGGCTCAACTTCTATGGGTTCATTATCATCCTCGGTTGTATCTTCACCCGTGAGATACTGTGAAAGGGAATCTTTTAAGTGTGGAAATGTCTTAAAAGCAAGTAAACCAATACCTAATACTACGGCACCCGTGGTTAAAGGCAACCTCCAGTTGCGACGTGTCCGACCCTTAAGTTGTAGCGCCATTATTGAAAGAGATTAAATTTCGCCTGTGATATCAGCTAGTTTGATTATGTAATGAAATGACCATCTTCTCTTGCACCTACCTATGAAGCAGTTACTCATTTACAATCATCATAAATTATCCCTAGCATTCAATTTAGATATTATAATACACAAAGAATTAAAACCACCTTTAATAAGCTTATAATTCTTGAGATGCCTTGTCGCCCTTACCGGACTTCTTAGGCAATAAGTTCTGGTGGATGTTTGGCAAGACACCACCTTGAGCGATAGTAACGTCACCCAATAACTTGTTCAATTCTTCATCATTTCTGATAGCCAATTGCAAGTGTCTTGGAATGATTCTCGACTTTTTGTTGTCTCTTGCAGCGTTTCCGGCCAACTCCAAAATTTCAGCGGTCAAGTATTCCAAGACAGAGGTCAAGTAAACGGGTGCACCGGAACCAACTCTTTGTGCGTAATTTCCCTTTCTCAACAATCTGTGGATTCTACCAACTGGGAATGTCAATCCAGCCTTAGCGGATCTTGATGTGGAAGCTTTATCAGCGCCTGCAGATTTACCTTTACCAGACATATTTGTAATAAATTTGAGATAGTATTCACGAAATGCGCCAACAAGACGCTTTTATACAATGCGCAAATCGTACAGATCGTTAGTAAATATGTTCCGGCTTCACGCTGAGTATCGTGCTTGCGTTTACACCACGAATGCGAAATTACATCACTAACATATGCTGCGTATTTTGGATCACGCTATTTGTCGCGCGCTTCGTAGCTGCAAATTGTTTGTTTTGGTAACATTCGTGCAGTAGTATATATAGAAGGGAGCATTCATAAAGATGCGGTTAACTTATAATCTCCAACCTATAATTTGATCACATAAAATGGCTCCAAAAGCAGAAAAGAAACCCGCTTCAAAGGCTCCAGCTGAGAAGAAGCCAGCTGCCAAAAAGACTGCTTCGACTGACTCCAAGAAGAGGACCAAGACAAGAAAGGAAACATACTCTTCGTACATATACAAGGTCTTGAAGCAAACACACCCAGATACTGGTATTTCCCAGAAGGCTATGTCTATCATGAACTCTTTCGTAAATGACATCTTTGAGAGAGTCGCTTCCGAAGCTTCGAAATTGGCTGCCTACAACAAGAAGTCAACTATTTCTGCTAGAGAGATTCAAACTGCCGTGAGATTGATCTTGCCTGGTGAGTTGGCTAAGCACGCTGTTTCTGAAGCTACTAGAACTATTACTAAATACTCATCTGCTGCCAATTAGGGATTTGGTCGGTTAAGGTTTATTTTTCTTGTGTATTATTGCGTTATTTGCTTATTTCAATCGACGATTTTAGGCTATTAAGATGTAGGCTCGATGACGATCTTTTTCCTTGTATGTAGCCCAACTATGGTCCTTCTAATAGTTCAAAGGAATTTTCGGCACGTTCTCACTATGAAACTGAAAGAATTGTTTCTTTTGCGAGATTGTGGTATTCTGAAAAATCTCACATTTTTATTATAGTCGAACATTAGTTTCAAAATACAGTTATTCAACGAAGTGAGATAAGAGGAACGATAACTGTGATGACTAACTCCTAAGAAATGAACACTGATCGTGGAAATTAGAAAAGGTTCTCATTGCTTGGGCTTATGAATCAGAGTATTTTGTAATTATCAAATCAGCTCAGTCTTCACTCTACTTTCGTTACTGTAGAGTGAACCAACATCCAACACAGTTGTCACTCAGAAGCACACGTATGCCAAAATTGAAAATTGATAACGGTATTTTTCACAACCAATTTTATCTCTTCCACTACAACATGAGTCCCTATGCCCTCGCTTCGAGTGCATCCAGTGAGCATGGACGCAAGACTTTTGTGAACTCCACGTTCGCGGCGGTCAAGAGCAATCCGTTTGGTGCCTTGGCCGAACCATCTCTGGTGCAAAACTCGAGTTCTTTGTCATATTAGGCATCTCCGTTCCCTTCAGCCCCACAGAATCCGATGGCCCAATCGGCCGATGTATACGGAAATCCTCAGGGTGATAACGGTTCACCCGCAGCGCCTTCTCGTACCTCGGTAATAATCCCCATAACATCGAGCCAAACGAACTCTTGGACTACGTGCGTTCGGGTCTTCTCGAATCGGTCTATTCCTTACAGAACTTCGAACCGGGCATAAGTATCTCAATTAGGGCATGCAAGAGCAACCAATCCGGTAACCATCGTGTATCTACCTGTCTGGACATCAATCTGCAATCTGCGCTTTGTTAGGGATATAGTGGTTGGTGAAGAAGTGGCAGAACATGGTCAGGGCTTGAGTTGCGAATTCATTTCCAATTAATTAATGGAACATTGCCAAGTATGCCTATCGAAGTCGTTATCAATATGGTCGGTCTGACATGCTTTCTTCTATATCTCTGACCCAGTATAAAAGCTGAGACACCCTAAAACTAAAGTTCATGATATGCTCGTTTCAATCAGCATACGTTTGAAAGTGTCGATAGTATTTCGGTTTACTTCCGGATTAAATGACCAAACATAAAGCGATCTCCCGTTAAGAACGTATATACCATATACCGAGGAACCTACCATCGAGCCCATGAGGATGCGTGAAATAAACTCAAACGTCCACGGTTACTGCCCGTCCACATGTCGTAATCTATGGCAAGGGTAGCTATACTTGCCATTTGGGTTCTATGAACGCTTTTGATGAACTGTCCACCTGAGTGAATGGTGGCATCAGTTGAGAGGGAGGGACAATTCGGTAGCAGGGCATCTTGATCGCCTCACTAGTAACCCTTCGAGTTATGATAACCTTCCATATTCTCTCAAACTAAAATTTTTGGTCTGATCCTCTATTTGTTATGGGTAAGGGAGCCGTTGAGGTATGCACATTCTACAATTAAGCGATATGCCTCTGGTGTTTACTTGATGATTATTTTGATGAGGAGTAAAAATACAAAAATTAGGAAGACTAATTAGGACAAACATACCATCATCAACAACTCTACACACAAGTTGGGTCATATAGTAACATGAACATAAGGTGCCTCTTCAGACTACAGTTGCTTCAGTACCAAAGCATAACAACTTCCCACTTTATCTTTTGGTTTTGGCTTCCTGTCTTCTTGGTTTGATTGTATGAAATACTACATATCAATTAGGGCACCACCTTACCACCTTTCTCGCTTTCATTGCCTTAGATCAAGGCCTTTAACGTGTATGTTCGAGATCCACGGATCAATTGCGGACAAAGGATCTTGGATACGCCTACTTATCACTTGCTCTTTCAAAGCACAATGCACGGGTAGGCGATGCCACAAAGGGCAATTTAGTCTAAATTGGAAATTAGAGTTACATTGAGCTACTACCAAGGAACAACTTTCCGGAAATAGTGAGGAACAAATATTAATACGAGAAACAAGATGACAATTTTATAAGTTGTACAACGATCGTTGTAGTATTCGTCACTAGGAATGAGCTCACTTCAGGCGCATAAAGTGGAACTCACTGGTTCCACTCAAAAACCTCCACTGGTATAGCACAATTATGTACACAAAACACAATGTCAGTTACTCAAACCATAGCTCGCACAAAGCAAGATAGGTAACCACATGAGCTTTAGTCTTACATAGTAAAAGTTGTGAATATTGCATTAGATAGTCGATAAGTGGATAGCTTTAATGGCCCTCACACTATAAAGCTGATAAAATCACTATAATAGCAAAAAGGTATAATAAAAGAAATGATAGAGAATGTTACAATCAAATACATATTTGAGAAGTACACCTTCTCAAAACAGCATCAACTACTCAAAAAAAGTATACGGAGCCGTATAATGTGATTCTTCTTTGCTGGAGTGATGATGGCATTCAATAACGTGCTGTCTACAGGCTTAGACTGAGAGGGACACGGTAATTACGGTATCTACAACCTTCTACAAGTCTGTTCAGAGACGAAATGAGGATATAAGCGCAGGGCATAATGAGTCTGATGAGGGGGGTACCTGATACACTGTAGACTGTGTAACAAATCTAGGAAGCACAAACCGTAAAGACTTTATGATTCTTCCCACGTTCCAATAGCATGAATTGTTTGCCAAAATAATATATGTAGGTGTCCTTGCGGAATAGAGTACTGAGAGCATAATATCTTGTTTGAATGATATCGAGTATAGCAATCTGAGTATCCTACTGTGATCGATAGAACCAAGGACGAGTTGCTAAACAAGAAACGAGCCTTTACAGTTATCAAGTTATCGTAGCAAACTTATTGGCCGATAGAAAATACTTCTACGGCTTGGGCAAAATTTCAGATATTGGAGATGTTGTACCTAACCGGGAATCAACGTATGTTTTCAATATACATAGACTTTCTGATACCTGTTCATGAAATTCTAGAGTATGATAGAATGATAGAAGGTTGGTTATTGATGCATTGACCAGTATACTGTATTCTCGTCGTTAATGTTCTAGATGTCAATTTCAAGACTTGTTCGTCTGGGAAACATATACGGCTACTCGTGGTATGGTCTGGTTGAGAGATTTGTACATTTGATCGGCATAAGGACTGTCATACTTAGTCCTTCATGATGGCAATGTATCATTGTAGCCATTTATTGAAAAGAAGTATAGAGCGATGTCCGGTTACACGATTTAATATCATATTTCCTCCTCAACCAAATGTTATAATTGTTAATAGTATATTAAATATTGGTCGCTGTAGTTTTGTCTTTTTTTTTAGCTTTCTTATGAATTGATAGGAAGTATGGGAACTTGCTGATATTCGCAAATGGATTGACTAACATTGGTTTGACTTCTTTCTAAGTTGCAGAGATGTAATCGCGAATCCGATTGATACCGCGAACTTTCTAGTTCACTGGATGCTATTTTGCTCGAGGAGAATCTAGCTTGTGTTCAGCTTGATCTTGAATTGTAATTTGATGTATCCATGGAAGAGTGATCTTTAGTAAAAAGTAGACAATTTAATCGTTCTAATTTTGAGTCAAATTTATCGGGGTGTGAGTGGCACGAATGTGTTTGTATGTGGACCTTGTCATTGGGCCACTCATGGAATTTTGTCTTAACAAGAGTGGCGCCTTTGCAATGTATTCAAGATCTGATGATGTTGCGATAGAGAGAACCTCTTGTATTCGAAATGCAGATTACCGCACCTGGTCGATCGTACAGAAATGATATGGGCTTACTCTACAGGTGACTTACGCTACTCAGTTACTTTGTTCAATAGTCATTAATTCACAATCATATAGATTCAATTTCTAGACTTATATTGTCCATTTGTAGAAGATGTTACTTACCAGACATGCATATATATGGTATGCATGTTGAACTTCGTTTTTACATGTTCAGTCCTTGCTCAGACTGTTAGAATTGGCCATGATCTTGTCTGTTTAGTGTACTAAAAGCACGCTCAATCCTGAACAGTATGATCATTCACTTGTCAAATATTACAAGATAAGAACACCGTAAAGTAGATTGGTAACGTTGTCTGAGTGTCATACTAAAATCTGTGAATACTGAAATGTTATCTATGCCGACCGCCTCTCGTTCGTTTGGATGGGAATGGTTTGAAGCTTGTGTGTGCAACAAAATGATTGCTTACCTAATCATGTACAAGTTGCTGGTGATGAAGCAAATGTTTAATGATTCTGTCAAGATTGTTTGCTTAACGGAGTATGATTGCTTATACAGTAATGGTGTTTGTTTATTAAAAAATGAAGTACCTCTGAATCTTAGTTTGAGATTCTTTGTGGGGAAAATCTCGGCTTTTTTTGTCATGCATGTTGAGCCGCATCCTGCCCGGGATATACCCCACCTTCTCCGGAGCTACCCCACTCGGAGTAGAAAATTTGTCAGGATCTATAAGGATTCAAATTTTGTCCTGAATTATATCGTTCAAAAAGTTACTGTGCTTTACCCTACCTCTGATTTTTCATTCTTTTCGAAAAAGTATTAATCGAGAGGTGACTCATTCAAGGTGACTCAGTGACTCATTCCAGGAACCTGTCAAATCTGTCAAATTCGCGGTTAAGGCTTGGCACGGAATAATTTTTTTCAAGAAATCGTCAACTACGAGATGTCTTCCATTCACTCCACGGCTATCCAAGAGCATAATAAGCATATTATGCAACCGCCGCTGTTTACTTCGAGGTCGGTAATCAAATATGTGAAAACAAGGTTTACGACTCTCGTTCCTACTAAGGAAGAGCGGAGCCAATACTCATGGAATGAGATTTTCAATCCTTTTGCTTCGATTGGCGAATTGTCGCCTCGTCAATGGAACTTCTTTTTGGTGGGCTTGGCTGGCTGGACATGGGATGCGTTCGATTTTTTTGCAGTGTCTTTGAATGTTAGCAACATAGCAAAGGATTTGGATAGGTCAGTGAAAGATATCACATGGGGAATCACTTTAGTTCTCATGTTGCGTTCAATTGGTGCTGTCATTTTTGGCTTGTGGGGTGACAGATATGGTCGTAAATGGCCATATGTTGTTAACTTGATACTTTTGATCGTCTTACAGATCGGAACAGGCTTCGTTAAGACCTACCAGCAATTCTTGGGAGTGAGAGCTATATTTGGTATTGCTATGGGAGGAATGTTTGGAAACTGTGCCGCTTGTGCTCTTGATGATTGTCCTGTGAAGGCCAGAGGTATTGTTAGTGGAATGTTTCAAGAAGGGTACGCTTTGGGATACCTCTTAGTCGTTGTATTTCAGAGAGCAATAACGGATACGACAGCCAAGGGTTGGCGTTCTTTATTCTGGTTCTCGGCTGGCCCTGCTCTCATTTTCGTAATTTGGAGATTGACAATGCCTGAAACAGATACTTTTCTCCGTCAGCTTGATAGAAGAAGGGCTGCAAAGGAGAAGGAGCCATCAAAATTACTTCAATTCAACTCTCAGGCTAAGCAAGCAATGAAGAAGTATTGGCTTGTCATGATATACTCCGTTTTGTTAATGTCGGGATTCAATTTCATGTCCCATGGTTCTCAAGATCTATATCCTACGTTATTGACCGTACAGTACGGCTACGGCTCAGACAGATCAACGGTAACGAACTCAGTTGCTAACTTGGGTGCAATCTTTGGTGGAATAGTGTTCGGGCATATGTCCACATTTATTGGACGTCGTTTTGCAATCATAATTGCTTGCATAATTGGTGGTGCTATGATCTACCCTTGGGCATTTATAAAAGGCTCAGGTATCAACGCAGGCGCATTTTTTCTCCAAACTGGCGTCCAAGGCGCGTGGGGAGTGATTCCTATTCACCTTTCTGAGTTGGCCCCACCTCAGTATCGTGCATTCGTGACTGGTATATCTTATCAGTTGGGTAATTTGTGCTCAAGCGCTAGCTCAACTATTGAGACAACTATAGGTGAGAGATTTCCACTTCATGTCGAAGGAAAGGATGGCGTGTTCGATTATGCAAAGGTTATGGCCATTTTTATGGGAGCGGTCTTCGCGTACGTTATACTCATCACTTTAATTGGTCCAGAGAACCGTGGTGCAGATATGGGAATGGAGAGAGATGACTTGATTACGGATGAATTCGATGATGGTAAATCAGACATGGGAAGTGTTGAAGAACTTGAAGAAACTCTGTCGAGCAGACATGTTTAGCTTAGCTTCAAAAGTACCATGAACAGCCTTTGAACAATAGTAGAACATTGAATTGCGAATTGAAACAAAAAACCTTTTTGTGAGGATCGTTGAGTTTCGTTCAGCCACGTTTCACCTCGTAGGAGTAGTACCTTTAGTGTCAGTATTAAGCTCAGTGTGTCTTTCGAACTTATTGTATTTGGGCAACCTCATTTTACTTGATTCATTTCGATGATCGTATTTTCACTTCAATGTTGCAACGGACTCTTCGTCCCGCTAGCAAAAGAGTTCAATTTCATGTACAAACATAATCGGCTCTGTAACGAGCTCGTTCCTTTCTCAAAAGTACCTCGTGTAAATGTGTGAGATGTTGATGTATGTCAAGTAAAATTTGTTCAGTTTCTCATCCCTTATCCTAGCGGTGCTACAACAGATACCGTCGACCCCCTTTGAACATAAGCATGATACAGTTCCTCTATGTGTGGGCTGTTCTCTAACTCCGTACATGCAATAGTGCATTTCGCCTTAGATTCAACCGCGTGCTGCAATTTGCTGTTTGATGCTCCAAATTTCCGCAAATAAGCCTGGTTTCGCAGCTTTCCTCGGGTGGCATTTCCATCAATGCTTTCACTATAAAAGCTCGTGAGAGTATTTAGTGTTTGAAGGTTACTCGAGAAACAAGTCTGCGCAGCTTTAGTTGACAACTTCCTTGGCACCCACAAATCTTGGCTCTGAGCCGCACGATCGGAGCAAACATCTCAACTCCGATGCTGCCGATCTCACGAACTAATGGGATATAGAAGAAGAACATTTTGTTTCCATACAGTTATAGTAGCACATTCACGTATGCTAGAGCTGAACTTGCTAAGGTTCTTCTCAGGAGGCCAGTGATTATAGTTGCCCATGAAGTCACGGTGGGAAAGTATTCACGCGGGTTCCCCCACTTCCCCACACTTATCGAAGGTTATATGCAGATTGACGTACGGCATCTGCCACTAAAAGAGAACCCCACTCAAACCCGGATCGCAACCCCCACGATAGAAAGTAATAAATATAGGTGGCCCACTTCAATTCTAAAGTTGAGTATCAGACTAGCCAAAGTATGACAAAGGTGGATAATCCTCCAGAGGAGTCCTCGAATAGTTCCATTTCCATTCATGAAGCTAGGGAAGAAGATCTTTACAATGAAAAGCCCGATATCTCAAAAGCGGCGGTCAAGAAATACTTAGCGACTAGAATCACTACCTTGTTTGATATTCCCATTCGCAAGACAGAGCTGACTGTTTGGCAGGTATTGAACCCAATACCAGGTTTGAAATTGATGAATTCTTCCAACTGGAATTTTTATCTCCTTGGCTTTCTTGCATGGACAGTAGATTCTATGGACTTCTTTTGCGTATCAGCAAGTGCCCCAGAGATTGCTCATACTTTGCAGGTGGATATTACAGAGATCACATGGGGAGTGACACTTGTTTTGATGCTTAGATCTGTTGGCGCTTTTATCTTTGGAATAATGTCCGATTATTTCGGAAGGAAGTACCCTTATATTTTCATTTGTGGGTTATTCGTCGTTTTAGAGATTGGAACTGGCTTTGTTCAGACTTATCCCCAATTTTTAGCAGTACGTGCTTTATTTGGAATTGCTATGGGTGCAATGTACGGGGTGGCATCATGCACAGCCCTTGAAGACCAGCCTCCGAAAGCACGTTCTATACTCTCTGGCCTTTTTCTCCCGGGATACAACTTGGGATATTTGCTCGCCGTCGTGTTTTTCAGAGCTTTTGGAGATACATACAAAGGGGATCAAGGTTGGAGAGCGCTTTTCTGGTTCTCAGCTGGACTTCCACTCATTCTTATTGTTTGGAGGTTATGGTTCCCTGAATCTAAGACATTCATCAATATGAAGAAGGAGAAGAAAGTGCTTGCAGCAAAGCTGGGTGTAGTAGATCTGTGGTTTGACAGAAGTATACTCACAACAATGAAAACAGAATGGTTAATGTTCGTCTACTTGGTATTCTTGATGTCCGGCTTCAACTTCATGTCCCATGGGTCTCAGGATTTGTTCATCACATTATTAGTGAAACAGCATGGAATAGGGCCAGATGCAAAGACTGTTATTATGGTCGTGGTAAATTTGGGGGCCATCTGTGGTGGTCTCTTCTTCGGACAACTCACAGAGTTGCTTGGAAGGCGACTCACTATCATAATTTGCTGCATTTTTAGCGGCGCCTTTTTGTACCCATCTTTCTTCTCCAGTAATGTAAGTGGCATTATTGGTGGGTACTTCTTTTTGAACTTTGGGGTGATGGGTGCCTGGGGAGTGGCTCCTGTACATCTCTTGGAACTAGTGAACACGACACATAGAACGTTTCTCTCGGGTCTCACTTATCAACTTGGGAATTTGGCATCATCGGCATCATCCACCATTGAGGCAGAGATAGGCACTCGATTCCCCGTCAAGCTCGGAGGAGCTACGGATGCTTACGACTATGGTAAGGTGATGGCGATATTTTGTGGTGCAGTTTTCGCATACATGATTGTCTTCATATTTTTGGGTCCGGAACGGTTCCACAAGACTTTGACGGTGCACGATATTGATGATGATAGGATACAAGACTCTGACCACTTTAGCTTAGCTCTGGATACCAAGGCGCTGGTAGAGCACAAGCTGAACGTTTGAAGAGGGTACGTATAGGTAATTTGAATACATTTTCAATTTCTTCTCGGTTACTCGCAATCCGGAGTGGAGCTATTATGTGATTTGGCTAAATTTTGCAAATTCACAAATAACATTTAATTGAGAATGCGGACTGAATCGCATTTACCCTGACATCTGTTCAAGTAGCATGCAATAGTATGTACTGTATCATTTATGGATAAAGCAGTTCTAGAGGAACGTCTAGGAGCATTATATGAACAGTTGGCACTGAACCTCAAGTAACCTATGCTATAAACATTATCTAACCCGTTTTACGCCGGGACTGCGTGAGGCTGAAGTGGGGTTTCAAGTCTCGGAGCTCTCTCTCCGAGTTTTTCCGCAACCTCACCCCTCAGTTATTCATCAAAATTGGATACTTAAGTGAGAATCTTGTTTCATATTCCACGACGAACGAGCTAAGAGACATATACGCTCCTAGACCTACTCGGATTACGATAACACCAACTCCTCCCATCCGCACATCTCCGATCAGCGACACAAAACCAATTTTTTTTTATTCAGGAACGTACTTGACTCAAACTTCTTAACAAATTACCAATGCCTTCTACGACCAAGGTTAATTATCCGTAGGTGTATATCTTAAACTTATCGTGAGCTGAGACTAACAACAGATTTTGGTACGGTGGAGCTGCCAGTATGGCTGCTTGCTTAGTGACCCATCCGCTAGATCTTGCCAAGGTAAGACTTCAAACCGCATCTCAAAGAGGACAATCTTTAGGGTCAATGGTGTACCAAATCATAAAGAATGAAGGTTTCTTCAAAATCTACTCGGGATTGACTGCTTCGCTCCTTCGCCAAGCTACATATTCTACGGCTCGTTTTGGGGTGTATGAGTTTTTGAAAGAAACTTACGTTGACCATTATAAAGTAACCCCAACGACCGCAGTCTTATTACCTATGTCTATGGTATCAGGAGCCTTAGGTGGACTTGTTGGAAACCCCTCGGACGTTGTTAACATAAGGATGCAAAACGACTCGACGTTACCCAAGGAGCAAAGGCGTAACTACAAGAATGCATTTGATGGTATCTACCGAATAATTAAGGAGGAGAGCACCCTGTCATTGTTTCGGGGTTTGACTCCCAACCTTATTCGTGGAATTTTAATGACAGCATCACAAGTAGTGACTTATGACATCGCAAAGAAGCTATTAGTAGACTCTTTGAACTTGGATCCCTCAAAGAAATCAACACATTTTAGTGCTTCGTTGCTTGCAGGTCTTGTGGCTACGACAGTTTGTTCACCAGCAGATGTCGTTAAGACTAGGATCATGAACGCGAAGGGACAAGGGGGCAGCGCTGTTTCAATATTGACCAACGCAGTGAAGAATGAGGGTGCTGGATTCATGTTCCGCGGATGGCTCCCATCCTTCATTAGACTCGGACCTCATACAATTGTTACTTTCTTGGTTTTGGAGCAATTGAGAAAATTTAGGGTCGGTATGTGGAGCTGATGTGACTATTGCATGCATTACATGCCATTATAGATTATAATAGACAACATAGATCAAATTTACAGCTTACATGTAACGAGTTCTCTCCGTACTTATGCATTAGCGTTATATCTATTTAGCGACATCAATGTTGTCCAACTCCACTCTCTCGAATGCTTCCTTTTCAGCTTCCAAGATGTATGGCACCAAGTAATGAGTGTCTTCTTCCGGCTTGACAGCTTTGTTAGGGGGAAGAAGTTGATGGGACAAGGACAACTGATGAGCAGTAAGCATTCTGTAAACTCTAGCGTACAGTTCATCTTCGGGTAATCTGGAAATGGCCTTTTGCATGACTGGGGTCTCTTCAATGAGTAGATCATTGAATTTTAAACCCATCTCCCTGTATCCAGCATAGGAAACAAACGCTTTGGAAATTGGAGTGATGATCTTAGACAATGTTGGCCTCGACAAGATGTAGTCGGCCGTCTTCACTATAGATGTCATAGATGCCATTTTGGACAGAGGTGTTTGAATGATTGTGCACTCAAAAGAAAATTCGCACCAGTTTCATTGGACGCTCTAGACTTCCTAATTTGGCAATATGTGTATTTTTTTAGTAGTCGTACTCTGTGAATTTTAAGTCTGCGCTGTTGGGGTACCCACATTCGAGCAATATCTTCTCAGGGGTGACCTTTTCAATCATGTCCACTAATTGCGAGTTCTTGCATAAAAACAATCCCAAAGCTCCACACGAGTTTACTCCCAAGCTTTCATACTTCGCATGAGAACGCGGAACAAGCATTATGTACTCGGTCGTGAGTACAACGTTGTAAGATATATGATTCGAGTCATTCCGGTTCTGAACGTTTAAGACTGCTTGCAACAAGGACGCAAAATACATTGAAACAGTTTCTTTGTCAAGTTTTTCAATAGATGGAAATTTAGCCACGAAATGAGCAAAAGGCAAGTTAGCATCCTGAAGTGGTTCATTCTGGGAGTCTGGCACGAACGGGGCAGCAGTAGATATCATCTTTTCAGGATATGAAATGAAATTCTCTGGCAACGTTAAAAATTGAATATGCTTATGCGGCTGAGACGCTCCACTTTCTGGGCCACAGTTGTAGAAAGCAAACCAGTTTTTAGTAGAGGATTTCTTCAAGTGTATGAGTATACGGATCGTGTCAAAGAGCTGAATTGGAGACAAAGGACTGTTTTGAGATTCATACTTCTTGGTAATGAGCAAAAAATGGTGTGGAATGACAGGAAACTTGTTCAAGACTACTCTGAATTCACCTTGCTCGCCATATGTGGGCCGTACAGTCAATTCAGGCTCTGGGTTCTCGAACGGATTGTTGGATGGTTTGCCAGACATATTGTCTGGCCGGTGAGTCAAGTTTGTTAGCTCAGTAATCTGAAAGTTGACTGTGGTACCGTTCATCTCTCTCTGGACGACTTTGCTTGTGCCAGAGCCATTGTACACTACGGCTTTACTCGCAACAGCAGCATCGAACGTGCTGGTCAAGTCCTGAAGAAACTTTTCATCGAGATTATAATCCATGATTTAATGTAGATGCTAATCTTTGTTGGTTCATATTTAATCACTATACACGCAACCATTACACCAATACATTTAATCGTTATACTTCTTGAACCAGTCACGAAATCTTCTGTGCCGCTTTTCGGGTGACCCCAGGGCTGTCACCTCGGACGAGTTTGAGATTGCCGAAAATGAGCGGTGTAGCAATAGTGACATTGATTTTGATTTTCGGTGCCCTATTTTCTGACTTCGCGTAGTCAGATCTTTTGGGACATATTTGGGTATTTGAGTGCTTCGTAAAAATGACAGTTCAATAGGCGAGGCCGCTCGTCTCGGACTCTTCTTAGGGGATGTCTGTTCTACAGACGGATCAATTATTATAGAAGTTCGCGAGGAGACAGCAAGTTCATCTTCCACATTATTAGGTGGAAACTGTTGGCACGTAGAGCCCGTAGATGGGGAAGGAACCTGTTCACAATCAGTGCTCACTACTATGGATGGTGCCTTGCTTGGCTTCTCTTCATTTAGTGAAGTCCACGATTTCGCCTTATTATACTCACCGCCAGACAACAATGATGAATGATCGGTCGACTGGACTGTACTATTCGCGGATAGAATAGTCGATGAAGTCTCAGACTTTAAACTACTGGGGCTGTTAGACGACAACTTGGAGGCAAGTAAGGGCTCCATATGTGCGCGTAGCGTTTGCTCCACAGGTTCGGCGTAAGGTTTAGGAGCCAAAGGTTTCTCAGAATTCAGCCCTGTTTTCGAGCTCAATCTGAGCATCACCGAAGGGCGTTCCATACTGGTAGACTCCATCGCCAAATGTGGTGTGTAGTGCACTCTCGCATCTTGAAACCTTAGTGTTCCTTTGGCAACCTTACGTTTCATGGAGGTAGACTTTAAACTTTGCAAACTCTTCAGATGTCCTAGAGTTCGTTCTTTCAGATCGTTAGTAGCCACATCATTGCTAGTAGATACAGTCAAATTGACACTTTCTGATGAGGAAACTTTCAAAGCATTCGAAATCTTATACAGTTGATCGTAAAATGACTGATAACGATTAGCCATTGCCCCCGACCGTTTGGAGGGGGGAGTATTAATCGAATTGAGCTGGTTCTGACCAGAGTTATAAGAGTCCTTTGATCCATTTGAGAATGTTTTCTCAATCATCTGATTGGTGACCTTGTTTGAATTAGAAAAACTTCTCAAGCTCGAAGTTGACGAGTTGCAAGAACCATTGTAATAAAAATCGGTAAGCGTATTTGGTGCTTGGGCGAAAATCTCACAATCATCATCTGAAACTCTTGTGCCTTTCTTGTCTTCGAGCTCTTCAGCAATATCATCGGCAGTTGCTTCGTGTATCGGCTGGTGAAAAAGTGTCGTATTTTGAACCGAGAGAGGGGATGATACGAAAGGACTCGCATTTGGTTTGATGAATGGCGAAGCCAAGAAGTCATCATGCGGCGTTCCAATGGTAGACTGATCACCGATATGCAAATTTGAATGAAGTACATCATCTAAGTCAATGAGGGGGTCCGGCACATTTTGAGCGTCTAAACTAGTCTCTTCGGTCATGAAAAATTTCGTCAGTGGAGAGTTAACTTGTGACTGGGGACGATTTTGCGAAGCCATTCTGATGGGGGAGTTTAGCACTGAAGAAGGACGTGGACGTCTAATTGGAGACGCGCAACTATGCTGTGGAGAAGCTGGATATGAAGGGTCTGGACTCTTGGATGGAAAGGCAAAGCTGGACGAGATTGGTTTGTTTGTAAAGTCTTTTTCGTTATCAAATTGGAAGTGTCTATCCAAGTCATCGGATAAGGGTAAACCTTGGTTTGACGAAGCGGACAGAGCAAAAGGAGGAGGCGACGAAAATAACCCCAAGCCCATGGCATCAAAGTCACCCGAGATGGCACCCGAACGACGATGGCGGTGCATTCTGCCCCCTCCACTGCTCATATGCGATGGGATTGGCAATGATGACATGCTGAACGATGACGAGACAATAGCACGATGACCGAGAAGATAAAGGTTTGCTAGGAATGATTATAGTTTGAATTAGGATGCACACTGGGGTTGTGATAGCTGTGACAGTTTGTGGCTAGCAAAAAGGAACGAACGTAGTCGGCAAAAAAGTTGAACAAAGTGAGTGAAATAAAAACCAAAAGGAATGGACGCTATTCAGGGAAAGCAGGATGCCAAAACTAGCCGTATGGTAGCCGCAGAGCAGAGTATTCACTCGTCTCCTTGAAGCAAGTAGTAAAGGCGGAAGGTTGAAAGGCCGTGTCTTTGCTGTCGTCTTTTTTTCCTCTTTAAACAGAGGTGGAGCAGCCTTTTGTTACTGAGACGACTTATACGATGCAGGAGCGGCGCGTCTGAAACGATGGTTTCACCACTCTGTGGAGCGGCTAACTAAAATGAAAGAGTTTAGTGAAACCCAAAACTTGTAAAGTAAAGAGAAAGAACTTTTAAATGAGTGCGACTAATTATCCGATAGAACGAAAGGGATCGGCCACATTATGCACTTATGATGCACTATTATCTGTGCATGATCATTATAGCCCGGAATATCCGGCACATTGCCTCTTTTAATGCATGCAAATGCGGGTCACTAGTTCATTTTAACATTGATGGCTGAGCTATCGAAAACGAGACCTGTTTGCTCAGAAAACAACTACATGAAAATTGAGACATCATTACCTGTTATGTTATCCAACGCCAAAGCCATTAGAACTGCTTTGGTTAACATGGGCCTGTTATGGCGCTTTTTATTCAAATCTTCGTCCGCTATAAATCCTGCATATTATTCAAGATCGTCTAAACATACCACGCTGGGGGAAATTGCTGCACATTTTTCCCAAAATAGACCACGAACACGTTTGGAATACCCAGACTTACGTAACAGCGCATAAAAACTTCTTTGTCTATTGAATGATCACATTATCTCTATTGCTCTAGGCACAGACCAGCACCAACTATTATAATTACTTGCGATGCTTTTTCGCAATTCTCCGTAATGCTCTTTGTTCATTCTTCAAAACACCATCAACCATCTTGTATTTTCCTTTGATACCCTTCGGTCTGCCGCTCAAACCCTTATTAGACCCTCTCGCAACCACAACTGTGGCCTTTGGTCTCTTGGTTTGTTTCTTCGTCATCTTTCTCATAAGCTTCTGGATCTCGTCAGCCTTATCTGCCTCAGATTTCGCGCTATCTTCATTAATCAAGTCAGACTTCTTCTTCAACTTTTCAAGTCTCTTTAAGGCTCTCATCTTCTTCCGGCCCTGAGCCTCTAATACCTTCTTAATCGGACGAGCATTGAGCTGTTTTTGCTTCTCTTTGATGGCAGCTGCAGCCTCTTTGGTTATGGATTTTGTGATCTTTGAGTGCTTCTTTTCTTCGTCAACAAACCAATCTGGTAAGCCTTCGTGGTCACGGAACGAATACTTATTAATACCTTCATTCACCAAGTCGTTCTTCGACTTTTGTCCCAAGGCCAACTGGTGAGCCATAGTCATGGCCTCTACTGTTGCAAGGTCTATGTCCCACAGGTGGTTTTTCTTGCTACCCGACTCTTCATCAGATGAAGAACTTATGTCGATCTCGTCATCGTCATTATTGGATTTCACAATCTCGAATCCTTGATCGTCTTCAGAATCACTGGAGTCAGCGATATCTTTAGTTTCAGAAACAGCAGGCTCTTGTGGTTTAGTCGAGCTTGCACCTCGTTTAGACTCGTCATTGCCCATCTCTGCCAACAATTCTTCATCATCGAACGCATTGAAAATGGGGTCTGAAGCAAAGAACAGACTCGCTTGACGAGACAATCCATTCTTGGCCTTCTGTTCTGCAATGAGTGTCGATATATGCTCATCGTCGTCTGAGTCAGAGCTGTGATCATCGTCGTTGTCTGCCATCTCGACATCCGACTCCTCTTTATCAGACTGAAGTCCTTCCCAAGGCTCGTCGTCATCATCCCCACGCCTCTGCTTAGCTCTGAATTTAGCATCCCTTTCAGCCTTTCGATTCTGATAAGCACTATACATATCATCCAATTGTGCTTCAAGGGCATCTAGCTCATCATCAGACTCCTGAGGTGCGTCTTCGTCAACGTAAATATCGTTGTCCTTAATAATTTCTTCATTGCTGAAAATCATTTGTCTTTTACCTTTTGCTAATTTGTCAAGTTCTCCTGTCTTCTCAGCGGTGCTCAAGTTGAAAAGTGACTCAGACCCAATCTTTGCAGCGTCAATACCGACATTCATGTCTGTCAACATGTTCATTTGCATACGTTGGATTTCCTTCTGTTTCAATTCATTGGCGTTTTTCTTGATTCTTTTGGCTTTCTGTCTTTGTTTCTCGGTCATTGCCTGGAGCTCCTTGTCTATCTTTTGATCCTCTGTGAGCTCTTCAACTTCTATTTCTGGCTTGGTCTCTTCAGGTACATCAAGGCCCAAGAGTTCTCTGGCTTGCTTTCTGAACTTCAATATATGCTTGAATTCCTTTTTCCCCAAAACCTTCAAGTCAGTGAAACACTCAACTAGTTCTGGAGTATACGATTTCAACTTTTTGACGATCTTCCATTCATGATTATCTTTGTCTGGCATAGTCAACTTGTTGAGCGTGGCCAATGTATTGATGGGGTCTTCATCTTTGATAAAGTCAAGGATTGGAAGTTCATGATATAAAAGATAATCACCCTCTTCGTAACCCTGTCTTCTCCTGACTTTCTTCTCAGGATTGTAGATCTTTGCTTCGTTGTTTTGGGGTCCGTCGGCCAACTCCTCAAACACCTCCTTCGGATCAAGCAAACGTGGATCAAGTTTCTTTGGAGCCTTGAACCCTTTACAAACGACAAAGATTTCAGCTGACACATTACGAGATGCTGGGGGTTTTGTGGCCTCGACTTTCTCGAATAACTGCTGAAAGACCCACATAAGATTATTGTAATCTCTGGACCGGAAAATCTTTGTCACGAAAGTACCACCAAGTGTTAAGTTTTCAACGGCCAACTTTAATGCTTGCAATGTCAATTGGGATTGAGTAAATGCATCCTGAACCCATCCTAAACCAACGTTCGGAGCTCCATCGTGCAAAACAGTGTCCGCTTTCCATGTCTTCATATGTCCCCGCAACCGGGAGCGACAATCTTCAGTTGTGATATCTGACTGAAATGTTATGCAATTAGGTAATGGCTTGATAGGAACAATATCAACACCTATGATTAATGAGTTTATAGGACATAAATTCGACGCCACTTGACACCATGACCCTGGAGCGGCACACAAGTCGATGACTACTTTGGACTTTTCAAGAAAGTGTCCATATTTTTCGTTGATTTGAATGATTTTAAAAGACGAACGAGCTCTATAACCCTTCTCCTTAGCTAAGAAATAGTACTTATCTAAACGACCCTTGCTATTCTTCTTTTGTGTCTTCCCCATTACGCCTCAAGTGTACTAAATGCGATGGGATGCGATGAGATGCCACTGGGAAAATCTTCAGACGGCACGTGATCACAAGTCCCAGTTCAACCCCACATTCGGAGAATCTGCAAGTAAATCGTTATCGATGGTATCTATAATGGATGCATTGCACAAGATACACTCCGCGGTCATCAAGGAGTCAAGCTCTTCCCTGCTGGCCAGCGAAGAATTCTTTTTGAATTCCAGGAAAATACGCTTGAACTGATAATCTCCGCGCAGTTGCAAAAAGTACCTAGCTATGCAATCTTTATGAAAAGCGTGGTGACAGTTGGGAAAGCAGACAAAGTTCTTGTTAATCAATAGATTGTTGCACAAACGACAAGGCTCTCCTGGTTCGATGATAGTATGAATGGTGCCTTTCTTCGTTTCCAACAATGCATCCTTAACCTGCGATCGCAACTTCTTTGACGTAATCAAAGAGGAGTCCAATTCGGTCGTTAAAGTACTGATCTTCAGATTATACTCATTCAAAGACTCCACGATCTCCTCCTTGAAGTTATTTACCAAAATCGTCTTGGGAAATAAAGGCAAGAGATCTTTAATCGTGAGAACCTTTATCTTGTCAGTTCTGGATGAAAGTTCGAGCAAGTACTTGAGAATTTGCTTTAAGCGCAACTCATCGCTGTCATTTTCAAGATTACCATCTGGCTGAGATTCCTTTGAAAGGCTTCGTTTTACAATTTCCTTGTATAATTTTCGATCACCATCCTCCTGAATCAAGTACTTTGCGTATTGTAACCAGAGATCCCTCTTAATTACGTGATTGTTGTATTCCAAGCCAATGCGGTCAATATTCTCCTGTGAGTCTTTAGGTTTTTCGTAGTCTTCTTCTGAGTCTGTTGTCTCTTCAAACTTTCTTAAAATGAGCTCTGACATTTCGAGAGACTTCACGCTAAGAGCCAATTGCATTGCATCGAAGTATAGCTTCTTCTCATTAATGAGGACTATTATTGCGGCCTCGTAACGGGAATTTGCCAAGCAGAGCCTCAAAATTAAGTCAGTGTCGAAAGAAACAGAATTGTGATCATCAGACTTAAATTGGTTTAGTAATCGTACTAGTTGTTTGGTGAGCAAATTCTCCGATTCATTCAGACGTTTTGGATAAGTGATAAGGAGACTTAAAAGAGTATTATTGACTAGTGAGTCGTTACTTCCTCTTTCTATGATTAGCTTCTGCATGTACTTCAATGTCTGATTCTCATTGTAGTCCATGCTCTGGTTGTTCTTGTTGTACACCATTATCGCGGGAAGTAGATCCTCAAACTTCAACCCATCAAATTTAAGCCAGGTATCAACAGTTTTCTTTGAACTATTGATTAGCAAAATTGTTGACGTATCATAAACACACTTGAGTGCCGCTTTTTTATCGGAAATGTAAAGGTTTACCAAACTTTTCAAAGCCATATCCCAGTCTGACATGTCGACATGATAATGGACCAAAAACTCGAAATCTTGCTTCAACTCGGCAAAGTAAACTAGTTGTTCCGACAAACACAAGTCCTTAAGAATTTGGTAAACACTGCTCAGATCAAGAAACTTTTCATTGTTTTTCAAAAAGGAGTGAAATTGGTCTGTGATTCTTTCAAGTTCCTTCTCCAAAATGCTGAGATCAGAAGCTCCCGTTGCAGATGACTTCGCAACATTTGCAGCAGATTCTGTAGTGTACAATTGTCTCAGCATCAACTCAACAATCCAGGTAGAAAGTACTGTTAGCCTTACGGTGTTGGACTGCTGCTTAACTGCTTTGAACTTTGTCAATAGATACTCAATGAGTAAGGTATTGGACAAATTCAAGGCTCGGAAGTTAGCATTGTGGACATCCTGTAAGTTCAAGAGCATTAAGCATACCTTCTCGAATGGCTCATTCAGATCTCCTAACTTTCTTATACCCTTGATTTGCAAATCAATTGCATCGCTATCCGGGCATTCATTCAGAACCGGTGATCCGAAGAGACCTTTCTGGAGAAGGTCATATCCCTGCTTAATATGAATGAAGTCAATCTTTATCTTGGCGGTAGGGTCGCTTGGGTTTATACACTTTAGTGCTTGATCAAAATCGCCTAGCTTATAATAGTCGAACCACACCGAAATTGACTCATTTGCAATCACAATTTCAAATATACTGTTTGCAGTATAGACCCAGAAGGTGGAGCAGAGAAAATCCAGGGCAAGACCAATGACGGGCTCCGCGTCCAGCCAGATATCCTCAAGACTTATGTGAGTGGTGAGATTATTTGTAAGTCTGTTTATAACGTTAATTTCTTGATGATTCAAGAACAACAAATGATGCTTTGATATAGTTATCGAGTCCTGATCATACTTGGAGTTCTCTTTTGTGATAGGAAGCTGTTTAATCTGAGTACCATTGCCCGCGGGATACACCAAACTATTGGAATCACGATCAATAATCACCCATCCTTCGGAGGAATCCTTGAATACAGAACGCAGACTCACATCTGCAGTTAGGTTTTGAGATACAGGTGCTAATTTGAAAACACTTAATAATTCCGGGAAGGTCAACTCGAAACAATCCCAATATAAAACCTGCAGCGTCGTCAAGATTGTGATTCGGGTCCCATTATTTGATATGCTTATTCCAAGATATGTCTCCGAGTTTTTATAGACTTGTTTTAGATGCTTATCATCACGCTTTCCCTCTTGTGAACTTCCATGAGCTTTAATATGGCCAAGATGAACTGCTCCATCTTTGCATGTGAGCAAGAGCAGGCTCGCATCAACGGTTGAATCTTCTTTGGAGCTCAAGAATATCAATTGGGCAACATTCAAGCCCTTAAATTTAGTCAAAGGCTTAAACTTTTGATACGAAATATGAAGATAGTAATATGTTAAATCCTCGAATGAAATGATAAGGTGTTTTCCGTTGGGGTGTAGCCAACTGTCTCTTATTTTGGACTTTGTCTGAGGAAGCGGACAATTGCCGACAGCTGAGGGCCGGGATAAATCTATTCGTGATACGACAGTACTTCGAATTAAATACAAAACGTTATTCTGTACTAATACTTTTCGTAATGTTCCATTTAGGTCGAATTGTAAATGCACGGGTTCAAGTGAAAAGGTCGGTACCTGATCTGATACTGTCAGTTCAATTTGCTTATTGGATCTCAATGACATTCTGTTACAAAGAACACACTAACATAAACAAAAACCAACTCAATTACCCCGGTGCCAATATGGATGTAGCAGTAAGCTTTACACAGTTCTATATACACTACATGCAGGACATACAGTTTGTAGGGAACTTGATCTTTGATCGAAGGTCGAGAGGGAGTCTAAACACCTGAGAAAAGTCCCCCCAGCTCTTGGAATTGAATCTACAGACACGAAATGACGGAACAGTGATATTTTCAACTCGATTTATAAATAGCAAGCGCTTACATAAGGAATTACCAAGCAGTCATGAACTCAAGTTCTGGAACAAAGGGCGGAGTCAACATCTACAATGAATGTGTTGAAGTTGCAAAAAAAGTATCCAGTTCTAGATCAATCGGAATTGTTCGGAATTATCGAGGACTTCCGCAACATTGATATCGAGGAGAAGGGCTGGGCTGAAAAAAAGGATGTCATCAATGCTGTTTCGAAAAGGGGCAACTATACCTATGATGAGGCTCGAGAGACATTGAAAGAAGTGGATGTCGATGCTTCAGGACACGTTGAACTTGAAGATTACGTGCAATTGATGGCAAAACTTAAGGAGGAAGCGTCTGGTGGTTTGAAACCCAATGCTGCGCCGATCCCTACGTCCCCAAGACCTTCCACAGGTGGAGATGGATTTGCTACTTCTCCTACTCCAAAGTCGCCCGCTGGTGCTGCCAAGAAGAAGTATATTGGGGGTAAAACTTCAGGAACAACCCACACGATCAATGATGAAGAAAGAATCGAATTTACCAGACACATTAATTCGGTCTTAGCTGGCGATCCCCATATTGGAGACAGACTTCCTTTCGACACAGAAACCTTTCAGGTGTTCGATGAATGTCGTGATGGTCTTGTATTGTCCAAGTTGATCAATGACTCCGTACCTGACACTATTGACACCAGAGTGCTCAATATGCCTTCTGCCAAGAAGAAGGTTTTGAATAACTTTCAAATGTCGGAAAATGCTAACATTGTCATTAACTCTGCCAAGGCTATAGGATGCGTGGTAGTCAATGTACACACCGACGATATTATTGACGGAAAAGAACATTTGATATTGGGCTTAATTTGGCAAATTATACGTCGTGGCCTTTTATCCAAGGTTGATATTAAGCTTCACCCAGAATTGTACCGATTACTTGAAGATGACGAAACATTGGAGCAGTTCTTGAGACTTCCTCCAGAGCAAATTTTGTTGAGATGGTTCAACTACCACTTGAAGAACGCTGGTTCAGAAAGAAGAGTGGCCAACTTCTCCAAGGATATCAGTGACGGTGAGAACTATACCGTCTTGCTTAACCAGTTGCAACCAGAACATTGTGATTTATCGCCATTGAAGACTTCTGACCTTTTGCAGCGAGCTGAAAAGGTTTTGCTGAATGCCGACAAGATAGGGTGCAGAAAATACTTGACTCCAACCTCCTTAGTTGCTGGTAATCCAAAGTTAAACTTGGCTTTCGTTGCTCACTTATTCAATACTTACCCTGGTTTAGATCCTATTGAGGAAAGCGAGAAGCCAGAAATCGAAGACTTTGACGCAGAAGGAGAGAGAGAAGCTAGAGTGTTCACTCTCTGGTTGAACTCTTTAGATGTCGACCCACCAGTTGTCTCTCTTTTCGAGGACTTGAGAGATGGTTTAATTCTTTTGCAAGCGTTCGACAAAGTATTGCCGGGAAGTGTATCATTGAAACATGCTAATCAACGACCAGCTAGTGGAGCTCCAATTTCCAGATTCAAAGCTCTCGAGAACACCAATTATGCGGTCGAAGTCGGAAAGGCTAGCAACTTCTCCTTGGTGGGTATTGAAGGTTCTGACATTGTCGATGCCAACAAATTGCTTACCTTGGGTTTGGTGTGGCAGTTGATGAGACGTAACATCATCAACACTTTGGCACTGCTTAGGTCAGGGGGCCACAATGTTAGTGATTCTGACATTTTGAAGTGGGCCAACGAGAAGGTTCAAAAAGGAGGAAAATCGTCTACTATTCGCTCCTTCAAAGACTCTTCGGTCAGCAGCGGTGTCTATTTGTTAAACGTGTTGAATGGACTCAAGCCAGGATATGTTGACTACGACTTGGTTTATCAAGGTAATAACTTAAGCGACGACGAAAAGTACGCAAACGCCAAGTTGGCAATCTCGATTGCAAGAAAGTTAGGAGCTCTTATTTGGTTGGTGCCAGAGGATATTATCGAGTGCAGAGCAAGATTGATACTTTCGTTTGTCGGAAGTTTGATGTGCATCGACAGCTGAAACTACTATTTACTCTATGTACAATTAAAATTATCCTACTTCATTGTCGACTAGTTCATTCTTTCTATATATTCCTGCCTGTAGAACATACTGCATACAAACCATTCACGACCAATGAAAACTGCACAAAAATTCACTTACACCTAGTACGCTAATAGCCATGTCGGGCCCCATCATGCCTTTCACGGAAGCCAACTCGCGCAGAGTAGCGTCCTTGTTCAGAAAAGCATTAAGAACTGCCTTCGACAGCTCATTGAAGTTCGATGCATACAGACAAGAAACCTTGAAGATTAGAGCTCAGTTCGAAGCCAACAAGACAGTTAATAACCCTGATGAATTAGAGCAAATCATTCGCAAAACTGAGGTCAAATTGGCAGAGTGGAAGCACCCTGACCCCTATATTCCCCCTTGCCGCCCTGGTGGAACAAAATACCAAAGAAACATTCCGTTGGCCAAGGAGAAGGTCGTTCCTGGAGATTGGTGATTCTTTAGATTATCATGCGCTATGGGTACTCAATTGGCAAGTTCACCTTTAAATACCACAGCTGGCCCGAGAGAAAGCTCGGGACGAACCAGATTGTATTTGGAGAGGATGATCACCCATTGTAAACTCAATAGAGCACCGACTTTGTGTAAACATAGCATGAATCAAATGTGTGATTTATAACCGACTGAAAGTCTCAGGATGTAAAGAGATGTGCTTCGAATCGTTTCATCTTTCAATTTTTTCTCTTTGTACGATCGCTCACAATTTTACTGGTGGCTGCGAAATTACCACTTCACATTCTATTTGTCACAGAACCACCAAATGGGTATAATAACGCTATTTACTGCGTTATTGAACCATATAAACCGTGCAATGTTACACTCCTTAACCAGAAAAACTTATGGAAACGTAATAAGAACTATTGGTGCCCCCAAACCAGTCCCCAAATTTCGCCTGATACCTTCCTACGCCTATGAAGAAAGAAACAACTGTTTTGCTGTTTATAAGCAAACGTTGAACGCTGTGGTACGAAATAAGGTCCAGAGACTTACTGAATCGCACCAATGGTTCACGACTTTATCAATTTTAATTTGTGTAGTGCTTGGATGCAGTTGTCTCTTTAGATGGAACAAGAAAACCCCGGCGAGTAAAGCACCCGAGAAGAAAACTGAACCGCAAGTTGTGTCTCAGTTTCCACCCAGAGAACCGCTGATTGTTCGTCAATGGAACAAGTATGCACTGGGAATTCAAATTATGACCGCGGCTTTTAAGGCTCAGGTGTTTCTGGCCCCGAATATCACCAGTGAAGATGTTGAGGTATGCCGATCGGTAGACCCAGATCCCAGTGAACTGAAAGAGGAGACGAATGAGACTTACTCTGATCTATTAGAGATTTATGATGATGAAGTCGACAGCGAATTTCATGATAATATGGAACCAAGTGTGAGCTCGATAAGAACGAGGAAAAGAAGACGAACGAAGCAGCAAGATGTAGTTGCTGGTGACAGCTTCTCAGACCCATACATTGATGATACGATAAGGTTTTTAAAGCTGATGTCCCGCCTAAGTAACTCGGAGGTTCATGCTCTGGCAATTGACTTGATTCAGCATGTACTTCGTGGACAAAATTCAGAAACCGCTGTTGGAGTGTTATCACTCCTTTGCAAAATCGACTACATTGGAAGAAATGAGGATGTTTCGACAGCTATTGGCATCATTCGAAATTCCATTGGAGCTAATTTGCTTACTCTATTCACAGCAGCTGTGACATCGTTGCCTGACTACGCTCCGTTATTGGATATGACCATCGATTATGTCTTATACTCGGAGGATAGCGAGATAGAGAGCAATGTCTTGGGAGAATATTACAGATATTTGATTCAATACGCTTTCTTTGAGGAAGATTCGCCTTTCAGTCACATTGTGCTTCATTCGTTTGGAAGGGTGATTTGTGCACTCGATATAGCCGCATACGAGGAAACGTTCCTACAATTATGCATAACCTACTTTGAATCGAAAGACAGAACCGACATCAAGAGCTTTGAAATGATTCGTATCATGAAAGATTTTATGTCTTATCACAAAGAAAGAGTGCGAGACGAACTTGTATTTGATCCACATGCTAATAAGTCCCACTCACTAGCGTACAAGAACTTGAAAATTTTTCTACAGATACTACCAATTGTGGTGTACGATACCCAGGCATGGAACAATACAAAAGCACTCGTCGAAGCAAATCAGTTTTATCATTTCGCAGCCGATTTGCTCATAAACCGGCGCCAGATTCCTCTCGCTATACAAATCGATTTGCTTGCAAATTTTTTTTCTCCCATCTACAAGGTCCTTGATACCTATTGCGATTTAGGGCACTATGTAATCAATCCCCCCATTCTACAAGGGGTGCAGCTTGGAGAGTCTTTATTCAAGTAGGACCACCTACAACCGGGGTTACATACAGGATATCTTTTTTCGGCACCTCATCGCTAATTTTCAGAAGGCATCGCACTTACTTCTCATCTCATCATGCCTAGATCAAAGCGGTCCAAGCTTGTGACTTTAGCTCAAACCGACAAAAAGGGAAAAGAAAATAAAATAAGGATCTTTGATGAAGTAAGGTCTGCCTTAGATGAGTTTCGTTTTGTTTGGGTAATCCGTCTGATGATGTTTCGTATCTCAGTGTTGCAGGACATAAGAAGTGACTGGACTGGGTCTCAATTGTTGATGGGAAAGAGAAAAGTATTGGAAAAAGCATTGGGAGAAAAGCCCGAAGATGAGTACAAAGATAACTTGCACAAACTCTCTAAATCATGCACTGGTGTGAGTGGGTTACTTTTCACTGATGAGACTCCAGAGACCGTGACAGCTTACTTCTCAGCATATTCCAAACAAGATTACTCTCGTGCTAAAACAAAGGCTCCAATTGACTTCGTTATTCCTGAGGGAATAGTTTACTCGAGAGGTGGTCAAATTCCTATTGAAGAAGATGTTCCTATGTCTCATTCTGTTGAAGAAACATTGCGTAACAAGTTGAAGGTTCCAACAAGAATCAAGTCGGGAAAGATCACTTTGAGTGAGCCATACGTCGTGTGTCGTAAAGGTGACACCTTGGATGTTAGACAAGCATTGTTGTTAAAGCAATTCGGTGTCGCAGCCTCGGAATTCAAGCCAGAGCTCGTTGCTTATTTCGATAACGAAGATAACCAAGTTACGAAGGTAGACCAAAATTAGATCGTAATGTCATGTATAATAAAGTATACTTAATTAATACGTAGCGAACTCTGGATTACTCGGAATCATCAGTGTCACTTTGTGCTTCTCCCAAATGCGGTTGACTTTGAACGAAGAACAACGTTGCTGCTTCGGTTCCCACATTTTTGAACCCATAAATATTACCACGAGGAACTTCAAATGAACATGCTCTTGTGACCACAAAAGTCAGATCATTCAAGGTAACTTCCACGTCGCCTTCCACAACATGAAATATATATACACTGCCTGCCGATGAGCGCAGAAGTTTGAAGCCATCCACCGGAAGTTGGAGCATAGCACAAGCAATGAAGTCGCGATCTTCATTGAAAAGGGTAGCCACTTTGAAGTTTTCAGCAACGTCAGGATCGGACGATTCTATAAGGTGATCTGTGTATGTTACTGAATCGGGTGCCCAAGCTATACGCCTGTCGTGACGAGAATTTGAGTCTGGGGTTTCAAAAACATCTAAAGAAAGGTACTTGTCTTTAATCCATTCAGAGCCAGCAAAACGACCACTAAGCTCTGCGGGTGTGGGCCTTCTATTATTTCGAGATTTGTTTGCTCTCAAATTGCGTGGCCTCAGAGACCTTCGTGAACGACTTTGAGCATTACCACGCTCTGGAATATGAACCACTTCTTTGATTTCTCGCAATGGTATATTATGGATATCATCTGCAAGCTTGCCATCTTTCTCCTCCAATTCATCAGCACGGGTATAAACAATACGTTCATTCCTCCAAAATGCAAGAGGAGCAATTTTGGTCCTCTTCGAACGCCTCAAACCATCTGGCGGGGGTGACGGAAGCGGCGACGGCCTCACAATGGTTTCAACTTGCCGCTGAGCGTTTTTCTTTGCTGTAGGTGGTGGGGATATTATTTCTGCAGATGGTTCGGAATCAATGTCAGAGAGTGAAAACCCCAGATTGATCCATTTCTGGTTATCATTAATTGACTTCAGACCGAGCGCCATCTGCTTGGTCAACGATGCAGCTTTCTTGGACGTGCCACGTGAATTCGAAGTTGCTGGTGTTTTCGATTGTCTCGCAGGCTTTTGGGTAACAGGTGAGCCAACAGGGGGAGAATCTATATCTGGAATTGGGATCGGTGATAGAGTTGCTTCCTGCTCGTTACTAAAATCAAAATTATCAGTCTCGTATTCGTCGTAGTTGTGGTGGTCGAACCCAGTAGAACGGCCCTTCGTGGCCTCGTGTAGTGGAGATCGTAGTGGCACCAGTTTATTGGGCTTCTTACCAGATCGATCTGACATGGAAACTACAGACAAGCGGAATCGTTCTGCTTCAGCTTCCGTGAAGTCTATCTTTCGTGCAACATTATTAAGACTGTCTCTCTGTTTCGGAGTTTCTGAAAGCACAGAAGATCCTGAAGATATAGATCGATGCAGCATTTGTGAATTAATTGAGTTCCGCTTGACAGAACCAGCATCTACACCCTTATCGTCATCTTCAAAGAACGCATCCACATCTTCCATATCATATTTGTCACGCTTCAAGTTTTCTTTGGGAGTCAAACCCGTCTTACGAGAGCGAGCGCCTAGGCTCAACAAATCCATACGACGCGATGAACCACAAAAGCGGAATAATAGCTGTTGAAAAATAGGTGATACACCGTAAACGCCGTGAAACAAATAAACAAGAAATGCGTGACACAAAACGCGGTACGTCACACCGGGCTATATGCAGTACAAAAATTTGGCTGCGAAAAAATGTAATTTGAAATCAGACATCGATGATATTCATAGCCAGCTTTTCCGGAAGACGAAGTTCGTAAGTTATCACCAACCCGTCAGTATAAGTTATGTAGATGAGGTACCGAGGGTCTTCAACCGCTGCACTTGCTCGTCTAACCGCCAAACCGCAAATCGTCTTCCCTCCCGCGTATATCTCCAGAAGACTACGAGCGCTTGGAAGAATGTGTTCTTGACGCATGCCATAAACACCGCGGTGTTTGCAGAGTCTGAAGATCGATGCGAGACCCTGCTGTGATATCACAATGAAACACAGAAGTTCGGGGATGACATGAGAAATCGATAACCTGGCCGAGGCATCGTCTATGTGGGTTCTAGGATGTTTCGAGAGGTTAAAGATTCTTCTTGTGGCGCCGTAACAAATCAAGGTCTGACTCAGAAAGAGACACGCTCTGTGCTCGGTGGTCATTGCAAGTATAGGTGCAAGCTTACCTATCTTGAGAAAACTCAGAAGTTTAAGATACCACTTTCCGTTCACCGACTGAATAGGTTCCTCGGCCCAATCATCGTGAAACTTTTTCATACTTTTGTGGATCCGTTGGTACTCTTCGTCAATACTGTAAACTCTAGCGCTCTCCTTCTCTTTGTCTTCCTGCTCTGCCTCCTTTCCCTCAATATCGACAACAGGTGTCTCGTAAAATTGGTACTCTGCAGCAAGACCAAGAAAGCTTGTCTGCAAGGGATCACACTGGCCATTCAAAAGCCGCGATTCATTCATGATTCTGGTGATTTCCTTCTCTTCACGGATAGAAGGATCACCTGTCATTGCTCGGAGTGATTGAACAGGTAAGAACCACCGGGGATCAATGACTTTGACCGTCCAGGAATCTTCGGGCAACTCGGTGCGATTGATCAACATAATAGCCACAAGATCAAGTCTTTCTAGAGAAGACCGTATACGAGGAGCCAACGGCGCCTCCACGTCACCCATCACATGGTAGCTTGGTTGAACATTGGTAATGTGAGTTTTTCCTGAAAGCTCGTCATGGGCTAGAGAAAGAGGTCCACGTTGAATATAGAACATGAATCCGAAAGTGACAAGTTCTGCCGATATAGAGGCAGCGGCAACGAATACGTAATGAAGACCATCGTTATCATAAAATCGGATGAATGACACCTCGGGAATGTTATGCAGGGTCTGCTTGCTCTCTTCGCTGTAGAACTGTTGATCGCCAACATGATAGTATAAGAGAGTGATCGTTTGCGAATTATCAGATGTTACAATAACATGGTGTGTGTCTCCGAGGGAATCCGTGTAAGTCAGCAAATCAATACCCCAAGCCGATTTTTTTAATCTGATCTTGAAATCAGGCTTGATTTTCACCGAATAAATGGCTCTTTCCATTTCGTCCAAGTTGACGGATCCACGGAATCTTTGTCGATGCTTGCTCATTTGCTCTGTAATAGTAGAGGTGTACCACATCAAAACCATGCCATCATCAATGCAAACTGCCAATACCTGTTGACCAAGCCAGTTATCATACACCTTCAAATAGTTAATCGTGTGTGGGTTTTCAGGCGACGTCGATACAAGCCTATCCCAAGCAGTGGTGTAACTAGGTTTGGTTTCGAACGCAAAGCAGACTTCGGTCTGAGGATGTTGAGTAAGTGGATCGAATTCATGGAATACAAGACACGATTCACAAGCCGTTACGAGGAACTCGCGGCCATCAGAATCCTTGATAATCCCAGCAATGTTGTTTTTATACTTGCGTGCTGCTCCTGCCTGGTTGATTCTTTTGTAGTCGACGAATGAAACTTTCAAACCATCACGAAATTTGGAGCTTGGCGAGTCTTTCATCACAGATGAGAAGCTGATGGTGTCAACGGAAGTTAAGCCAGGTCGATATGGATCCTTGAGGCCTCCATCATAGCCATCGTCCCCATGCCTTGACAGATATACAGTACCAGGAGCGGTGATTTCTCTTTGTGTTAATTCGTCATGACATTCCCAATCCAAGTATGCCGACTGTGAATTTATAGGATATATCGACTGGCGGATCGCTCGTGGCTCGAGCTCGTTATTATTGGGTATTAAGCCAAACCGATCCATGTACCTCAAGTGGTCCGGAATCGAGCTAACAACGAATTCTGTCTCATGAGGTTCGCCCGGGTCGGCAGAATCGGCGTGAAGAAGTTCAACACCTCGAATATGCTGCATCCTAGCATATGCAGCATAGCCTTGAGTCTGATTGAGGTTTCGAGAGATGGTATGACCTCGTACGTAACTGAACATTCCAGGTTCTTCCTCTTCCTCTTCAATTTCGTCTGAGTTTTCCGCATCCTCGTCATCATCATCATCGTCATCATCGTCATCATCGTCATCATCGTCATCATCGTCATCATCGTCATCATCGTCATCATCGTCATCATCGTCGTCGTCATCGTCATCGTCATCGTCGTCGTCTTCGTCATCGTACTCGCCATTTTCTTCTCGATTGAGAGCTTCCATTCTCCTGACAAACTGCTCTAGACTGAGGGTTCCACTTCGGAATCGTTGGAAAGTTTCAACGGCGGTTTCTGTGATGTACAGCTGGCCCTGTTCGGGGTCGAGAATATCCAGAAGCATGGCTGTAACAAAGTCGGCCATATGACGGTGACGAGCATGGGCATCATGCTCTTCTTCCAGTTCCTCCAGATCGAATTCCTCATCATCCAAATCACTGTCGTCGTCATCTTCGTCATCGTCGTCGTCTTCGTCATCTTCGTCGTCTTCATCCACATCGTGTTCAGTCCACCTAATTCCCGACAGCAATCTATCTATAGTTTCAGGAGCAAGGTCAACCCATGGAAGAAATCCAGGCGAATTCATTAGTTCGTTAACTTCTTCGTCCGTTTGTCCTCTCCTCCGTTCGTTCCTTTGTTGGTTCCTCTGTACGTTGGTGGGTTCGTTCCTTTGTTGGTTCCTCTGTACGTTGGTGGGTTCGTTCCTTTGTTGGTTCCTCTGTACGTTGGTGGGTTCATTCGTTCGTTCATTCGTTCGTTCATCCATCGGTTCATTCTGTTCATTCTGTTCATTCTGTTCTATTATGGCAGGACTTTCACCATCAACCACTAGTTCACCTACCTCCAGACCATCGGTATCCAGCGGAGTGTTATATCGACTCAAACTCCCGTTTCTCAGAACAACCTCATCTTCGTCATCTTCGTCTGACTCATTAAGACTCGACTCCTCGTCTTCGTCTGGCTCATCAGGATTCGGGTTCTCTTCTTCTAATCCGTAAAACAGTCTAATTCGGCGCTTAGAATATTCCGAAGCCCGCTGCTTCATGCCTCTAGACCTTAGAAATTGCTCCAAGTATTCTGGAACATGCTCGTTTCCTACGTGCTCCTCGATTGAACCATCGTCGCTCCAATCCATCGGTGTGGTCAAATCGATTTGGTCGCGCGGCTAGTGATTTATCACCGTCGTTTCCAGGTGAAATATTCTGTGAAACATGGCACACGCAGACTACTCCAATTACAAGGGGGACGAAACAAAGGAAGAAACCCTACAATCAGTAGTAGACTCATACGAAGCTTTGTCCTCTGATACCCAAAACTGGGTTGCAAATCTCGCCAACTGCTCGTCGCTAATTTGGCATGCTTACCATTCGCTCAATATTCCAGTGAACTGGGCCGGGTTCTACGTTATCAATCCTGAAAAACAGAACGAGCTCATATTGGGGCCCTTTCAGGGAAAAGTTGCATGTCAAACCATTGAGTTTGGAAAAGGTGTTTGCGGAAATGCTGCAAGTTCCAAAAACACACAATTGGTTAAAAATGTCAACGAATACCCAGGACACATAGCTTGCGATGGAGACACCCAGAGCGAGATAGTAGTCCCCATAGTATACGAAAACAAGGTGGTGGGAGTGCTAGACATCGATTGTCTCGACCTCAATGGCTTTGACAAAGTGGACCAAAAGTATTTGGAGAGATTGGTGGAGATGATTTCCAGCAGCTGCAAGTGGTGAAAGGAGAAGCAAGAAATGGAGAAGAACACTATGAGGAAGAAACATTCTACGAGGGAGGAGCACTAGAGAAGCACTTGAGACTCGACTTTGGTTCTCTTAGTATGTATAGACAATAGTACATTAATGTAAATAAGCAAGCTCTATTCAGCGGTATTGGCAGCCTCTGCTCTTCTTTGTTCTTCTCTTTCCAAGTTGTGGTATAATAAGTCTTTGGCCTTTTCTACCGCATGTGAGCTACCGCTGATTGTGAACTCTCGCTCGGTTTTACCATCGACCTCTTCAGATATGCCAATGGAGGCACCACTGACCTTGCGGACACCCTGGATCCTAGATCCGTTTTTACCAATCAAAGCACCAACAATTTCGTTGGGAAAGTAGAGGGTGGTGCTGATTCCTGGCAGACTGGAGCGACGGTCGGTACCACGATATTTAGTGGTGTTTCCACCGCGGGGGATGTAATAACTGGTGGTTACTATGGATGAAAAGTCTTCGATAAGACATCTGGAAATCACCCGCAAAGTGTCGTACAAATCGTTCACTGTACCTTGTAACTCCACCAATCGTTCGTTGGACCCAGGAAGGAACGACTTGGATGCAATCATGGAAATGTGGAAGTTGGCCTGTATCTGTTGGATTCTTACACCCTTGGATCCAATGAGAGTACCCATCTGGGCATTGGGGATCAATAAGCGTAAGATGGTGGTTTCTCCTTCGACACATGGGGTCAGCGACAATTGCTTCAATGGGAAGTAGCTATAGGTGGAAAACGTCTCTGTGTTGGCGTTACACAACGCTTGGGCAAAATAACTCAATGCTCTGGCTGCATCGTCCAAAGTGCCACTGACAGTAAGAATTCGTTCATGAGATCCTGGTTGCAATCTGGATATGCCAGCTTTGGTGTTCGTCTCTTGTCTTATCGAGTCAATAACCTGACCATTCTGACCAATTAAGCATCCGGCTTCTTTGGCAGACACAAGAACTCTGTAGTTGATCAATGCAGATGCATTGGACATATCTTCGACGCTCGGCAAGCTGGTGGACACCTTTTCGTCTTGTCCGATGGGGGTAGCAGGAGGGTCATTTTGGGGTGTAGAAACCACGGGAGCGGCTTCGTTTCCAGCCGAGAGCAGCTCGGAGGTGAATTTGGTGTCGAATAATGATTCAGTCATGATATTAAGTAGGTGTCGTTAATAGGAACGAGAAAAGTAAGTTGGGACAGGCTGGGGGAAAAACGTACAGCGGAGGAGTTTAGCAGATGAAGGGGGCAAAACTTTGATACAATTGGGGTTGATCTAAGATGATGATGACGCGCACAGGCTCCAGGAATGTTGTGGGACGGTGGAAGGGCGTAGAACGACTGCTATGATTAGAAAAGCGGAGCTAATGGCACTGGGTGGAAACGGTATTTGACGAAGTGCGAAAAATTGTCGACCATGGGGCTCCTTAGGTAAGCGAGCGGGGGGAGGAGGGTGAAGCCCTTGAGATGGGGTAACAAGAAATTTACGTAGGTCATTAGTCATTATTGAGGAACAGATGATATATACTCTTTGACGCTCATGGATTGATATCCCAAGCGGGGATCATTGGGTTCAATACCCAGGGTGGTGGATCCATGCGACCGGGTGCGGTGAAACTTATTAGGTGGACTGCCCAACCGAAATCCGTAAAATTTCTCAATTCGTTCAGAATTGGTCTGCTGTTCTCCCGGGCTGGTGTAGTGTTCTTCTTCGTTGGTTTCGTAGAGTGGATCCTCTTCTTGCACGACTTCATCAAATGTGCTGGGACCAAGCAGAAGGCTGGCCATATGGTTTTCTGCGTTAACCATGTCTGCAAACGAGTAAAAATTGATGGTAGTTTTTGATGGCGACGCATCGCCCTTATCCACCAGGCTCTGTAAACTGGAGTTTCTGTTTGCAATCGACAGGCTCAGTTTGACATGGGTCATGGTGGGCGACACCGAGCCCGATCCGGAGTGCACCGAAGTAGAATTGGCGCCGTTGATACACTGGCGAAGCGACATGGAGATGATGGACCTAGACCGAGATCTGGACCGCGATCTCAGCACCGGAGGCCGAACAGCAGCGCAATCGTGATCCAGGTCTTCATCAGTGTCGCACGGGCACACAATTTCAACATCGTTCATATCTATGGAGGGGTCGCTAAGCACCTCCGTGGTGGTGTCCAATACGGGGGCAATGAAGTCCTCGGTATTGTGATGCATAGGAATGGCGTACGGAGTTTGAGACATCTGCGACGACGCACTCACCGTGGACATGCTGCGTGACCGTGCCAGGTGCGGCACCAGATGTGGCACCAGATGTGCCACCAGGTGTTTGTGCGGGGCCTGGGGCTGTCCCGACTGCGAAGTCACCGCCGAAAGTGGGGGCAGGAACAGCGCCGTGGAGATGGACCGCTCAAAAATGTCCGACAGCGACGACCGTTCCAATTGCGGAGGATTTTTCGAAAGTTTGGGTTTGGAAAACAGCGCTTTTGACGACGGTGGAGCCGACGAAACGCTGGTGGGAGGCGAGGCCTCCGTGCCATCAGCTCGAATGAACGCCGAATGGACTCGATTTATAAGTTTGGACTTGTGGTTACCGCTCATTAAAACGCTGATTTGGGGTGATGACAAACTTGAATTTTTGAAAGGATTGGAAAGTAAAAAGTGTCAGCAGACACCGGTCAGAAGTAGAACACGGGTTGTGGAATAAGTAAAGGTAAAACCAGCTATGTTGCAAGTGCGCTCAATTTCCCAAAAACGTCTGACCTCCAGTTTATAAATATTGTTCGCAGGTGCACGCCTGCAGAACATCTTGGCCTGCACACAGGCGTGGCGGGTTCGGGACATCACCCAACTGACACTTTCATGCACCCCTCGCGACTCTCGCGACTTCGCAAACATGTCTACGTGCATGGTGCCGCATGGAGTATGCAAGACTGCCAACGTCAAAAACTGAATTGGTTACCTCTCAAATTTCTTGGAAGTACCGGTTGAGGAGAAGTGCGGGGCCGCCCCGTTAATTATTTAGCTTTGACTTATGGAATTGATTCTTTGCCTATGGTGGTGTATAGAGCTGTTTCTACGCATGTATCTTGTCATATTCACCGTCATGGTTATTGGCGAGGTTCTCGTTATCAGTGTTGCCTGACGTCATGTTATCTCGTTACTGGTCTCGCAATCTACCACATTTTCGTCCACTTTCCCAATAAGGAATCGTGCATGATTCTATGCAGATGGTGCTGTGCAGACGTCGTGGCACCACTGCAAGCAAGAGTCAGTCAAAATTAGCGAGCCGAAGGAAACTTCGGTTCAAAGTTGCCACCGGATCTCTTGCTACCATGATCTTGCCACCATTGTCTTAGGGACTTGATTTGGAACTTGCATGGCAATCATGGTCACTCGTTGCCCTTCCTCGCAGTCACGTGACGTCACAGCCCTTTTTGGCGATGGTGCTGACTTGCGTGCCAAGTGATGTAGCGATCACGAGCACGGCACCTAGGACCAAAAGGTATATGCAGTAATTGATGTAGCTCACATTTAAGTGGAAGGAAGTAGACCAAATTAAGGAGTAATTTATGTTTGAGAAGTATTCGCCCAGAATTCAAACCTAAATTGCCCGTCTAGACTGACATTTTCATAGTGGGTCTCAGTTACGACACAAAACAACAATCATACAATGTAAATGATTTCAGTATCCATGAATTGGTTTAGTGATGAATCTTGTAGATTTGCACATAGTCCCATATTTGTAACCTAAAAGCCATTCTAATTCTTGAATTGATGATTCAAGTCATTGTGGCGAGGAGCAATTTAACTGCAACCACTACAACTCCTGCAATACTTAAAACCTGAACAGTCTGATTACCACTGGTGAGATAGTAACATCCTGAACTATCAATGTCTTGACATACAATGGGAAACCACGCGTTGGTAATCGTCTGAGACGCAGCCAGTAGGATGCTAGCTAACAGTCCAGCAACGGTGTATCTGGGATATATCCCCATGACGGAAAGAATAAAGAAAACAAAGAATCCCAATAATCCAGTATTCACTGGATTTACAATTGTCATTGACTTTGAACGTGAACGTGTTTGGAGTTATATATTGCGGTCTGCGAAAATAAAACCAGACCTCAAAAAATAATCATTAGATTGTGGTCCTTATCGCTCAGACTTTATGGCTCAATAGTTGGAAAGGGTATTTCCAGTTCTTGTGTTGAATACAGTTCGAACTCTTAACAGCACGGAAAGCATTCGACACCTGTCAAAGTACGAGGTAAGTTGAACATGTGAATATGGTGAACCCTTTTCAGGAAAGGCTTATTATTTCTGGAAAAAATATCCAGCTTTGATGCCGTTCGTGTTTTTGATCCAATTGTTCAGCTGAAAAGAAAGCTTTTTGAACCCAGCCTAGCATAGTGACAGATGGGTTTGGCTGCAACTGCTGCCACGAGGATCTACCTAGTTGAATGGTGTATAGATCCTTATCCCATGCACAGTTCCAACAAATTCTACTTGTTGTAACTTGGCGTTACGATCGCTACTGGTTATATAGTTGGTGGTGCCGCTGTTGCGGCTGCTAGAGCCAATGGTAAGCCAATGATAAAGGGCGATTTATCACAGGTTTTCCAGTACCATGCTCTAGGAGAGTCAAATATCACATCATCGTTCATTATTATCATCTCTTGCTAGTCCACTTCTTCATATTCTGTTCCCAATGTGGAGCCGTGCATGATTCCATGCAGCAAGCTCCTGCGTGGACACTGTCACCACTTGCAACCATTGCCCTTCTTGGCGAGGATGCAGACGCGGCCAAGTGACGTAGCCATCACGAGCACAGAACATACAGGACCGCATCGTATATGCAGTACCGATTCATAAGTCAAACCTTGTTTAATTCAACTCAACTTCAAGATGAATGCAACCGAGACTCATGCAGCAAATATAACATTTCCTGCGTTTGAGCATCTTGGCTTCTTGGACAAGGCTGCTTATGCTATTCCCTACTACGCGTACAAATCTCGCGTTTGGAATTATATCGATCCAGACGTGTTGCCGTTTGCTCTCTCGATTTGCACTGCCACGTTTTGCGTAATTGCAGGGTCTTATGCAACATTGTCGAAGCCTGCTAATGCATTGGATCCCAATGTAGAAGTGGAAAGTGAATTGTGGGATCCTTCCGATAGAGACGATAGTCGGTATATTCATACCAACGCCTCCGATTTAGAGTTTCTCAATGGCACATCCATCGACTTTAAACAGGCTGTTGCTATGCCAGTGATGAGTGCTGGAGCACTTTATGGGCTATACTACTGTCTTCAGAACATCGACGTGACAAAATTGGTATACTATCTCAACTGGTATCTCTTGATAGTGTCTCTCACTTCCAATTATAGTGTGTCTGATTTTGCCATAACGTACTTGGTTCGTACCATTCTGTTTTGGCTTCGTCTTCCGGGAAACTCACTAAGCGTATTTACTCGTTACAAGGCTACCTTGTCAGTAGATGAAAAGAGTGACACTTTCCCATTGGGTCAATTGGAACAGGTATCTGCGTCATCATTTCCAAACAAAACCCTCGAATGGTTTGACGGATTGAAAACACATTTAGCCAGTGAAAACGTCGAGATTCTCCACCCGACGTCCATCCCGGTCATTAATCAAAAGTTCAATTTCGTGTTTGACCTCAAGTTTTTTTTACTGGTTCCAATCAGCATATTCCTCCTGACACTTTATTACTTGCACAACCCTGCATTGAACAACGCCTACCCATTTGACACCACAAACTGGCTTTTAGCTAATGTCATGGGAATCAATTTTGCCATCTTTGGAATAAGGGTGACAAGACTTTCAAATTTCAAAGTCGCTACTGGGCTCTTGATTGCGTTATTCTTCTACGATATTTACTTTGTTTTTGGAACAAAGGTGATGGTGACCGTGGCAACTGGAATTGACATTCCTATCAAGATTGTTTATCCAAGACAACCAAGTTACTTTGCAACCATTGGCGGCCTCGTATTTGGATCTGAAGGTTTCAAATATTGGGACGTTCCAACATCGTTACTCGGCTTGGGCGACATCGTGATTCCTGGTGCGTTCATATCTGCGTGCTTGCGTTTCGACTTGTACCGTCATCACCAGCTCCATACGTCTGCATTCCACCACTTGAGATCCTTCCAGAAACCATATTTCTACTGCGCTATCGTGTGCTACATTTGCAGTTTAACTGTAACCGTGGTGGTGCTCAAGATTTTTGGTGTTGGCCAGCCTGCTTTGCTCTACATTGTTCCTTCACTCTTACTTGGAGTCTATGGAACTGGTCTTGCAAAGGGCGAGCTCAAAGATTTATGGGGATACAGTGAACACATTGAAGAGTACAAGCCGGAAAGTGACAAAAATCTGGAAGAGTCTGATGAAGAGTATGTCAATGAAAGTGATGACTCGTATGACGAATGGGAAGATAGAGTAGAATCTGAGCGTGCAGCTGCATTCAACGAGGTGGAAACGGACTCGGATGACATAGAGGTGTTGGCATCCGACTTGAAGCGGCCGGTTTCGAGGTCTTTAATCACATATGAGTTTGCCGACAGCGAGGATGAAGACGACGATACGTTTATCATTGATGGAGATGAAGATGAGGAAGAACTGTTTATCCACTACGCCATGGTGAGCAACGAAGAAATAGCAATCTTGGCTAAAGATAGATTGACTGAGCCTCGAGCATGGTATTCCGACGAGGAAGATAACTGAAAGATAAGACCAAGAGATAACAATGCATCCAAACAGATTTTTCACAATAGACGCGAAAAACGCAATAGTGGAGGCTTTATCTACCCTCGGTTCCGCAAGGATACGCGCTTCACACTATCCGAGCAAATTTGATGCGCTTATCATCTGACATTGTCTCTTAGACTTGACTCAGGCTGCGGTCCATATCCTGCAGACAGCCCATGGTTGTTGTCCGTTCACAGTGCCGCGATAAGCTGCGGAGAAGATGCGCCGAAAAAAAGAGCATTATAGGAAATGTGGCGGAATCGGCAAAAGTAAACAAACGGGCTTGTGGGTAAATAGAGACGTAGCAACATGGAACGGGCAGTATGGATTGTGTGCCATACAACCCCCGAAGCTCCGGTTGAATGTGAACAGCTGCTACAAAACGCAAAAGTATCCCGTGACCCCGCATCTCCGCACTTTTTTCAATCGTTGCAACAAGGTTCAAATGCGGAAGGTGAACCCGCAAGCGGCATTGATGTTGCCGTACAATCGGCGCCAAATTAAGGTGAGCTTACGGCAACAAACAATCAATATTGCTACTCCACTTTAGCTTTGGTTTCCCAACTCGGCCATGATACTCATACATCCGGTTATCAGTAGATCTGAATCTCGCTATCGCACGCGGGCAATCCTAACTGCGCCGCACTCATTTTGCGTTTTTCTTTATCGGCGCGCCATGCGAGTGACGTTCCACCACAGACGGCACTTGTCAATGCATCTGCCTGCATCCGTGCCATGCGCGGAATCTTTGCTTATAAGTTGGAGCGGCCGCCAACAACCGATTTTTTTTTGTCGGGAGCACTTCTTGTGGCCAACAGTTTGTTGCAATGTCAGAAAAACGCTCGTTGGACGGCGCTGCGATATCCACAAAATCTCAGAAGCGCATCCGTATCGAGAAGGAAATCTTTTCCAAGTCGTTGCATGACATCGAAACTATGTTCAACTTCAATCATGTTGCTGCCAAACCAAACCTGAACAATACCCTATCATCCATTTCTATTCCGACGCCTCCGTCTCCCCAACTTGAGCATGATTACTCCCAGTATACTATTCCATTAATTCCCGGTGAATATAATCATGACCTCAACTACGACTGCATCAATTTGGCATTTCTTCGTAACGACCCCACATTGGTATTACCGGTGGCACCAAAATCTGGCCACCCCATGACCCGTGCCATAAACTTGTACGCTAACACAATCTACGACGACTCTGACGATGACTTGGCACAAACCAATCTAGAACACGATTTGGAACTCATGGATAAGGTATTCATGCGCACTATATGAGACCCTGGCGGTCCGGACACAGGATGTCCCTGCATTTAGAACAATAAAGTTCGCTACCAGCTACCAGCTACCGAAATATCTCAAGCTTCTATCTAGCTCCAGCTATCTCTTTCAGCTTCTTCCCCGCTCTCTCTTCCTTTACTCTGTTATCTGCCCTGCTATCTCCATTCGCCTCCATACACCACGATGTCCACGAAAATCTCAACTTTGAACCGCACATCATCCACCATGGTTTTGGCAGAGCTAGGTTCTCGTTTGCGGGATGCTCTTTCCGGCGTCAGTTCGGGGTCCGAAGAGGAGATCCAAGCCATGATAAAAGATATCTGTACGGCATTATTGGAAAGTGACGTCAATGTTAAATTGGTGGCCAAATTGCGAGACAATATCAAGGCAAAAGTGAAGAAAGAAGTACGCAATGACGAAGCCGCGGCAAACAAGAGAAAGAAGCTTCAAAAGATTGTGTTTGACGAGCTCTGTGCGCTTGTGGATTCACATGAAGAACCTCCCAAGCCTAAAAAATTGAGCCAGCAGGCAAAACAGAAGAGTATTCGAGGAAAGAAAATAACGAAAAACAATGCAGAATCACACATCATTATGTTTGTTGGTCTTCAGGGTGCGGGTAAGACAACCTCCTGTACCAAGTTGGCCGTCTACTATAAGAAAAGAGGGTTTAAAGTGGGCTTGGTTTGTGCGGATACGTTTAGAGCTGGTGCTTTTGATCAGTTGAAGCAAAACGCTACAAAGTCGCTGATTCCATACTATGGTTCGTACTTGGAGACTGATCCCGTAAAGGTGGCCCATGAAGGTGTGGTCAAGTTTAGAAAAGAGAAATTTGATATCATCATCGTGGATACCTCGGGAAGACACAAGCAAGAACAATCCTTGTTTGACGAAATGGTACAAATCTCCGAAGCTGTGCAGCCCACTCAAACTATAATGGTGATGGACGGTTCAATTGGTCAAGCGGCCGAGCTGCAAGCCAGGGCTTTTAAAGAAACCTCTGATTTCGGTTCGATCATTTTGACGAAAATGGATGGCCACGCCAAGGGAGGTGGTGCTATTTCAGCAGTTGCAGCAACCCAAACTCCCATTGTATTCATAGGAACGGGTGAACACGTTGGCGATCTTGAGACGTTCAGGCCGTCTGCTTTCATATCGAAACTTCTCGGAATCGGCGACATCCAGTCGTTGATTGAGCATGTACAGCTGTTGAATCTTCAGGACGATGAGTCGCACAAGAAGACCATGGAAAATTTTAAGGAGGGCAAGTTCACATTGCGTGATTTCCAAACACAAATGAACAATTTCACCAAGATGGGTTCACTTGCAAACATTGCCCTGATGATTCCAGGTATGTCAGGAATAATGTCGCAGATTGGAGAAGAAGAAACATCGAGTAAGATAAAGAATATGATCTTCATTATGGATCTGATGACTACAAAAGAATTGGATAGCGATGGTCGTATTTTCACGGAACAACCAGAGAGAATTATCCGAGTTGCTCGTGGTGCTGGCTGTTATGCCATTGAAGTGGAGATGGTTTTGCAGCAGCAAAGAATGATGAGTGCTATGGCTCTGAGTGCCAAAAACAGCGGTGGTGGAGCATTGGGTGGAATGGGAGGTATGCAAAGAATGATGCAACAAGCACAACTGAACCCTGGATTCATGCAACAAGCAATGCAAATGATGGGTGGAGGTGGTGGAATGCCCGATATGTCGGCCATGATGAACAATCCCGGAATGATGCAACAAGCTCAACAAATGATGAGACAGAACCCTCAGATGATGCAACAAGCTCAGCAAATGATGCAGAATCCAGGAATGATGCAAAAGATGATGAGCCAGTTTGGAGGCATGGGAGGCATGTAAGAGTCGCGTGCACACTAATTTTTCACAGCCAATATCCTACATATAAAATTTCTAATGTAACTTTTCCTATATTCATGGTGGATGATAGCGGCACTCAATATCATGAGCTACAGAATTTAGAGGATGGAAGTCCTCGAGCGTCCGCAAATGAACCATTTTCATACAAAGTGGGTCTACAACATTGGATACTTCGTTTGATACAGGGGTTTCAAGGTTTAAATTTGGGACTTTTGTATGTCGCTTTATTCCCATATCTCGAACTGTTGGGACTAGACAAGAGGTCAATTGGGGCACTAATGAGTATATCGTTATTGGGAAATGGTTTTCTTCGTTATTTCCTGCCTCAATTGCAAAATAGGTCTACTCATAAAACTTTAATATTGAGTTGTCATGGACTAGCGGCTCTTTGTGGAGCTATTTTATTGACGATTTCACATAGGTGGGCTGCTTTGCCTGCAATAATAGGGTGCATGGTGAGTTGGGGGCACGAATTGGGCTATTCAAGGGCACTTCAAGGCAGTATGTTGATCACAATTACGAATGAGAACAAACAGTTCGAAGAGAGAACTTTGTCATTAATATTAGGGACTAGTGGTGTTTTCTTAGGAATGATTGCTACGGCGATAATGTTGAATGTTGACGAGCAACTGAAAGAACCCCCACGCTTCGACTATGCATTCAAGACATTTACAGTGTTGGAGCTCGTCATTCTACTCTTGGTATGCTTATTAGACTCCAAAAAGCATAACGAAATGGAGATTTCTACTCAAGAAGAAGAAGAAGAAGACGATGAGGAAGAAGAAACTACACTGGAGAATGACCATTCGAGGGTAATCTCCTGCCTTAACTGGACATTCTTCTTACAAGCAATTGGAGAAGGAATTGTTCTCATTCCTTGGAAAGTCGACTATATGAGTGTTATGAACAAGGACCCGTCTCGTGCTCCTTTCGCAGTTGCAATGCTATTGATTGGTGATCAATTTTCACCAGTACTTTCAGTGGTCTTAACTTACCTTTTGCATGGCCCTATAAAGTCAGTTATTATTATGGAACTCACAACTGCATTTATGTATATTGGAGTCGGGTCTTCTTCACAACCAGATACAACCAAGACAATAACTGGAATCTCGGTATGGATGACTTCGAGACTTTACTATGTCCATGGGATGGTGCTAAGTTTGGTTGCTCCCCAGAATTCGAGGAAGGAACTTCTGGCTAGAATATTTGTTTACAGGGCTTTTGGTCTATGCATAGGACCTTTAGTTGCTGGCGCATTGGCATATCATGACCTTTACGGATATTGCTACTATATTAGTGCAACTTTGCTTCTTTTATGCTGTGTGATATTGGCAATTACATGTCTTCCGCTTGATGAAAATTTACGAAGTCCACTAAAGAAGAATATATGAGAATTTAGAGTACGGCCGAAGAAACGTGGTGTCGATGTGGAAAATAATATCAAGAACTACTAATGAGTGTTCCACTATGAACCGTCTACACTAAGTTTAGAATGTTATTGGGTCTTGGAATAGAAGATACTCTTGATGAAGGAGCACTTTGGACTAACGCGTTTTAAGCCCTTTAAAGGTCCTATACATTGGGAAAGAATCAGTAGTTTTTTTATTTGGATTAAGACTGCCCATAATGCAATCTTGCAGGCTTATAGTTTACTACCTGCAGTCGAGAAAATAGCCCTCCTGTATGCAGTCAGAATCTCCGCTCCCCAGAAAGAAGATAAACTTAGAGGCGCCTCTACGGCTCGGAAGTAATAAAATTTAGATTTTTTCCGACCGTGAAACCACACCATATTCTGGCTCTAACCATGCTGGCAGATGAAGATCTGGATTTCGATTACGGATCCATTAAAGATATTCTCCAGAACGACTCAAATGCGTTTTTGAAAGGTGTAAAGAATACTGACGTCGATTGGTTTTTGCGTGACACTGCAATCAACCCACCTAATGGGTCTAGTAATGCAGCGGAGACCACGAAAACCACAGATTCTAGACGTTCCAGCAGCGAAAAATCATCACAATCTTCATCGTCTAAACTGACTCCTCTGAAACTACTGCGTACTTCCAGCTTGGAACCTGGATCGCAACTCCAAACCTCGATTTCTAATACCAATGAGACGGTTCTGAGTAAGACAAAACCGTCTGTGGCCACAATCCATGAAGAGGGCTCACCAACATTGACATCTTACCGCCGATCATCACTGAGTGCACCTTTAGCATCGAGCACGAGTCGAAGAAGCAGCAATGCCAGTATGAACAGCACTGGGAGCTCAGCGTCTTCAAAGGGTGGTCGTCTATTTTCCAAGTTGAAAGGCAAGTTTTCGTCGGTTCATAAAGAATTACTGCCCCCAACTTCACTGCCCCCAGCATCTCCTCCACCTATACCCACAGCTCCTTCTGATTCGGTATTCAAGGAGAACTACAGCCTATCCACAAGAGAAAGAAGCTCCACAACCACATCACACCTGTCAGCACCAGGTACCGCAGTTAAACCCTCACAGGAACCGCCGTCTACACCCAGTTCCAACACAGACGATCCCAGACTCGAAGAGTATATCAAATTCTACAAACAAGAAAAGCTCCACCCCCCTCCCTGCTGCGCAGGAAAGGCTGAAAAAGAATGCACAGACCACCATCATGGTGCTCTTCTCAACAGCAACGAACCTTCACCAATCAACATGTCCGCTTTTAGCGGTACATCTTCAGAACAACCAAATGCCGCTGGAAGATTGACCTCTTTTCTTCGCCGGCGAAGCTCGGTTGCGCCTGGTGTCCCCGACAGAGCTAGACGTATGTCTGAAACCAACGCTACTATAGCGTCTCTGTCACCGTCTCCCTCAGTCCATCAGCGGGCCCCTGCACCTCCCCAGGAATTTGCCGGTTTAAAACCACTAAAGTCGGTGGCATTTCATTCGCTGACATTTCTCATGGACCCTCCTCAACAGATACCTTCACGTAACCCTCGCAAGGGTAATGTCGAGATTCTTCCCAATGGATCGTACCGCATTCATCCTTTGTCTGAAGAGGACAAAGCTGCAATTGAAAAATCGCTAATGGGTCGAGGAGGAGGTATTGTGGTTGGAGGCTCTGGCGCATTAAGTGTCAAAAAGCCCCACCAAGAAGTCGATGAAAAGACTGACACCACGAAAGAGTCGGCTAATGATGTGGATATCAGCCAGCATGCCAAGAAGCTAGGCGTCGACAAACCAATGATATCTCATCTGCAACACAGGTATCAGCTGCCAGTAGAAAAAATGGCCCTCGATGTTATGTATACGAGGTGCTGTCACCTAAGAGAGATCCTACCGATTCCAGCAATAATGAAGCAAATCCCCAAGGGCTCTATGGCCCCTATTCCTGTTTTACAAATGAAAAACCCCACTCCCACCATGGTCGAAGTGTTGACCTTTGCAGATTTTATTCGCATTGCCCCCATCATATGCGTCTCCTTGGATGGTGTGTCTTTGTCACTAGAGCAATTCAAAATCCTTTTAAGTGCAATGAGTGCGAAGAAACAGCTTGAAAAGTTAAGTTTAAGAAACACTCCTATCGACCACGAAGGGTGGCTGCTTTTCTGCTGGTTTTTATCCAGAAACAAGGAACTTAACAAACTTGACATCACTCAATGTCCCTCCTTGTCTGTGAACATTCTTAAGAAAACCAAGCGGAAACCATCTACCTCCGACAGCAAGACGAAGAAGGAACCCGAAATTAAAAGAATGGAATGCAACAAAGAGAACCGTTCCGACATGGATTGGTCTTTATTCACAGCTACGATAGTTGCAAGAAGTGGAATTGAGGAAATAATTTTAACGGGTTGTTGCATAACAGACTTTGAAGTGTTTGAGAAATTCATAAAATTGGCCGTTCTGATCAAGACCAACAGACTTGGACTTGCTTACAATAAACTCAGTGCGAAGCAATTGCGAGTCATTGTTGACTGCTGGCTCTTTGAAAAATTCGTTCGTGGAATTGATCTAGGCTATAATGACTTACTGTCTTTGACTCATTTGAACATCTTTCTCGAGCAGCAACGCAAGCCTGATTTTGAGAAAAAGATTGCTGACTCGCAGCTTACTTTCTTGAGTTTGAATGCCACGAACCTTCGCTTTTCGGATACATTCAAAGAAACACTCGAATCAGTATTAATGAGACTCCCCAATTTGAAGTATCTTGATCTTTCAAATAATTCTAGATTGTTCGGCAATCCTCACTCAAGCCAAGCTGAAGAAGAAGTCGCAACAGAGGAAGAAGAAAATGAAACTCAAAGTGAAATCGTTGCTTATATGTCTTCAAAGTTCCCTCTATTCCCCAAGTTGGTTCGATTACATCTTGAGCATAATGAGCTCTCGCCGCATTCATTGTCAACGATTGCTAACATTTTGCCCTTCTGCAAGAACTTGGGCTACTTTTCAATTTTGGGCAATAGACTTGATCTCACAACTATGACTACATTCTTGCAGGCGGTCAAAAACTCCAAGACTTTGATTACTTTAGACTGTGACCTTGATGAGTTTCCTTTGGTTATCAAAGAACGCTTAGGTTTGTACTCCATGAGAAATATGGAGCGTCTATTGTATAGTCTGGCTGGTGGTGAAAAGGCAATAGCCGACATTTCCCAAGTTCCAAAGGTTTCGATGAACGATATCGAAAATGGAGAATCACAAGTCAGTCTCACGGAACAACTCAACGATATTCTTTCCTTGAAGGCACAACACAAGGCTAGCTTGGACAACCCTGTTGTGAAAGATTTTGTCAAGAGAGCCATGAATATCAAAAAGCAATTGCGGATGACTATCGAGGAACTACTCAAATTACAATTGAGGAAAGAATTGAGCATGGATGGAAAGGAAACACTTATTCGATTTGTCTTTCTTGAATCCTCCATTAATAAGGGTCTTCAAATGATAGATCCATCACTAGCTGACGACCAATCTCCAAATATGAAGTTGATGGGTCAAAGTGAAGATGAAAATAATAAATACTATATTGACGAGGCAGAGAGAGACGCCAATGATGTCCAAGAACAGTTGAAAGTGCAACGAGGCAATCCAACCGAACTAAACATCGGAAAATCACCTGTGAATATGTCGAGGACATCTTCTCGTACCAGTCTTAATCAGCTTGATAAAGAGGAGGGCTCCATGATGAAGTTACTGTCATTGCTGAAATTCCATACTTTCCACAAGGAAGATCCTAGTATATCCGGAGAAGAAATCAGGAGAAAGCTCAGAAACGTCGACTTGGCCGATTTGGATGAGGTGATCAAGTACTTGAGTAGTTTGAAAGAGAAAGGTATAACAGTGCAGAACGTTTTCAACTTGAATCATGATGTCGATGGTGAGGACAAATCGTTAGATTCCGATGATGCCATAGACTTTGAGGTTATCAAGCAGAAGCTTAAGAAGATAGCTGACAACAAGCATGAAGAAGAAACCAACGGGCAAGAAAACGAAGGTGACAAGCAGTCGCCTGGTCAAGACGATACAAATGAAGGTGGTAATTCGAACGGCAAATATGGTAGCGATGACAATTCACTTGAGTCTTCCGCCCCAGCCTTGGAGAAGATTAATAGCCCCGAATATGGCGAACGACTCAATAAGTTATATGACGAAGTGGTGAACGATATTACGAAATTAGATAGCCATACTGAATAATGCAGCACCTACTAATATATCAACCTACAAGAACTTCGAAAGCGTGGTAGAGTCCACTTATACTATTCACTCCTTAATACTACTCACCCCTTGATACTATTCACACAGTCTACAATATTGATACTAACATTATTAATATTCGTCATCAGAGTCCAAAGGACGATTTTTCAGCTTGAACGAAGGTTCGTCATCGTCACTGTATTCATCTTGCTCGATTTCGACATTTCCCTCTTCAGCTTCTTCGGCCAATTCTTCACAGGCATCGATCCAGTCGGAATAAATATCCACAGGCTGTGATAAAGAATGGATGGCGGACTGGAAAGTCTGACCGCAAATCTTACAATGCAACTCGCCTAGCGAGTTCTTCTTATCTAATGTACATATGACGGACCTTTCGTGATTGCAGAATAAGCATGTGAATGTGGTATCTAGGGTTTGTTTAATTTTCTTTTGAGGCTTTGCCGACGATTTCCGCTTACCCATGGTGGTGGAACGGTGATGAAATAACAAGTGAAAAGTAGTTGATAATCAGTTACGGTATATATGCAGGTCGTCCATGCTAAGCTAAGGTACAAAGTTGTATTGAGGAGTTCAATATGACCAGCCTCTTGTTACTTCATGATCAGTTGTGCCTTCTTCTTCAATCTCATTTCGAGGCGGAGTTTTTCAAATGCGAGTTTCTCTGCTCGCAAGTCTTGCGGCGATTGCTGAGGACTTTTGGAAGCAGATCTAGAAACCGAAGAAGAATCGTCGCTATTGCGTGGGCTTCCGGTGGTGACACTGTTACCTCTAAAGCTCATTGTAATCTTGAGACTAGGGTTGGCACTTGCATTCAACTGAATCCCGTATTGGTACAACTTTTTGTCATTAGCTCGAATTTCGTAAAGAGCAACGGCGTTCTTGTGTATGCTTTTTATGAACTTGAATGCGTCAGGAGACTCAAGTTGCTCCTTTATAGGGTAATGCAAAAGCAACGAAAGCGCTTCCCCAAAGTCGCAAGTGATAAGGTCAGTTTTGATGCGAATAAGAAGGACCACAACCACAAACATGACTACATCAGGGAGAGCACTAATGCCAGCGTCGCTTCCCGCTAGTACCACAAATTTGTCCCACAAGAGGCTAGTGACCCGTAGATCATTGCCAAGCTCACGAAGGAGGAGAAGTCGAAAGAACCTAATTGCCCAAAGCTCCGACAGAATTTTTAGTTTACTTATCAAATTGTAATGGATAAGCTGGTCAATTTTCATTAGGTTAGCATTGAATTGTTCAATAGACCGCCAAAGGTTTGCTTCGTCTTGGAAGAATCTGGTTGTGATGCCGGACAGGATAAGGAACTTGTTTAAAATCGTGAACAAGTCATGCGATATGTAATTGATGTCATAAAGAGATAGTATTTCGTAGTCGTCGTTGGTCATGGTGTTAGTATTGGGGATCTCGATTGCTTCTTTGTACAAGTTCATGTAGATCAAACCAAAGATTTCATGGAAGCCTTGTTTGTAACCCACATGGGGATTACATTTCGAGAAAATATAAAGTATTTCAATGAGGCTTCGCTTGGCTTTTAATGCCACAGGTGTCGATGCATTAAAGAATTCTTCACCAGGAAATAATCGTTCGACATCCATGATGATCGTCTCTAGATAGTCCTCCACATGATCAGCTTCGCCCAGAGGACTTGAAGGTTGAGCGCTCAACGGAGACTCCTTGTTCTCTATTTTCACACGTTCTAAAGGCTTCTTAATGCTTGGTCCTCGCAGAATTCGTGAGGAGCCTCGTCTCCGTAAACTGGTCTTGCGAGACACAGACTCAGTTTGAAAGTACACACTGTCTTTTTCTAGTTTCCACCACGGTACAAGCATGTCAGTACGCTTTGTGAGTTCATGGTAGACTACCCTAGAGCTTTCCAACAGCTTTAACCACGTCAGTATTTTCAAATTACCGGTGATGAGGAACGTCTTCCACACTAAAGTTCTCGAAAAATAACGGCATTTTTGTGGAATGTAATCATTTTCTACCACTCCTTTTCTAAAGTTGGCCACACTGCCTTTGTATACGTCTATGGTATGTAAAACATTCGCTATGGTTGCATTGTGCAGCATGTTTATGGCTACTGGAACTGAAGTCGCATCTCGCAGTCCCAGGCAGGTGCAGAAATTCAGAAGGTGCAGGCCGGCAGTTTATAGAGCATTGGGTAACAATAATAAGCTTAAATTTTGTATAAATATCTACTTGCGGTTAGACGACCCAAGAGACACCGCCAAGGAGAACCCATCATGAACGCCAGACCTGCCGCCGTTGCCCAATCTTCCAGCAAACCAATATCCAAGGTCCAAACTGGCCCAGTGGTTGACATATTTTAATCCTAATCCAGCTGAGGCAACTGCGTTATCTTCTTGCAAGATGTTGTTGCTTACAGAAGCAAGGGCCGAGGATGCGTACAAGCGAAGCGGGTTGGCTTCATCGTGATTGGAGTGGTCCTCAATGGGCAAACCATCTTCTTGAAGAGGAGCTTTGGTAGAGTGTAAGAATTTTGGTAGCCTGCTGTAGAGGGTAATGCCCAACTTGTAGAATTGATTTCCTCCATTGGGGTCTACGGCGTTTTTGGAGAAGCCTCGAAAACTTTGGCGACCGCCCAAGTAAAACCGGTCAGAAACATGCACGCCTGCTGTTTGGGTGAAGATTCCACCAAAATCTGCACTCACTTGAGTCGTCAACGCATTGTTAAAATATGAAGCGATGAATCTGGAAGCCACGGAAATTTTGGCGAAAGTTTTCTGGTCTGGGATGGATTGTTCCTGGTTCGATGCCAATTCTGCCGACGCAGCCACATCAAAACCGGACACGGGGAAGTTTTTGGTGTAGTTGTTCAAGAAAGAAATCTTGGAGTACTGCAATTGACTCACGATGGAGGTTTTGAGAAAGTCGCCTTGGCAATTTTTGACGTCTTGCAGCGCATCGTCGTTAACGTCACGGATGTTTCTTTTGGCAATCAGCGCCCCCACAAGAGATGTGAACGCATCACTAGGACTGGTATATCGCAACCCGATCAAACCACCGCCGGTATTCTCCGAAGCATGCTGCCAGCTTTGGTTGTTCTGGTGAGTGTTGAAAAGATCCACAGCAAACTTGAACGAAGGATCAGCCAAGCTGGAAGTCAAAGATGCATTTGTAATGAGGTGCAGATTGGGTGGATATGGGTTGTAGTTTGCGCCTACATTGACTAGCTCGCCATTTTCGTTGAGGTTATTGTTGAGGTAATTGAGGGTCACACTGAGGTCCTCGTCGGTGTTGTAGTTGAGGAAGAAGTCTGCAGCGTTGATGTTGTTTGGAATCACATCAAAGAGCACCTTGGCATAGATGGGCTTCTCATTGTTGTAATTGACAATGTCTTTTGGCACCAGAGCCAAGTAGTCGGACTGGAGTGAAACCGCCACCGACTTGAAAACATTGGATTTCACGAGCTTATCACGAGAGGAATCGACATTCTCGAGCAATCGGCCCAATGTATAGTCGCTTTCGTCCACCAATGGTCGAAGAATCCGGCCAAAAAACTCTCTGGAGAAAGTATCACCACCTACCACTTCCACCGACGAGAGAAAAATAGGTTGCGACGACGACCTGGAAAGGAGATCTTGTGTGAGGAGCTGGCTCTGGAGATCGGTGGGCGTTTTGGTGTCAGATTTCATGGACATTGGTGGAAATGGGAAAGTGTGGTGAATGTTGATTGGACATTGCGTAGATATTTAGTGCGGGTGTAGCGGTGCGGGAGGGAAGCTGGAGAGAAGCTAGAGAAGAAGATTGAGAAGAAGCTTGAGAACCAATACAAAATTTTTTACATAGATCTAATTAAGTCTAGTTGTTCTTCTGTAGCTTCTACTCCACTGTAGCACCATCGTATGCCAAATCTAACAATTTCCATGAACATGTAACATTTGCGTCTTTAAAAATTCTGATCACCTTGTCGGCAATAGCATCGAATCCCTCGGTAGCCAAACACAATATGGTAGGACCGGCACCAGAAAGACATATACCACACAAACCGGGATCAGATTCCGGAGTAACACTGGCCAAAACTTGTTGCAAGCCGGGAATTAAGCCAGATCTGTAGGGCTGATGGAGCTTGTCTTTCATGGCCTCGTATATAAGTTTGTGGTTAGGTTCAGACTGAGTCAATGCTGTGGTCAAAACCGCCAATCTTTGAAGATTGAATACGATATCTTGCTTTTCGTATGATTTAGGCAACACCTCCCGTGCGGTGTCGGTGGAAACCTCAAAGTCGGGAATGATGGTAATACACTTGATTTTACGACACCATTGGTATTGCAAATACTGGCCGATTTGATTTGGTGGAGGCGTACGGATGTATTGGTCAGCTGGGGTGACTCCAAATTTGGGAAGAATTCTTTCTAATGCAACGCTCTTTGCTTTAGTTTCTTCTTCGCTCAATTCGTTGAGATACGAACCAACAAATCCTCCAAGCATCGCAGCAGCTATGTTATCTGGGTGCCTCTCGATGAGCAAGCAGTAGTCCAACATTCGCTCCTTGGTGAATCCTAGCTTTCCAACTTCATTTCCAAGCATTATTCCACCTACTATGGCTGCTCCCGAAGACCCCAACCCACGGCCCAACGGAATGGGGTTGATTACATGGAGATGAGTACCATTTGGAAACTTCTCAATGTTGTTACAGCGCATTATGTACAAGGCAGTCTGTGTAACAAGATTTTTTCCCGAGTTGAGTGGTACATTTTCGGCACCATCACCTTCATAACTGAGTTTGACGTTGTATGGATCCGAGGAAGTGTCGACTTCTGGACGTATAGATACCTCTAGTTCGAGGTACAACTGTAAACCAATACCCAAAACATCAAAACCAGGTCCAATATTGGCCAGCGAGGCTGGTACTTTGATTTTGAACTGACTCATGGTGACTGCAAACTTTCTATCTTGGCGTGGACAGATATGGAGTCACACCCCAACACCCATACATTTTTACGATGCCGGTACAGGCCCGAGTACACTTCTATTAACATGTATTTACCTAAAAAACACAAGTACGGCGTTTTTTCCACACGATGTCCGCAGGCTCAAGGGGCAACGTCACCATCGAGGCGTAATCGACACCGGGCAATTTATCTTTTAATTCCCAGGTGACATTGTAGACGTAGGATGCTAAGATCGTACCCAACTGGACGTAAGCGAATTGTTCTCCAATACAACGGTGTCTGCCTCCACCGAATGGCAAGTAGGGAGAGGAAACACCCTTGGAGATATTTCCGAATCCATAGTCCACAGTCTCATCTTGGCCGTCAGTAGGAAGTGGTTGTTCATCCCATCTACGTGGGTTGAAGGAAGCGGCATCGGGGAACCAACGATCATTTACCATGGCATAACCGGGGGACACCATCACATAGTGACCCTTTGGAACGGTGTACTTGGTTCCTGGAACCAATAACGGCTTTTTAACCTTCCGGAAAATGGAGTGCAAAGGCATATGCATACGAAGGGTTTCCTTGATTACATTGTTCACAAGTGGCATTTCTTGCAAATCATCGTAAGACAAATCCTTAAAGCTCTTGTTCTTTTTCTCGAACACACCGCAGATTTCTTTGTACATTTCCTCTTGGAGATCGGGTCTTTCACCCAAATGCAACAAAAACCAAGCAGAAGTAGCAGCACTGGTATGCTGACCACCCATCAAGATTCCAATCAAAAGATTGGCAATTTCCTGGTCAGTCATCTTCACACCATCCTTATATGTACTGGTGGCCATGAGCGAGTCGATAAGGTCTCTAGTAGGGTCGATGTTACCACTTGATCGTCTAGTGTCAATCAAGCCTTTGTAAGTAGCAGAGATTTTTTGCTGAGCCCTGTCTCTGTTACGAGACATGGGCAATGGAAGGTGAGGGAACGCGAAATGGATAGGGTGGAAACCCTTGTCGAGGTCCGAGTACAATTGAGCAAACGAAGTGTCGAACCGTTTTCTCATCTCATCGCCCATCAACGACCGAGAAGCGGTGAAAATGGTAATTTCTGGCTGAGTTTTCATCACGTTGACAACACCACTGTCCTTTTCCTTCATCTTGAAATCATGTTCGACGAAATACGACAACACTTCATCTTGAATTTTAGGCACATACTTGATGAACGAGTCCTTAGTCAAAGCAAACTTGGCAAACTTTTTCTGTTCCATCAACCGGGAGTTGGGACAGTCATAGATCACACCCTTACCAAACACTGGTGTGGTTAAATGGGTGTAAGCATCTTCAGCACTCACATCAGTAGCCTTGGAATTAAACACAAATTCGTGTCCTTTAGGACCAAGGTATACAGTCATCACGCGGCCCACCATAACAAACGAAAACACATCTCCATACTTCTGGCGACAACTTTCAAAAAACTCATAAGGTTGCATTGAATAAACGACTGACGAACCCAACCATGGCACCCAGTGGAAAACGAGAGGTGCTCTATCTTTTTGCAAAGAATACCAAAATTGGCAAAGAAGGTTGTAAACGAAGGGGAATAGAACCACAATGGATATCTGAGCCGAAACTGGGAGGCCCCTGAACTCGGAATATACCCACGTAGCTATATCAGCAATGGCCATCTTTTTAGAGTTGGTCGTATAAGAAAAGTTTGAAATAACGCGCGACCGTCAGCTCACATACGGTCGCTTATGAAATGGTTATGGAATGCAGTACCAGTGATAGGTGAACTACACTAAACACTAGACTTTTCTTGGTGGTGATTCCAAGTGACTTTTTCAATTACCCAATGGGCGCCTATTCAATATATATTACACGACGAGCGCACAAAGTCGTCTTACACGCTACGAGCTCGTTCCTGATCATCTGATGCCTGCAGATGTCCTGCGGCTGATCGTACCATGACAATAAGTGGAAGTAGCTTATAGGGGCGGTAAGAGGTCGTATGGCAAGTAGTGGCTGTGGTCTTGACAAGAATTTATGGTGGAATCCCTATCTTCCAGCCTTCAATTCACTTTCTAATTTTGGAGTTCTTGTCACGGCTCGTTTACTCGAATCTTCACTCGTCCGTAACTTTTCTCACTCACTCATCGTCATCCACCCGAAGCCCCATCATGCGCGCCTGCTCTAGTAGTTTCTCTCGTTCCTTCATTATACGGGCATTTTTCAATTTGAGAAACTCGATGTATTCCACCAGTTTTTCAAGTATGGTGCCCTTATTTAATTTTCTGGCGGGCGCAAGTCCTTCTAAGTCTTCGTCGGACCCGCCTGGCTCGTCCTCGTCTTCGTCTGCCTTGACACCGTCTAAAGTACTGCGACGCCGGTAAGCAGCCCGGAGTGCCGGTACACATGCCAGAAGCTCGTCGAAGCGATCGTTGATTTTGTTTCGATAACGCTGTTCAATGATATTGTGTGCCGATCTGCCCGGCACCCGATCCGTGTTCACCTCGCTGGTGCTGGCATGACGACTTTCTGAGCCGCTGCTGCCGGGGTGGCTTCCGTGAGAATCTCGGTGCTCGTGGAAATTTTGCAGCTGAGTAGGTAATCTCCACAGTGTTCTGCTTAATGGTTTATTTTGGGTTATCTGGGATGTCTGGGCAGGCTGGGGCTCCTGTGGCAGTAGACGTGTTTGCGGACTCTGGTCACTCAAGTCCCAGGGCATGTTTGCGGGCCATTGCGGTGATATAGGCTCGAATGGAAATACCGCTCCCAACCCGCCCATGCCAGTCTCTTGGAACATGTCTTCTTTAATCAGCAGTTGCACCCCATTAGACCTTGTATCACGTGCGGCCTGGGTGAGGGTGTTGTTGTCGTCTTCTTGTTTGATATACATGTCTTGATCCAAGACATGGCCAAGGAACCCGTTAGGCATAGCTGACGAATCTAGTGGAGCCGAATATGGAGAAGTACCTACATTGGAGTCATACTGGTCTAGTATATCCTTATCCTTGCCGTCAGGTACGTGATACGAGTACTCATTATTAGAATTCATGCTTGAACTCACCCATGGTCCAACATTGCCTTATACCCAGTAACGGAATTTGCTGCGCACGATCGTATGATTTTGCACCCGCGCGCGCTTCCGTACACCACCAAAGTCATCTCATCACGGAAACACCTTGGTTACCCAATGTCGGCGATGCACGAATTATGCCGGTTTCCGGCACGCCCGGTCACACAAGACTCGCTCGAGGCACTCAGAGCATTCTTGAGGGCTGGAGTGCCTGCCACGTACACCGTGGAAGAGGCGAAAAAGGTCGAGGCAGAAGACGAAAACGGCGGTGCGGCGCCGAGTCCCGAGGTGGAGGTTGCTGGCGATACTACGCCGTTACATGTCATCTGCGCCCATGTGCCAAATGACTTGGCGAAAGAAGAGCTCGAGGTGGTCCTGCAGATGGTGCTGACTCTTTTCGAGTTCGGAGCCGGCTGGAGTCTTGTTGACCCCAATGGCCATACTCCAGGTTGCATTTTGAACAACAGAGGACTTCTGGACACTCAATTGTACCAGCAGATCGTGGACGCGGGGGTAAGAGCGGAGCTTTTGTTGCGCAAGATTAATGACGGCGGGGTGGAATTTTTGGAGGAGATTGACGAAATAGAAGACGAAAATGAAGACGAAAACGAACAAAACGAAAACGAAAACGAACAAAATGAAGTCGAGGACCAAAACGAAAAGAAAGTGGAAGCTTCTACTGCTTCCAATTCACCTGAAGATCCCGCCGGCGATCAAAAAACATACCTCGAGACTCCCTTGGAGTACGCTGGTGACTCGCTCATCACAAAGTCACAAAAAGACGGTGTCATGATGTCGTGGGAAACAGAACTTATGAGACTCGGATGTGAAAGTCTCTTCAGTTCTGCTGAAGAAGAACCAGTAATCCTAAACATAGGGTTTGGAATGGGCATTATTGATACAATGATACAGAACAAGAACCCTCACAAGCACTATATATGTGAGGCCCACCCAGACGTCTTGAAAAAGTTGCGTCAAGACGGTTGGTACGACAAACCTAATGTTGTGGTCCTAGAAGGACGCTGGCAAGAAAAACTCTCTGAACTTTTGTCCAGTGGTGGAGTCTACTTTGACGGCGTCTATTACGACACATTCTCCGAACACTACGAAGACATGCTTGAGCTCTTTGATTTTGTCGTGGGACTTTTGAAGCCTGGTGGAACATTTTCTTTTTTCAATGGCCTCGGGGCTGATAGGAAAGTGGTATACGATGTTTATAAGGCTCTCGTTCCTATAGATCTTGGTGACTATGGCCTTGCTTGCACCTTCAGTAATGTCCCAGTGCCCAAATCCACACTCACAAAAGAGAAGGGAGGAACTTCCGTATGGGATGACGTCAAACGGTCCTATTGGTCTTGTCCCATCTACTACCACCCAGTAATTAGATTCATCAATACTTGACTTTTTGCAGCTTTGAAACCTGTAAATTAGTCGCTCCGCTTATGTAATACACGGTTACAAAGTTCATGAAAATTTCCAGGCTGCAGCTTACTCTTTGCGCCACAATGCTAGCTCGATATGGCAGGTTAAGTCGCCTCCAGAGAGCTAATCTTTCCACAAAAACGTTGAATGCGCCTAATGTACAAATGACAACACTATTGAATGGTGTGAGGGTTGTCACAGACTCAACCCCAGGTCATTTCAGTGCTCTCGGAGCTTACGTCGATGCCCGGTTCTCGATACGAAGATCCTGAAACCCCCGGTTTATCACACATTGTAGACCGTTTAGCATGGAGGTCCACGGAAAAGTACACTGGTGTCGAGATGATAGAGAATTTGACCAAGTTAGGTGGCAATTTTATGTGTTCCGCTCAAAGAGAATCGATGATATACCAAGCATCGGTGTTTAATAAAGACCTCGATAAGATGTTTGACTGCATTTCCCAGACGATTAGGGCCCCAAAGATGACGGACCAGGAGGTGATCGAAACCCTTCAAACTGCAGACTACGAATCGAATGAAATCTCCCACAAATACGATATGTTTCTTCCAGAAGTGTTGCATGCAGCTGCTTATTCAAATAACACTCTTGGTCTCCCACTCTACTGCCCCCCAGATAGAATTTCAGAGATAGGGAGGGACGAGGTGGTTGGATACCATCGTAAGTTTTTCCAGCCTCAAAATACTGTCATCGCCATGGTTGGGGTGGACCACAATCATGCTGTTAATTTAGTACAATCTCAACTAGGTGACTGGAAACGAGCCACAAACGAAACTCCAGAGTTGGGAACCGTTAATTATACCGGCGGAGAGCTCTCGCTTCCATATGAACCACCTATGGCTTCCAACTTGCCAGAACTCTACCATATGCAAATTGCTTTTGAGACCACAGGACTCTTGAATGATGACCTATATGCTCTCGCTACTTTACAGAAGCTTCTAGGTGGTGGTTCTTCGTTCTCAGCCGGTGGTCCCGGAAAGGGAATGTTCTCTAGATTGTACACTCGTGTACTCAACCAATATGCATTCGTCGAAAACTGTTCATGTTTCAACCATTCCTACATCGACTCAGGACTCTTTGGTGTGACTATATCTTGCGCCCCAAATGCTGCTCATGTCATGTCCCAAATCATATGCTTCGAACTTTCCAAATTGTTAGAAAAAGACACCGCTCAAGGTGGCCTTACTGAAAAGGAAGTGAAGAGAGCCAAGAACCAACTCATCAGCTCGCTTCTTATGAATGTAGAAAGCAAGCTCGCTGCTTTAGAGGATTTGGGAAGACAAATACAATGTCAAAACAAGTTGACAAGTGTGGACGAAATGATTGCAAAAATTGAAAAGTTGACTGTCGAAGATCTTCGTCGCACAGCAGAAAAGGTGCTTACGGGAAATGTTGTAACTAAAGGAGTAAGCTCAGGATTACCATCGGTGGTGATGCAAGGTGATAGATCTGCCTTTGGGGATGTCGAGTTTATTTTGCGTCACTTTGGCTTGGGTAAATACAGCTCACCTCCCCTCGAGGAGCCTAGAGAAATCTCCGACTCCGGAAAACCAAAGCGCTTTGGAAGGTGGTTCTGATTATCTCGAAATCTCTACTGCCAGCTTGCGTTGTATAATGTACATAATCTAATCAACTAGATACCAACTTGACTCCGAAGCTGCCTCAATTCGCGTTCCATTCCTTCCATTCTATCCCTCATTTCCTCATTATCACGTTGGGCCGTCTTCAACGCAAGATCCTTCTCCAGACTCTCCGCATGAAGAATATCAAGTGAACTCTTCAAACGATTAACCTGGTTTTGAAATTCGAAATTCTCGTCATTGTATCTCTTACTCAAACTCGACTCGTTCTGAACCTGAATCTCCAATGCTCTTTTAGCTCTCTCGAGCTCTTTGATATTCTTGATGGATTCGTGATGCACGTCCTTGGATGCCTTCAACTCTCTGCTAAGGTCAGCAACCTTTGATTCCCAGTATTTGAGCTGTTCGTTTGTATACAACTTCTCCTCCAATTCATGCACTTTTTGTCCAAGATCTTTAGTCACCTTCTTCAACGACTCATTCTCTTCCGCCGTAACCAAAATCTCTTTGCGCAAGTTCTGAAGTTCCTGGCTTTCCTTTGCAGAAGAGATCTTAGACTGGTTCAATTCCAGTTTGATGCTGTCAGAGACTTCCCTTTGATTGTCCAAATGCTCACGCAAAAGACTCAAGTCACTTCTTGTTTCTTCCAAGGTTGATTTGGTTGCCTCTAGGTCACTCGTTAGTGTCAGAATTTCCTCTTCCAATTCAGCCTTTTTCGACATAAGATTGTCACGCTGAAGTGTTATGTCGGCGATGAGTTCCTTCATAGACACAATTTGTTTCGACAAGTTACCAATCTTCTTGTCTTGCTGGTTCTTTTCGTTATCTAAGACTCTAAGCTTTCTGGTGAGCACCTCATTAGAGTCTTGCAACTCAAGTAAAGCTTTTGTGGACGACTCGAGATCTTCCTCCAATGCCTGCCTTTCACGCTTCAAATCTTCACAGTCAAGAAGAAGGTTTTTGTTCTCCTTGATCAAGCGAGTCTCGGTTTCTGTCTTGAAATGAAGGTCTTTGTGAAGCATGCGAATGTCCTCCTTATACTTTTCCTGTTGTGCTTTGTTCTCATAATTGCGATTGTAATAGTTGAGCTTATCTTTTAGGTCCATTATCATGCTTTTCAACAGTTTGATCTCATGCTCTTTATCACTGATGGTTGTCTCCAAAGCGGAACTCTGCTTTCTGAGGTCCTTCACAATGATTTGAGTAGCCCTGGCTTCTTCTCTTGCTAGATTTAACTTAGTTTTAGCATCCGAAAGTTCTTGCTTGGCTATATCCTCATGCCGCTTTGAAAGCTTGACGGCAGATTCGGATAGTTCTAGCTTTTGGAAATACTCTTCTGACCTCCTCTTGAAGACCTCCACATTCTTGCTCAAATCAGTGTTTCTGCTCAGCACATTTTCATATTTGACTCTGAGTTGGGCAAGCTCATCTTCAAACTTACCCACAGAAGACTTCAATGACAGCCGTTTTGAATCGTATAGCTCGTCCTCAGACTCCTTCAACAACGCTTTAAGTCTCAAGATTTCTGACTTGGACGCTGAGAGCTCCTCTCTGGTCGATTTTAAGGTACGAGTAATATCCCTGTAAATCTTGACAAAATCACTATTGGCACTCACAAGTGTCTTGTTTATCAAGCTCGATCCTCCAAAACTTTCACTTTTTGGGATACTGTCTCGAGAATTATCGAGATCTTGTTCACCTATCCAATTTGCTGCAATCTGCTCAAGCTCTTGAATACGTGCTTGGGATTCCTTGAATTTCCTTTCGTAGTCGTTCGTTGTATCCAGAGAACGAATGGATTGTAGCTTGTTTAACTTCTTTTGTAACTCAATGGCATAATGCTCGGCCTTTTGGTAGTTGCTCTCTGCGTGCTCAAGTTGTGCCTTGAGTGTCTCAACTTCTCGCTCACCATCTTGCCAACTTGAGAGTGATTTTTGTGGTGATTCCCCTATTGCTAACGATCTTCTGTTGAGATACGAATCCTTTCTTGGCGACGGTACTCCTGATGATAATCTTTCCTTCAAAAGACTAATTTCCTCCACAAGACGGCGATTTTCGAACTTTTCTTTACGAAGCAGCGCAGTCAGTTCGTTTAGTTTCAATTTCATACTTGCAAATTCGTCAACAAAAGCAGCATCTGGAGGCTGGTTCTCTTTTGAATTTTCGGAGTTTTGTTGTGACTGTTCAAGCTCGCTCACCTGTTTCCGTAAGCTAATGATTTCGTTGCTGTATGTCGATGTTGTCTTCTTGTTTGTCTCAGCATCCACCGAAAGCCTTTCAATTTGCGACTTCAAGCTATCGTTCTCGTCAGTAGAAGATCTAAGCTTCTTTTGAAGAGACTTGATGTCTTCAAGTGATGCTGCAAGTTGCTCTTGCTGCTTTGATAGGAGAGCCTCGTCTTTCTTTTTTGTCTTAAGTTCTGAGCTCAAAATAGCCATCTCACTTTTTAGTTTCCCAATGTCTGAATCTTTATCCTTAACAGCTTGTTCAAGACGAGATACCTGCTTCTTTAGGTCAGTTTGAGTCGATTCAGCTCTCGTTATCTCACGGCGGAGCCTTTCTTGCTCAGAATCGCTCTTCTTGAGTTCCTTTTCAAGCTCGGAGATCCGCTGCAGCTTCACATTCAAATCACCAGTTTTTTCCTCATAGTCAATGTTCTTCTTTTTCATGATCTCTTCCAAAGACTCTATCTTTGCCAATAAAGAGGAGTTCTCAGTAGCTAGTGTTTTATGCTTTTCACTTGCTTCTCTGAGGTGATCATTCCTTGACTTCATTTCGTCGAGTTCGTCTTGAAGAGTTGCGTGTTTCGACTTGTGGAGCTCTATTTCATCTTTAAGCTGGGTGTTAAACTGCTCAAGATCTGACATTTCTGATTTCGATTCCCGAAAGCCTCTCTCGTGATCATCCTTCATTCGTTTGATTTCCTCCTTGAGTAGGTTGTTTTTGGTCTCGTTTGCCTCGATCTTGCTCTTGAGGGCATTTACAACTTGTGCGTGCTTCTTCTGGTCGCTCTCAGATTCAGCCATGGCTGCTTTTAAAGTCTGAACCTCTTTTTGTGTTTCGGCAAGCTGCTTTTCAAGATTACTTTTCTCCTCAGAGAGCTTTTCCTTTTCTTTCTTCAAGCTCTTCATTTTTGATTCGACGTCTTCTAACCGCAAGGATTTCTTCGCCTCATCTCTTGCCAATTTCTCTAGCTTCTCGTCCTTGCTTTTCACCATTTCTGTAACGTCGATAACCTCTGCCTCGAGTTGTTCCATTCGTTTGCGAAGCTTTTCGTTGTCACTTTCGAGACCAGCTTTCGTCAGTTCCACCTCTTTTAATTTTAAGTTTAGCGACTTCAAGTTGTCGTTCATCTCTTTGGTGTCCAAAACTTTGACAGATTCTTCGAGAAGAGGCTTGACGTGAACAAACAATCTAAACCATGAGTTGTTCTCTCTTGCTTGGTCGAAAGATTTGAATGTTTTCGCAATCACTTGCGATGCTTGAATACGAGCAATTTCCCCTTTAATTGTTTTTCTAGCAAGATTTCCACGAATGACACTTTGGAAAGACGAGAATATACCCTTCAAGCAAAGATCACGAAGCTCTTCAAGTTTACCCAATATACCGTTCTTGAAAAAGATCTTTGTAATACCCACTTTGTAGCATTCGAGATCGAGATCTGTGGCCTTGAGGATTATCTCACAATTGCCTTTAGCATTCTTTGTGAAAACTTCTCGTTTGTTGAGAATCGAGTACCTTTCCAAGAAATCGGCAAAAGTCATTCTGTTCGGATACCCGGCCCGGGTGATTCTGATACCTTCAAGGACACCATTGCATCGTAATTGATGTAATACGAGGGTCTTGTCAAACTTATTTGGCTTTTTGTCAAGATTGGGTAAGATACAACGAACGAAATGAGGCTCGGTCAACTCTAATTGATTCATCAAGGAGGCCAATTGCTCTTTATGTTTCTTAGCTGATGACCTCAGGACAGGCTTCTTCTTGCTTGTGGCTGTGGATGAAACTGCACTTTCGAACAACTGTTTCAAAAATGGATTCTTGGATGTTTTCATGAGGGAGAGCATGTTCTCACTAACGGGGTCAGTGTTCTTTTGGAGCCAGTCGTCAACCTGGTACTCCACATCACCTGCGTAATGTTTCACAATAAAACCGCTCTTAAGTTTATTTTGCTGAAACTTTTCACTCTTACCTCGAGCCCACAGGCTTGCAAGTTTTTCCATGAACATCTTATCGGTAGACTTTGGCATGATGCAGGCTTCATCAAGAATCTGAAGGATTCCCGCAGGGTTTCGCTTCTCTATCAAATCAATCGTCGGTTGAAGATCTTGTCCAAAGTCAATGAACTCCCATTGAATATCCTCGCGTAGATATTCACTTTGTTCTAAAATGAAAGAGTGATGGTTGAAGAATTGTTGCAACTTTTCGTTTGTGTAATTGATGCATAGTTGCTCGAAGGAGTTGTTTTCGAAGATTTCAAATCCTGCAATGTCGAGGACTCCGATAAAATTCATTTGGTCGTTGGATGGATCGAATTGCAAGTTCTGGTTGATCCGATCGATAATGTACTGGAATATCCTTTCGTAAAGATATTTAGCAAATGCGTCTATGGTAAACTTGGCTTCTGACGCTTTCTTCAGTTTTTGCATAACCTCACGGCCGGCTCGAACTTTGGGATGGAGCATATTTTCACTAAGATCCAGCTTCGAGATGCCCAAGAGTTCAGCCACGATATCCACAGGAGAGCCGCTACTGAAGGTAGCCTGTTCTGACGTCCATGAGGTAAAATCAAGATTTCCCATGTGTAGTATTGCTGCAAGAGTCGAGAACAAGTCGTCGGTTTCCTCGGTTGTAAATTCCATTATCTTGAGAGAGTCAGTAAGCTGCATGAACTCTTTCTTGTCGTCAGTTTTTGGGATGTTAACATTGGGATGAGACAAGTACCGAAACTGGGACAAGTCACGACTCAACTTGAGTTTCGTTAAGAGAGTCTGGTCCGCGCCTTTAAGGAATTGATAGAAGATATGGTAGTTTCGTTCTTCGGCAGCTTGGGTCACGACTCTGGACTTTTCAAGAAGATAGTAGTCTATGGTGGCACCACTAATTGAACCTTGAGACGAAAAGTAGATCTTGATGAACTTTCCAAACCGCGAGGAGTTGTTATTCTTGATGGTCTTAGCATTACCAAAGCTCTCAAGTATGGGATTCGCCTGCAATATCTTTGTGTCAATGGATGGATGGACCGTTGAGGCTTCGCTAGAGCTCAGCGACGGCGCTCTTCTGTTTGTGGTTGAAGAGAGGTACTGGATGATTCTTTTGGTATTCTCGGTCTTACCAGCACCACTCTCTCCCGTGACCAAAATCGACTGGTCCTTTTTGTTGGCAAGGAGATTTTTGAAGGTGTTCTCAGCTGTAGCGAAAATATGAGGAGCCGGAACTGAGTTATCAATGGCCATTGGCGGTTGTGGAGACGAGGATAACGCTGAAGAAAGCGACATTGAGGAGGGTGAGCGCTGGGACTTTGAAGGTTGAGTCTGGTATTGCTTGAGCATAGCATCCTCGTAGATCGGCAACACCTTATAGGGGTTAATGGCTACCAAAAAAAGTCCCGAATAGGTATATATAAGGTCGTCGTTATAACGTAGAAACAAGTTGTAAACCACAGAAGGCTCGTTCAAATGGGTGAGTTCGGCCATATCGTCACATTTATTGAATTTGGGAGGATTACAGTTCTCCAAAGTTTTACTTTCAACTTCGAGAATGGATTCTTGGCTTCCATTTTTGACGACTTTTACTCGACACTTTCCATCGGAAAGATAATCTGTGATGTAACCTTTATCGAAAAAATTGTTCCCATCGGGTACCCATACCCAATTTTTGTCGCTGAAGCCGTCGTCGTCAGCGGGCATGATTGTAAAGTATAGGGATGATCTGGCTGTGTTTGTTGTATCAGAAGAGAGCGTACAGGATGCGTGCAGGAAAAAGGTAAACAATGAGTCGCGTAATGGTGTACGGGTGCAGAGAAGGTACCAAGAAGAGAGATAGAAGCCTTCAGGTTTTGGCTGATCCGATAGTTTTGGGTGTAAGCTGCAACAGAAAAGACGAAGGATTAGCAATTTTGGTGAAATTACCGATTCTCGCTCATGGAGCTATTTCAGCTAGAAATTATTCAAGCTACAAAAAAAATTGAGTTGTCGCAATTCCAGAATGCTTCACTTAGCTGTCAAGTGCGTTCTTGACAATATCTTCTCTTGTCTATTTTTGAATCTTTTATGTTTGGTTGTCCTAGAGAAAACTTGTACTGCACGAAACGGAACCCTGTGCAACCGTCCGAAATAGGAAATATGGTTGCGAAAAGCACGCGACGCACAGTGGGTAGAGCAGAGTTAGATGTTGGGGTATTCTGTATTACTTTTATTTAAGGGTAGTATGCAAAGTTGGAAGCGATTTGGGGCGAAATTTGCTTGGGCGTATACGCATATAACTGGCCCAGTCCCGGTGTATGCAAAGGAGGTGATGAGGATGGCACTTCTGAGAAAATTGATCTCGATGTGGATGGTGGGGTGATTGGGGTCATGTTGTCGATGCTGAGAGAATTTCTCTTGGGTCCAGTGACATAAGTCAATCCCAAGAAATAATCAGCTACTGCAGTCATGGAGGCATCAGAAGGATTAAAGTCGTCACCTAATGTTTCCGTAAGTGCGCTGTTACGTATGATAAAGTTCTGAACCACCTGGAGGACACCAAGCGCCTTGTACTTGGTCGACAACACATCGGTGATGTTTTTTAATGCGTATGCGAATAAAAGGGTGATTTTGCGAAGATTGTCGATTGTTCCATTGTCAAATCCACTCAAAAACGCACCCACGACTTCAGGACTCAGGTTTTCGTTGGAGGGTTGCTGGCGCCGGAGCAGAGCAATCATACGTTCCAATTGTCTTGCGGCGTTGGGAATTTGGAGCATGGAGCACGCAATGACATTGGCAGTAGCGGCCACCTGCGACGTTTGAAACTCGAGGAAGTCGCGGTGGTATAATGAGAGCTCACAGAGGAAGCGGGTCACTGCTGTCACTGCCGAATTGAGCGAGTTGGGACCGTCTGAATTCTGGCGGGTGTAGCGCTGCGGAGTTCCCTCGGCGTCTTCGATGAAGTATTGTACGGAAAGTTGGAGGCATTCCTCAAGTGTGGGACGACCAAGCGCCCATTCCAATGTCGACAAGATGTGTCTTTCCATCTGCACGAACATTTCTTCATCGTAAGCGTTGCGGCACATAATCGACAATTCTTTGAGAGTAGGCACCCGAGACTTTTTGTCCTCGTATTTGGCAGCGATCCACAAAGCCGTGCACCCCACCAACTGGTAGTGGCGCTTGAACACGATTCTCTTGGCGCAATATCGATCAACGACGTTGAAACACCGAAAGAGAGTTTGGGGTTGAAGTTTGAAAGACGCATGAAGTTCCACGATGAAGTCGAGAAGAAAGGGACGCATAAACCATTGAATTTCCGGTTGCAAATCAATCATGGCTGGGTTGATATCACTGGAAGCTTCCAAGTGGGCAAGAGCATCACATATATCCGGTTTGTATTCTTCCACAAGTTTTTTGTTTGCACGAGCCTCCAAGAGCTCAAGTACTACAGGATATTGCCGAGGTTGTCTGGGAGGAGGACCATAGCGACGGGGTTCATTCATGTTACCAGAACGTGAACTTTAATTGGAGGAAGGGATGAACCGGCAAAGGATAGCGGAGCAAGGATAGTGGAAGCAAAAGATGCCGATAGAAGGATAGCAAGAAGTACCACCAGAATACACAAATAAACGAATGACTAGGACTGAGTTAGAGTCCAAAGGATTCCAGTGACTACTTCAACGAAAAAAATTATAGCTATAAGAACCAAGGCAGTTTTCTCCACCACACTGCATTGCAGACAGGGCCGGTTTTATATAAGCTGCGGTAAAACGCGACCATGTCGCGTTTGTTCCACAGTCGCGGCGCCGCGATTCGCGCACCAGGAGGAAGGAACACCCAGGCGTGCACAAAGGCTAGAACGAAGTCACGATGGGTGCGGCACGGTACGCTGGAAGCGGGGGGGAACGCCAAATGGGCTTCTTGAGGAGCCAATGGCACGTGGAACGCTTTGTGGAACCTTTGTGGAACACTCTGTGAACACTTTGTGGAAGTGCTGCAAATCCGTGTCCTGCAGACTACCGTTGCTAGGTTCTGTCTGGCATCCCTGTGAGCCGCGAGCAACTTAACTTTTGTGAAAATTAACAAATTTAAATTAAGATGTTGGACTGTCTGTGTGGGTAGTGTTTAAAAAACACTCAATTCTTAGGTGCTTTTAGCAATTGTGACGTCGAAACTAACAAGTAGCTACAGCTCCATGGTGGTGAATGCACGCCAGCCGCATTTCCAGCCGCACGGCCTTCGCGCAGACGAAGATGGCGATGCGCATCGCGAAATGGAGAATGGACTGGTAGAGCCGTGACGGTAGCAATTGCTGGCAAGGGATGAACCATTGATTGTTGGTGGTTGCAGATGCGACATGGAGAGAAACTGTAATCTGTGGAGTATTGTAATTTATTGATTCTTGTAGACTATAGTAGATAGTTGATTATATGATTATAGTAGATGATCGTGAATTTATTGATAATTGTAATTTGGAACATTTGCGACATATCAAAATTCGATTTCATCCAACTCATGTACGTCCGTATGCTTACTTTCTTTTGCTAATTCGTTTGCTTTCTACTTCTTCGTTGCTTTCCACTATTTTTTTTGCAGCCATCTATTATACTAAAAAGCTCCCCGTCCCCGTCCTTGCGGCTGCTGCTCAGGCTCCTCATTCTTGATGGTCTCATCAACAGACAAGAGCAACGAAGCTGCTTCGGTGGCAGATTCAAGCGCATTGATCTTCACCAATGCTGGTTCCCAAATAAAATTATTCATATTGTTACCCACGGTTTCTCTTTGAAAGTCAACTCCATGCCACATCTCTCCCTTAGCATGAGCACTCCGCAATTTGTTGAGAAGTTCAATGCCATCAAATCCAGCATTTTCACATAATTGACGTGGAATCACCTCCAATGCCTTCGCGAATGCAGCTACAATCAACTGCTGCTTGCCAGCAATAGTACGGGCATAGTCACGAAGATACTTGGACAACTCCATCTCAATGGCTCCTCCTCCAGCCACAACCGAGTTATGACTAACTGCTCTCTTGACAATCATAATTGCATCATGTAATGATCTCTCAACTTCTGCAATGACTTGCTCGGCACCTCCACGTAATATGAGGGTACATGTTCTGGCTTCAGGACACCCTTTAAAGACATTGTATCTTTCGGATCCCACTTGCACTTCTTCAAACAACTCACAGGTTCCCAAATCCTTCTCAGATATGTTGGAACATGTCAGTTGTATGCTTCCTCCAACTGCCTTGATCACTCTTTCCATGTCTTCGTTGGCTACTCTTCCCGCACAAAAGATATCTCTATCGGCAAAATACTGGGTCGCCAAGTCTCCAATGGGCAATTTAGACAACACAATGTTAGCACCACTGGCTTCAATAGCCTCCAATTTGTTGAGAATGATCTTCCACTCGGCATCGACGATATCTTGGTAATCCTTGACTTGCTCGACTCGGACTTCAGCGTTATCCTTTTCACTCTTCAACTCGAGCTCAACGTTCAAGTTTAAGATCTTGGGGTTCTTGAACTTCTTGGGTTGCTGCTCAAAACCAGCGTATGAAAATGTCTTCTTGAATGCTACCCCGTTGATGTACATGGAGTCTTCCATACCACCTCCAGGAACCTTCTTCACTCCGATCATATTCTCGTCAAGATCATTCTGATCCAAACATAAAACGGCATCAACAACCATCTTTGTAAAGAAATCCGAGTTTTTAGCAATGAGTTTTGACGACATGGCAGTCTTGGCACAACGTTCGAGTAATTGACGAAACTCATCGGCATCGTCTCTCTTCACCTCCACAGCAATTTCCTTCACCTTGCTCACAGCAAGATCGCAAGCTCTTCTCAAACCCCTTATTATAAGATTGGACGAAATTCCATCTTCTATGAAAGTTTTCGATTCCTTCAACAATTCTCCGGCAAGAATGGTGACCGACGTGGTACCATCACCGACCTCAGCGTCCTGCGCACGCGAGATATCCACCAACATCTTAGCTGCTGGGTGAACTATATCCAAAAGTTTGAGAATTGTGGCACCATCGTTGGATATAGTAGCTTTTCCATTGGATCCAACGATTAGAATGTCCGATCCAAATGGTCCCAACGTTGGTTTCAAGGTGTCCTGAATGGCCAAGCACGCATTTATATTGTTGATGATTTGTCCCCTACCCTGGGAGGCATCAGTTCCTTCTTTAAGCACCACAATAGTGGGTGTTTGTGTGGAGAACGACATGGACTAGGTAACTGGACTTGTGTCTCTAATTCTCACCATTTGAAAAATTTCGATGTGCGAAAACCGACAGTCTCACCATCGAAGACCAAGCACACTTTAGTCTTACCGATTTCTTGTCACAATGTTTAGGGTCAGCGGCGTCTTTCTGAAACCCCCCACGCTCACCTTCTCCCGTGGCATAGCCATGAAGGGTGACGTACACTTGTCGGGCCGCAGAGTCATGAAAAAAATCAAAATGGGAAAAGCCAGACCAACGATTTTTCACCAGTTCGAAACATTAGTGGAGCTCAGCGATGGGTCTGTAATCAGGCGAAGGTCACAGGCGCCCAAGGATGAGATCAGAATGATCAGTGATCAGCGTAATAGCACCTTGTGGAATCCTCATCGGTCCGACTTGGTGACAGTGGACCCCAATGCTACTGGAAAGGTCAACAAATTTAGACAAAGATACGCTGCTTTTGGCCAAGAAGAACCAACAAATGAAGTGGGCGAGAAACAGGGCAAAAAACAGGATGATTTTGTCGACTTGATGGGTGAAAACGTCACCGAGGTAGCTAGTGGTGGTAAGCTTCAGAACAAGAAGGAGAACAAAAAGAAGAAATGAGTTACATGTATATAGTGTCATTTAATCCGTATTTAAAGACAATCGTTCCACATAGTCGCTGTTGTAATCTTGTATGATGCTGATGATATCTTGTGCAAACGCTCCAACCGCTCTCATCTCTGCAAATGCCCATTTGACGGTACTATGGTCCTCCTCTCCTATGCCTGACAACATTAAGTGCTGCAAACACTTGAGCTTAGCGGTCTCTCTAAGCTTTAAACTGGGATATAATGGAGCCAATTGTCCAAGGCTAAACCGCTTGTAGTGACCAGAACTGTACCTCATATAGAACCTCTTGGCTGATCTTAAACCTGAAGATCGATGTATATGCATAAGGGCCACATAAAACAACTCATTGACAACATTGCCGTCTTGCGAGCTTTGAATGACCCTTGAGGCAAGTTCTAGTATTCCAAAGTCGTCATTTCCACTGGTTAAAACATGATCTACGAGCCTGACATAGCCTAGCGCAGTTACGTTCAGATCCATTCGCCTTAGAATGGTGAGCGCATCTTCAACTCGGTCAAGCCGTATGAGCGTGCTGACCATATTGCTCATATCTTCGAGTGTTAATTTGAAATCAGCTCGCATTATAGTTTGTGTGATACGCTGTGCTCGATTAAAATCGTTTTGATCGCAAAACTGTTGTAATAATGCTGAAAGAGCTCGCCGACTAAGTGGAGACTTGAGCGTTCGTGTCATGGCTCTCAGCTGGTCTGGACGTCCCATAGTGGAGTATAGTTTGACAAGGACGTCCACAAGCTCTTTAGGAGGTGATTTCGAGTCAATTCTGGTTAAAACCGATTTAGCTAGTGTCCAGTTATTGTCCTGTGAATGCTCATTCATGTACTCAAGAAGAGCACTCGTTGACGTGGGTGCTGTCTCTGATTGAATCTCATTCCATATCCTAACAGCTGCCCTCACGTTGTGGTAATTCAAGTTCTCGAGAACTAGTTGAGTTAAGGTTTCGTCTAGGGTGCCATCTCTCTTTTGTGTTTGTGAAAAGTACTTCTCAGCAATCAAATTAGCCATATAGGGGCATGCAGGTAGACTCATGGCATAGTCAATAGCAGCCTTATAGTCGTGTGCTGATATGAGTGAGGCATTGGCTTCAACCAACACCAATATTGTATATGCATTGTAGGTATCCGTATCCCTCGTAGAAACTGAAAGGGCTCGAATAATCGCTGATATGGTGGTTTTACGTCCAGTCACCCCATATTGACCACAACTTACCAAGAACGAAGCAGCCAAAATAGGATCTCCACTGTAAACTGTCTCGAGAAGAATCAAGTCATATAATGATCCACGAAGCTTATTCTGTGGAACTTGATGAGTCTGTTTCAATGCAATAATCGCTTTTGTAGATAACACACCACATGCCTTCATGTGTTCAAGGTACATCAAAACCGATTTGAAGTCGTTTTTTGCCATAAGATCCATTAGCAGTTGAAGTATTAATGCACGAATAGACCTTGAAACTCGATATTTTCCTAAAATGAAATCACCAGTGTTCCTGCTGACCCGCGGGTACACCAACAAATCACTTATCAAGTTTTCCCTCGATTCTTGGTACTGTTTGAAGCAGGCAAAGGCTGATAAACTGTATTTCTGAGGCTCTCTCAACACCATTTCGGTATCATAAAGACGATCCAATGCACTTGTGGATCCCTTGTTATCGACCGCGGCAGTAAACGAGCGTAGTCGTTGCTTAAAAGTGCCAGGGATGTACCCATTCCGAGATAATCGGCGGAACATGGGGAAGCATCGTACGAAAGAATCTGATGTTCATCGAGAAACACACCCATACACCCACTATGCAATCAGACAGTCTCCTAACCCCAAGCCATACATTACCTTTTCGACGTCTTTTTTCACCACCAACCAGTCTTTACGTCTCTGAACAAACTCGTAGATTTCCTCTTGGTTGAAAATACCATTGAATTTGGATAAGTCACTCACAAGCTTACCAATGGCTTTGGAATCTTCTCCGCTAATCAAGTAGAGATTTCCAACTTTCTTTAGAGATTGGAATAATGGAAGCACCATTTTTTTGTTAGTTTTAATGTGAGTGAGAATGAAATCATAGTAGAGATTGAGGTCAGCAATCACATTGATGGCTCCAGAAACAGAAACCACCAGATTTTTAAGCGATTTCACAATTGCCTGAAAGAACCGTTCTGCAATTTCCTGTTGAAAGACTTCCACTACCGACTTTTCGGCGCAGTCAACTAGGACGTCGAAATTTTGATCCAAGATATCCACAACTTTTCTAGCAGCCTTTGTGGGACCTTCAAATACAAAATTGGGAGGAGGATCGTAATCGGCAGCTGTGCGCTCATTCTGGAAGGTATTTTCAATTTGTGCCACAAGAATTTCGATACCTATATTCAATCCTGTGGCCACATAGTTATCCACAACACCTTCCAACTTGTTCTTTTTTTGAAGCGAAGGGTTAAGAATAGAGTTTTCATGGGCAATGATCTTCTTAGCTCTCATTTCTTGCTTGTAGAAAATGTCTATCATTTGGATCATCAAATCGGCCATGTTGATTAGCTCGTAAAAGAGAATGAGAGGCTCTTCTTGTCCAACAATATTATTGGTTTCTTTCGCAACTTCCTTCACCTTGGAGCTGCTGTAGGTTCCCAAGTAACGAAGGGCTTTGTCGAATCCTGGCTTGAGATGGTCGTTTCCAATCGCCTCGATGGCGGTAATAAATAGTTCTTGCATGGAAGCAAAGAAATCGTTGCGTAATGCTGCAATGGTATAGTCTCTAAATTTTAAAAGATGATTGAGGGAGATTTTGGCATCATTGAGTATGGTGGTTGCAACTTCCAAACTAAGTGTGGTACCCAACAGTTTGATGTTTTCGGAAAGGATCTTCACCTTTGCCTGCACTTCTGAGTAGTTTTCCTTTTCTTCAGTTTCAGCATTTGTCTTGGATGAACCCGTTATCGTGAACACTTTTCGAAAACTCGTCAACAAATCGTTCTTGGACTCCAAACGAACGTGCTGCAAAATGTTGTTTGTGGTTTCTTCCTCTCGCTTGATAATCGAGGCTTTCCACTCGTCAATGCACTCTTGAGCATTGTTACGAAACACCAGCAATTCTTCTCGCATATACTCCACTGCCACGGACTCATACGCCATATCGATCAATTCTCTAACCAAATGACCGTATGAGGGACCCATGTTCTCGCATGGCTTCAATTTTGTTATGAGAGTAGTTGTCAACTGCTCGTATAGCATCGGACACATTGTTAAATATAACTTCTTTTTCCTTGACGCTTCGATGATAGATATGAAAATGTCCGTCAAGTGGTTTGCAATAAGCTCCTCGCAAACCTTGAACATCATGGGAACTTTTGGAGGAAACAATTGATCTATAATCTCTGCTTCTTTATTGAAGATCTCGGCTATCTTCTCTATTATATCATCGAAAAACTGTGGGTTGATAGTGTACAGAAGTGCCTCGTCGTCGGCAATTGTAAAAGCCTTTTCAGCGTCGAACGACTCCAGATTGAGCATACCTTCGTTATTGTCCAATATTGTCTTTTGAATGAAAAAATCAATGATGGTTTGGTCATTTTGTAAGTCGACAAGTACGTCTACAAACTTGCCAGCCTTTTCGTAGTCGCCGAGATCAAAGTGGATCTCAAGCTCACGTAGAAGAGCGTTCTCGAAAATCTCGATTAAAAGGCTAATTTTGTCTCTGATGGTTGTTCGTGAGCCGTCGTCGTAGTCTATATTATTGAAGCGGAGCAAATTCCGGAGAATAAGAGACTGCTGCTGAGGCGTGGTAAAGTCCTTGAACAATTTTAGCTTGTCGTATGGTTTATTAGAGGCCAAATCGTAATAATACGTGGCCAATGCTTTGTAGATTGAGATTACTTGTGACCGTGCAAGCTTTGGTACTTTGTAGATTGTGTCCATACAAGTCAAAGGATTCGACAATTCTCGTGGGAGCACGATATGACCGTCTCCAGGATCAATAGCAGTGTTCCACAAGTTCATTTCCTTGAGTTTTCCAACCCATAGATTGTGATTTCGAACAGCTTTATAGGTATTTCGAGATACTTGAGCAAACGATAATAGGTCCTTTATGGGCAAGTATTTGGCAATATTGCGTGCCACCGAGAGAGGCATCACCTGGGGGTTATATGCGTCGATGTCATTATTCCAGATAACTTTTGACATGCTGGCGCACTCAGATTTGAAACCTTTCAAAGTACGCGAAATTCTGTGTCTGGGGTTAAAAAATCGCTGCGAAGAGTTCAGATAGATTCATTGACAGTCAAGTTAACCACCGTTTTGTTTTCGATTTGGGGCTGTTTCGATCATCTTTTGCATTAACCGAGCACGGAAATTACGAATCCAATCTTAATATTGCATCAACTACACTCAAACCGCCTTTTTTCATATGTCTACCTGCATTTCTCATCTACTTCACTAGCAATAACCCCACAATATGTACGCTTTATGGCGACGATCTACTCGATGGCACAACCTCAATCGAATACCAAGACTCCTATATGCCTCCTGCCATTACTCCAAAGTTCCAGCTGTTGAAAAACCTCATGTAAATAGCCATCAGCATCCTCTGGAACCTCCACAAAAAGAATCCAGTGCTCCCATAGGTCAAAAAATCTCCACCATGGTATTGGACTTTATCAAACTGGAAGGGAAACACCTCATAGACAACTTGGAAGCACGAGATATAAACGAGTCTGACTCCAAGGAAAAAGACCACCTACTAAAACAGCTCGACCCAAAAATTCGACTAGATCTTGAAAATGTTTTAGACGACTACAACAAGCTCCAGACATTGCTTTCCTACCATCCCATCTTGATCAATCCCGAACTATATTTGTACTACTTGAACCGAATCGATGTTCCATTGGAAGATGACGTGAGAATTCTCGTGTTGAGGCGCCTAACGTTCCATCGAATGTTTGATGAGTGTTTGCGCAATAGGCATACGGAGATTTCAACCTTAGATCAGATAGATGAATACGTCGCCATAGTTCTTGAGGAATTGGACAAAATTAAGGACTTTTTTTACGGGATCGTTCAGTTCATTATTTCAGCTCGAACAATGTGTTCTCCAAATGTCTTTTCAATGATAGCAGATACCGTATTTCACAAAACAGGCAAAGCAGTTGAGGAGACGAAGCTTAGCGTCATAGATAGTTCGCATTCAGACAGAAGATGCGTATCTTCTTCATGCTATAATCTTTTGAGAGATATATGCCATGATATAATCGCTAATGGGCCAGCACCGGAAAAGGTGAATCAAGCGGTAGCCAAGATAGCATCGACCCCTTGCTTGACGAAAGTACCTGGTTGGTCAAGGTTTCTTCAGCCATCAGTGTATCTACAACCTCACTTATCAGGCAATGGCTGGAAACTACCAGGTCCGCTCTGCGTCAATGTTGTGGATTTCCTTTTTCTCCACAATAAGAACTCAGATCTAACATATTTGTATCAAGTATACAAATCAAAACTAATGTGTGGTGACCACCAAGCAAAACAACACATAATGACGGCCTTATGCTCGCGTATGATCAACGAAAACGACAACATGTTATATACTGCAGTCAAAGAACAATGGCACACAATAACGGAGAACGTTTTGACAACGGCTATGGTAAGATTGATCAAGATTGATATAAGAGGTAAGAGATTATGCCAGTCAATTCTCATGTCGAAGCAAAAGGGAAGAGATAAGAGGGCCTTCATAGACCTTGTCAGCGCCTTCGTGAATCTCTTACTAATTGACTCGCCCAATTCCAAACACTCCCATTTGTTGCAGATTCTTAGCGAAACGAGAGATCGCAATTTAGCAGGCATCATTTTGAGGCACACTATCAAAGACCACAGAAGCAATGTTAATTTTACGTATGAGCTACTTAAGACAGTTGCTACACACGATGTGGATTTTGATCCTAAACCATTGATTGAGTTGGGCCGTGCGACACTTCTCTGTCAAACTAACATCGATTCAACACTCGCGGAAGCATATTTCAGCAGGCTTTTGGCAAGTTGCATTAAGACGTTGAACTTGAGCACCACTAATATATTTCACCTTGACCCGCTACTGGATGCCTCATATCTGAGCAAAGCTCGATTTCATAACCGAATCCGAGAGATTGGACAATTCGTTTCACTATTGAGCCGAGAAATGCGTGTTCAAAGTATTGAAACGGTACAGCTGGTATTGAAAAAAGGTGACTTCATGCCCAGTATTTCTCCTGATTTCAAAGATTACATTTCCAGATGCTTTTTGAATGAGGTCATGCGGTTTATTGTCAGAAACGAATCGATCCTGGTGAGCTCAAGGATAACCACTCTCAAAGATATTCAGAAGTCCTTGACATTCGATTCAAGTACAGTAAAAGGTTACATTTGCAACATAATAGTCAAAAATGACCCAAGATACAGTATAGAGCTATTGCGGGACCATTCAAGCTGCAAAGCGAAATTGAATAACTGTATTATGAGCATGATAATGTCAGGCATTCTTAAAGCTCCTCATTTGGACAATGAAGACAAACTAAAGTTGTTTAGAGAGTTCCGAGAAGTGCATAAAAGCCTAGGATACAAAAGTGGTGTATCAAGATCTGTCTTGATCGAGCTAATCAATCTAATTCTTGAATGTGCCAAAGCCGATCACAGCCTTCAAAATCTAAGCTGGGTGTTACCGTATGCAGCTCAGCGAGGAGTCCCTTATAAATTTAGAAAAGCATGGAGGCTCAAGATACAGCTGTTATCAGGCGACAATATTCCCCGCAAGGTAAAGAGGGACCCTTAAAACCTACAATGGCTTGTAGAGATGAATACACTCAATTTATCGCAAGAGACTAAGACACTATACTTACATCCTTGGTGAAGTTGCCTGATGATCTACAGACGGTGATTGAAAGTTTTGACAACTTGAATGAATGACCTGCTTGTGCCAGATCCTCATACAACATCTCTTTCATAAAATACCTGTGATAAATCTTGTCGATCAAATTGCTAATGCCGTAGTTGAGATTGTGATCATTTGAGTCAAGGAAGGCAAACTTGGAAGTTAGTAAAGTTTTGCCGTTATTATTCAGTTACTTACATTTGCCAATCGTTCTTTCAGTTTCTTGAATATTTCAAGTACGGGGCCCTTATGGGAGGAGACAGGTTTGGTAGGGACACAATCATTGTAATTGGCAGTAAGTGCTGCTAATTCCTCGCATAAAATGCTAGCATTGACAATCAGATTTGCTTCTGAATTCATTTAGCCTTGTTTTTTGCATGTATGTGTTTCCTACATTTATTAAGCCCGGATTTGCAAATGTGGTACTGCAAGGTAAATCTGCGCGACCATACAAATTTCGTTGATAAGTCCGGGCGTCCACATTTGGGGGGCTCACAAGAAAACATCTTCAGTTGCCAAGCCAAGCTCGTAACTAGGAAGAACTTTGATCTTCGATTTTGCAGCTTTCTTTTTCTTAATCTTGAAATTGGAATCAAGCTTAATCACTGAGAAAGGCGCTGGTTTGGTTCTTGCGAAAGATACAAGACCATAAGATGACGAACATAATATAGTATACGGTATGAATAGCTTATCGAATGCTGTATTTACCGACTTGTATTCTTTTTTCCTTCTTGAAGACTCCCACCAAGTCTTTTCAAGTTTTGCCAAATATTCAAAGTAATCTCTCAAAGTAAAGCTACTCTTTTTCCAAAGCTAGATTAGTACATCAAACTATCATCATATTCTCTTATACTTACTGTCGACGAAACTCTGGAAACGTCTTTATTCTCAATGTGACGGCCCTTGGATATAATTGTGGCAAAAGTGGTACGTGCAACGATAAAACGATTTCTCGTCCTGTAACCACCAGAATAAACATTAGAAAGCTTTTCACAGGTCGATAAAAACTTTATATTAGCCGAACAATCTGACGCATTAGTTGATAGTATAGGAAAGCTCGTAGGAGACAATAGATGTCCCACACTAGTCACCTTCGTCACTCCAGTGGTATCATTATGCTTCATCTCAATATTTAATTCAAAAGTCATCAGAAATATGGCCTCTGAGGACATGGCGGTTGACGTATGACTCGAGTTCAGGAATGAAGAATGTATAACTTGTTAAGTATTGCATTCGCCTCATAATAGGTGCAGGTTACGAGCCCGAGACCTAATATGCAAGATAAATAGTGAAGCATCAATTATGTGTATATCCCTTGTGTTAAGAGTTGAAATTGGTCATATAGCCTGGTGTATATGCTACCAATACTCTTAGCAATTAAGGCTGTATCCACATAATTATCGCACTCTTCCTCAGTCAAATCAAGTTGAAGTCTTTGCTTTAAAAGCACACTGGTCTGCGCGCCGTTTCTGAAGCAAGGAAGTCCGGAATCTTTCTGCATCAAAGTCACGATATTGATCAAGTTATTGCAGTTCTTACGCAATGCTTTGAAACTTTCTTTGCACAATTGCCTAAACAACTCAAAATTTGCGCTATCCATACCTCCCATAACTTCTGTGTACTCAAATGTAAACTTAAAAGGAGCTGCTTCAAAACCAACACTTCCGGGAGAGTTTGATAGAAGGAATCCAAAATCAATGTGAATAATATGTCCTTCGTTATCTAGCATGATGTTTCCGTTGTGCCGGTCTTTTATCTGAAGAACATAGCATATTATAGAATATGCGGCTAAACTTTTGGTGAAGTTTTTCTGAGCTGTTTTGAATGACTGACTGTCCTCATTGCCATATACTTTGAGGAAATAATCTTTCAAGGACGCAACTCTGCCTCTTGGATTTGAGCCATTATTGATTGAAATTTCTGTAAGCGACTTCTTTATCGAATGTATGGACATTGAATTGTTGATTGTCTCCACCAACCCAGAATTGGCGCTGGTAACAAGAATTTTCATATTCTTCGTCCAAACGCCGATATTTTCATTCCTCCAAATATTTGATATAATGGAAATTAGCTGACAAGCGAAAGCTTCTTGGGGTAAATCGTCACCATTTTTCACGATGACTGAGCAAATATCCCAATTTTTAAGGTGGCCGTACGAGCTTGCTTGTCTAATTCGATTTTTCTTGGTGAGCCAGTCCTCCCCTAATTTGAAGTCGTTCTCTAACTTACGTTCTCCAGCATCCCCCAAGGTATGACCGTGGTTGATTGACTTTAGCTCTTTGATTTGGTCGTAATCGAAACCATCAAACTGGTCCTGTAATGCTTTCATCGAATCAATGATACGTTTTTTGATGGCATTTGACTGGTCAGAATTTGCTTTACCAGACTTTTCTAATTGTTGAAGCATGACAGCTGCTACCCTCATTTGCGTCGATAAGCTCCTCGTTACCGAAGGGTCTTGGACCAATGTCACTTCCTCTGCGAATGGTCCCTCTGTGTGTTCTTCATCGAGGTTGTCGAGCACAACTGGTCTTCGAAGGCTCTTACTCAAATTAGAAGTCTGCTTGGAAGTTAGATGATTAGCCAAAAACGATCTTTCGTTTGACAAGGAAACGACTGAAATATCTCCAAGATCGGCCTCCTCCAAACTTTCATCAACATTTGATGTAGGAGTTGAAGACCCTTTAGAAGCATTATCTAGTGCACTCTGGGAACGGAATGCAGAAACTTGATCACTTTGTGCGCGGCTCGAAATTATTGCCCTGTTGTGATTAGAGCTTGGATCGAAGTCCAATTCTTCACTAAGATACTCAATAAGAAGAAGGTAGGGCACCCTCTCCGCAGAGTTGAGGACACAAGTCTCGTTGACGCTTAATCTCAAGATTTTATGAAACTTTCTGTTTAGTTGAGAGCTAGCAGGTAACAATTGCGGAATATCAATTTCTGATGGAAGCAATTTATCATTGATAATGGAAAGCTCGGCTCTGAGAGCTGTTAAGCGTGCTTCTTTTGGAACTAGTGACAACCTCATCGAAACATTCTGCAATGCCATCATGAACTCAGTCTCCTTTTTGAAGTAATTTGAATGTAAATATTGCACTTGATGTTCCGGAATTAATGTGGGTGTCTTAATTCTCTTAGGCTTCACATCCTGCTGGTCAATTGAAACTAAGGATATGGAAGAAGAATTGGAAATAACTGGGGTTATGGCAAGATCATCAAGTGAGGGCTTTTTCTCTTCATCGCGAAGATCAGGCATTGAATGCGAGTGAAGATGCAAGTCATCATTCGAGTTATGTGTAAGCTGATCTGACGAAGCTGTGTTCACGACTTTTCGTCTTGAGTTTTTTGAAACAATTCTAGTGTTGATTTTTAAAGGTGGCTCAGAGTGATACTCACTATCGGTCAGATCCCTGGGCATTTCCAACGAGTCAGATGTGCGATATAGTCTCTCGTTCAACAGGTTGCGCTGCGACGCTGTTTTTTCAGTACTAGTGCGATTAAGCTTTCCTATCACCGGTTTAGAATTCATGACATCGTCATCTGCATCCGCATCGACCTCGGCTAGAAGTTTGGAATTTTTGATTGTCAAATTCTTCGTGAGTGCCTTGTGAAAATTTGCCAATTTGAACAAAAATGATTTTTGCTGTTTGCTCTGGGAAACAACTATTGGCTTGATATAATCTTTACTCTCAGGCATTGCGATCAATGATGCGAGAGCCCCGCATAGAATTAAAGACGGCTGAAAGTTCTCCCTGAATTCTGATCTACTACCGGACCTCAGCGATTCACCAATAGAGCGGTTAGAAAACATTAGTTCCTGCAATTCATTGATGAAACTTCTTACAATCTGGAATGAGTATGACTCTCGGTGGTCTTTCAACTCGAAGATATAGGTTTGCAAAGTCCAGAATGTTACAAGGCAAAAATGAGGGTACCTTTTACTGTAGTCTAGAAGAAACTCCTGTAGTGCCATTGAATCGGTTTCATAACTGACGAGAATTTGAATGAACTGTGGGATGTAGAATTCCAAGTCCAAGTAACTGTAGTGATACAATCGTTGTACCAAGAAATGCAGGACACCTATGTTAGATATGTGGTACTGCAAGTCGTGAATGCAATCAAAAAGACTGAACTGTGGAGATTTAGCTGATGCTAAGAGGGCCCCATAATCAGCATCCTCCATTTTGCCCTCAACCTCTACTTCCTTTTAACACTAGCGCATTTTTCTGCGACGATAAATTCGACACGTGACACCTCACTTTACTACTATATAAGTCTTATAAATGATTAAATCGCTTTCTCAAAAGCTGGCATGTTGAATTCTCCTTTAGGAGATTGTCCTGGAAGTATAGGTACACTTTCAAACACTTTCTCGGTCAAAACTTCGGGGTCTTCCTTCAAATCGAAATTTTTGTAAATCATAAATTCAAGATCTTCATTTCCCATATCCTTATCATCAACGGCCCTAAACAACCTTGGATGAAACTCGACACCGGATTCCAACCTTTTCTTGGCAAGTTCTCTCTGCTCGTTTTCTACTTTGAATTTTTCTTCAGTAGCTAGCTGATGGTTCCTCTCGCTTAACCCTTTTATTGTAGGACCCCATAACTTTCGAGACTCATATTCAAACTGCTCTTCCAACGGTCTAACCTTTGGAAGATACCGTACGGATTTGGAAGTATCATAGAATGTTTCGGTTTTCCCTGTAGACAAATTCTTGGAATACATGACCTCATTCCACTTTCCGGTTATGTTATATAACACTTCAGAGGAATTGGATTTTTTCACCGAACCATCAATAGCATCATAAGTACCTCCAATGAAACCTTTGGTCTTAAATTCAATGTCGGCTTCATAGCCAGTTTTAGGACACTTGATAATCATGTGATCTCCTAATTCGTATTTGAGCTTGCCAAACAAAATTCCACGACAGTAGACATTGGGCTGGTTCATAATGTAAACCTCATTTCCCCATTCTCCTAAAGTTACATGACCCCACCCCTGCATCATGGCTGCCGAAGAGTTTCCCAAAAATTTTGAAACAGGAATTACGGTTCCGTCAACACGTATCTTTCTCTTAGGAACCAAGTAAAAATACGAGGATTTCGGTGGATGATGAGACGTCTGCTCGGAAACGTAAAAAGCTTCATTCCCGTCAGGAAGATCGTCCCAGTAACAGGTGAAAACTTCTCCTAAAATAGGGTTTAATGGCTTCTTCACTGCCTTGGGTGCAATGTGCCAGGAAGCCAAATACCATTTAACCATTAATAAAAAGCGCTCTAACTCATCCTCAGTATCATTAGCTTGAAATAATACATCTGGAATTTGGAAAAAATTAGTGATTCTCTCTAGCATTGACTTCTTCTCAAGAATGAATGTAGGTAAGGTGATTTTCGCTAAATCACACCCTGGCCGCAACTGGGCTATAATGCCTGATAAAATGGATTGCCCCTCGTTGTCAATCTCATCTATGTCGTCTGTGTTCACTCCTGAAGCATCATCCGGTTTCGCCGGCGTCGTTTTGGACCCTTCCTGAGTTGAAGATGGGACCGAAGATCCACTGCTATCATGCAGTGATCTCAATTTCAACTTATCGAGTTTTGACGTCAATCCCATTAGATAGCAAGTCAAGTAACCTGAATTTATACACTCTCAGTCCTCCCCTCAATTTTGATTGCGCGCGCAAGGCCCAATCTTGTGACAATGGAACTTGTTGGCCAAATCCAAGGGTAACTCTACAATATGTTTCAACAAGAAGAGTTCTTATTACTTAGAGTGTGAGTGGAGTATCTATAAGAGGGAGCAGTGGTAGTCTTCATGTTACGATGGCAAATGTATATGGCCGGGTAACCCCATTTCATTAGAGATGTCTCATATTAACTTCATGAGGATATGAGCTATCAAACGTATGGAGTTACACCGCCTATCTCCACTGCGGAGCCTACGTCAAAAGAAAAGAGCTTAAATGATTCGTTGATCAAGGAATTGCGGAAGCGTGGCTCTTTTGAAAATGAAGCTGCCACCAAGAAAAGAGTTGAAGTTTTGAACACTTTACAGAAGATCACTGAAGAGTTTGTATATAGAGTGTCATTGAACAAGAACATGAGCGAGGGAATGGCAAGAGATGCTGGTGGAAAGATTTTCACATATGGATCGTATCGTCTAGGAGTATATGGCCCGGGGTCAGACATTGATACATTGGTTGTGGTACCAAAACATGTGAATCGTACGGACTTTTTCACAGTCTTTGAGTCTCTTTTAAGAGAACGGCCAGAACTAGAAGAAATTGCGTCCGTTCCAGATGCGTTCGTTCCGATCATAAAAATCGAATTCGGGGGTATCTCAATAGATTTGATATGTGCCAAGTTGGACATTGGGAAAGTTCCTAGAGATTTGACGTTGGGAGATAAAAATCTTTTGCGCAATCTAGACGAAAAAGATCTCAGATCTCTTAATGGAACACGTGTTACAGACGAAATATTGACACTCGTTCCTAAACCAACTGTCTTCAAGCACGCTCTAAGGTGTATCAAAATGTGGGCACAACAGAGAGCCATTTATGCTAACATTTTTGGATTTCCCGGCGGTGTGGCATGGGCAATGTTAACGGCGAGAATCTGTCAGCTTTACCCAAATGCTGTAAGTGCTGTAATAGTGGAAAAGTTCTTTCACATTTACTCGCAATGGAGCTGGCCACAGCCTGTACTCTTGAAGCAGATAGAAGATGGCCCATTACAAGTAAGGGTATGGAATCCCCGTTTATACCCCCACGATCGTCTGCACCGTATGCCTGTCATAACGCCAGCTTATCCTTCAATGTGCGCTACCCACAATATCACTAGCTCGACCCAAGCTATTATTGTTAGCGAGTTCAAAAGAGGTGCTGAAATTATGAACGACATCAGTATCGGAAAGAAAGAGTGGGGAGATCTTTTTGCCAGACATGAATTCTTCTTCAGATACAAGTTCTACTTGTGCGTTGTAGCCTCAACGAAAGGTTCTGCAGAAGAACATCTCAAATGGAGCGGTATGGTTGAAAGTAAATTAAGAATACTAGTTCAAAAGCTAGAATTAACTGAGGGTATCACAATTGCTCACCCCTACGTAAAGACTTTCGAAGATGGTTATGTGTGCAAAACCGCAGATGAAGCGCTGACTATCATATCATCATACGGGACTTTGAAGGGTGAGAAAGCGACAGAGGGAGCTCGTAAAATAGAAAACCCGAAAGAGACATACACCAACGACGAGATAGCCTTGCATTTGACAAAGCTCTACATCGGCTTGGACATTGACATCAAAGGAGCTAAAAGTTTGGACATTCAAGTTCCATGTTCAGAATTTTTCAATCTATGCAAGGGTTGGCCAACTTATAACGAAGACATGCATGCGATACAGATAAAAAATGTCAAACTTCACGATCTCCCTAATGACGTTTATGTCGAAGGCGAGGAAAGACCAATGAAGATTCCTAAAAGAAAGAGGCTCGACTCCAACGGTGACACAAACAAAAGGCTAAAAAACATCGGAACCGTTGCTACGGCTGCAAACAATTAACTGGTATAAATATTAACGATGCACAATATAAAGATTCAAAATATACTCTTCATGACTCTAACATACCATGGCCGCTTTTCCATCTCATCCTGTTGTAATTCCCAGTCCAACTCATCCTTATCTCTTACACGACGACCCGTGTCAAGGTCGATTTCACCCAACGCCAAATATAACCGTCGGTTACGGGTATACAACTTGTGACCAATGTAGAAAAGAATAATGACAAATGCTCCCAAATAATTCTGGAAAAAGTTTTTGGCATTGGGAGCCAGACTTCCAACTGGGAACAAAGCTACCCAGAATTGGACACCCAAAACCAACACCAAAAACGCCATGGAATAGACAGAACCCCAAATACCCACCACGGATGTAAATGCAAGATCGCTAGTGGGTCTATTATTGTGATGCAATGCCAATCTGAACCGAACATGGCAGAGAGAAATACTGAACCAGGAAAAGATGGTGGAAAGTCCACTGATACTCAATAACCATGCAAACACTTCACCTTCATTTTTATAGGCACTCAAGAAACAGAGCAAGCCAAAGACTGCCGAACATGCTAAACCAGCAATTGGTCTTCCTTTCTGATCAACGTAACCCAAGATTTGCGGACCTAGACCTTGTACGCCAAGACTTTGAATGGTTCTGGAACATCCATAGACAGCTGAGTTTCCAACAGAAACCACGGAAATCAAGATAACCGCATTGAAGATCGAGGGTAAGACCTTAATACCACTGCTCACAATAGCCACCACAAATGGAGAAGTCGATGTTTGTGAGCCTGAACCAAGTAATGCTGGCGAATCGTAAGGAACAAGTAAACCGACAAAAGTGAGCGACAAGAAGAAGAAAAGAAAGATTCTCCAAAAGACCTGCTTGATGGCTTTTGGTAACACTTTCTTTGGATTATGAGCTTCTGCGGCAGCCAACCCCACCATTTCCGACCCTGCCAAACTATACGATGCTGTGACGAAAACGGTGCAAACACCTTTGAATCCATGAGCAAAAGGTCCCGGGTTGTTCCAGTATCTGTTTCCAATAAACTCATGGTTGGGACCACCTCCACAAACCAAGACTACTCCAAGAATAATAAACCCAACTATGGCAATCACCTTGACTATTGCAAGGTAAAACTCGGCTTCTCCATACCCTTTCACGCCGAAAAGGTTGACAATAAAAATGAAAACGTAGAATATTGCAACCCATGCCACAGGATTAATAGCGGTGTTCCAGTACTGTATCGACATCGCCGCGGCCACCAACTCTAGAGGAAGAACTATAAGCCACATTATGGCATAGTTCCAGCCCACGGCAAATCCCCACAGTGAATCTACAAACCGAGTAGCATAACTGGAGAAGGCTCCACTCACAGGAAACTCCACACACAATTCTCCCAATGCGTGAATCGTGGAGAAAACCATGGTACCAACGAGACCCCAAGCTATAATCAACGCAGCTGGACCACCAGTTCTTAAAGAAGAACCACTTCCGATGAGCAAACCAGTTCCAACCGAACCACCGATACTGATCATTTGCAAATGACGATTTTTCAAATCTCTCACCAACGGAGACCCGTTAGCCACTCCTCGATTAGCACGCTCAATATCATCCAACCCAGCCATGTCATCGATATCTTGTTCTTGTCTTCGAAACGACTCTTTAAACTTGGCCCATCGGCCCATCTCAGTAGAAATGGGTGCCTGGTACATGCTCTCCAAATCACGAGTCAGCGCACTTTGAGTGTCCTTGACATCTCGAACTTCGGTCATTGCTTATAGGTGCACCTATGGATTCGACATTTTACCTCGGCGAAACTTAGTCATGAACGGCGTTCTAGTGAAAAATCCGCATTTGGCAGGTGCGACGTATGGCGTTTTTCTGGCAGGTGCAAGACTAGACCGGAGGGGTATGAAAAGATGTGGAAAAGGAAAGGAGTACAACGAGGAACTAGAACATCAGCGTTCTTCTATTTTGGTTCTCTGGCAAATTCCGAAATTAACGTCTCTGATCAGTCGTTAAGAGTATACTTGGGTGTGACCTGAGTGCAGGGTGAGGTATATTGAGTATGCTTAAGGTACGTTAACTATGCATCAGATATGTCAAGTATGCTTACATCCGTTCGACTCATTCATCAAATTCTTTATTGATACTCATCAGTACGACAAAAATGCAGGGGTTCATCCACTTATATAGATCCAAACCAAGCCGCGGAATCCGCCGCCTATTCGCGGCAACCAACGGGCATCTCAGGCTCGGCGCCGCACGTCACTTTTGCTCTGAGAACCTACTTAGCCTCGCTTCATCAAGTACAAGCCAAACATCACCAAAAGTATTCCAAGCACCGCCAAACGGCCCCGCGGTTGTGTAGTTCCAGCCAAAGTTGCAGCAATTGTGGTATCGACAGTAGGACGAACAAGTCGTTGAATAAGCCGATCCAATGCAGTGGGTCGCATATAAACCAGAGTTGGTCCGCTGAGCGAACTTTCAGATTCTCTGTCACTGGGTAGAATTTGAAGAAATCCGGATGCGTTTACTATAGGTTCTGGAGGATGGAACGGAACTGTAATGTTCAAGTAGACAGGTTGGTGATCCGAAAGTAAAACATCAAGACTATTGTAGTTGTGGATTACTGGAGCAAGTAATACCTTTTCTTTCGAGCCTCGAATGAGTTTGGATGTCATGGGTGCACGGTATGTGGACTGGTAGAGGATACGATCACACCATGAAGGCGATCTCTTTGTGCTGTAGATGGCAGTAGGATACACAAATTTGTATGTTGGGTTGAAGTTGATCTCACCTTCGCTGAACCCATTGAGCATGTCACCAGCTTTCATTCCCAACGTAAGCTCGTCATATTGGGCAAGGAACTTACGAGGAAGGTCTTTTGTTGCCTGGGACTGGTCCTGTAAGCAATGCAATTTTTTGCTAACTTCTGAGTCCGGGGAAAACTTTTTGGTGGTTCTGTAATTGAGATCTCCCATGAAGAAGCTGTGCGATCCAGGCTTTACAAACCCATACCCGTCACCGAAATCAAGACTTCTCATGAGAAAATTGAGGTTTTGGTTTCGTTTCTGGTAGTAATAATCCCCCTCAAATGCACTTAAATGGGCATTGACAAACGACATTTCCACGCTTGTTTCTTTGCCTTGAGTTGCACCCTGGGGTATATACTTGACTCGAAGCCCAACAGCTCCCTTCATGGAAGAGTAGCCGTAACCGCAACCACTTTTAGCTTCACGAACCTGCGTGTACTTCAGAGGGTATGGAGTTATCGCAACCAAACCAATGGCGCCAACACTAACCATTCCCACTGTATGGAATCTGGCTATGTCCTCTCCATAGAAGCCATTGAGGGCGTCGAGAAACAAATCATTATACTCACGGAGACACGCTCGGGACAGCGGACCGTAGGCTCCCTCTATAATCGTTCCCATTTCTTCGAGTCCAAATACAAAAATAGACGCTGGTTCTTGGGGAAAAGTGGAAACTAGCCGGCGACCCAACTCGTCGTTGGCTCTTCTTTTACCGGCGTTGAAGGTGAATAAGTAGATGGGAATTGACATGGAGGCTAGGAATTGGTTACTGGATTCATGAAACATAAACTGACTGGATTGAATATAAAATGCTTCTGGTGTCACTGGGGTCGAGGGTACAAGCAAAAAAATTGATAAATAGCTAGTGAAGGACAAATATGTTCCCGATAAATGTGTATGACAATGTTATGTTAACCGCAATTTAGCGTGCGTTTAAGTTCACAAGCGGCTTTCCTGCGCAGGACCCTCGACCCCAAATTCGCGATGGCTTCGATTCCATTTGCAATCGATGTCTGGTTACATTGAGCTCCAAAGGTCACTTTTGGAAGAGTCCGACATCATCGAGGATGCTATAGCACAGCGTGCGCGTCGAAACGTAGACGTGGTGCCCGCCGAGGTCCGTCCAGAAGAAGTTAAAGACCTTTTTTCAACGCGAAAACGGCCGTTGAAGGAACTAGTTCAGCAACAGCATGAGGTTAGTTACTTTCTCGACAAGTGCAAAAAGCAGAAAAAGGCGTTTATAGATGCCAGGACCGACCCTGCTGTGGACGAAGAGCTAAAAAGAATCGAAGATACTTCCACTGACTTTGTGGAGTTCGATAAGATGCTTGAAAAGATCGTTAAACACTATAAAATTCAACAAAAAGAACCATCAGCACCGCAAGACATAGCTGAGCTATACAAGATGTACTCGAGTGCTCCCCCAACCAGCATTACAACCACAAAAAAGAATAGAATAAAGACAAAACGAAAGTATATACTCAGTGCGGTTGCAGCCCATTTAACAGCAGACTCATTATTTTCCCCAGAAGAGTGTTATGGAAAGTACTTGGACTTGAGAGATTTGCATGCCGAGTACCAGCATTTCACAGAGATTTCGTACCGAGATTTTTTGGTTGCACTAAAAGAACTCAAAGCACCAGCAAACGCAGACCCCAAAGCGTATATTGTGTTTGTCCAAAATCTTTCAAAATACTTGCAGAGCTTCTACAGCCGCAAGTATCCATTCAGAGACGTTGACACTTTGTTGTCTGAGATAAAAACTCAATTTTCGTCGGAAACACCACCAAATAATGACCCTTTGTATTGCAAACTGTGTGATAAGCACTTTACCAAAGAACTGGTTTTCACTGCCCATTTAACAGGAAAGAAACACAAGAAGAATACCCAGCGTTGCAGCGAGAATGGTCAGGTTTCGTCATCGTTGTTCGAAGAGTTCAAGGCTCGTAAGCTTTGCGAAGCATTGGCAGAAACATTGACCAACACCATTACCAATGTCGATCGGCAGACTGCGCTTACTGAGCGAGAAAAACAGATCGAAGGGATAGGACTAGCCGACGATGACTCGGAAGATACTGTTGTTCAATCCTCCAGTGGTTCAGATGATAATTCCGATAGTGACCGAGAAGAGTCTGCTTTTGCCAATATGCCACTAGGAGCAGATGGCACCCCGATTCCACCTTGGCTATACAAGTTGCAAGGGCTTCACCGGAGCTATGACTGTGAGGTGTGTGGTAACATTTCGTACAAGGGCCGTGTTGCCTACAACAAGCACTTTGGTGGTGCGAAGCACGTACAAGGACTAAAACTTCTTGGGGTCGATGATGACTCAATTCCACTTTTCAAGAGCATCAGTACTATAGACGAAGCGGTATCTTTGTGGAGGAAGATCAAGCGAGCAAATAGAATAGAGGAAGGTGAGCGAGAGAATGCCGTTGAGGTCGAAGATGAGGCAGGTAATGTGATGTCGAAAAAAGACTATTTGGACTTGAAAAAGCAGGGGTTGCTCTAAAAAGGTTATTGAACAATATAATAGACTCTAATATAAAAATCTTTCTTTACCTATCGACCATGTTTCTAAAATTTTTTTTGCACCCATTCTTCCTTCTTCCTTCTTCCTTTTCGCATCTTTCTTCGCGAACTTATGGTTCTCAAACCAAAGCCGGTTTTTCAACTACGAACAATGACCACTCGGAGTCGCTCAAGTTCCCCCAAACCCGAGAATAGTGCTCCCTCTGTACAAGAAAAAACAGAACTGCCTCCACCGGGATCAAAAAGGGCTGGAACACCAAAACTTCGTGATGCCTTAGGGTTTCGTATGAAGAGACAAGCCATTGATCGCACCACATTGACAGCTTACGACCAACTTGGCGGTGAAAACTCAACTGATACAACACTAGAGAAGGGAAAAACCATCCATGAAGAAGAAACAGAGGGCGCAGGATACGTTTTGGATGGTCGGTTGCGTAGAGTTCTGCCATATTTCTTCACCTATCTTACCTACTGCAAACTTCGTTGGAGAGACAGAAAGCTCATTGATATATTTTGTGACGAGTTCAGAGATCGAGATCAAGACTTTTACAAGGCGGCTATATCTGAAGGTCTGGTGACACTTAATCGTAAGCCTGCTAATATCGATAGCATCGTGCGAAATGGAGACTTGATAAGTCATCGATGCCATCGCCACGAGCCAGCTGTGAGCTCACGGCCCATCAAAATCGTCCATGAGGATGACGATGTGATTGCCATTGACAAGCCGCTGGGAATTCCTGTTCATCCCGTTGGGAGGTATAGATACAACACTATCACCAAAATTTTTCAGCACGAATTTGGCAGAGTTGTACATCCTTGTAACCGATTGGATAGACTTACCAGTGGTTTGATGTTTCTTGGGAAAACACCAAAGGGAGCAGACAAGTTCGTACAGCAAATCAAAGATAGAACGGTGAGAAAAGAGTATATTGCACGAGTCATTGGCAAATTTCCATGCGAGGAAATAACCGTTGAAGTCCCCATCAAAACTGTCTCTCCCAAACATACACTCAATATGGTTGATCCCAAAAACGGAAAAGAAGCCAAAACAAAGTTTAAGCGTATTTCCTACGATCCAGCATCCAATACTTCCATTGTCAAATGCTATCCACTAACGGGCCGCACCCACCAGATTCGAGTCCATCTACAACATATAGGCCATGCCATTGCCAACGATCCCATTTATTCCAATGCCTATGTTTGGGGCAAAGATCTAGGAAAGGGAATAGTTGAAGATACACAAGACATCATCACCCGTCTCGATAGGATGGGCAAAGATGTAGCTGCGTCTACTTGGATACACCCTCAAGGTGACGGAGAAATATTGTCAGGCTCCAAATGTGAAATCTGTGATGTTGAGCTCTATACGGACCCTGGTCCCAATGATCTTGACTTGTGGCTTCATGCCTATCTCTATGAGAGCGCCGACAATTCGTGGTCCTATAAAACTGAGTACCCTGAGTGGGCTCTTGCTTCTCATCGTCCATTCATGGAACTAGCTTTGAGTGAAGCAGAGAAATGTGGTGAGACTCAGACTCAGTTCAATGTGGGTGCTGTATTAGTTCATGAAGGAGAAGTATTGGCAACTGGTCATTCCAGAGAGTTACCTGGTAATACCCATGCCGAGCAATGTGCTCTCGAGAAATATTTCAAAGCATCAAACTCCACTGAAGTTCCAGAAGGTACGGTTATTTATACAACAATGGAACCATGCTCTTTTAGACTCAGTGGAAATGAACCTTGTGTTCAAAGAATATTGAAAACTTGCATTAAAACCTGTTTTGTGGGTGTTATAGAACCGGACACTTTTGTCAAGGACAATTCCAGCTTGCGCCAGTTGTCCGATAACGGAGTTGATTATGTACATATTGGAGGATACGAAGAAAAGTGTTTGGAGATAGCGACGAGGGGACACGAAAAGGGGTTGAAAAGGCCGAAAGATGTTTAAGTGTTTCTATTGTACAACGACTAAGGTTCTGGATCGTCAAAGTCAATCACCACTTCCTTTCGGGAATAGACAAAGACGTTATTGCGCTGTCTTCCGTTGCGAAACTGGCTATTGGTATCTTCTGGTTCCCTCTCCTGGTGGATAGTAGTGAGAGGAACCGTCTCGGGACGAGGGTTGGAGGACAGTGTGGAGACACTGACGGAACGGGGAATTGCCAAACCAGTGGCAATGATAGCGTCTGTAAGAGACAAAAAGTTTTTCTTGGAAGCTTCGTAGGCTCTTAATACGAAGGGCAAAGCAGCTCTGGCGTTTGAGGGTGCAGTTGTAGGGTTGTCAGATTGTTCGGATGTAGACATCGATAGCGACCGACGACTTTGTGTGGTGCCGCCATCTTCATTATCTTCGTCGCTATCTTTGTCGATGAAAATTTCGTAGCGATCAAGTTCATATACTTCGTCTTCGTAAAACGGTCGACCAAGAACTCCTTCCTTCTCCTTTTTCTTCAAAATGAGGTTGTACTTGTTGCACCATTCCCAGGGAATCACCACACAAATCACGTATGTGACTACGGAGAAAATATCTGACAATTCGTTCACCCACATGTTGGAGATATCCGCAGCGAAAAAGGCCACTGGGCTGTATATGAACACGATGGTGAGGCCCGAGAGGAGCCATATATGTTTGTTGAGCAAAACATCATTAAACTTGGTGACGATGAAAACCGAGATTAACGCAGCATAGCAAGCTCCCATGGCAATACGGCCCAAATATATGAAAGCGGGAAGAATGTCTCCTGCTTCATCGTCGGCATCGAAAACGTGAAATTGAGTTATGGCCCAGATCACCTGGAAAGAAATGCATGCTATTATACCAATGAGAAACGTTAGTCGTTTATCCTTCTGACGGGAAAAGATACGCATGATCACCTGGACCTGGTTGATTTGAAGGAGAATGACCAAAATAAGGTCAATGACATTGAGGGTGGTGCTATTGTTAATGTATTTGAGGAGTTCGGCTCCATGGAGATACCCTCGTTTTTGTTGACCATGTAGATTTACCACCGACTTTACCACTGTTATCAACATGTACACCGACGACAACAACGACGAAACCTTCAACAAAAAGCTCGGTTTGACGGTATAGTTTGTCATGACGAAAAGGGTAAGAAACCAGGTGACCACCGCCAGGATGGAAACACTGTATATGATAGGAACTATGCTATATGCAAACGATCCGCGTGATCCGCTATGTGTAAACTGATGCCAAGTCTCTTGGATAACTGGAAGCGGCCCCACAAACAGTTCTACGAGCAAATTGGTGTTGGTATCAAGAACAGGCATTACTCCATCGTAGCACTGAGGATGATAAATTCCAGCTTTTATGTACTGATTTGGAACATCTGGTCTATGAGACACTAGGAAGCCTTCTGGAAGCGGTATAGGCTGACATCCAGGGTACGACGGCGACGACCATCCATTGTACCTCCAGTACATGCTGGCGCAGCAGCAGCCTTTAGTAAAGATTACCTTGGTGAAGATCGCGCACGTGACTTCTAGAGCAGGTGGATTTGTGAATCAATTCACCAGCACCGGGCAGCACTGGCTTCCATAATTTTGTAGCACAGTCACCCGATTATGGGACACCCCGAGCAACTGCAGGATGGTGGAGCGCCGCAGACATTACAAGCATCGCTCAAAGTCCCGGAGACTGGAACAAAAGCCGGAACTCATCTGCGAACCGATTCCGCAACCTCACGAAGCTACTCGTTTCTAGACATATACCAAGCGGATTCGCCTGATTCTGGGTCTGTGAAGGGCGCGCCGGTTGAGGCCGTTGATGTATCGCAATTGGAGGATTTGGGACTCACAAACGGCACAAAAAGCACCATATCTAATCGGCCGGTCACATCGGTTCCGAGTGTGAATGTCGCTGACCGAGTAGAGTCTGTGGACAAGAGCCGGCTCAGTGTGCTCCAGGCTTCACCGTACGACATATATGGGTTCAAGAAAGACTCGACATTGTTTGATATATCCAAAGATACTTACAATCAATGGTTTGAGCCGTATGCCGAGTCGATTATACGGAAGAAAAAGAAGTGGTTGGGGGTCCTTAAGGACAATGGATTGCATGCTGACGAGGATATTGTACCAACACGGTTCCCGCCCAAATCAGACAAGGTGAAGAAGTTGATTCGAAGAGGTATACCGCCGGAATGGAGGGGCCAAGCATGGTTTTTCTATGCGGGAGGAAATGAAAAACTCAACAAACATATTGGTGTGTACGACCAGATCGTCAAGGACACCAAGGAAGTGCATAATAAAGACACAGAGGTCATAGAACGGGATTTAAACCGCACTTTCCCTGATAACGTTTACTTTGCGAGACCAACCGGAGCCAATGCTCCAGCCGAATCTGAAATGATTTCTTCTCTTCGGCGGGTTCTTGTGGCATTTGCCCACTACCAGCCCCAAATAGGGTACTGTCAATCGCTCAACTTCCTCGCTGGACTCATGCTTATCTTTATGAGTGAAGAACGAGCGTTTTGGCTTTTAGTCATTTTAACCGAACGAATCATCCCCAAGGTACACTCGACAGACCTTGAAGGCGTCCACACAGACCAGGGGGTGTTAATGCTATGCATAAAGGAGTATATACCCTCGCTTTGGCAAATACTCGGCAAAAACTTTGAAGGTGAACGATTACCAGAAGACAAGATTCTCACTCGACTTCCACCAATAACTTTGGTTACATCTTCTTGGTTCATGTCGGTGTTTGTCGGTACCATGCCCATTGAGAGCGTGCTCCGGGTATGGGATATACTTTGGTACGAAGGTTCAAAAACCATCTTTCGAATTTCACTAACAATATGTCGAATGTGTCTTGACAGTTCTTCATTCGATGCCTCTAACGGCAAGACGAGGGGAGCCGAAACCGAACAAATCGAGTTGTTTCAGTACGTGCAAAACTTCCCCAAGTCTATACTTGACCCGGACCAACTAATAGATGCATGTTTTAAAAAGATAGGAGGGTATGGCTACGGATCGTTATCGCAAGACGAGATTAACAAGTGCCGGGAATTTGTTTCCAAACAGCGGTCCAAGCTTAAGCAGAAAAAAGATTCCATGATAACTGCTCAAATGAGCGAAGAGGAGAGCCAGGCACTTCGAGTTGCTGGCATGGGAGACGAAGAAATTCACGACGTTTATGGGTTCCATCGCTCGATTATGAGTGGTGTCAAATGGAACCGAACATTGAGCAACAGAATGAGAAAGTTGAGTCGAAAAAGGTAAAAAGGAGAGAAAAGGTAGGAAGGTTAAGAAATTGTAATTGCATATGGTGTAGACTGGTGCAGTATCTACATAGCGAGTCTTCGCGAATTTCAGTTTCTGATGCAATACAAGTATTTGATATCGAGAACCGTAGATCCAATTTTGGCCATTAGCATAGGCACTGCTGCCTACTACGTTCACGAGTACCGCCACGGTAGACCACAGGGCCATACATTGAACGAGTTGGTGACGAGGTGGTACAATGAGAGAAACGATGGAGAGATGAAAAATTGAGATGAAAGAAGAATACAGAGCAATGATGAGAGATGAGACTACAATGACTAGTGACCAATCGCCAGCCAACATATAGCATTATAAATAACTTATTATGATTGTAACATTAATGTCTTATTATATTATAATGTCTTATTTTGTACTGTCTTACTGTCTCACTGTCTGTTTCCATTTCTCCACCAAGGCTTTTGCCTGAGTTTCGTCGAGATCTTTCACTAAGAGCTTGACTATTTCATTCCAGGTCTCGCTGGAAATGGTCTTCAGGCTGGCAAACAGCACATCTTCCACGGGAACATCGTCAGGATCATCTCCTTTCGCAACCGAAGACGAAGATGGTGCAGAAACCATACACATAAAAGACACTTCGGGCTCAGAAAACAGAGACAAAGACGCTGTGTCCTGGTAAACCTTTCCCTTGACTAGAAACTTGATATCTCCTGGTTGAACACCGGCATTTTTCAAGGTTTCTACTGCTGAAATGAGATCCGATTTCACTTTATAGATGGATTGATTTGTGTTTGCTTCGAGGGAATGGGTGAATTTGAACGGGGGCTTAATGGACTTGAAGTTTAGCGTTATTGTGGAAGATTTGGAGTGGATTTGTTGTTTTTCAGATGGAAATTCCACCTTCAATATTGGAAGTGAAGGTCCTAAACTTTCAAGTTTATGGTAATCTCCCACGAAATTAAAGGTGTTGGTGGGTGCTGAGGACGATAGCGATATAAGCTGTGTGTACGTGCTCACAAATTGTTGTTCTGTTTGAGACATTATATGATAAGTGTCGGTGATCGGCTATGAATTTACGCCTCTGTGCGAAAAGTGACCGAATAATTATACCAAGACCATATAAAACCAATACAACACCAATAACTTTTTTGGTCAAATTTCGTCAAGTTCTACATTTCCTATCAATTTCCATCATCTAGGTGCCATGGATCTCTTCAAACCGTTCAAAAAATCCACCTACGTGGCATTATCACAAGACGATGGTGCTCCGCTTCCTCCTCCCGCAACACAACCAAACCAACTGACATTTAAAACTCGCTTGCAAAAGCTTAATCCCTTCCGCAGTCAGTCCGTATACCTCAATGACGACGAGAACTATGTCACTTCAGAACCTGGATACTTTGAGCTTTCTAGATGGGACCGTATGCTCATCTTTGCATTGACGTTTGGAGGGTCGGCATGCTGCTACTTGATCTGTATATTCTTGTTCCCGGTTTTGTCGTTGAAACCACGAAAGTTTGCATTGTTGTGGTCGTTGGGGTCTATTTTTTTCTTGGTGAGTTTTGGGGTTCTTCAAGGATTCGTTCCCTATCTTCAACATTTGTTTCTGTCCACTCGAATCATCTTTACCGTGGTGTTCGTCACCAGCATTATCATGACTCTCATCAGCAGTTTATCCCTCCACAGTACTCTCCTCTCGATAATCTTTGCTGTGATTCAATTGATAAGTGCCGTGTGGTACACTGTCAGTTATTTTCCACTTGGTCGCCAGACCCTCAATTTGGCTGGATCTGTGGCTCGAAGCCAGGTCGACAGCTGGATCAGAACGTGAATATGAATACATGAGAAGGACGAAGGCTTGAAAATGGATTGAAGACAGTCTACTATTGGCAGATTTGGCATGGAGCAATATGAATGCTGACTATCTGAAAAATGTCTGAATGGCATGCGCTCTTATAGGTATGTCTGTTTGTCGTCTATGTACTGTAGTCTAGTCCACATACTTTTCCTTCACCGCATCAAGTCCGTCTGCCAATTCGGGAAATGAAGCTACCAATGTCTTTTCCACAACTTGAGGAATTGCCGGCACCACCGTAGTATCCTGCTTGACAGTGTTAAGAGTCTCAATAACTTTATCTCCAATGGATTTTTTGAGCTTACCATCGCTGCCAATAATAGTATTCAACTTCTTGATAGCTTGCACTGCAGCAATGTAAGACCTTTTCTTCAAATTTACTTGGTACGAGAGTTCCCAAGTAGTTGCAAAGTTGACGGCCTCAGTTGTAAGAGGCTTGATTAGTTGAAGCAATTTTTCAAAAATATCTTCTTTCTCTAAAAAAAGATTGGTAAGAATAGAAGCACCAAATGGATCAGCGTCATCCTTTTCAGACTCGACTTTAGCAGCCAAACTTTCAAGCTGCTTTTTCTGGTTCTTCTTCTTCTTTTTCGCAGACTTCAGATTATCTTTACCTGCTTTATGTTTCTTTTCTTGGTCAATCTCCATATACAAAGCAGCCAACCCTTTCACACACCTCACATATACTGGTGTTGAATGAAGCCTATCTTCCCATCTCAACATATCAATGTAGTCACGGGGTGTTCCCCTTCTCAAACAATACGAATGGAAGTCATACTGGTCGTCGTAGAAAATCTTGAATATTTTTAAAACCGCCGAGAACCGCTTCAATGCAAGTCCTAAATACAAGTTTGTCTTTTCTTGCAATTCAGCTTCTTCTTCCTCGTTTCCATTAGCATTCTCAAGTTTCTGTTTGTACACATGGTACAAGCGAGCGTAGGCTTCCGCACTTTCAATTAATACCCAGTTTGCTTGCATAAGGTGTAAGTCTTTGCACCCATTAACCGACCCTTCATCCAACTTTGTGAACAACGATATGCAGTCAATGGCCTCGTCCACTCTATTAGCTCGAAGCATATACTTTGTAGCCTTCGAGTTGATGAATCTGTCCTGCAAGTCCAACTTACGCCCAGCATTCATGATATTTGCTGCTTCTTCCACCTTTCCAAGATGCTTCAAGATGCGTGCCTTGACGATATAGAGCTCCACCAACGTAGGAGTATGGTCCAAGGCAAAGTCGATATACTCTGAGGCCTTTTGCAAATCGTTGAGATGCAAGAAATGTTGTGCTAAAAAGTAGGCAGTCCATACCACCACACTCGGACCCAACGATTTGGCTTGGTCCTTGTTGAATTGAAGAACCAAAGATTCGATGGCAGCCACTTTGGCTTTGTCTTTGTAAAGCGGTTTAACATTGACAAATGTAGCGGGAACTCCTCGTTTGAGTTGGTCCAAGACGTAATCATTGACCAAATTCTTGAACTCGGGATGCGATGCCGGCACGAATGTCAAGGGAAGAAATTTGGGGGGATCCGATCTGGGGTAGAACGACGCAAGTTTTCTATAAAGCTTCAACCTGGTGTCGATTTTGGGGTCCTCGGGTGTTTGTTGAAGGTCAAGTGCGATTTCAAGTAGACGATAGTACAGAACATTTTCGGGGTTCCGCTGAAGAAGCTTTCTATAAACCAACGAAGCTTCTTTGTTTTGTCCAAGACACATCATGTAGCGTGCACGGTACTCGAGAACCGATAATTTGTCTCTGATTTCCACATCGTCAGCATCCAACACTTTAAGTGCCTCGGCAAAGTTTCCAGCTTCGGCAATAATCAGATTCTTATAAAGTACACATTCCGACTGCTCGTATCGGTCAGACTCCTGGAGATGTTCCTTAATGATTCCTTCGATCTTGGAAAGGGTGGAAACGGCACATTTATAGTTTTTGTTCAAATGATGTGCCAATGCTACCCCGGTCCAATTGGCTCTATACCCTGGTTGATGTTCAAGATACTGCTGACGAGAGTCAAGGAGACCCTTGTAATCACGAATCTGGGCTTGGTTGATGCCCAAATCACGCAAAATTTGCTTGTTGGGAGACCCATTATCTATCGACGCTTTCAACCACTTTGCTGCCAATTCGTAATTATCAACTCCCCGGTAATAGATTCCGGCCAAATGGTTCACCAAGTAGTTTGTGGGTTCCTTGGTGGTTCCTTTGATGATATAAGCTTCGGCTTCGTCTTTATTTCCAGTATTGAAGAAAATGCAACCTTTGAGAGTGAGCAGCTCGGCATGATTGCTGTTCTTTTTAAGGTTCTGTTCCACAAGTTTCAAAGCCTTCTTGTACTGCTTGGCGTCGTAGAGCTTCAAAGCTTCGCTGAAATTGACATCCTCCTTGTTGCGAAGGAGCGGTGCTGCCTTGACCATTACTGCCACCAGTGGAAAATTCGCGTCATAGTTACTGCAGAAAAGCTTATGAACTGCAGATAAGCGCTAAAAGTGACTGCACATAGAGTGTGCACATAGCCCATCTTAGCCGCTTTGGCCGCTCTGTTCGCCGATGGAGGCGGATTTAACGGCCGTTGCAGTTTCTATAAAATAAATGCGATCAGTGATTTTCCGGAAAAATTGCTAAAAAGAAAATTCTAAAAAGTATTCCTCATATTTTCAACTCAAGCGCATTGGTGCCAAAAAGTTTTGTAGCCATTTCAAGTATTTACAACATCAGTTTTCATTTGCTTATAAATTATCCGGGGTTCCCTGTTTCGGCCGCTCCGAAAGCTTATCCCCACCTTGCGACCGCCATACTGCAGATAAAACGGAATTTCTATTCGGACCGGCAATCATAGTTGTCACATTTCATTATAATTACTGCAAAATTTCAGCGGCGTAGAGGTACTTTTTAGCCACTACCATGGACCAGAAGCCAAAGCGCATCAGCGTGGCGTGTGACTTTTGTCGCAATAAGAAGATAAAGTGTGACGGAAGATGCCCTTGTTCCAATTGCCTTCAGTTCAAGAATGATTCTTGCAACTATAGTGAACGCACCAGAAAACGCAAAAGAACAAAGACCGGTGGTTTGGGATCTCTCACCAAGTTGGACTCGCGTTTGACTAGACTAGAATCGATTTTGGGCACATTGGCTGATAAGCTTGAGCCGGTGTATTTCAAACCGCTGGATGACGATGACCATCAAGAAAAGAAAATACGCCATGAAGAAAAGAAAATCAGCATAGCTTCCAGCAAAGAGATACACGACAAGATGCTGAAACCAAGCTCCAGAGATGCGGATGTAGCGGGATATTCAGATTCGGATCTGTCGTCGCTGTTTGAACCCAGTCCATCTCCTGGTTCAGATACTCATCAGCTCGATGAAAAACAAACAGAAGATTGTGCAGAAATGAAATACCCGCTACGTACAAGGTTCGAATTATATCTTGGATCGCATTCCATCCTATCCATCTTGCTGGGAAACTCGCTAGATCACTTGGTGTATTTTTTGAAACCGGAAGACCATCTGGCTTTAACACCATTACGCAACCTTCCCACTCTCTTTCACCTGAGAATGACCAGAAACCTAGCCCTGTGGCACCGTCATGCTCCGTTAGACCCCAAATCCAGACCAAACCTATTTCTCAGACCATTTCCCAACGAACCAGATCTCATTCTCCTGCTCATCAAAAACTATTATCCTGGTGTTCCGCTAGCCTCGTCAGTGTGTGAGACTGACGATGTGTACCAGCTCTTCGAGACCTACTTTAAACAAAAGAGCCACAGATTTAAAGCATCTGAATTGTTCATAATGGCTGCCGCGGTGTGCTTGGCTATCACCTGCAAATTTTCCGAAGAAGCTCCAACATCTACCCCGTCAAATGAACCTGACCCCGAGATTCCACCACACGTAGCGGCCGAGTTCAGTAAACTAGAGAAATTGAAACGGGAATTGAGCGCCAATTGCGTCATCTACTACTTTCGGCTTCTGATTTGGGCCGACGGCTTTGAAGCCATCCAAGCCTTCCTTTTGTGGATCATGTACATTGAGCTTCACGAAGTGACACCATTTGTGAACTTTATAATATTGGCAGTTACTATCAGGCACGGACACGAGCAGGGCTTACATCGAGCTGAAGCCTTGGACGAGCTTCCATTACATATGAGAATCAAGCGCAAACGAGTATGGAACATCTGCTTGTATCTTGACATGGAAATGTCGTTCAGGCAAGGCAAGAGCCCCATTAACAATCTCAGTGACATACTGCTGCTGTCGGTTTCCTTGGCCGAATATCAAAGCATTAAGACCCAACCTACTTCATTTTTCGATACAATCATGGACCGTAAGTTATTAATTCAAACGGTCCCGTCGACTAATTTCGAATTCTACCACACTGCACTTCTTGTTTTCACCAAAATAAGAGCCCGAAGTTATTCAGAAATGTTTGCTGCTAATGTTCATTTCGATAATTTTGGGGACTTCATCTACAAGTTGAGTCTTCTCAACGACGAAATGTTTGCGCTCGCAGACCTGATGGGGAATTATCGCCCCAAATTCTACCATGACGAACCTTACGGAGGAAACTCTGTGGGGGTTGAAAGTATTCCCAGTTGCTACGCTGTATTCCACATGAACTTTTTCTCGCATTTAATGACAATTAACAGGCTTCCCTTTATGATTGAGGATATCGACAACCCCACTGTGGATGTGTCGCAGTTTCGCAACTACACCTTAGACAGTGCTCGGACAATTTTGATGATGTGCCGCCAGTTCAGTGTTTCTAAACACAGTTTCTGGAACGACTGGGCGTATTGGTTCCCAATATCTGCGTTTGTGTGTTTGGCAAGAATGTGCTTGAACAGACCCTCACGCCCGGAAACACTCAAGGATATTAAACTCTTGGTGGACAGTTGTATGGTTATCAGTTCATACAAGAAAGATGGAAGTGGTACATTTTTCAAGTACAATGGTGAAAAAGATATCTTGACATCGCTCATGCTTCGTCTCATTCTCCGCGTGGTGGTATGCAGCATTGAATCCAACACAAATCACAAGGTGGTGGACGAAAAAACCAGACAGTACCTCGAAAATACCAAAAAGATATGTCCAGAGCTTTTCTTGGACTCGGAAGAATTCTTGAAAATAGGCAGAACCAAAGGCTGGGAAGTGGTCAGCTTGAAGGGTCCTAGTATAAGCGGGTCTCAAGGAGCAGGCCAATGGAACTCACCACGCACCAGTCCATCGTTGATGAATATTCTTGACCAGCTGGATTCGGCTAGTGACTACAATGCAATGGACTACTGGGACGATGCCATGTTCCACAGCATGCTTCCGATGCAGAATTCGGCGCCTCAGCAGAGCCTTATGTTTGACAACGGTTTATGATCTACGACTTATAGAACTAATTTATTAGAGGTGAATTTACGGCCCGGAACTTGAGGCAAAAATTTCATGTATGACCACAATTGAGTCTTGTGTTCTGTAATTGACTCTTTAAGCATTGAATCTCCATTCCTTGTGTTTCCACCCTTTGTATTAGTATTTCATAATCTCGTTTCGTAATCAGTCGCATGGATCCTGCGTCTAACTCTCAGAATGCTAAATTGGTTTTGCAATTCGATCTTTTACGCACTGGCTACTTGTTGCCACCATACAACCATATTAACTGATGAATGGCACTATCTCGTCCACCACGGTGTCCGAAAAGGTCCGCAAGACCAGGGTTTCTAAAGCCTGTAATTTCTGTCGAAAAAGAAAAGTGAAATGTGATGGTGCTCAACCATGTTCCAACTGCGTTCACAGCGATAATAAAATTTGTGAATATCCCATAAATTGTAGAAAGCCCCGCCAGCGGAAACCAGACCATGGGCAGAACGTACAGCGTTTGGAGAGAAGACTAGGAAATTTGGAGACGTTGATAATGCGGTTGACTTCGAAATTGGATCCGAACAACGAAGAAGATACAAGTCTTTTGGCCATAGATGATGGCTCGGACGCCTCTACCACGTCCCAGAGTGACAACGAGGCCATGGAACTGGGGGAGAAGTTGGGCGGATCATTGAAGAGCGACACAACTCCAGCCGAGACTGCCGAGACCGGCTCATTCAAGAACAGCACCGACCAGGCTCAACAGCCTCAGCAGCCGCAAAGAAAGGTGATCTTTATGGAACAGTACTACGGTACGCATTCCCTTTTCAACATTTTTTCTCAGAAATCCATAGAATGGATGGCTCAGTTGCTAGGTCCTGAAGACCGATCATATGTGAGACCGCTCGAAACCCTAGCCTATGTCTTTAAAATGTGCAAAGAATCACCACAAGCGGTTCTGAACGTCGGTCCCCAGGTGGGAGCAGAACAGTTGATAAAAATTCACAAGGGAAAAGCGGTGGAAGACCCTCAGCTAGTGTATGACTTGTTGGAGAATTACGATACTATATTCATGGTGAGCTACCTCTGTGATCTCAAAGACATACGAGCCATGTTTGACCAGCTTTTGGGTCCGCATGGATCTGCAAAGCGTCCCACTATGCCTGAATTGCTAGTGATGAATGTGGCACTTTTGCTTTGCATCTCAAGAGAACAAGACATAAGAAGACAGCGCCATTCCAAAAGCCATCTCTCCAGAAAGGTTCGCCCGGCCCTCGACAAACTAACCCTTCTTGACCTTCAAAGAATGCAAGACGCCTATACTAACTATGCGTTATTCTATTACTCCAAAGTTCTGCTATTTCATGAGGGAATAATCGCCATTCAGGGCATTCTTCTTCTTGCAATGTACATTGAGACTTGCTGGACCACTTCAAAGACAAATTATATTATGATATCTGTGGCCGTTCGTCTAGCTCAAGAAGTGGGCTTACACCGTTTTGAGAGCTTTGAATTTCTTTCCGAGAATGAGAGAAATCAACGACGTCGTTTGTGGTGGTTTTGCCAATACTTCGATATGGAACTCTGTTATAGAGCTGGCCGTCCACCTTTGGTCAACTACCTTGACGTCTCCACATTTTCTGAAAATGACTATGGGGGCTATCAGATCGATATTCCCAAGGAATTGATGTCTTGCTCGCACTGGTCACAAATGGCTGAAGAAATTCGAACTGCTCCTGACGAATGCATTTACCAATGCACGAGCCATTTTTTGATGCAATTAACGAAAATCAGAGCCAAGTCTTACAATGTCTTGTTCAGCGCATCGGCCGAACATAAGTCATTTTTCACCATTCTGCAAACGCTCTCCAGCCTAAACCAGGAACTCATGGACGTAAGCAATTCGATGCCTCCGGTTATTCGTCCGCTTTTCTACGATCACGTTGATTTCGACACTCGATACCGTGAAGTTGTCATGAAGCTCAGTGACACTTCTCGCGATAACTTTCTCACATTTCAATTGACCTACTTCATTCACCTCATGACTATCAATAGGTTGCCCTTCCAGATAGACTATCCTGATCACGATCAATTTTGTTCCGAGAGTCTCAACTTTCGAGAATTACAGTCCAATAGCTCAAGAACAATATTACATTTGGTCAGAAAGTTGGACAGGGCAACTGCATCTCCTTCCTGTGTCAAGTGGCTACTGTATTATCCTTTTGCTGCATACATGAGCATGATTAGAACCTGCCTACACAGACCAGCACACACCGATACTTATCTTGACTTGAAACTACTCATTGATGTATCCATGAATTTTTTCAGTTATTTCAAGCATGTGGAAGAAACTCTGGGAATAAATCGTTTCCATCCACTCAGCAGAGAAGCCGCCACGGATGGTATCGCTCGAATATTGTTGAGAATTGTTGTAAGGTACTTTCAAAAAACTACATCATATAATCTCATGGCTGAGATCGATGGATTGGAGGATCATTTGGAGAGTGTTACAAAAATCTTCCCAGATCTCCGTACCGCGGAAGATACTGAAGTGTTTCGGTTTATCTTTGGAGAGGATCGGCTCAACTGGGAAGCTCAGACAGCAAAGGAAACAAGCTCGACCAACAGCTCTATAAACGACACTTTCCAGGGCAAAGACGACCAGAAAGGCGCACCACTTAACTACGGTCTCTTTTTCGACAGTGGTTTGAACAACCCATTACTTGAGTCATCGTACTCTCCCATGAACAACTTGCCCAACTTTTTCTTTGACAATAATTTAGGCTAGTTTATTACTGAATTTAATGTGAACTATTTATCTGGTTCTGATAACACCGGCTGCAATCAATGTATTGATCTTCTTGCTGACGGCAGGGTTTCTCATGTGGTCTTGCAAAGCAGCAGGGTTGTCGCGGGCCTGACTCAAAATACCTTGCATAACTGGGTCCTGCAAAATGGACACAATTTCAGGATCTCTCGAAACTCTCTCCATGGTCTGCTCTGGAGTCTCACCCTCGATAGCCAGGAATCTCTGGGACATAGCACGGTTGAGTAATTGGTCAATCTCGTTAACATTCTTTCCCTCGCCAAGACTCAAGTCCTTTTCACGAGCCTCGTTCAAAGTCTCGATAACTTGAGAGTATTCTTTCATGGCCAATTGAGCATTAGCTTTACGAATGTAAGCACGAATAAACGTTGGGTCTTTCTCAATAGCCTTGTTACAGTCGTCGACGGCGTCGGGGAACGACATCAATTTGGCCAAAGCGGCCGCTCTATTAGAGTATCCACGGGCATCTTCTGGGGCTCTCTTGACCATTTCGGTATACGCCTTGACAGCATTAGGCCAATCTCCCTTTGTGAAGTACTCTTTACCTTGCAAACGTGCTTCTTCTGCCTTCTCAGGGTCAATGTAGCTTTGTGCCTCACGAACCTTGATCTCTTTCTGGGTTGATCTCAACTTGTTCAAAACGTCTGGGGTTCTGTGCTCGGTCAACGATTTGTCAAAGTACTTGGCAGCTGTCTCAAGATCTTCCTTCTTTAAGTAGATGTTACCCAATCTGGCAAACGACTTGGCAATGATTTTGTAATCGGCTCTCATTTCTCTGCCTTCATCAATGGCAGTCTGACAAGTCTGAATGGCTGCGTCATAGTCTCCCTTTTCGTATTCAGCAGCAGCACGGTTGTTGAGGTATGTGATGTCCTTGTGGAGGTCCCAAGCTTTCTGGTAAAGAGCAATGGCTTCATCAAACTTCTTTTGCTTGTAAAGAGTGTTTCCTTCAGCTTTGGCTGCATCGGCTTCGGACTTGCTGGTCTCCATAGGTTCTGGCTCAGACACCACAGGGTCCTCAGCGGTCTTGCTGGTCTCCATTGGTTCTGGTTTGGTTTCGGGTTCTGGTTCCGATTGTGCAGCATTTGACGAAGAAGTTGAGGCTGACGAAGGCTGTTCACCGCCCATAGAAGGAGGAGCATCCATGTCGATTCCCATCAACGTGGCCATGATCTGCATCATTCTAGGGTCAGTCATGAACTGCATGGCATTTGCCTTTGGGTTTTGTTGCACATTCATCACCTTTTGCACCAATTCCGGGTCTTTCATGAGCTCAGCCGTCTTTGGATTGGATCTCAAGTTGGCGATCAAATTGGGATCCGAGAACATAGCACCCAAGCCCAAGTCTGGCTGACTGTTGCGCGAAGCCTCGGCTTCTTCTACGGCTTTCAATCCGTCCTTGGCCATGGCATTACTGGGGTCGAGTTCGAGTGCCTTTTGGTAGGCTTTCTTGGAATCTTCATAGTTGCCCAAACCATAATGGGCACTTGCCACTCTGTTGTAGCCCTTTGCCCACAGCGAGTTGGCTTCGATACATTGCTGGGCGTCTTCAAGAGCCTTTTTATAGTTTTTCAACGAGGCGTAAGAAGCGGACCGGTTTGAAAAAAGAACATGATTTGGAGTTGGAGACGCCTCGATGGCCTTGGTGAAGTATTCAATGGCCTGCTCAAACTCCTTGGCAGCGAAATGCTTGTTTCCTTGCGCTTTGTATTCTTCGGCTGACATGGTGAGGAAGAAGAGTTGAGTGCGTTAAATGTTCAAGATCAAATTTCTAGAAAGTTCGCACTGGGGAAAGATAGAGGAAATGGAACTAAAAATGGACGAACTAAAAATGGGCATACTATAAATAATACTTGGTTATAAATAAGTGGTTTGTAAATAAGATTGGTTTATACAAGTCTTGTTTTACAGAAGCAATTGTAGATATCAATTAGTCCCAATTTGCAGCCGAATGTTCTGGTTTCAAAGAAGCAATTGCGGCCTTGTGTATTCTTCCTAGTGTGATATTCATCCTAGCGTATTATTGATATAGGGACAAGTCCAGTCAGTCATTTGTAGAAACTGTCAGTGTAGTAATGGCATATAGTGAAGCATGTCACTATGAGAATGAGCAAACAGATAATGGCTCAGCCCAAATCATGAGACCACAAGCACTTGCTTTCGTTCATAGCTCCTTTCGATGAAACAATTTTGGTGACCGTTTTTCGAAGCTATTGCAGACTATGTCGAAGTAATTGCGAACGACGTCTTCGACACCAATGATCTCTGATTACCTCTGGCTATCTCTGGCTATCTCTGGCTATCTCTTTGTATGAATTGGATTCCTTGAACCCGATTAACCAGCCAGTCCATCCATTCACAGAAGCAGTAATTAAATAGCTGTGCCGATGCACAGTGAGCAATGAATAACCCTAGATCTTCGTCACGAAGAGCTGCATCTTTCTGCCACCTCTTGTACCAACTTCAATGGGTATGCTGGCCCATAGCCGTGGCATCGTTCATGGCCCTTGAGTTTTTCCATTATTTCAATGACATCAATATCCTTGTCCAGGTCTTCAGCCATACGCACCAAGTAGTCCCAAACAGCACCCACCGCCAAGATTTTCTCGCCTGGCTCCTGAGGAATCTCGTACACCCTGTTGATGTTGTTGGTGTCTATTTCGTGTGCATTTCCCACCAAGTTGTGCACAAAGTCCTCCTGGGTACTTGGAAATGCAAATGAAAACCCACTTGGCGGTTTGGTATCGGGGTGTTCCGCGGCGGTCAGCGACGCTAAACTTCTCAACCGTTCGTTTTCGCTTTGCATGTTGAGGTTGTGTTTTCTGATCAAGTCCAACTGGTCAAGAAGTCGTTTTTTCTCATCTTCAGATTGAGTGAGTTTGAGCTCTAATTCCTTCATTCTGGTCTCTTTCCGCTCCCGGAACGCCCGCTGTGCAAGCCTATTCTGGGCCTTCCGCTTAAGCTGCAATTCTTTGTCTGAAAGCTCAGTATCGTCTCGTGCTAGCAATGCAGCTTCTTCTTCGCTCACACCTTTCACTTTAGTTTTACGCAGACTCGTGCTCTGCGTGGCAGCAGCCTGCGACCGCCTGAACGTCTCTGTCTCTACAGTCAGTGTCGATGCTGTGCCGGGAGAAGGGTGGGCTCGAGAACTGGGCAGCGAGTAACTTGCTTGCGAAGACTGGTTTTCGAAAATGGAATTGTAAAGGTTCATGTTTTCGTGGTTAAGTTCTATGGGGTTTCCGTTATTAACATTCATGTGCTTGTCGCACTCTTGGTGTATTTCGTTCATGGCAGCTTCGTCCATGGGGTTTTCGTTGACATCATATATCATTCCAGAATTAGCTAATTCTCTTGGAGTTTGAGAAAAAAACGATATATTTGCATCCGAGTTGTCGGGGGTGGTCCCCGTGGGCTCGTCGAGGATCCTACAAGTTTCTGTGTGTTCCATTATTCGTGGAGTTGATCTTCCACGCTCACTAATCAGGGAGTGCAGATGTGCTGAATTCGCGGTGCTGAGCGAGCTGAATTCGGTGCATCGCTCGCCTGCACCCAGCGCGGGCGTAGAGATATACGGCTGCAAATATCCATACGGCAAAATCACAAGAATTTTTTTTTCAAACCTATTGGATATCTTGATTTTGACCCTTTTTGTGATGATGCCTTTAATTTGCATTTAATTGATGTGTTTAAGACCACTAACCTGAGTAAACTCAGACCTATAAGTTTTCACTAATACATACAAAGAATTTTATTGTTGGCAAAAAAACTTTAGTTTGATTCTTTGGTCTCTAACTTACGAAAACTAGCCATTCATTGGCGAGAGATTATGGTAAAGTCTTGTTTTCTTCAATTTTAGATAGTGAACTTTAAGTTTTTACGTCCTGTTTTAGATGGTGAATTTTAGGTTTTTACGTCCCGTTTTCGTCTCTGTATCACCATAAACTATTAAATGGGCCACTTAATGGTGTCGCTTGCTTGCTTATATTGTGGTAGAAGCATTGACTGGTAACTGAAATACCTTGGCAAATTATTTTTTATGGCAAGGTGATAATCGCAATTACCATTTTTCACTTTTTTCGTTGATTTCTGGAACAAGCTTGTTGGGCTCAAGACTGCCATAGCATCAAGTATGAAGATTTTTCTAGACTCGTTTTGTTTTTCCATGGACTTGGGCTGCTAAACCATATTTTCTATTGTTCCTGCACAAAAACGTTTTGAAGTGTGGTTTTGCTGCAATCGCGCACCACACCTTGATGGTTTTATAAAACACCTCGTTGGTTGTGGACTATATGAGTATTCTTTTTGAAACAACTGCTGGAAATGTGGTTATAGACGTTGAAACTACAAGTTTAGGTTACAATTTTGTCAAGTTGGCACGGGCAAATTACTTTTTCTTTGCTCCTTTCTATGGCTTGAAGAAAGATACTGTGGTGGTATCTGGTGACCCAGAGTACCCAGAGAGCCACGGACGGTCGATATGTGCCATTGCCACCATTCCCGAGAAATATGGGCATAACGATAGTGGATATTTGCACTTCACTACTGTTGATGATGAAAAGGGTGCAAAAAGTGTTTCAGCTGACGACTCAGATTCGGCACTTGGGGTTGTTTTTTTTGTTACCCGTGGCGAAATAGCCTCGCAAGATCCCACTATCGGGTCTACTTTTGCCATTTCATTGACTTCAGACTGGAATTTGCTTCGCCATATGAAGAACTTGGTTCGGGTTGGCCGCGTAGCAGAAGGGTTTCCTGCCCTAGATACTATAAACAACAGTGCTGTGGACGATCAAGGGCGCCCGCTAATAGACGTTCGCATCACAAACACCCATATTCTTCATGATCCATTTCCCGAACTCGAGGTTCCACAACTTTCCCACGAAGTTTCCGAAACCCAGCTTCGAAACGTGCGAATTAGCACCTCTCCAAAACCAGAAAGAGACTCAGACCATGTCAATTCCGCCGCTATAGCACTTGAATTGCTTGGTGATTTACCACATTACAACGTCAAGCCGTCTCCTCACACTTTATTCATCGCCAAGTTGAATCCAGTCACCGACGCAGCGTCCATAGCTTCACTTTTTCTGCGCTACGGAACCGTCAAAGGAGTCACTATCATTGCCGGGAAATCCTATGGATTTGTGGAGCTCTCGTCTACCACCGAAGCTGATCGTGCCTACGCTGCTCTTCAGGACGTTGTCGTGGACGGACGTCACGTCGTGGTGGACTACTCGCAATCTACAAAAAAGCAACAAATGAACTCATGAAAAGCATCCGATTCACTTACACTATTAACTACTGAGACTCCTCACAGTCACGGGAAATGTGACCAGCCTTACCGCAGTTGTAGCAGGTTTTGGCTCCAGCGTCTCCTCCAGCATTGCAGTCCTTGGAAATGTGTCCAGCCTTACCACAGGCGTAGCACTTGAGCGAGCCAGCTTGGCAGTCGCGAGCAAAGTGGTTGGGACCTCCACACTTGTAACAAGTGGTTCCGTTTTTGGAGAATTTTGGTGCTGGTGCACTTCCAGTGGAAGCAGCAGCGGGACGTCCTCCCTCACTACAGTTCTTGGAAATGTGTCCAAACTGTCCACAGTTGTAACACTTGGCTCCCTGGGCAGAAGTTGGGCAGTCCAGTTGAACATGGCCCAAATCTCCACAAGAGTAGCACTGTTTTTGGCTTGGCTGTTTTGGCTCAGGACACTCGGTGGATTCGTGTCCTGGCTTGCGGCAGTTGTAGCACAATCTTTCGGTTTGTTGGCAGTTGTCTGCCAAGTGGCCCACTTCACCACACTTGTAACAGGTTCTAGGGAAAACAGCAGCCATCTTCTCTCTCAACACTCCGGTGAATCTGCACCAGTTCAGCAATTTGGTGAAAATTTGTCAGGTTACCCGGCCGAGGACATGGAATAAGGTTCATGAAGTTTTGGATAAAAATTCATAAACGATTGACTCAGATGTGTCAGGAGTGTTATTAGAGGTGATTGGATACTTTGGACTGTCCTAGAAACTTTCCTAGAACATTTATTGTGGTTAGATCCGGTTATCTGTTCCTGGTTCTCCCGTCCTGCATGTACCTACTCCACATCATCGAGCGGCGCAACAGTGAAAACCTTGAAGAGGTCGAAACAAGCTGTAAACGCAGTTTTTGGAAGCTGTGGCATTGCGCATCGAGCAACTAGAAGCATAGAGCTGAAAGCTACTTTGTGGTTGCTAGAACTTGTTGTTAAATTATTAGCTAATATTGTCCTCCGTATTACATAACGTGATAACCTTGACAGAAGGTGCAAACAGCAAATTATTCAAATCGGCCCAGATTACGACAGAAGAAAGTACACCTTCACAAATCCGGGAAATCTGAAGCATTACATCAAATAAAGCTTTTTGGTTGCAAAAACGTGACATTCAGTCGATTATGTAATGCACGGCTCTGCACTAAACAGATCAACCTAAACCTCTAGATCTGGCAGCAATTCACCAAGGATCGCTAAACTGTAGTAGAGGCGTCGTGGTCGCAGAAATGTGTTTCGTGAAGGACATTCGTGACATTTATGCGAAATCTGACAAGTTTCGAATTTTGCAAATATTTGAAAAACCTCAATTATGTACTTAAAATTATTGGTGGGAATGAATCTTATTCACAGGGTCATACTATACAATACAGTTTTAGGATCTAACAATTTACTGATTATTCAAGGTTCCTCCTCGTTTAGTTTGAAAACGGTTCACCAACTAATAAAACTCCGATCGAACACTTCCGATCGGGGAGCGGTTAGTCTCAACCAGGATGTATATATGATGGAACTTCCTTTTGTTGCTTCCTCAATTCGAACCACAGACCCTAGGTCGTTTGGTGGCTACAGCAAATTACCCTTACTTTGGGTATTGGAATGAATTCACTGACCATGAAAAGTGGGTAAATTGGCGTGCTTGGAAGTGATCTGTAAACCGGAAAGGTGAGTGAAAAGGATAAGGGACTGTGAGTTTTAGCTGGAGTGATCATCTGCTTCAGACGATGTGGAAGGGTGAATTCAAATATGACAAGAACGTCCAAGTATGTGACACAAGTACGTTCGAATATCTGGACAAATAGAATCAAGTATTTCGAAAAACTTTCCGAAATGTGTCCAAAATATTCCAGAGAATCCCAATACCAGGAATTATCCCAGACCTTAGCTATTGTCTCAATTGGCTAGTTCATTCAGTTCTATTCACCGTCGCATCATCGCCATGGTTCTGCCTCGGTCGGTCACATACACAAACCCTGTTTTATTAGGAAACCACTGGATTCCCGCAAGGGATACACCACCTAAAATGCTACTAGGCACCTCGAGTATCTCTTCAAGAGTTTCGTAGTCGAAAATTCGCAAGTTAGACCCACTGTCGTAAGCTACACCGACGTAATTGCCGTCTCGAGAAAGACTCACTTGAGCTATAGCTTCATCGACAGTGGTTAGAACCTTGTCGTTGACGAGCGTATCGGTTTTCCAGAGCGAAACAATGCCATCGCTGGAACCCAAAGCAAAGTAACGACCGCGAGAATCCACTGCCACAGAAGTTACCACAGAACGGTGTCCTTTTGCAGTGAAAAACGGCGACAAGCCTTGTGAGTGCTTGAAGATGGTGTAGGAACCGTTTTGGAACGTTGCAGCCAAATATGTGTGTTGGTGGTTGAACCATGCTAAGCCATATATGTGCTCATCTGTAGTGACATCTGCCACTATTTGGTAATTTTTCTTCACTTCCAACAACAAAATGTGCTTTTCTCGGCATCCCACCGCGAGATACTGTCCGTCTGTTGAATATTGTACCAAATGACTCGTATATATTTTGTCTAGCGAAATTTCACGTTCGAGCCTGCCATTGGCATGCCATATTTTGACACTTTTATCTCTCGCAACCGTTGCAAACTCAAGCTCCTTGAGCGGGTTCCACGAAACACCCCCCACCGCACGAGAATGGGCATTTTCTATCGTGACACAGTCAGAAAAGCGATCTGCACATCGCCAGACTTGGAGAGAACGGTCGGTTCTTGCACCCACCACGCGACTTCCGGTGGCATTGATGCCAAATGTCACTACTTCCGACCCAGCAGAGCCCAGATCCTTGGCGCTGACACTCACAAGCTTCTGGAAGTACCCCTTGTTGTCCGATGCCATATGGAGCTGTGCAGTGGCTTGTCCTGCAGTTTGCGCGAAGTTGGTGAAGTTTCGCATCCAAAATCTCAGAACCGAACACCTTCGTCCCAAAAAAGCCAATTATGCCCCAGCCCAAATTGCTTTCTTTCGACGCTTTTGCGAAGACCGTGGAGGACGCAAGGGTCAGGACACCCGCTGGTGGAATAATTACTCTTATTTGTGTAATAGTGGTGCTTTACCTAATCAGAAATGAATATCTGGAGTACACGTCCATCATCAACCGTCCAGAATTGGTTGTGGATCGAGATATTAACAAGAAATTGGAGATAAATTTGGACATCTCGTTCCCGGATATCCCCTGTGATGTGTTGACAATGGATATTTTGGACGTTAGTGGCGATCTTCAGGTGGATTTGTTGCTGTCTGGATTTGAAAAGTTTCGGTTGTTGAAAGACGGGCTGGAAATTCGAGATGAATCGCCGGTGATGAGTAGTGCTGGCGAGTTGGAGGAACGTGCTCGCGGTAGAGCTCCCGATGGGCTGTGTGGGTCGTGCTACGGTGCACTTCCTCAGGATGAAAATCTGGATTACTGCTGTAATGACTGTGAAACCGTTCGTCTTGCGTACGCCCAGAAAGCTTGGGGGTTCTTTGACGGCGAGAACATTGAGCAGTGTGAGAGAGAGGGATATGTGGCTCGTTTGAACGAAAAAATTAACAACTTTGAAGGTTGCCGAATTAAGGGAACAGGTAAAATCAATAGAATTTCCGGCAACCTTCACTTTGCTCCGGGCGCCTCATTTACAGCTCCAGGAAGCCACTTCCACGACCTTTCGTTGTTCAACAAATACGACGATAAGTTCACGTTTGACCATGTTATCAACCATTTGCTGTTTGGCCTGGATCCTCACAACATACAATTTTTTGAAAAACAGCTGACCCATCCCTTGGACAAAAGTTCCATGATCCTCAAGAGCAAGGATAGGCTTTACTCGTACTATCTCAAGGTGGTGGCTACGAGATTTGAATTCTTGACACCAAACACTCCAGCTTTGGAAACCAACCAATTCCTGGTGATTTCACATCACCGTCCATTGGCTGGAGGAAAAGATGATGATCACCAGCACACCCTTCATGCTCGAGGAGGACTCCCCGGTGTGTTTTTCCACTTTGAAATTCTGCCCATGAAAATCATAAATAAGGAACAGTATGCAAAGACATGGTCTGGGTTTGTGTTGGGAGTCATTAGTTCCATTGCTGGTGTGCTTATGGTGGGAGCGTTGCTCGACCGGTCGGTGTGGGCTGCCGAGAGGGTGATACGAGCTAAAAAAGATGAATGATAGATGTAAGCGCTATATACATGAAGATCTATACATCACTAAGCAAATGCTGGATTTCGTCGTAATTGGAGAGGTGCTGGCTCAATTCGTCTTTGGAAAGCCACATGTACTTCTCTCCGTTCTGGGGCTCAAATTTTCCCGATAATATGTGTGATTTGATGTAAAAGGTTTTGCTGGTATCGCTGCTGGAAACATGGCATGGTGTGTTGGATACATTAAAATAATTGATTTTTTCTCCGCCCAATTTGTAGATACCAGTCTCAGCAGAGGTGTGTAGAGCCTGGTCCTCGGCTGCATCGAACGTGGGAAAAGTCCAACTTCCATCTTGTTGAACTACGAGATACAACGTTCTTGCCAATTTTCTTTCAAGACTCGTTACGTCGTTTTTCTTGTCTGCTTCTGTCACCCGAGAATTGGGAACAATTTTTCTCGACAAATTATCGTTAGCAGCTACTTCATCTTCTTCTTTTGCTTCACTATAAGTCTTGGGAAGTGACAATTCTTGCTTGAATCTACGGTCTCTTTGCTGTCTTATATCCGGTCTTCCGCGTGGAAATTCGATGTTTGGGTTGTTGTATACGGGATTAGGGTTGAGTTCGCGGAATTTCTGCTCGGAAAGTGTACCTACACGGTAGTAAAACCATTTGGGAAACGTCCACATAAGTCTCTTCCAGAGCTCATTTTGATAGCGATAAAACTGAGATTCAAACTGAGGAAGATCAGCCGTGACAACAGGATTTCGTGAAACAAGGGCCGTGGTGCGTATGACCGGCTTTGCCAGGGTCGCAAATGTTCTAGACCAGCCAATCATTGGGTCTTGGTCTACTCTTGGATTTATGCGGTTTTGATTTTTTTCAGCGGCCCAGCGTAAACCTTGGACCGCGCGCACATAAATTGGCGTACATATAGGCACAGACCAGCTCTAAATACTGCATATTGTGTGCCCATTCGCGTCCGGGTAACACGCCACTATATAAAGAGGCATTTTCGCAGTTTTCGCAGCTGGTCTCATCAGTAGATAGTTAACCGCCCCTAAACAACGTATAGATCCAATTTCGTAAGGCTGTATAAAACGCCCAGTAAACGTAATGGCCAGTGAATTTGAATCCATAATTAAAGAGCTTCCCACGCTAAAAGCTCCGGGAGTCAGTGGATCCCGAATCAAAAAATTAACCGAAATTGCCATTTCCAATGTTTCTGTAAGTAATGAGAGGTGGAAAATGGGTGCAAACGGTACTAACATTCAGGACGAGGCGAATATCATTCAAATATTGTACTCTAATTGTAAAGCCGCGCCATCTTCGCATAAATTAGGTACGCTCTACGTTGTCGACTCTATCGTAAGAGGTCTCTTGGAGGAAGCCAAGAAGAACAAACAAACAGTAAATGCCGATGCTCCGCAAGGTACCTATGCCGCTGCCGTGTTCAAAATTACAGAGTTGATTGAATCGATCGTGGATGATGCTTTGGAACTCCTGGTCAGTAAATCTCAAAATACGAAAATCGGTAAACTAGTAGACATTTGGGAGCGTGCAGACACGTTTCTGCCAGAGCTTATCGCTCGTATCAGAGAGAAGCATTTCAAGTCCACGACACCACCTGGTTCTCCACCGAGAGCGTCGGTTGAACCTGCTAAACCTGCCGGTTCCGGCGACTCGGGAAGCATTTTGCTGGCCTTGGCTTCGTTGGCAAAGACGGCTAATTCTAACAGTTCGACACCAACCACCACGACTGCGGTGCCGGTAGAAAACAATGCCAATAATGTGTTGCTGCAATTGTCTGCTTTGGCTAAACCTCAGCTGGGGTCTCCAGCGCCTGCGGTTGCAAATGGTGCTCCCGCTCAAAACGAACAACAAATTTTCAGCATGTTGCAGCTGATGCAAAATGGCGCCGGTACAAACCCCGCCCCTGCAGTTCCTGCAATCTCACAAGGCGGAGGTCCTAATCTTCCAAATATTCCCAATGTAGGTGGAGCCAGGGGACGCTACGACGATAGTAGTTCGTACTCCAGAAGAAACAGATCGAGGTCTCCCAACCGCGGCGCTCAGCCCAGAAGAGAGAGGTCTCCTCCGAGAGCATATGGAGCGCCGGGACCTGGACAGGGACAACCTATGGGACAAATGGGAGGATATATGGGTGGACCCGGTAAACCACCGATGGGTCAGCCTATGGGGCAGCCTATGGGACAACCAGGTCAACCAATGGGACAACCAATGGGACAACCAGGTCAGCATATGGGACAGCCTATGGGTCGAATGGGTCAACCTATGGGTCAAATGGGTCAAATGGGTCAACCTATGGGACAACCAATGGGTCAAATGAACCAGCCTATGAACCAACCAATGAACCAGCAGGGCGGCGAAGATGGACCTATGAATCCTGGAGAATTGAATATTCCAGGCTCGGCGCATTATCGTCCCCGTAATGTTGGTTTCGACCCATCGTTGCCTCAAGGCTCATTCAAAGTGTTATCTCGAACTCTCTTCATTGGTGGTGTTCCTCGCCATATGTACGAACAAGACTTGGCCAATGTGTTGAGACCATACGCTGAAGTCCAGTCGGTGATTTTGAACAGTGAACGGAAACATGCGTTTGTTAAAGTGTATTCTCGTCACGAAGCAGAACAAGTTATCACCTCGTTTGCCAAAGAGAACACTATGGGTCTTAGAACCAGATGGGGTGTAGGATTTGGACCAAGAGATTGTTGCAATTACCAACATGGTATTTCTATCATTCCCATCCAAAGATTGACCGATGCTGATCGTGCTTGGGTGGTCCAAGCCCAATGGGGTGGAACCGGAGGTCAACCTTTGCTGAGTGGTATGGTTATTGACGAACCCGATATTGAAATTGGTACTGGTATTTCGTCCAAAGCCATGTCCAAAAAGATGCCTACCAATTCTGCCAGAAATGGACCCAAGTCCAATAGACCAGGTGAACCCGATGAAGACTATGTCAAGACCACTTTGATTCCTCAGCAAACCACCATGTCTCACGGAGCCACTCCCGACTTTAATACGTTCCTGCAATCTTCGGTGAATCCATTGTCGGGATTGTTCAATAATAATAATGGTGGAAATAGTCCACAACTTCCTGTTAACCCTGCCATGGCACAAGCGGGAAACATGCAAGGATACCAGCAAAATCAAGGCCAAAATCCTAATCTTGGAGCCCAACTCGCCAACTTTTTTCAGAATGGAGGAAGATAAAAAAGAGAAAGAAGAAATGTGCCGATAAGATACTAGTAAGCATACTTATCTATCATAACAGCAGATATCCCAATCAAGACCCCTTTAACTTTATAGCTTACGTTTTATATATTACATTCAAATCTCACTGTAGTTCTCATTTCTCATCTTTCGCGTTGTTGGTAAATATGGACCGGCGATTTCCTAGCTTATCTCCCTTCAAGAAACGCAGTTCTCCCCATGCTAGAAATGTAGATGTACCCCTGGCCAATGATGGGTATCGTGATCCTAGAAGGGACGGAAAAGGACCAAAACGACAATTTTCGCAACCGATGAATACTTTGGTTCCACTAAGAACTTATAAAAAGAAGAAGAAAAATGATGAAATAAAGTCGAAAAGAGGAATAAATGAAGGGAAGGAGAAGGAGAAGGTCGAGAATGAAAGGGAGAAAGAAGAAAAGGAAAAAATGGAAGAAAATTTTCAAAGTGATTCTGATAGCCAGCTTATTGATCTCTCTCTTCTTTCCAGCAGTCCCACTAGAGATAGAGGCAATGAACTTGATGAAATTGCAAAATTGATACAAGAAAGTGAAGACGAACCAGCAGCTGACACTTTAACAAAGAGTTCTACAAGTCAACTTGGAGTTCCAAATCTGAGCACAAATGAAGAAGATTTCAGTAAAGACGATTTCAGTTCATTTCCCAGTTTGATGCAGTCATTGCAACGAAAAGTGGTTGAGAGTAGTACTGAGATAGCAGAACGGTTCAAGGAGTATGGGATTCCCAAACCGGTTACTTCCAAGAGAGAATTGGCAGTTAGAGTGGATCGACATCTACAAGTTGCACGCAAGGTTTTGACTCAGAAAAAAGGTTCAAGCTTCTATAACTCAGCCAAGAACATCCTGAACCAGTCCCTCCACGATACAATGACCCTGAAAGAAAAACTGGAAATCGACTGGACCATTTTTTATGGTGGCTACTACGGGTTGAAAAGACAACTTTTCATCGGTAATATTATTGTGAGTCAATTGCACGACGAACTTCGGACCAGCGCTGGAAACTGTCGAGAGATATCCTACTGGACCATAAATGGCTTTTCATCGTTTGTATTAGCCAATGAGGTGATCTTGTCGATGATAATGGAAGACTTTAAATGCGATCGTGAGAAGGCCGAAAATATAGCAAGAGAAACGGTGGACTACGGAAAAGCCATTACAGACACCAGAGATATCACAGATGACATGGATGTGGGCGAGTTATTGCAAGAGGAGTCAAAGGAGTTTATGAAGAGTATTTCGAAAAGATAGGGTGGTTCCTGCCCACTATCTACCCCGCGAATTTTCATCTCATCTCATTGACCATCAAACTGCTCTGCACACGCCTACTCAAGCCGGCCCTACGTCCGGCGCCTTTACGAAACCTACACTCCTCAATGGCACAACTAACCGATAAAGTGTTTATCCAGGACCTAGCTGTCACCGCAGTGACCGGACGCGATGCCTGGAGCAAACCGAGTCCGCAACCAATCACGATTTCTGTCAGCTTGCAAACCGATTTTCACCAAGCATCGGTTACTGATAACCTCAAATATTCGCTCAATTATGCCGTGATATCCCGCAATATTCTGGAGTACATGAAACTGCAAGAACATCGCAATTTTGGATCGTTGGGAAACATCGCTGAAAACGTCGCAGTTACTGTTCTCGATCCCAAGAAGCACGGAGGAGAGCACGCGAGCGTGGTGGTGAAAAGCACCAAGTCTGAGATCAGGGCGAGCAGCATTGAGTACACTGTGGCACGAAGTCGTGGTTTGGGCGCTGTGGTGGACGATCATATTCGAATCAATGGGCTTCGATTATTGACGATTATTGGAGTTTTCACGTTTGAAAGGGAACAGAGACAGATCGTGGACATTGACATTGACTTGAAAGTGGTTCCTGGCTCCGAAACTTCAGTGCATCAAATCGTAGACGACGTTGTGCGGTATGTTGAAACGTCCAATTTCAAAACCGTGGAAGCTTTGGTGATGAAAATTGGTCAATTGATATTCCAATTCCACTCTACTGGTGTCAAAGATGTTTCTGTGAAAGTCACAAAGCCAAATGCCATCACTTTTACCGAAGGTGTGGGTGTTGTCTCAGACATGACAATTGACAGTTTCAAGAACGTTCAGCCGCTCGAATTCAAAAACAAGCTTCTGCACTCGGGGTTCGACTTGCCCACTTCCGAAGAAGAAGCCCGGTTTACCGAGGGAACACACGTAGCATATATTGCTTTTGGGTCCAATGTGGGAGACCAATTGCTGAATATCACCGAGGCATTGAAATTACTTGAACAAAAGGGAGTTCATGTTGAGTCGACGTCTTCGCTATATGTTTCCAAACCCATGTACCACAAGGACCAGGCGGAATTTTTCAATGGAGTTATCAAGGTGAATGTGAAACACAGTCCTCAGGAACTCTTGGCGGTGTTGAAAGAAGTTGAATATCAGCACCTTCAAAGAGTGAAAGAATTCGATAACGGTCCTCGGTCCATTGATTTGGATATCATTCTCTACGACGAGATCAGCATGAATACCCCAGAACTCACGATTCCTCATAAGGCCATGTTGGAACGAACGTTCGTTTTACAGCCGCTCTGCGAAGTATTGGGTCCGGAATACGTGCACCCAGTGAGTGCTGAGCCGGTCCATGACCATTTGAACCAACTTTTAAAGACCCAACCGGACAGTAATTTACAAGAATCCTCGGCATTGCTTCTGATGACACCAGTTAGCCGGTTAAAAAGGCCTATACTTCAGTATGATATGCAGAATGGGTCGCAAAAGACCCTAATTATGGGCATAATGAACACCACTCCAGACTCGTTCAGTGATGGTGGAGCCAACTATCGGTTGCTGGAGGAGGATGTCCAGCAAAAAGTACTTCGATTAATCGAAGATGGAGCAGATATAATTGATATTGGAGGAGTATCAACTCGACCAGGAAGCGCTGCGCCAGATATCGACGAAGAATTGGCACGAGTGGTTCCTGTGGTGGAAGCTATTCGTAAGTGCAAGAATGAAAAGGTTGCAAATGTGTTGGTTTCTATCGATACGTATCGGGCCAAAGTGGCCGAAAAGTGCTTGGAAGCCGGGGCAGATATCATCAATGATATCAGTATGGGTCTTTATGATGAAACCATTTTCGACATAGTTGCCAAGTTTGGGTGTCCATACATCGTCAACCATACTAGGGGGACCCCAGAAACCATGTCCAAGCTCACCAATTACGAGTCCAATACCAATGAGGATATCATCGAGTACTCGGTAACTGATGCTATTTCCGGCCCAGAAACCGTCAATCTTCTCAACGGCGTATGCCGAGAGCTCTCGTCTCAGATCCTCAAAGCGTTCACTCGTGGGGTCCGCAAATGGCAGATAATCGTCGATCCAGGAATCGGGTTTGCAAAAAACATGCTGCAAAATCTCGCTATTCTTAGCCATACCAACATTTTGAAAAATTATTCCGTGGAAAACCGGGCTGCCGGCTCGTACTTTGCATTGACCGGCCTCCCGATTCTCATTGGTGCTTCCAGAAAACGTTTTTTGGGAACTTTGATCGACGAACCAGTGGCTGCAAATCGAGCTTTTGCAACCGGAGCCACTGTTACTGCTTCTGTGCAACAAGGAGCACACATAGTCCGTGTGCACGACGTGAAGCCAATGGCTGAGGTGGCCAGGGTTGCAGACGCCATCTATAGAAACATATGACGAACATTTCTTTTAGGTTTTAGTTATATTCTTCCTGTCTTTCCTGCACTTTTCTCGTTTTCGCCGCTGACATAAGCAGTGCGCTTCAGGTAAAATCAACAACGCACAGACGACGCATTGATGGAGGGCCGAAGTCTACGATCTTTGCTGAATGCCAGCACTCCTCTGATCACCAGGGTGGCTCTGGGACCACTTCTGAGGTTCAACAAGGCTCCTGCTCAGCTGCACTTTCATCAACGATGTGTAAAGCTTCGTAATAAACTTGAGCGCATCCACGGCATGTCTCCATATCTTCAAAGAGCGCAAAATTTGGCAGAACTGGCAGCAGAACTGCAGGCTTTGGCACTCTCACAGCTGCAGGAGGTGAGTGCAAACACCCCTACCTTTATAGCGGGCGTTTTACCTGCGGTGGTGACGAGTGATCCGGTTACTCATCTTTGGAAATTATTTCAACTTGGAGCCCCGCTTTGTTTATTGTTCAATGCGGTGGCTCCCGAGCACCCTATTGCGGTGGTGAGCAGCGATGATATGAGGGTGTGCAAGAAAAGTGTTTATGACTTTTTGTTGGCGGTGAAAATGCACCTTGGATATGAAGACGAGTTGATGATTCTGAATGTGTTTTCCGACTCCGGCACCGATTTCAACAAAACATTGCTGGTGGTGGAGAAACTAGCGCTGCGCGCCGATATCGTCGAGGAGGAATCAAGCTCGTATAATGGGGGAACCCTACCCAACTCCACCCCAGGCTCCCTTCCTAGTTCTCAACCTGGCTCGGCTCCGACATCCCGTTCGGCGTCTGGCCACGTCCCAATGCACACTCCGGAGGCAGCCATGTCGTCGCTCTCGTTGTCCGATCGCGGAAGACCGACTTTTGATCTCGAACCCTCTCCTTTGGATTCAACGGTTACCCTCAACGACGAGCACAGCTCAACCGATGCTTCGAAGGTGTTCAACGAGCTCGTTTATACCGAGAGAAAGTACTTGGACGACCTCGAGCTCCTCCTCAAGTACAAGAACGAAGTGAGACTTGCCGACTCGGTTCTGCCCGAACAATTGGATATCATGTTTCCCAATTTGGACGTCATAACTGATTTCCAACGACGTTTTTTGAACGGTTTGGAGTGTAATGTCGGCATATCGTACAAGTACCAACGAATTGGGCTGGCGTTCCTCCACGCAGCTCGCGGTCCATTCAGAGCGTACGAACCATGGACAATCGGCCAAACCGCCGCCGTGGAACTTCTTCATCGCGAGGGTGCAAGCTTGCGGAAAAGCTCATCGTTGATCGACCCGGGCTTTGAGCTTCACTCGTATGTCCTTAAACCGGTTCAGCGGTTATGCAAGTATCCACTTCTACTCAAAGAGCTCGTTAAAAGTACCTCTACTCTCAATCCAGGCTACGAAGAACTCACGCTAGCTCTCGAAGCGATGAAGGAAGTTGCACACAAAGTGAACGAGGCACAGAGACGGGCCGAAAACGTGGGTTATCTCCATCAACTTCAGACACGGGTGGTCAATTGGAAGGGATACAACGTAAAAGAGATGGGAGAGCTTTTGCATCATGGCATAATTGGAGTTAAGGTGAAGGACGAGGATGAGAAGGAGTTTTTGGCATATTTATTCGAGAGGGCAATCTTCTTCTTTGTTGAAGAAGCCCGAAAAAAATCAGGTTTCCGCAACAAAACCCCGAAAGCTTCTTCCAGTCTCAATATGATTTCATCCGACGGACCGCTCGAGCTCTCTGGAAGAGTCTACGTGCTGGAGATCTACAATATTTCCACCCTTGGGAACTCGTTGGTGATATCGTGGCTGGGAAAGAAAGAAAGTGGGCTGTTCACGTTCAGATACAAGACAGAGGAGACCCGCGCTCAGTGGGAGAGCTGCTTGCGAGGCTTGAAGCAGAGCGAAATGGCTCAGATACACAGAAAGCTCAGAGGGTCTCAAGATTCATTGGGTAACTTATCTATGAACTCAGACCGCACTGTCGGTACACCAGGCAACAGACACCATTCTTCATCTTCCACCACCATGATGCAACGAAGAGTGTTGGTACAACTCATACACCAGAACAACGACGCCGGAACGTTGGTTTTACCGGCTTCAATTACGTTTCCGGAAGTTTATCAAAAGATCGGAAATCGGCTCGGAGATGTTCAAAGATTACGCTACAAAGACGAAGACGGTGATTACGTGGTGATGGACTCGAACGAAGACTGGGCTATTGCGGTCGACATGGTGGAGGAAACCGGCGGCTCCATCACCATCTGGGTAAGTTAGATCCAGTAGGATTCGAATATACGAAACACAGCCACACACCAGCATTGAGAGCTACCTCATCGCGCGCATTACTTCACCGTTGTTCTGATTGGATCACAACTATTCCGTCCAATGTGGAACATATTACGTCCTGTAATCCGCCAGCGGGTGAATAGTGTATTTCGTGGGCGATGGCCACAATGGCGTGCTCCCGTTGCTTTGTTCCATTCCAATACACCAAAAAACCAGGTTTTGTTCTCACAACTTTCTCAAGAAAATCAAGAAATTTTGACTCTGGACCGCGAGGCTGATGAGGTAGACGTCTGTATCGTTGGCGGGGGCCCAGCGGGTCTTGCTACGGCAATAAAATTCAAACAATTGGACACTGAAGATCAATATCGTGTTGTGGTGTTGGAAAAAGCTGGTGATTTTGGAGCTCACACCGTCAGTGGGGCTGTTATTGAACCTAGATCGTTACAAGAACTCTTTCCCGATGAAGCAGAGGTGCTCCCTAATGACTTGACCACGTTGGTGACGAAAGATTCTATGCAATTTCTCACTGAAGAGTACGCATTTCCTCTTCCAGAACCACCTCAGATGAAAAATGCTGGTAAAAATTACATTGTTTCACTTAGTGAAGTGGTGAAGTACCTTGCTGAAAAGGCTGAAGAACTCGGGGTCGAGTTGTATCCCGGGATTTCTGTTAGCGAACTTGTATATAATGACGATGGCTCCGTCAAAGGAGTCGCTACTCAAGACATGGGAGTTGGCAAAGATGGAGTGCCAAAAGATTCGTTTGAAAGAGGAATGGAGTTCCATGCTGGTGCTACTGTGCTAGCAGAAGGCTGTCATGGATCATTGACGAAAAGAGCCATCGCCAAGTTTGGTCTTCGTGATCAAAGTGATCCTCAAACTTATGGTCTTGGTATAAAAGAGGTGTGGGAAGTTTTGCCCGAAAACTTTGAAAAAGGCTACGTTGGTCACACCATGGGCTTTCCTTTACTGCTGGAATATGGAGGTGGATTTATGTACCACTTTGGGGATGGACTAGTGTCGGTAGGTCTCGTTATTGGATTGGATTATGCCAACCCATATGTGTCTCCATACCAAGAATTTCAAAAGATGAAGCTCCATCCTTACTATGCCAATGTTTTGAGAGGAGGAAAATGTATTTCCTATGCTGCTAGAGCATTAAATGAGGGAGGTTTACAAAGTGTGCCTCAATTATACTTCCCTGGTGGAGCATTAGTGGGCTGTTCAGCTGGGTTTGTCAATGTTCCAAAAATCAAGGGTACACACACAGCTATGAAAACTGGTATGCTTGCTGCTGAAAGCATTTACGACGCAGTTTCAAAGAGATCCGAAGAAGATTCAGAACCCATATTGTTGAAATCATACCAGGAAGCATACGAATCTTCTTGGGTTTACGACGAACTCAAAGCCATTCGTAACGTTCGTCCTTCGTTCCAGTTTGGTTTGTTACCTGGTTTGGCTCATTCTGGAATATCTACTTTCTTCAATGGAATTGAACCTTGGACCCTTCATCATCCTCACACGGACGCCGAGGCCACCAAACCTGCTTCTCAGTTTACTCCCAAGGAGTACCCAAAACCAGATAACGAACTCACTTTTGACATCATGACATCAGTGTCAAGAACTGGTACTTATCACGATGAAGATGAACGGTGCCATCTTCGAATTCCAAACCAAGATTACGATGCACACGCTAAAATCAGCTATCCCGTCTACAAGGGAGTAGAGAACCGGTTCTGTCCTGCTGGAGTCTACGAGTACGTGGAAGACGAGAGCAAGGATCTTGGGGTGAAATTCAACATCAATGCTCAAAATTGCATTCATTGTAAAACTTGTGACATCAAGGTTCCCACTCAAGACATCGATTGGCAGGTTCCTGAAGGGGGTGGGGGACCCAAGTATTCATTGACATGAACATGCCCATCATGTAATGATGGGCAATAGGATCAGATTCGACCAAATACAACTATATAACCAAGTGGATTCGAGTGAATACAGTTATCATTTAATGGACCAACCTATTTTTAAGCCTAATACATTAAAGTAAGAGAAAGCACCAATGATCATTCGGTTCTCTTTCAAATTGCTAATGGTGAAAATCATTTTAAAATTCTTCTAATTTTTCTATTCTACACCTTGGAATTGGCAGCAGGCGGACCATGCCACGAATCTTATATTATACACGAGAATTAAACTAAGCAAAGAATTTGTCCAAATCTGAAAGACTGATATCCTCGGGAGCTCCAACATCGTCCAACCATTTTTCGCAGCAATGAGACGATTTTGGAATTGAAGAAATGGCTTTAACCGCAGCAGCGTGTAACGCAGCAGCAGCAGCCGCCGCATTGGGACTGTGGGAGCATGGAGCTCTAGGAGCACGAGGAGCAGCAGCAGCAGCAGTCAATATTTTTGTCTTTTTCGATTGGAGAAAAGAAAGTGACTTTGACCGCTTTCCATTCTTGTACGCAGTTTGAATTTCAAACCCCAGTTCTGGGTCATTGAACACTTCCAAATCTTCCAAATCACCGTCCGAGTCGATCATTTCCTTGTCATTGTCAGCCTCCTGGGCGTCAACGTTGTTTAAGGAAGCAGTGACAGGAGCTGATGAATAAGGTACAAACAATTGAGATGCCTTATCGGCCAGAGATTCGAGAAACGCTGGTCTGGAGACACCCAAATCGTACATGGTCAGCCTTCTTTGCTTAGGGTAGTCAGCTGGTAAAGAAGAAGATTCTGGAAGGGAATCTGTAGGAGAGGACAGCTTTTGAGGGTGGTCTTTAACATGTAAGTGAAAATCTTTTGTGAGAATTCCACGGTACACATACACCATTCTCTTGGGAGAAGCATCGGCCCAGTCTCTTGACAAGGCATATTTAAGATTAGAATCACCCTTTTCAACTCTTTTAACATACGCATTTAATTTGGCACTCACCAAATTTGAAGTTTTAGTTGAAAGATTCGCCATTTCTGGATGTCTTTGCACCAAAACGTCACAAATTTGCTTCACCGTCATGCCTTCGCCTTCGGGATCGTGCTCGTACAAAATAAGAAAAATTGCAAACAAAACATCGTCTTCTAACGAAGGGTCGGCGGACTGGTCCGGTTTGGGTTTTTCACCGGTGACGGGAATGGTTGTGGAAATACCAGTTGCAATGGGCGCACGCGAGGGGGGTTTAGGTTTCTTGTGTAGGGAGCCAATGGCCGCAGCTGCTGGTGTCGGAGTCGAACCACGGGACGAAGTCGACGTGAGGGTAGTGGAGGTTGTATTTTTGCGGTGAAGAGTGTCGCCAGCCAAAGTATCAGGAGAGATACTTCTCAGGGTGGGAGACAGCTCGGAGGCAAACGAGGATGACGACGAAATGCTGTCGTGTTTGGGGGAATACGACGGAGACACAGGAGCATGTCCTACTGGAAAACCAACGGGTCTTCTATCAGCCAAAGCCATTATATGAGAACAAAAATAAACTTCAAAGGGATGACTTAATATTTCATAGAATCTGGGAAGGCTGAACTTGGTTCAGGGCTTCGACTTTTTAATACTAGATTAGTTAAAACCTAGTACCCAACCCAGAAGACTATTTGAATAAAAAAAAAGTTTCAAGTGCAAAAAGCGCCTGCGGAGAATATCCTGGATTAGTACAGAGCACATTTGGGGGATCGGGGTTGCTTTTTGGTGGTCAACATACTATCTCCAATGGTAGCTACTAGCTATAGTATAGATAAAAGGAGAGCGAAAAAATCTGTTTTCTTTCGCATCTCAATGTGGGGGTAACCCTGAAGACGCATGGGAAAGCAAGTGAAAAAAACGGAAATTGGAAATGACTATGGAGTTTATTGGGAAGAAGGAAGTGGTCTGGGGAAGCTTATGGGTGCCAGAAACGGATTTGAGACCATTGGTGGTGATTTATTGGGAGAAAGAAGGATTTCCTCGGGCTCAACTATGTGCAGTACATTGATAGTGAAAAAACCAAACAGAATAAACTGCTTCAGGGCAGTCTAATTGATCAGTTAAGCATCCTAGTCAGGTCTGTGGTTGCATTAGAACTGGTTTGGGTGGTTTTCGGTCCGTTTTAGGGCCTTTTGGTGGTTATCATCATGCACACATTTCATAGGCTGCGAATGATCCGATAAGAAATCTACAAAATGAAAAGTATGAAAAATGGGAATTAAGAGCCCAAAGTTTACGAGGAGCTAGCCTTGTAGTAGATGATACTATCTGGACGTTTTTTTGTACGAATTTCTTCTCTTTTGCTGCCAACCTTCACTTTGCAACCACAGGTAGGGGCTGCAGCCCTGCGGCGCTAATTGCGGCGAAAGTGACACAAAATCAACGAATTTTGCAGCCTTTCGGTTAGATTAGAGACGAGTCACGTGCCAGGGCCGAGCCCTGGTTTTTGGCTGCAAAACGTTTTTGATGTGATGCGCATACAATGGAGGAGGACAGACAATGGCAGGTTAATTGGGCGAGGTAATTGTGCATTGAAGTTATAGGCAGTGAAAAAGGTGTATTGAATTAGTTGGGGTGGCACTGCATGGAAGCGAAGAATTTCAAGTTCTATGCATTGGGTTGTGGAATCGCCTGCATCACTGTGCGTCCTAAAGTATAATTCAAGGGTGGCCAGACCTGGAATGCTTCGCATGCGTCGATGTAACCCGAACCAAACTTGGATTGTGCATATGCGGGATGGAAAGTGGGCCGGTGAGGCAAGTGAACAGGGGTAGCTGTGCGTGCGGCGCGTGCGGCGCGCCACAGGGGGGTTGCAAAGCGGTTTTCAGGATTTCTGATTTATTTTCCATTCACTAACTGCCTCTCGAGTCCGTGCAAAATCGCTCAGCCAGTAATTGTCCTTGTATGGGGCTTCGAAGCTATGAGCATTGGGAGGTGCAAACCAATAATTGATGGCAATGTGAATATTATCGTCATTATCACCAAAACTGGTAACTTCATGAAACCAGCCTGCGGGAAGATAAAGCATATCTCCCTTTTGTAGCCATACTGTGTAGCGAGAGGTGGTGAGTAGTTCGGGGTAGGTTTTGTTCGCGAAATCCGCGAGACGTTTTTGAATTTTTTCGTCAAATTCATCAATGTGTAAAAGTGCGGGAGGAATGGTGCTGAACGACGGGGGTGAAGAACTCGAGGAATTCGAAGAGTCTTTTGTTTGGTTTAGTCTCTCCTCCTCCTCAAGTATCACAGACTCGTCTATCTTCTCCCGGCGGTCACTTTTCCACCGTAAAACTTCCGTTTCTAATGCTCCGTCGTCTCGAATGTGTCTCCAAAGTGGAGCATTTTTGTCGTGTTCGTAGTCGATGATGCCGCTATCGTAGATTTTTCTTATAGTTCCCACGGTGGCAAGACTGGGGCCCGAAGCTGGAGGGAAAATCGTGAATCTTTTGCGACCAGAAACGAGAATGTAGAGATTGTCAGCATGGTCATGGTGAAGACCAGACGACTGTCCATTGGGAACATACCTACCCAAGCCCAAATCAGGTAGGGACTCGTTGAGCTTGAAGGGTTGTTCTCGCTTGTTGCACCGGCCCATCCAAAGGTTGATCTGTTGGGGAATAAGTGTGGGAAACAACGATGGAGAAATGGGAAGTTTCTGAGGAGTGAGCGGAGGCTGAAAAAGTTCTTTGACTCTGTAGTGGATTTCTTCGGGAGAAAGGTCGATGTAGTCGTCGACGGAGCCCGAGAATGAGCCGGAAAATGAGCTGTCACTTTCGTTATCGGAGCCGTCAGGCTCAGTGAACTCAGACTTCAATCCAGACAATTCAGACTTTGTGACATTAAGTTTACTTTCTCCATTGACTCCAGCCTCAATTTCCTCCTCACTTTCTTCCTCATCTTCACTCTCATCTTCACTTTCTTCTTCGCTTTCCTGTTGATTTTCCATTTCCCCTTCCTGATTTTCCTCCCTTTCATACTGCGTCGTCAAGTAATAGCTGTCGTCGGCTTTCAACTTTTCCACCAATTCCCCCAAAAACATCTCCTGTCTTTCCCGTCCACCCCCAAACCCGTGGGCATCCCGGCGCTCCACCTTGAGAGGTCCGTCATACCCCAAATAATCGACTATTTTATCAACCTGAAATTTTTCACTTTCCACCTCACATTCAACCCCACTAAACTTGACAGGCTCCCGTCGTACAACATAGCCGGAAAACAACCCCTGTGGGTCACATGGCCCAGAGATCGTCGCCACCTCCTGCAGAGCCTGTTTTCTCCTCTTGAGTGTGTCCATTGTTAATTGTCCGCTATGCAAATTTCAACGGCATCGCAATTTACCAATTAGGAAATATATGGGGAACAACCACGAACAATCGCCGACATAAATCCTGATTCCTGAGGCCATTGATATGGTTGCTAATGCACATTGTTACTCGGCTGCTGCCCAATAGGGGCATTTTCCTACCTTTTAAACACCTGCGTCTACTTGAACAATAGAGTGCGTAGTCCGACCGGCGATCGATGATCAGCGCCTGGCGAGACGATGCAGCTAGACGAGACGGTTGAGGGGTTTGAATATTGCTCAAATTAGAGAGATTTACTAAAACTGACAAATAAGTGTGGAGAAGGAATAGAAATGTGAATTGCGAATTGTGGAGAATATGGGAATAGTGAATAGTGAATAGTGAAGTGAAGTGTGGAATAGTGAGATATTCATTTTCGTGGTCGCTACGACTTACTCCAATTGCCTTAAAATTTCGCTAAAGTGCACTGAACATTCACTTGGTCTCGCTAAAAATCTAAAATATTTCAGACATTTCAAATTCACTTTTACAGAATTCTGTAGCAAATGGTTCTTCAATTCTTCAATTTCTTTTCTTTATTTCTACTAGTGTGTTCTATTGTAGCTACTGCCGGCAGATGCTAAGATATAAAGAATACAGGCCTGGTGGACCGGGTTCTCTTAAGAGTGTCTTCGGAAACCAGATCCACATTTTCCTCCACCAATAATTGATGACTTCTTTTCCGCAGATTGAGACTGAGAGTGCTCAGTTCTCGTGAAACATCCACGTCGCTAACTGTAGGCGGGCGGAAGAAAGCATGTTCATATTGCTGAGGAGAAACATTAGGACTGGGAAGATTGGGAGAGGGTAAATAAGGAGAATGCACGGGGCCCTGGGCCATGACAAAATCGTGCTTGACGGGAGCCCGAGGACTGATATTGCTCGACACAGGGGTCGGAGGAAGGCGGCCGTTATGTGAGGGTCTTACCAGGGAAGAATTTTTGGGAGTAACGGGCTCGGTGTTTTCGTTGGTAAATGCAATTAATAGTCTCATCAATCCAATGAATCGACTCAGTTCATTGAAGTATTTGGATTTCAACGATGGCGGAGGACACTTGAGGATTTTGAGAAGCTGCTGGAAAAGCAGTTGATATTGGGTGAATGCAAGAATAGTAGAATGATGCAGATTGATGCGATTCAACACCTGGGCAACGTTGACGGGAAGCCTCAAGATTAGTATGGCGGTGAGGAACGCAGCGAGCGACGCTTGCAGCGCCAAATAGTTGAAATATGTGTTGGGGTAGAATTGAACAAGCTCGCAAATGTACACGGAAACCACCTTGATATCATTCAAGTGGAACTTAGAACCAGCTAAGTCCGGCATGGCACAGGTGATGTAGAGGTCGATGAAGGCGTCGAACGTGGGATATGACACGTTCCAATCGAGCGACTTCAACAAGTGTTTTTCCATTTCCAAGAAAAGCCGTTTTTGGTAGCAGTTGCAGCACATCTTACACAAGTCATCCAACGATGGGATTTTCTGTTTGGAATCGAGATTCTTGCACGCCACCCAGAGGGCAGTGAGCCCCAATAGTTGGTAATGTGATTTTTTCACGATTCTGGTCAGACAGTACCGGTCGATCAAATTGACCGTCAACGGAAACGTGGACTTACTCAAGCTAAGTTTATTGACCACGTCCATTAGAAAGTCCAACAAAAGCGGACGCATTTTCAAGTTCATCTCCGGCTGCTGTTGTATCAAGGAAAGATTGGGAAGTGCCGACGACTCGATATGTAAAAGATGTTCCAAAACTTCGGCTTGATATTCGTCCACCGTGTTTTGATGACAACGAAGTTCCATCAGTTGTAGAGATACATGAGATGCTCTATGATTAGCCGCCGCCAATCGTACCTGATGGTAGATATCTGGAGACTGGGGCCTGTTCATGATGAAAGAAAAACCGATGAAATGAAAGGAATGAACAAGGTTTTATAACAGTGGCCAAAATAATTTGCCGAAAAATCTGCAATCCCGATTTTGAAGTTGGTGCGACCAGATGTCCTATATACCAAGGTGCAGAAGATTTGGCAACCAAGGCGTAGTTTTAAAGGGTCGACGTGAGACGAAAAAAAAAAACCTGGGTTGGTCCATAATTTTACACGCCAGGATTGTATAATTATCTCGATTGGGCAAACCTGCGTAACCCGGATGCATATAGGAGTTGCCCATTGCGAATCGGAGGTGAAAAATATTGATAAGCGGCAGAAAAGTGGGGGTTTGAGGGGTGAAGCCTGCTATGGTTCCTGAAATAACAGGTGTAATGTAACTCGGTCTATATGAATAGCGTCAATTCATCCACATCAACTTTTACCAGTCAATGCCGATAGACGCCAATTGGTCTCGTCACGTGTGGGTGCGGCCTGTGTCCGGCATCGGTTGCACCTGTGGCATTGCAGCATCCGGACATCACATGCGGAAGTTCCCCCCTTCCAAGGTGCACCTCTACATTACCGATTTCGGCCGGTTTGAGGGCCAACGCAGTGGAGTAGAACGATGATAGATCAAACAGGTAATCTATATAGTTTATTGTATTTTGGTACTTTTCCATTATTAAAAATTACCATTCTTACCTTTTTAAGCTGAATATATCCCCAATTCATCAATTCGATTGTAACTCCTTAGCCGATGCCCTATTGTACTGTGACCTATTCCATCCCTTATTTCCCCGTTCCCTAACAACTGCAACATTGGCTGCTGGTGACGGTGCGGCTGCAAGGAGTGCGCATCATTACCAGGAAATCAGGATATGCGGCTCAATTCATCCCAACCAGGTATTATTGACGAGTGTCCCGAACTCCGTAAAAGGCTGCAATGCATGAATGAACAGAGATAACTCACCGGTTAGAAACACATAACATTGCAGCATATGAACATGCATTAGTGTTTTATGCTGGTTTCCACACTTGTAGTATTTTTTTGCCTGCATTTAGTCACCTCGACGAGCCGCCCCGGTATTTCTCTTAATCGGGCGGTTGCGACCACTAGGATTTCGGCCCTAATTCCGTCCGATTTCCGCAAAATATGCACCTAAAGCTGCCGCATACACCACCTATCGAAGCTGTAAATGCGGCCCCCGCACGCCTGTCGTCCACGTACCTACGCCGCCAGATGTGCAGGTCTATTGTCGAGTTATTATTTATAGATAGCCATTGTGCAGGGCAGGACATACCACGCCATTGAATGCCCCCTCGAAGCAATGCCGCTTATTTCATGCAGTGAAGCTAGTGACACGATCGTGCCAGCCCCCCTGGAGCCACCGGATGTTTTTGCCATTATCTTATCGTGTATACTTGCCGATCGATGCAATTTTTTATCCATTTTTTGTCGACTGCACATACCCCAGTGACTTGTGCCACAAATCCGGATGCATAAGTTATGCGCAAGCTAACGTTTTCTAGGTGTCGAGGTGCGTTAACATTGCCTTGCATCTTTCGACAAGTGTTCTATTATTCATTTCATTTCTTCAACCTGGTTCGAGCCTGCATTTACGCAGAATGTATTAACCACGCGCCATGGGCGCATTTATTTTGTCGGCACGGCCGAATTGGTGCGATGCCGACAGGCCGACTAATTCCATGCATAGGTGCTTAAGCTTGTGCCACAAGTGGCGGCTAATACTAATTGGTACCCTACCAAATTCTACTATTCTCTATCTATTCTGCTATTCTACTATTCTACTATTCAACTCTAACCTTTTGTACTTTATAATCTTCTCAATTTTCAGCTGCTCTTTTTTCAGCTCTCTCGCGTATCTTTTCCCAAAACGGTAATGCGGTTGCACCCTATCTATCAGATGGATCAGACCAAAATCAACTTTCATGAAAGAAATTGAGCAGATTTCTCTTAACTTTGTCTCAGAAAACACTCCTAACTCGAAATATCCCGTTCTTGTCTACCGGAATGTGTTGAGTGGGTCCATGGTTGACCCTAGTCTTGATGAAGCTCTGCGAAAAGAGCACACAAAAAAGATGTTCCAAACGAACAATTGGCGTCCTGAGGTAAGTTCATTCTTCATTCTATCATTCTATCAATCCATCATTCTGTCATTGACCCATCATCTATAATTCTTTCTGATTTTCACTGGCTCATCTAAAGGGCTCATCTCACTTAAGGCTTATGTCTTTAAATCTTGTCTTTTTATTTCAACTTTCTTAATGTTACTCACACAGAAAGTTTATTCCAGCATTACCAATTGCCATTACCACCCAAATGTCCATGAAGCGTATGCTGTAATTCAAGGAAGTTCCACATTGGTGTTAGGCTTGGACGTTGCAAGAGAACCAGATTTGGGTGCAAATTTTGTGGAAGTATATGTTTCTGTAGGCGACGTCATTGTGATTCCTGCTGGTGTTTCCCATCGTTCCAAGCGGTTTGACAAGGATTACAGGTACTTGGCAGCGTACCCTGAAGAAGGAGAAAATTGGAAACTGGTAAGTAAGCTGGTTCTTGCTTCGAAAAAATATAACAATTTGAAATATCTGGAAATGGCTACTAGAGTTGCCGTACCCAGATCTGACCCTGTATACGAGAAGGGGGGATTATTAGATATCTGGAAAAACTAAAAGGTATTGAATAACCTAAATTCTCCATTTGATACTAAATCTCATACATTTTAAAATAATATTGAGTAGCATTTTGCAACCAATTCAATGACAACTTTTATTTTTATGAAAAACCCTCAATGGTCGAGATTGTAGAAATGATTATATCTTTACCATTTTCAAATAAATGTCCCTATTTTATAACGTCTTCATTTTGGACTTGACAGGCTGCATATTGACAGGGTGCATATGCACGTACCCAACGGTTTTCATTTCCATAACACAAAAAATCACCATTCTAATTATAAAGATACAATTTACTTCATTAAACAACTCTTTGCATCACCCAATCCTCTCAGACATCTCTCTGTTATCAGATATTCTGAAATTTTACACCACCTTCAATAAGTTCACTTCACACCTCTTGCAGCGCATCCCACCCACACACCAGTCTCAAAGCATCTTCTCTCTTCTTATACCATGAACAGGGAAGAATTGGAGGCGCTTCACCGCAAGCAGACCAAAGATTTGACCAATACCATAACGGGGCTCAAGAAGCAAGCCACGAAAAAGACAAGAAAGGCGGTAAATGTACGATGTGCGGAAATGGAGCTTGAACTCAAGCAAAAACAGGAACAAGAACTTCGTGATTTTGATGGCATTGAAGAGGAAAACGGAACCCAAAACGAAGACACAGACCTACAGAAGCTCATTAGACTTACAGAACTGCAATCTATGGAGCCAAAGACTTCAAAAGTGGAGGAAACACCAAATGAGAAGGCATCAGTTCCTCGAAAAAATCGACAAAAAGAAAGGCTTGCGAGACGAGCAGCCAAGGAGCAGGAGCTCCGTGACCAGGCTCTTGAAGAATTGAAGAATCAGCCCGATTTGCGTGCCGAAGAAATGGCGGCGATGGACAGAAAAATCGAGCTTCTTGGACTCGAGGTTTATGACATAAAACCCGATGGTCATTGTCTTTTTGCATCGATCCAGCACCAGCTCCAGACACGGCACAGCATCGAACTCAGCATTTCCGAGCTCAGGCAAAAATCAGCAGCATTTATTCGTGAAAATCCAGACGATTTCGTGCCGTTTCTCATGGCCGAAGACCGCGAAATTCACGAATACACAAAAGAATTGGAATCTACAGCTATGTGGGGGTCAGACATGGAAATCTTGGCTCTTTCTCGGCTCCTCGACTTGTCTACAACGGTAATTCAGGCCGATTCCACCGTCACCATCCACGAAGAAGGAACTAAACCGATCTTTCTCGGCTACTTCCGACACTCGTACGGTCTTGGGGAGCACTACAACAGTCTACAGGCGCGGTCTGATTAAAAACCCGGTTAAAACCCTGTTTTTTTGGCTTTTTTTTGACCTTTTGTTCCTGGCTTGTCTTTGCTTGATTTACACCCATGCACCTGTCATCCGCGGAACCCATCGCATCGCAACAATCTCATCTTAGTAATGGGTTGGTTTTGGGCCGATTCGGCTACTTCCGCTGCTTCTGCGTGTCCTGTGCGTCCTCCGGTGCTGCTGCTGTATGCTGGAGGATGTCCAGTTATAAAAAAGTCCTCGGCCGTTTCCGATGAAAAATCCGAGTGTCCGGTCGATCACGAGTCCATCCTTAATCCCATGAACAATATGCCTATGGATATCAGCTCCGAGCGGGCACCAGGCCAAAAAGTGGTGTTGCCTACAGAACGAACGGTGTCTTCGATTCCAAGAGGAGAAAGTGCCGATATGGGATTCTGGGAATATCCTTCTCCACAGCAAATGTTGAATGCGATGCTTCGGAAAGGTAAAGGTTCGGGTATACCCGAAGAGGCGGTTGAGCTGATGGTGGGAGTGCACAACTTTCTCAACGAGGCGGCTTGGCAGCAAATCTCTGAGTGGGAAGCTCCATATACGCAATCCACAAATGTCTCTCCAAGACTTTTGAAGTTTACTGGAAGACCTCACGACTTGAGTCCTCGTGCAAGAATGTTTTTGGCACTAGGAAAGTTGTTCCCTGAAACCTTTAATACGGAACCTCCATTCGATAGGCACGACTGGACGGTTTTGCGGTCGCTCGGCAAGGAAAAAGGATGGCAGAATGTTCGCTATGTGATCGACTATTATGGAGCTCCTGACGACGAGGAAACCGGCATGCCGTCTTTCGTGTTGGACACAAGGCCTGCGCTTGATTCTGTAGGAAGTGCTATCGATAGAGCCAGCCATTGGGCCAAGCCTCTTTGGAAGAAAGCTATGGGCGAGCCGTACTAGAGAAGAAGATAAGAGACGAAGAGAAGAAGACGAAGATAAGAAGATAACGAGACAATAGAACCAAGAGAAGAAAGGCAAGATAGGGTTTATGTACATACTATTTACACGGCAATTTTGTCGAGCAACGGCTTGGGAACGGTATACTCTTTAGACAATCTTCTGATGATTTTTGGCAATTCGGTTCCCAACTCGGTTCCATTTTCTGCCATTTCTTTGAGCATCCACTCAATCTTTTCCTTGTTTCCTTTCTTTATGAAATGTTGTATGAGAAAGTAGTATGTGTAGTGGTTGGGTTTGCACCGACTTGAAATTTTTTCCTGGTTCTTAAAATTGTGATAGTATTGCAATGCCAACAGCTCGTGTTTGTACAACAAAGCCTTGATCATCTGGTTCCATACTCTGGGTTCGTTCTTGGATTTGGTGTATTTTTCAAATAAAATCTCAGCATTTCCAACTGAGCCATGGTCAAGTTCTCCTTCCAACATAGCCGTCAAAACGTGAGGAGAGTTTCCATACGACTTGGAGTGCTCGAAAAGTGTTCTGGCAGCTTCCAAATTTAACCCGTCTTTCACCAAACCACTAATTAAAATCGAGTAGGTGTAATCGTTGAGAGTTAAACCCGCCTGTTTGTTGTTAGCAAAGCTCTCCAAAAGCTCAGTAACATTAGGAGCAAGTCCCTTGGCTCGGTGCATCTTAAAGTACAAGTCAATCACTATGGTGTATGTCCCGATTTCTTCAGCAATATTGTGCTGTTTCATGAACTTGAGAATTCCATCCACCGCCTTGTAATTATCGGCACGAGCGTAGTGGTTTAGGAAGGTGTTCATACACAGAGTCGAAGGAACGTAGCCCGAGCCGTCTTCCATCAATTCCTTGAGTTTTTTCTCGGCTTCATCCACTTTTTTATTGAGAACCAATCCAATGAGAATATTGTTTTTTGTAGCGTGAATTACCGGCACCTTTCCCTTGCCTTGGACGGAGTATTTTGTCAAGAACTCGTCCACAGCTTCGAAGTCGTTCATGTTAGCAAACCCAGCAACGATTATCGACAAAGTTTTAGGACTCATTTCGGGGTAAAGTGACAAGACCGTATCGATGGTGCGTCGAAGATTGACAGAAATTTCCTTTCTTTTGGTCTCGTTCAAGGTACGGAGGTAGGAAGGGTGTCCCATACATCTCAACACAATATCCCAAGAAACTATAGAAGGTTTGGAAATTCCATTTTGGAGCATGGACCGGAAAATGTCAAAAACCCGGTCGATTTGCAGACACTCAAAATATCCATTCATAAACCTGGTCAAAGTGTTCTCCGAGATCGGTCTCTTATACTTCAAGGCAGCATCCTGGACAAGATCGTAGGTTCTGTTCAAAAGATTAAAGTCGTTGGTAGCGATAGCACGGTTGATTTTGCGAATCACCACAGAGCCATTAGGGTCCAACGACTCTAATTCCATAGCATTGAGTTGGGTTTGGAACTCCTGGAACTCCTTTTCCAGGCGAACGGCTCCTAAACCCATCACAGTTCTTCTGACATGAAAAATTTCGGGCACCTCGTCAGTTTGCAACAATTTCATGGCGTCTCTAAAATCGTATTTGGCGTTCAGCGCCAAGCAAGATTGCACATACAGGTAGAACGCCAAGTTTGTCAAGTCTCTCTTTCTGAAAGCCGAGTCCTTCATGAATCCAAACCGTTTGAAAACGAGTCCATTGTTCACCGCTGAAGAATACTCCAAAAAACGAACCCAAGTTTGAAGGGCAGCTTGGTACGATTCAAGTGCCTGTAACGCCATGACCTTGGAGAACAAGAATCCATGGGCAACTTTGTGCTCAATGGCCAAATCAAGCACTTTATTTAAAGTCGAAGCGTCGGTGATTTTCTGAGAATAAACGTCAAGCACTGGCTGGAAAACCGAAAACAAACTTTCCTCGTTTATTCCCTCCGCTACCTGGACCTCCCGCAAGTACGATAAACCCTCTTCCAAGATCTCTACAGCCTCGGCTGTGTCAGAACCATTGGCCAGCTCGATGGAAGACCGCACTTGCGAGCTAATGTCTCTAAGTTTTGGGTTGATTTTGTATCTTTTTGCCCCAGGATTCTTTCTGGTAGAAGAACCAGAGTCGCCATTGACATTTTTCTGGCCATTTTTACCGTTACGTTGCTCATTGGTGTAATTCTCGCTGGCATTTTTGGCCGACTCGGTGACACTTGATTCGCTCTTCGTCACTATTTCATTAAGCTGTGCTTCTTGAGCACTCAAACTCGACGACAGCAATCTGGCACCTCTTGTTAGTCCGAAACGCCATTGCCTCAGGAACAGGCTCCCGAGACTGGTGCGTGCCAACTGCCGAACAGGAAGCATTTAGTGGTCTAATGGAAATTTTCTGTGAAAAATTTCGCGAACTCTCAAGAAGTTGGAGGTTTAAGAGAGACAGAGAGTTTAGCAGTAAAGTTGTCAGAACACGATAATTTGGGGTACCGTCGTCACCGAACGATGTACTCACAAGAATATACGATACTGGAGGAAAAAGAGTTGAAACTACATTTATACATGGGAACTGCCACTGGCCAAAATGGCCAAATGGCCCAAAAATGCCCAGAATCAAAAAGACAAACAAGTTGCCCAGTTGCTGAGAGTACTGGAAAATACTCAATCGATACTCAGTAGCTTTGTCGTTCGTTCAGAATCCTCCAAACTCAAGCTTCAAATTTTTCAGTACTAATCCATTATTTTCTGTTGTTAGTATGTTTCAGTTTAAACCTTCTTATCATGAACAGATATCAATTGAGCTGGGTTTAATAGAGTCCTAGACTCGTTATCATCATTTAGACACATACCTTGAAATACAAAGAAGACGAATGAAAAATCAATGCGATTTTCTCTTATGCTGCTTCCTGCAGATAGTCCCAAGATGTCCTGGCAAGCTGCAGGACAAGTATTTTCGAACCTGAGGTGTCCGTACCAATGCTCAAATCTAGCGCTTAGACAAAATGACTAGCGGCTGATTTTAACCAGTAAACTAATTAGTCACTGCCAAGATCAAGACAATGGTCACCAAAACGGAATGACAACGCCTATAAACGGAACCAGATAAATCTCAACTCAATGAGGAAGAATCGGAATCGGTTTCCTCTTTCGAATACTTTCGGAAACCCTAAACTGTCTACTCGACTAACTATAAATATGGGCTCATCCTAAGTCTAACAAATTAACCTATTAGTTGATAGTCATCAATTCTACAGACAACCACTTCCTAAATTAGAATTACTTAGAAAACTAGTAGGATTTCAACAGTTTGGGGATGCGAACTCTGCCTATATTACGTTAAGAGAGAAGCATAGGAACAGAAAGTATAAGAAGAGAATTAAGAAGAGAATGATGGAATCGAAAGTATAAGGATCTAATTGAGTATAAAGGCAGCAGAAGTCAGCTGGACTCCGCGATAGTCATTTTTAGGTGCATTTGACCTGCTATAAGAAGTACGACTTTTTCCACGAGGTTCGGCAAATTGTTTATCGTATACAATTACTTGAACCTGACCTCTGATGGATCCAAATGGAAGAAAAAATGACTGACGAAACTATGGAAGAAAAAACGCCTGAAGAAATTGTGGGAATGACTACAGAAACTGGAGCCGAGACTCTGCATAAACTTAGGCAAACGAGAAGTGAAGTTTTATACTTCGTTGCAAGCCTCCTTTATTTTGCCTCGCTTGGGTTGGTGCTTAAATATCATGATGACTTCTTAAACGATGAGGTAAAGACTCCTCGCGGTTATTTCTGGTTCAGTTCTGCAGCTTGTCTTGTGATCGGTACTGCAATGTGGATAGACATCATAATCGCTTCCACTCGATATAAGGTTGTAGTGGGAGATTCTGAATTTAACTTAATCATGCTTCTGTTTGGCATTATATCCTTAGTTCTTTTGATTCTAGATGGCTCCCACTAAGCAGAGTATACAACTACAAAGTTTTTCGCTTTACAATATTTACCAATGATATTAGCAGCCTATAAGTCAAATTGAATGCTTACCTTTAGTAACTCTTCATGTTTGTTCTACGTACTGTTTGTCTTTATAACCGATTTGCACGTACCTTGACATAATAATTGCAAGCTTGTCACTGAGTCACCTACAATGCCATGCAACAGTTCTTCACCTTATAACACAACACTACACCCACGGCGAAGGATCTCGTTACGTAATCGCTTAATAATCCAACAGTTGTCGCGTGGCTCATAAAGTGGTTGCAAAACCCTTTTCGCATTCTACTTTTGTGACTTCATCTTGATCATAAATTGAAATATGACAACGCCACCAACGGAAGAATATATGACCTCATTATTACTGGAAGGAAGGACTTCACGAACTATGGAACAAAGGACCATAGTAACTGCGCCTGAAACTGGGCACGAAACTCCGCTCGAAACTCCGTTGTTCTCGTTAACAAACCTGAATCAAGTGCGAGCAGCGTTGTCATTAAGCATTAGTGTGTTCCCTCTCGTGAAGCCTGGCTTTGGCGTTGAAGAAGTTGATCTTCCGCCCCTAGCCTGGTTCTGTGTGATACTTGCTTATATGGTGTTTACAATAAATCGGTTTCTTGGCATACGCGCTTCCAAGAAACGCAATGAGCCGATGAGAGAGTATATGCTCAGCAAGATTTCTTTTGTGGGGTGCATTGTCGTACTTGGCATCGCTTTCTATTTCTGCCTCAGATCAGGGAATCCAGCTAAATCTGAACTTGTCGCTTTATGTCAACTTACAATTCTTACCGGCATGTTGTCATCAAATAAAGCTTTGCTTAATAACTTCATGCCTTATTTTGAAGAGGACAGGAATTGAGTGGATCACCGCTCAATTCCTTCCTTAGCAATCGAATCTGCTATCCCTATCGCATATTGTTGGATTATGAGCTGATCACGCTATCCTTCACCGTGGTGTGGTGTTGTGTGAGCTATGTGAAATCCACTAGCACCATTTTGGTGATACAGTGTCTTCTAACAAGGTATGCGATCCCTGATCAAAACTTCCTAGACTCGCTCCATTTAGATTTTCTAGCTAGAAATCTAGACTTTTTTGCTTAAATTTCCCATATCGAGAATTCACTTCTCTTGTAGAGTATATGGAAGTCATATAAATGGACTCATAACCCAACAATTCGTACGGTGTGTCCGATTCTTGTTGATCTCTAATATAATAACAAGTTGCGAAGTTTAGCCAGACTTGATCAGATAAACAGCGGAAAAACAGACCAAGTAAAAAGTTTGACTAATTTACTCTACAATTTACGAGGCGGTTCATTTTGTTCTTGCATGATCGGGATCAGGAACCAAATACGAAAGGTCGAAGCAGTCTACCTCAACACCTGGTAAACTCACGAGTCTGTCGATAATCGTGAGGACTCTGCCGATTACGTACGAAGAGAAAGAAATAGGAATAGAAAGTTTAAGGAAAAATTGAGAGAATGTAGTAAACGGAAGGTATAAGAAATTGAGTAGAAAAGATAGCAGAATCAGTTGCGCGATAGGATTTTTCAGGTCCTTTGACCTGCGGAAGCTTCACTTTTTTTCACGGCTCTAGGTTTGGCAGATATTTGTACGTTTACTTATAAGCTGAGCTTCGCAGTGCACCTCTGAAATCTGATCGAAATGGAAGAAAAACCGACCGAAGAAACTATGGGGGAAAAAAAGATTGAGCAACCTATGGGTGAAAGGATGACTGAAGAAACTGTGGGAATGACTACAGAAACTAGAGCCAAGACTCTGCATAAACTTAGGCACACGATAAGGGAAATTTTATTTTGCCTTGTATTGTACCTTTTTATAGCCTCGATGACGATGTCATCTTACTACAACGCTGACATAAAACAGAAAAATGATCCTCGCCGTTATCTCTGGGTTAGTTCTGCAGTTTGTCTTGTGCTCGGTTCTGCCATTTGGATTGATAGCATAATCGCTTGCTTTCGATATAAGGATAAAGTGGGAAATTTTGAATTGCACTTAATTTGGCTTGTGGCGTTCATTGCATCATTAGGTTCTTTGACTTACAATGGCTACATATCATAGTCATGACATCAAAGGTTCACAGCTCTTGGTTGCAAAATCTCGTTAGCCTCACGATACGCGGCTGGAAACATACGAAGGTGCGGCTTTCACCAAGCAAATTGTACATGTAAAACCAAAAGATCTACTATTTCGCTTATGACCTGACATTCTTACAGTGTAGTATAATCACCTAATTGCTCTTGAATACCTAGGGAGACCAATGAACATAATTTCGAGACATAATATTTCAAGTCTTCTGCTTTTTATATTTGGGTGAATTTCATGGATAATTGTTGAACTACGCAGGAATTCTATTCGATAATCATTGTGATACGGCACAAGGACAGTATTGCCGGGTAATGGTTCCTCTAAAGAAAAGATTCTCAATATGGAGATTCAAGCAAACAATTTAAATTACTAATTATAAACCAGTATAGGATCTAAGGAATAAATCGATTGAATCTAGAAGATTCGATCGATGTTTACTAATCGGATACCTTATTAGAAAGGCACCATATCACCAATATAGTGTTAGAGTAGATCCATATAGCTCACGCAACACTATAGATATCATCACATAATCACTTAATAATCCAACAACGGTCGCGTGGCTCATAACGTGGCTGCAAAACCCTTTTCGCATTCTACTTTTGTGACTTCATCTTGATTTCATCTTGATCATGACAACACCACAAGTGCAAGGAATGACTCCTCCACAAGTGGATGAAATGATTCCAACACAAGTGCAAGAACGGATTCCAACACAAATGGAAGAACTGACTTCACCACAATTGGAAGGAATGCCTACGCCACAAATGGATGAAGCTACGTTCCAGATTTTGGAAAACTGGTTAATAGCGCATAAATTGGCTGCAGGATTCGTTACTCTACTTCTAGTCGTGGTCGCCACGTTCTACGGCGAGGGTGCAGAGATTAGAATCTCGATTTATTTCTGGATCTGTTTTGCAATGGTTTACGCGTGGCTTTTAAAAAATCGGATACTTTCCGTATACGTTTCCTATCAGCATAAGGTTCCATTAATTTACAGCTTATTATCTGTTGCTATGTGCTTCCTGACATGTCTTATCGCTTTCTGTTCCTACCACCAATCACAGAATCTAACTATATTCAATTTTCACCAATTATGTTTGTCAGCAATTCTTGGCAGCATCATGGAAACAATACTGCTTTATGAGTTACGTGTGAATGGGGTGACCAGAAATGGCTGAAACTCTGGACCACAGTTCAATTCGTTCGCTAAAATTGCTAATATCGAAGGGGTTACTCCAGAAGATTCCGGTTCTTACCGGGAAATTCTCGTGCGGAAATACTTGAGCATAACGAACATCTGCTATCCCTATCGCATATTGTTGGATTATGAGCTGATCACGTATCCTTCACCGTGTGTGTGAGCTATGTGAAATCCAACACTATATTGGTGTTACAGTGTCGTCTAACAAGGTATGCGATCCCTGATTAAATTTCTAGACTCGTTCGATTCAATATTTAAATAGATTTCTAGCTAGTAATCTAAACTTTCTTGCTTAAATTTCCCATATAAATAGACTCATAAACTGGCAATTTTTACGGTATTTCCCTTTAGATTCTTGTTGATCTCTAATAGGGGGACACTTTAATTCCCAGACTTATTCAGCGGAAAGAAAAACAGACCAATATAAAGTTTGACTAATTTACTGGAGGTGTCCGTAACAATTCTCAAATCTAGCGGCTTAGACAAACTAAATACTAGCGGCTAATCCTTCCTAAAGAATTACTTGAGAAATTGATTATGTCATATCTTGATTTCAACATTGGGTCTTCATGAGCCACCAACAGGCACTGAACCACAATGAATCAGGCGTTGAAAAATCAATTCTGACCGATGTTCCCGAGCCCCTACAGTTCTTCAACTACCATGAATACTTGGCGGACCCAGATGAGCCGATAAATATAAAACTCGTAGTGAATCATTTTCCCGATTTCGACCATGATTTACCAGAAAAAAAACCGCCGTTTGAAGGTTCTGATGCCCCTAGCGGAAACTGCCGCATCGTGAGGATACCGAGAGTATACCATACTATTCAGGACTCCGATATAATTCCTCAATTTTCACCAGCCGTGCCCGGAACTGAAGATGCTGCTCTCACTGATAACAACAAAAACTTTACTCCGAGAGGTCAATTTGACGGTTCCGTGTTCGGAGTAACATCGGTAACGCCTCTTGTTCCTGGCTTGCTTCTGGAGCAGGAATTTATTGAAATTGTGACGAAAATCAACGGTTTATTGTTTGCAGCTTTAAATCCATTTGGCTGGGAAAACGTAGTGGAATCGATACTAGACATTGTCACGTTTACAGTATACTCCAAGATACGAAAAAACCGCCACGAACGACGAAAACTCCAGGAATTGGAGGATTATGTGACCACGACTAACGAATATCTCAAAACACTCAACCCAGATTTGGTTCTCATTTCGCCTCGAAGATGCGGATATCTTTCGGTAAGTCAATCATACTCCTTTTGTTTATAAGAAAGGAACTCAGGTACTAACTCAGCTTGATTTTCAGATACCTAATCCTCGTGGAACTGAACCAGAACCAGAATCAGAACATCGTAATGCTATCTGCTAATAACTAATTTGCTATATTGCTATACTCTGCTATAACGTCTTGCTATATTCTGACAATTGCTGTTCATTGCTTTCTGCTCCTGCTTACTGCTCCTGCTTACTGCTTACTTCTTGCTCATCTCTCCTATCTCGCACTCGCACTCATCTCATCTCATCCATCCGTTGGATGTTCAAGTACACTCCACGAAACATGAACGGAATATTTGCTATAGACAAGCCTCTGGGTGTCACATCGTCCAAGTTTCTTCTTGATCTTCAAGACCTATTTACCAAGTCACATGTCTTTGAGCAGCATTTGCAAGAATTTCGAGACGGCAGAAGAGCCGCTTTACTGACGGACAAAAAGTGGAAAAAGGAGAAAATCGACAAGAAAATCAGAAACCTCAAGGTGAAAATAGGCCATGGTGGTACTTTGGATCCCTTGGCAAGTGGTATATTGGTTGTTGGAGTGGGAAGCGGTACCAAACAATTGAGCCATTATTTGGGAGAATGTGACAAGACCTATGAAACTAAGGCACTTTTGGGCATTTCAACTACAACGGGAGACTCTGAAGGTGACATATTGAGCAAAAACAAAGTGGATCATATAACGAAAAAAGACGTTGAAAAGACCTGTGAAAAATTTGTGGGGAATATCAAGCAAATGCCTCCCATCTTTTCGGCGCTCAAGATGAATGGAAAACCGTTGTACGAGTACGCAAGAGAAGGTATTCCGTTGCCAATGCCTATAAAGACTAGAGATGTTAAGGTGAACTCGCTTACTGTACTTGACGATACCATGTCGACAGATCATGAGTTCAACAAGCTTGAAACAGATTTGAACCCTGAAGAACAAAACAAGCTTTTCCACAACGAGACTCTCCTCAAAACACCGTTGTACTTCTCGGATCAGTACAATGAAGCTAACGAAAAAACGACAGAAACAGCACCTCCAAGAGTCTTGGAAGATGGTGAGCAACTTCCTGAAAAATTGCCCATGATTCATTTTGTAACCAGTGTGTCTTCGGGGACGTACATACGGAGTCTCATAGGGGATATTGGCCGGGCATTGGAGTCTTCCGCTTATATGGTCGAGTTGAGACGGACTCAGCAATCGGATTGGAAAATTGGAAAAAATGTGTTCAGGTGGGAAGACTTTGCTGAGAACGATGACCGAGTCTGGGGCCCTGTATTGAAGGCAGTACTCGAGCAAGGACACGAGGTAGACGTGGCGAAGGAGTTGGAAGCGACTAGAGAGAAAATGGCTCCATTGATCCAGGAAGAGAAGGAGAGGCTCGCCAAGCATGGATTGGAGGAAAGCAGTGAGCAGGTACAAAAGAAGAGAAAAGAGCTGGAGACAGAGGAACACAAAGAGAATGGAAGCAATTCTGAGAAAATAGACCCAGAACAAAAGTTAGATATTTAGATTCTTGGTTACTTAATTGCATCTTCCCCAGATTTCGCAAATCGCGGTGAATTTTTCACTTTCACAATTATGTATGTGAATGCTATACGAAAGTTACCGGTTCCAAAAAACTTTTCCAGGTGCTTACTGACGTTCTCTCGCACTGTAAGAAACCCAAACACATACCATGCGACAGCTCCAACTTCGTTTGCTCCAAAATCGGTGATTTTGTTATCCTCACCAACCCACCTCAACTCTACCATTGATGCTGCAATTAAGCTTTTTGAAGACCAAAAGCTCCAGATAGTCGTTGCTGGTGTAGACAGTGTTCCACCAATGGGGAATAGTGGTGTTTCAGAGTTGTGGATGGACGAATTCTTCAAAGTCAAAGATGGCATATTTCTCGACGAGAAAGATGACTTGAATAAACCACCTCGACAGAGCGATGGGGTGAATGTAGTGGGAGCTCGAAAGAACTGGAAGCTTATAGATTCGGCGTTTTCTATGAAAGTAGCAAAAAATGTCGATGTTTCCGTGAATCTTGCGAACACGGCGTTTGTGAACGACAACTTGGTGACGCTCTTTTACTTGCAGCCACCTCAACTCGACGATAAGGTAACAGCTGGATTTTCAGACAGTGCCTTATGTGATCTTCGAGTCGAATTGCCCATATCGGCACAAAATGCAGTGGTAAAAGTTCACGATCGATGGACTGCGCTACCATCTGAAAAACCACTTTTTGTCACGAATTGCATTGGAAACCTCATTAAATCGCTCAATGGCAGCTCCGCAGCCAAGTTTCTCGAGCAAAATGATCAGTTGATGAGCATTGGGTCCAAAGACACCGAAGTTTATGTGAAACTTTATCGCGAGAATACCGAGTACCGCTACCAAGTTATAGCTGGCGGAGGTGGATGGGGACCAAAATCCGACACTTTGGTGGTCTCGCCAGAGGCAAAGGTACAGAAAGGAGACAGAATTGAGTTTTTCATGCTAACTCCAGAAAATAAGAAGGCATCTCACCAACATGAGATAGAGACAAAGAACGGCAGTTTTATATTTGAACGCATCAATGAGGCTTCAGGGTTTCGTCACAGCAATTCTGACGTGGAAGGGACTCTGTCTGTGTTTGGATGTGGCACGGAAGTGGCATACCATGTAAATAATGTGCTCCATCTGTCAGCTGGTGAGACGGTGGTTGTGGAGATGAAAACTGAAAGTTAAAAAAAGGGAAGTTAAGAGAAGTTAAAGAAGAGGAGTTAAAGAAGAGAAGCTAATCGAAAAGGAGGGAGGTAGCAAAATAAGAGACTTTAGCACTTTTGGCTCAACATTTACTGAACGTATTTTTGAGAGACTAGTGAAAAATCAAGGAAATAGAAGAAATATTAAGAAGAAAGGTACCTGAAAAAGAATTTCAGCATCAGGAAGTCACGCTGACACTTGCTTGGAAGTAGTTAACAGCTTTCAAAATTTTCAGAAATTTTCAAAATTTTGCTTCTTGTTCTGTGAGATTCATGTTGCTAAAGACGGTGAAAGACCAGTGATGACAAATATAAAAATTGACATTTCCACAAAATGAGCAAATATACCAAAAATAGTATACTTCGGCACCACATTGTACTTCACGCAGCTCAAACCCTGGTGGTTGCAACACCGATTACTACATGAGCTTCGGCCGAGCTCGGGACACCGCCGCACGCGGGCCGCACTCCGAAATCTCAAGTTCATCTTAAAACCGTGATAAGCCCCGTTTATTTAAATAACAATTTTCACCACCATTCCACCTCTAACCTGTCAAAAATGGAAGACCATGACACTCTAGCCACAGAAGATGCCGAGAAATCCAATGGGTGGAAAAATGACTTCGTTACTGACAAAGATGGGTGTCTCACATTTGCAGCCGATTCTCACCTTCGACCCATAAATTGGACCAGAAAGAAAAAACTTGTTCATACGGCTCTCTTTGGCATGACCACATTTGCCGCCCAGCTCAATTCCACTTCAATATCAACCGCTATAATACCTCAGCTTTTCAAGGAAGAATTCGGAGCTTCCCGAGAAGTGACATTACTAGCCACCACCTTCTATATTTTGGGCATTGCATTCGGCCCGATGGTATTTGCGCCGTTATCCGAGGTCTACGGACGCAAATTGGGCGTCTTGGTCCCCTTTTTTCTCTCTGGAGTGTTCACATTTGTGGTTGCTTGCTGTTCTACGCTTCCAGCCATTTTGGTTTTTCGGTTCATTGCCGGTTTTTTTGCCGGTGCCCCAGTGGTGTCTAGCGGAGGAGTTCTTGCTGATATATGGACCCCAGCAGAACGAGGAATGGCGTTGGGGTTCTATGCTTTTTTCGTGGCCAATGGACCTTCTTTTGGACCCACTATTAGCTCACTTTTGGTACATGCTTCGGACAAAATTGTGTCGTGGAGAAACCCTCAATATTTCTGTGGACTCTTCAACTTTTGTCTTTTTGCCCTTTGCGAGATAGTGTGCTATGAAACCTACGAGCCACTTCTTTTGGCTAAGGAAACAAAACGACTAAGACTGGAAACTCGCCAGTGGTACTTGCATTGTGCCCACGACAAATGGACTCTCACCAGTAGCGAAATGTTTCATGTTCATTTGCTTCGACCATTCAGGATGCTTGTTTCGCCAGTGATTTTTGTGGTAGCCATCTTTGCCAGTTATGTCTTTGGACTATTCTACATGCTTATCACCGGCATTGATGTAGTGTTCTCCATCACAAAAGGATGGACTGGAACCATTGCAACATTACCCAACATTTCCTTGTTTCTAGGAGTCTCTGCTGGATTAGTTGTAAACATATTTTGGGGCAGAATCTACGCTAAAAAGCTCAAGGCCAATAATGGGGTTCTAATACCAGAACAGCGGTTTCCCATTCTCATGTATGTCGCATGGACTCTTCCCTTTGGAATTTTCCTTTTTTCGTGGACAAGCTGGAAAAGTGTCCACTGGGTTGTTCCGTGTATAGGAATATTGTTCGCTGGTTTGGGAGTTATAGTGATTTTCCAAGGCTGTCTAAATTATCTTGTGGATACCAACCGTCAATATGCAGCCTCGGTAATTGCTGCAAATACAATTCTCCGGTCCATTTTGGCTGCGGTGTTCCCCCTATTTTCCAGTCAGCTTTTCCACAACCTCGGGATCCATTGGGGTGGAAGTTTGATTGGTTTTATAGCACTAGCCATGATACCCATTCCATGGGTGTTTTACAAATATGGAGGAAAGCTTCGAGAAAAGTATCCTCCTGGGTTCTGAAAGCGAGTCAAGTTTAAGCGAAACAAGTCCAAGCGAAACCATAACTGCAAAGAATTGCCCAAAGGCACGAAAAGTGAAAGTGTGAAACGTTAAGTATAAAGTATGAATTGTGAATATGGCATGCAAATTAATAGATGATCTAGTTTAAAACAATTAAACCTTTCGTAAATGTATTGTAATGCTCAAACATCTTTGAACCGGGACAGCAGCCCGCCGATCATAATGTCGATATTGATCTTAGATCTCGTTATCTATTTCATCTATGCAAAGGTATGCGGTGCTGCATAAAGCCTGTCAATTGATACCCGAAACACACCCTTTGAAAGTGGTTCGATTTCGCTTTTGCGATCCGGGGATTCACCCGATTGCCCACATGCATTGATTGATGTATCTGATAAAGAAAAAGGAAAAAAAACGGGCTAGTGCATAGTGGCTTAAGCACCAGAACGAGCTGTAATTGGCTAACTGCGGTTACGTAAGGTGGCATTTTGACACATTCGGCCAATTCGGGCCGCCCGTAGCCTAAAGCCGCACAGGATTGCAGCTTAAGCCACCCTGCCCATTTTGAAGGATAAAAGGACTGAAAAAATCCAACAAGACCGTGTTCAAATATTGCCCTTAGGTACCCGCAAAACATCATTTTGTGGTCTATTTTCTTGGGTTGAACTTTTAGCAACTTTTTGCAGCCATTCGTCACCATGGTAAATGTCTTCAATGTGCAAATCTTTTTCATCGTTTTCCGTGAATCCCTAGAGGCCATTGTGGTTGTCTCGGTGTTGCTTGCGTTCCTTAAACAAGGTCTTGGCCAGGCCACGGAAGACCCAACAACATACAAACGATTGGTGCGACAGGTTTGGGCCGGGAGTATACTGGGGGTAATTCTATGTTTGATTTTGGGATGTGCTTTTATTGGAGCTTTTTATTCGTTGAAAAACGATATTTGGACCAAGTCTGAGGATATCTGGGAGGGAATTTTCTGTATCATTGCAACTGTCTTGATTTCACTTATGGGTATAGCCATGTTGCGAATCAACAAAATGAAGGAGAAATGGAGAGTCAAGTTGGCTCAGGCATTGATTAAGGAGCCAGAAAAGAAAGCTGATCGGTTTAAAATTGGTTACTTGACGAAAAAATATTGTATGTTCATTTTACCTTTTATCACCTGTTTGAGAGAAGGCTTGGAAGCAGTGGTTTTCGTTGGTGGTGTGGGATTGAATAGTCCTGCTACAGCCTTTCCCATTCCTGTAATTTGTGGAATCATCGCTGGTGTTTTCGTGGGCTTTTTGTTGTACTATGGAGGCTCCACCATGTCCATGCAAATTTTCTTGATTTTTTCCACCTGTGTTCTTTACCTTATTTCGGCCGGATTGTTCTCTCGTGGTATTTGGTACTTTGAAAGTCATGTTCTTAGTGTCCAGACGGGAGGAGATGCATCGGAAAACGGTTCTGGTCCAGGAACTTACGATATTAGTAAGTCGGTGTGGCATGTCAATTGTTGCAATCCAGAGACTGATAACGGTTGGGATGTCTTCAATGCTTTATTAGGCTGGCAAAATTCTGCCACCTACGGCTCGGTGATCTCATACAACATCTACTGGCTTGCTCTTATTGTTGCAAATTGCATTGATGCTTTACGAGGAAAAGAAGGGCCACTTGCCTTTCTGCAAGAACTTGAAGTTGATCGAATTGAACCCTATGTATCATATCAAGGGTAAGAAGAAGAACCAGCTCACAGAGCAGGAGAAGAATGAGTTGTTCAACAAGCTCAAGACTCAGAATATTGGTGCTGATTTTGTTGAGGAAGACAATTCGTCTTCCTCCGTGAAGATTGAGAAGACCGTCAACGACGAGCTTCACGTCACTGAAAAGGCGTAACAGACCTAACAATTCACGGCTGAAGGGACCATCAAATCACACACATACACACACAAGTGGTCGTTTCTTCCAAAATTGTTATAATCGTGTATAGCCGAGTCGTTCATTTCCACATAATTTAATTTACGGGTAACTTTCACAAGAAGCAGTCAAATTCGTACTCGGAGTCCTTGAGGTTCTTCATCAAGATGTCGTCAAACTGCCTGTCGCTGTAGGTTGTTTCTCTTTCGATTTCATTGAGCATTTGAAGAGTAATTTCAACGGTGCTCATCGATATATCGTTCAACCGAAGATAGTTACTACCCTCGAAAACCTCCACGAAAAAGTTCACATCCATCTTAAAGTTGCCAATATACCCCTGTAAGTTGTCGATATGCGAATGGGCCCTCAAGCACTCTAGGAGCATTTTGAGAAAACTGGTTTGGAGTTCATTCATAATGCTCACAAATACGTCTGGCGCAGTTATGGGTTTTACAAAATGCACCAATTTCACCAAATGAACCAATACTTCGTAAATAAAACTGTCCACCCTCAACGAGTTGCTAGTGGGCAGAAACGTCATTATCTTTTGGAAGTGCTTGTTCACCTTGGACTCAATCCAATGTTTCTCCTCATTCAAAAAGTCATCCAATATTGTAAGCCCAGCTTTGTCAATATCAACGTACAACTTCAAGTTTTGTTGCAGGAGATCTCTGTCAAACAACTTGTCGAAAACCAGTATCAATCTGGGGTAAATTAACCTCGACACTTTATCATAATTGTTCATCGTAAGGATCTTGTACAAACCCAATTCTTTCATTCGTGTGTTTTGTTCAGACGACTTTTCAATAGTGTACCGTTTCATTATCGAGTCCACTAGATTTTTCAAGCTTCGCATGAACTGAATCTCGATACTCATAAGAATTCGTTTACTTGGATGTGCTGCCACAATTCGAACTTTATCTTCTTGTGAAGTAGAAAAGACCAACTTGGCAAGCTTGTTGAGAACGAAAACTTCATAGCCCTCGAGGATATTCATGGTTCTAGTATAAGTGGAGTCCATTCCATTTCGTCCACCTTCGTTTTTAGGGTGTACTTCTTGCCATTCTTCAAGGTCGTAAAACTGGGAACAATCATTAATCCAAACCGAGCAAACTGCTTCCACCAATTTCTGGGTGATTGAAGCTGATGAGCTGCGTAGTGACTTGATGAGTTTGTTGGTATCGACATTCTTGGAAACATTTCCAACTGTAGCAACTTGTGCTCCCATGCGAGTGAAAATCTCATCCAATTTGGAAGACAAAATGCTGAGATAATGAAGTGCTGAAAGTGAGTTTGTATGGTGCGGTAAGAATAAAGAGTAGCTTTCCGGGGCCGACTCAAGTTGGTTTCCTGCGGCATCATCCTTGAATAGTGCTAAAAGGTTGCTGGTGATATCCAATATTATCTGGGAGAACAATTTCCATAATTCCTGATTGTGGTCTTGGCTTGCTAATTCTTTATGGTAATGAGCATAGTTTGTAACAAACTTGGATACGTTCCGAGACAAGAAATCGTCAATGTAAGACATAAAATTGACCAAAACGAGCCAGGTTTCACTGACAATGGAGAGGTCAAGATTGTCCGACGATTCGAATACTTCAAGAATTATTTTGTCCTTTTCGTTATCTGTGAGCGATGCTGAATTCGAGCTGGCACGAAGGTAGGCTTCTACACTGGTATACTTGTCGGCTATGAACCGAATTTGGGACCCACCATCTCGGCACCTCGGCAAAGAAGACATATAATGGCCAAGTTTTGATTGCATGCCGTTAAATTTGGATTCGAATTTGGTTGATTGGTAGGTGAAATCTCTCGACAAGTTGTCTAGTTGAGTATGGAGGAACTCAGAAATGGGCGACGTTGAAGGCGTGCTATCCAAGAGCTGAATCTTGTCAACCAACGTCATAAACTTTGCGTTGCTTGCGTTCTTGCTCCTGTATTTCGAGGTAGAGACCTCGTAGTCCATGGAAAGCAAATCCTTGTATGCTTTTTTGCGGAATTCGTTGACAATATTGTCGATTTCAGCGAACACACGCAGCAAAATGGTGTTAATAATAGCCTGGCTTTTCTGATATTCGTCTTTGTATTCACCATCGGGTCGGGAAATGGCCGATTTGTGCTTGTAGTTCTGGGCTGCCAAGTACTCTTCTTTTTCTTTTAAGAATCGTTGGTAATCATCGATGAATTGATCATGATTGTGTTCAGCAAGGTATCGTATAAGGTTACTAGGAAGATCGAAAAAAAAGCTATGGGTTCGAATGAACTCGATCACCTTGTTGAGCTTGGACTCCTTGTTTTTGCTTTCTATTATGGGTCCGATCATGAGGTTGGATGCGATATTTATGTTCTGTAAAGACTCCTCCAACTCGGCAGCAAGCGACTCACTTTGCTGCAATTTGCGCTGTCTCAGAGGATTGTACACCTTGGACGAGTCACGCTCTTGCTGGGCGTAAGTCTTGGACGACTTGAACTCGAACAAAATATCGTCAATGGTACGCTTACAGTCCACAAACTTGATGTAGTTCTCGTCAATTACCTGACGAAGCTGAGCGGTTTGGTTCTGGATATCGCGCTCGAGAAACTGGAGCAGTTGCATGAGCTGTTCCACTGACGAGTCACTGTGGACAGTAGTTAAGAAAACTTGGGAATCGAACTTTTGGGATGACATCAAGAACTTTTTCACCATGGGATCATCGGGCAGTTCCACGATATGTCGCCTCAACAACTCCTCCACGACATTGGTTCCTCGTCCTCTGAACGGATCCTCGACGTCTTCCGAGCCGAAAGCGTATTCAACGTTACTAACGTGGCCTGTGTTGTCGTTGACGATATCAGTCAAACGTTTAAAATTAATTTCTGGCGAAACCAAGTCTACGTCATCATCATTGACCAATCCCCTGGACTGCAAGTCGGCAGAAGTACGTGGATCCAAGGTCCGGATGCCGTAGAAACCACAGAGCGTGGCATCGCTGTCGTCGTAGTTGAGCATGGCGATGTTGATTTGTGGAATGCAGGATTAATGAGAATTGAGAATCGCGACCACGGTGCAGGACAAGACCGATTTACTATATAGTACATACTGTGTAAGCTTATCTCCACAAATACTGCTGGTTATCCTCCACGGCCGCCACGGCCGCATTTGCCAAACTGGCAGAGTCCATTTTTGCATCAAAGTCTGCTGGTGGAAGCTCCTGGCCTTCACGAGCATACAAGTCTGTAATCAAGCGAGTGAGTATTTCAGAAAGTGGAAGTTTCCGGTGGTTTTTCACCTCACTTTTGAGCTTATCGAAGCCAAATTTAAAGTCTGCGCTGGCCCACCGTGCGTCCTTTTGCTCGTCCTGGTACATTTGGGCGAGATATTGCCAGTCCACCGACTCCACCGTGGGGAAGTCAAGTGACTGTAACTTTTGAAATAGCCAAAGTTTCGTATGAGCATCCATAGACGCTGCTCGTACCGAAGATTCTCTCTTAAGAAGTTTGTTCCACTTGTAGCGGCATTGAATGCGCAGTCGAATCCCGTTCATTTTTTCACTCACCACCGTCCAATTGATGGGCTTTTCACTGTCGGATCCTTGCACCTGGGCCACGGCATCACGAAGCTGTTTTTCCTCGTCTTCCAGCCATTTGTTAAGCAGACGATTGTCTCCACATTTAACATAATTTCTCCACCTATCTCGACAATCCTCCGGCATTCGGCCCATTATATCACCAATTTCCTTCCAATTGCCCTGCTTTGTCTGTGCAAGTTTCCGCAAAAATTCGTCGTCTTCTTTGCTCCATTTCGCCCGCACCTGAAACACATGGTACTGGCGCCTCACATGCTTGTACACCAGCGCCCGCAGACGATACGGAAGCACTCTGGTGAGCGATTCCCAAAAATTGTCCTTCTTCCGCTCGTTGGACCAGATTCGTGCACAAATATCCTGGCGACTAAGCTTATGGAGATGACAGTAGCCATGGATAAACAAGTCTACAGCGGCTATTTCTTGCGCCAGAAACATCCGTGGACCTGGGGTCTCGTGAGGAACCGAATTGTACCACGAGCAAGCCATTGAGGCTGCTTCGTCCACAAGTGAATCGAGTGAAGTGAATTTTTTCAAATCGGTATGGTGATCATTGTCTGTTTCACGATTACGGTCCTGTCCTTGGTGAGTAGTCATTTGTCTGTTTCTCGTCGCATCTCGACTACGAGAGCTTCCATCCTTGATTTCCGCAAGAACCTGCTGAGCCTGGTGGGGAGCCAAGCCATGAACCGCACCTTCTTCGTGCAACGCACCCTGGCCCAATTGCTTAGCCAATTCTCGAGCATCCATAATGGCTGCTTGAACCAACTGGTCGTGCTCCGAATCAAGCCCTGCTAGCTCAGGATCAATGTCCGAATGCTTCTTGCGTTTGTTGTCGTTGTCGTCCAAAAAGTTCCACTGGTAGTCAATGTTCATCAATTCGTGTCGCCGCTTATACGGCCGGTCCATTCTGTTGTCAAGGGTCCCCCCTACATACCGAAGCACCGCTGCTTCCACGGCGTCGTTGAGCTGCGTGGACGACTCGTGGGAGTCGGGGGACTGGGGTTGGTGCGATTGAGACTGCGACTGAGGTTCAGGTTCAAGTTGGTTCTGAAGTTGATCATTTGTGTCTTGGTTTTGGTTTATGTCCTGGTTTTGGTTTACTTCCTGGTTTTGGTTTATTTCCTGGTTTCGGCTTTGTTGTCTTATTTCCCGATTTCCTCGCCTTCGTATTGTCATTTCGTCGATTTGAGAAACATTGTGGTTGGTGAGATTTTCGTCTAATTCGTCCCCATTTCCACTCCGCTGGAACCCATCGTCCCCACTGTCTTGACTCTCATTCACAACATCTTCTTGTTCTCCTTCTTTTCCTAACTGAAGTAGTGCTTTGGCTCCACCGATCGCTCTCGTTTCCATTGCGACGGGTAACACTTGGGGTGATGGTGTCGGGTAACACTGAGGTAGTTGTTGTAGATGGATGTTTTCGCGACCTAAAGCGATAAGAGTAAATATTAGGGTTTTGAAAGATTTGGCTCAGGATGTCAAATCAACCGGGGTAAATGAAATGACAAGTGGGAAAACATCGTTGTTTTGCGACGAGGGTCACGTGACCACATAAAACATAAGGGCAAAAATTCACGGGAATGTACTCCGAGGCTACATTCCATGATAACCACCGGCTGTTCAACTCCCTTTTCTTTCTTTTTCTTTCTTCTTTTCCTTTCTTAACTCTCTTCTTTTCTGGTGCTATCACCATTCGTTCCCACCCATACACCACTTTATCTCACAACATAGTTTATAGTTTATTCTCACTGTTTGTTAATGGAGCTCACCGAACGGGTTGAGCAGCTCGAGCTAGAGCTTGTAGAGTTCCAGGAATCGAGCAAGGAACTTGAACTGGCACTTGAAGATGAACTTTCACGGCTTGAAAACTCAAACTCAATACTTCAGCAGCAACTAAAAAAGGCAAATGATGAAATAAATGCTGGAAAAGCAAGAGAAAAAGCACTAGCACAGCAAGTTTTAGAAGCACAGGAGGCGTCACGGGCCCAGAAACGCGAAAACGAGGAAAAAATCAACCAATTGACCAAACGACTAGTGGCCATTGAAGTTGCAAATGAGTCGATGGAGCTGAACGATCGTATTTATGCCAGCAAAATAGAGTTGGCTCAGCAGATGAACAACGATCTCCTAGAGCGAATAGCGTTATTGGAAGACGAGGTTCAGCGGGAACGTGAACTGGGCGTACAAAAAAACCTTTTAATTTCCAATTATGAGAATTCTGTGGCAGAATTGCAGCAAACAATTTCCAAACTTCAAGGCAATTCTGTGCCGCCCGAGTCGTTTGAAGGCGATCTTCTGGTCCTCAGCATGCGGGACGTGTTGATATCCGGACCCAAAAGATTACCCAAATCAGATTCTCTTCATCGGCTTCGAGAGCTCACCGAGATGTCGCATTTGGCTGCGAAAGAAGCTAACATTATCCGCCACTCAATAATCTTGCCAGAGGGCATGTATACCAGCACAGGACCGCGAAATAAGGCCACACCTGAAAAACCAAGAGTTTTCACTAGAAAACTGGCGGAATCTTCTCAACTAGCCAAACCGCGAAAAACGCCAGTCCGTCAAAATCTTCTGCAAGCTTCATCAAATTCGCACCAGCTCACTCCCACAAACTTACCAACACGTAAGAAGTCACGTCGCATCTTTTCGTCTCTTCGGGCCTTCACCAAAGCCGCCCAACAGCCAGTTAAATAGTTACCACCTTCATACCAAATCTCCTGCATAATGCCCTGTCGCGGCTGGACAACTTTCACTTCAACTCCACGTAAATCTGTTCCTAAAACACACACCGATCTGATCATTCTATCCATTTTTCTCCACAAAATTCTCATTTCAAGATGGATTACCAGTCTCTAGACCTATCTGATCATTCTCAGGTGTACAACTACCTCACATCGCTCAATTTGGTGTTGTCCAACCCGCAAGATCAGATTGAATTCCAGGTGCAATTGGACCAGTTGGACGCCATATTCAAGTCTCTCGAAGAGTCCGATAAACAAGAACAGAAACATGGGTCGTTAGCCGTTTCCAAAATGCTTGCACGCAATTTAGTTGTGGTACTTTCTGAACTACCTCTGAAAGTCTACGACTACACAAACGGCCTTCTCAACTATATCAATCTTAACGATTCAGGGACTCTTGCTGTGTCTTCGACGGCTGCTATAATCCTTCTCACCGACATATTCGAGTCTTTTCCCGCTTCGTTAACGTCCTTGATCAATTTTAGTGCAACACTGATCTACAAGATTCTCAAAAAGAATCCAACCATTAGCCCCCATTTGGTAAACTTGCTTTGCGTGGTAACCAAACACGCTACAAAATCCGATCTTGACGTGAAATTCCAAGCAAAACTTTTAAAAATTGCAACAAAAGCCCTCACACTGCAATCAGTTGCCGACAATACGACCACCGTCTCCATAAAAAAGAGCTACACCCTACTCCTCAAAAACTTGCTCATCTTGTCCGTAACAACCAACTATGAAACTTCACTCGCCATGTCAGTATCGGGTTCCTCAAAACTCAAAGCAGAATCCATCATGTCCACCCAACATCAGTTCCAATTGACACTTCTTGAAACTCACAAAAAAACGATACAGCTCGGATTCACCAATTACTATAAGGAGATCCGAATAGCCACGGTGGAACTTTTGGCTCATTTGTTGCTTTCTTTAGTAGACACAGGTAAATTCAGCCCCGTCGAGTACTTGGTGGGAGAATACCCTCTTCCAAAGCTCAACACTTGGCATCCCTCCTTGAACCACGAGGTCGACTTGGATGGAGAAAAGGTCCATGGACTCAGAAAAGATAAAAATTCGTTACTTGCAAGAAACAGCGAACTGATCATAGACGATGATATCTCTCTAGGTTTACTAGGAGCAGGATATGTCGAAACATTGATTTTTTTCGTTCAGTTACAACAATTTCAAAACCTGGATTACGTTTCCACCAATATAATTGCTATATTGGATGCGGTGCTAAGCAAGTTTCGCTGTCTTAATGACGTTCCCAATCATATTCAGGACAAGCAATGGAACACTGTTTTAGACCATTGGCTAAGGGTGATTGACTTTGTCCACGGGGAAAGTGGATCCACTAGCCAGGATCTCTTCATGAGGTATGTTTTTCAGAAATTTAGCATGGAATCAATTGAAGAGACATCGAAGTCAGAACCCAAAAAAGAAGGTGCACGCTTTACATTGATGAGAAGCAAAACTGTTTCAAAAAGCAAGAAGAGAGATGAGTCGGAGTCAGGAATACTTCCGTTTCACAATCCATACACTTGCAGGCTCCTACTATACATCATAGAATTGTTGATTCCTTTCGGTGTTAATTTTAATTCGTTGGTTCAGTCACCAGATCAGGCCGAGGAAGAACAATTGACCAAAAATTCCTTTCTAAATGATCTTCTATTCAAGTTGATCATCAACAGCAACGACTACATTCGTACCTACTCGCTCAGCACTCTACTCAAGTATGGCGCTACCAATGAAGTGGAAATTAATCCTTTGGTACTTCGTTCTTTCGAAGGATTGACACATGAATTTTCGGCTTTAGACACTCCTTCTACACATGAGACAGCCAGCGACGAAAAAGACAATGTCACACGTTCACTCTCGATCAAAATTCTCAGCTACTCGTTGTTCCTACTGTCGTTGATCAAACAAACAGATTCAACACTTCTACTGAATTCTGTTGTGGCCAAGATGTTGGGTTTCTGTACCCAGAATTTGAAGCAAAATACCACCCTGTCAAAAAAGAATATTTTGAAAAATTCATCGTGCTGGATCCTTTTAACCTCGCTTGTAACGTTGTACAAGGACTCCGAATTTGTCAAATTGAATTCATCACAGTTTCTTGTGTTTTGGAAAAGTCTCTTAACTTCCCAATTTATGGGTCTCTCCAAAGACGAAAGTGATGGCCCAGAAACACAAAAAGAAGTATTAGGAAACTTACGCTTGAGAATTCATAGTTTGGGATGTTTGCTCAACTACATTGATTCAGCCGAACTTACCCCAGAATCATTGAAGAACCTACACTTTCTTCTCACAAAGTCATACAATTATTTGGCATACCTAGAGAGTAACTTGGGCGACATTGGTGCCGTTACTAATTTTTCCAGCACCGAGTTTCAGGAAAGCAACTACAATCCAAACTTGGTCAGCAATACGCTCTTCTCAAATCATTTGTTACTCGAGACTGCTTCTATTGAGAATGTGTTTGTTTCGCTCATACTTTACTCCAAGAAAATCTTGCTTCGGTGCTTCAATAAGCTTCTACCCTTACTCAAAAATGATGTCAATTCCAGCATGGTTGTTTTCTTGATTAGGGTTTTCAGCGACACCAAGATTTTCTCTCGCATTCAAAATATCGAGTCGAGAGAGAAAAGCAAATCGAAGTCAAGGCAGGATAGAAGGACAATCCAGGATAAAGAGCCATCATTTGTCCCACTAAGTGAAGAGTATAACTATTCATTTGGCGTTACCAGTAAACTACGTCCCTTTACTCCTCACTTGGACATGATATTACTACCTAATGATAAAGATTCTCGACCATTGTTGGAAAGCAGTAGCTATGATATCTTGGACTGGATTGACAAGCTCGAGCTTAATGTTTGGAAGCTGGTTGACAATAGTGTGAATTACGACCCTAGTGTTTTTCTTCATGGTGACTATTCGGCTCAGGAACAGTTTCTGACGAATCTCCTAACTTCACTTGTCGACTACTCTATAGAATTGCTCCAATCTGTGTTTCCTCAATTGAGCTTGAAGATCCAACACTCTTTGTTGGAGCAGATCAGAGGGTTCATCACTGCCAAGGATGTGGATGGGTTGCGATCAAGAGCCGCTAGCATCAATACTGTTGTAGCTTTGCACGGTTTAGCAGCAAATTATTTCGACAAGGGAAAAAAGCTTGATGGTCGTTTAGCTGATGCGATTGTTCAAATATGTGAGGTTGTGAATACCGAAGATCCTTCGATGTTACTGCTCATTACAGAAACAATCGGCCTAGCAGTATCCATATCCGTAACCCAGAAAACAGAGGAATTGATTGCCAAGTATATCAAGGTTATTGTGAACGATAATGACCCCATTGCTCGAGCAAGATCACTATTGATTCTCTCCAAGATTTACCAATTCACCGGTCGGCAATTTTCAGATGTTTATGGCGTCGTCAGTCAGTTGTTGAACGATCCTCATCCCATCATCAACCATTTCAGCTTGAAATCTTTGGTCATTTTGAGTTCTGGAAGAGATCTCCGTTCCAGAAACACAGAAATACTACACCAACTACACGAGTGCTTCATTAAAGACGACTTTAACAATACTTCCAGCAAAGCTACTTCAAACATGAGGTACCGGTTCCCGTCTGTTCATCTCGCTGCCAACATTTGTGAGCAAATTGTAACATCTTTTGGCCCTGGTTTGCACGAACTAGCGAGCGACTCGAAGGACCGTCTTGTTAGTTTGGTTGTGAGTATTAGACACGGCATCAATGTTGCTTCTCAGCCAGATGCAATCAAAACCACCAGCAACTTTCTCTCATTATTACTGGAGTTGGTGATTTTCGATCATAACTTTCTCTACAAGGAGCTCCTGTTTTTCACTAACTTTCTCAATCTTATCATCGCTCGAAACTTGAAAACGGGTGTTGCAACAACTCCTTTAACGTCGTTCAGCGAAGAGGCTTTGTTCTCCTGCACAACTAGTAAGGCTCTTTACGAGAAAGCTTGTGGCTGTTATGTACAATTATTCAAGATTCATGGCATCAAATCATTGTCCAAGGAAACTGTCAAGCTTCTTTGGATATCTATGAACTGCTTCGCCTGTGACGACCTCAAGCTACTCACCAAGCTTTGGGTCGAGTCCTCATCTGATATTGATTGGTTTGCGGTTCTCAACTCGCTATTCAGATACTCGTCCAAGAAGCTTCAGGGCCTGTTTATGGAAATAAACTACCACCAAAAGTTACTTCCATTACTGCAAAGACAAAAGAAGGCTAACCAGCATGTTGAGTTTCGGGATGAAGAGATCGAGAATATCGTTGCAGAAGGAGATGAGGATGCTGAGAAAAGCGAACCTATCTCTTGGGAGTTCAGACTTCACATTTTCGAACTATTGAACCAGGTACTTCTTCAAGCAAAGACTGACGACAAATTATTGAATAACTTGAAGAGTCGAATTCAAGATCTTATCAAGATATCCTTCTTTGGTTCCACTGCCCCAACCAGTGACATGCGACTCAAAGGTATTGAATTGTTGGATCGAACTTTGAAGTTGTTTGGTCATATGGCAGACCCACTTTACCCAACTGTCTCTATTTTGGAACAGCAACAAGCCCAAATCATTTCGGCATTAATGCCATGTTTCAGCGCAGATAGCGATTCCAAAGTTCTCTCAGAAGCCATCAATGTGTCTTCAAAGTTCATCAACCTTCCGTTGATCAAATTTTACTCCAAGAAGAGGATATTGAATACCTTGATATCGTTGTTGGAGGAGATTTCATCAAACAAATTCATCAGATTCACGTTTTTGGAAAATATTTCGGAGTACGGAAGAAAATCGATCCAGCTTTCTATTCTCAACTGTTGGGCTCACTTACAGATCAATTCCGAAGAGGTGAATGATGCAGAAGGAAGTGAGTTGAAAGAGATTCTCGAGAAGTATTCCAGTATTTTGGTACCGCTTTGGATTCTTATTTTGAAAGAATACTCTCAGATTAAACATTCTGAGCATGCATCGAAAGAGCTCGCACTCTATAACAATTACTGGATTAACTTCATTAGTGTGTTGAGTTTGCAGTTGGAGTCTAACTCATCAAAAATGAACGAATACCTCGGAGAGAACGAGTCAAACTTCTTCTTCATTTTGTTCAGTTTGAGCGTTGAAACTCTCGTTAGAAACCAGAACGTGTCAGAGATATTATTGTGTTTGACTCGCTTGTTCAAGAACTCAAAGCTAGTCGAGCTTCTTTTCGATAATGAGATATTCTGCGAGTTCATTGATCTCATCGACAGACTCATCTTGATTGACCAGGGTGTTGAAGTCGAGTGTGAAATATCTGAGATGATCTACACGATTTTCCAAAGTTACTTGAACACAAACACAGACCCAGAAGAGGGCCTCAATAAGCTCTTTGAGTTGTTGCGTGTGAGTATACTTCCACTTTTCAATATCTTGCCATTTTTGAGAAACGACTTTGACGTCGAAGATCCAAATACCCGCATGAGACTCAAGAAGTATGACAGTGGACCATCGTTGATTATCACCGGCACATTTTTACAGAAGGTGGTAGAGATGATTTCAAAGTTTCCAGACATGATCAAAAAGGACTTGTACTCCTGTTTGTTGTTCATCTTTGCCAAGATCTATGAGCAAAAGAATCCGTTATTGATAGCGGTTGTTTTACCACATTTGAAGAGCGTGATAGTTGAGGTCATGAAGATTTCTGATGAGATGGTCAAGAGTTTCTATTACGCTATACACGACTACTACAACTTTGAATCCGACAACAACGTCTGGGTATTATCGGCGTTGGTTTTGATCACCACGGGAGAAGTGGAGCATAATGAGCAAGAGTCTATTCTTGTTGCAAATTCACTTTGCAACATGATTGACGAAGATGAACATACAACGCTCGCGGTTCAAGCGATAAAGTCGTTAGTTCTGACTCCAGCATGCCAGAACAGCTTAGTGCTCAAAAATATCATCCAGACTTTACTCTTGAAATTGTGGAACGACGAGGAAGCAGTCAGCAAACGAAAATTACCAATGGAGCTTCTTTTGGTATACGCCAAAGAACAAAAGAGAGAGCCCAACAAACTCAAAATTTTTTACGGTTTACTTGTGCCATTGTTGCTTAAATTTGCAAACACAGAGTTGAAAAGTTACGTGAAAGAGCGGCTCATGGTTCTTCTTAATATGGATGCTGATGCCTTCAAACAGGCCATTGGGTCGCTTTCTGAGCAGCAGAGACAGGCAGCAGAGAGTCTCTTGGTGTACAACGCAAACGGCAACTCGGCAGATCTGGTGAACGAAATCGAGTTGAAAACGTTTGGCCAAGCATAATGCAACCCAATGCCGAATCGGGCATTAATGGTTAGGTACAGGAATATCTCAATAATCAAAATCAAGATCCAAGTTCAAGATCCAAGAAAAAGAATTCCAAACAAAAAAAAGATGCAAGTTTTGTTGCTAATAGCGTTTCTTGTGTCGGTGGTGACGGCCAAGACGCATGTGTATAACTTCAATATTACGTATGTCACCAAAAATCCCGACGGCTTGCATGAAAGACGAGTGATAGGAATCAATAACGAATGGCCTATTCCCACCATAAGAGTGAAGCCTCATGATAGAGTGGTTATAAACGTGGACAACCAGCTCGACCGCAACACGTCACTTCATTTCCATGGTCTTTTTCAAGAAAAGCAAAATTTTATGGATGGAGCAGAACAAGTGACCCAATGTCCTATTCCTCCTGGTCACAAGTTTGTCTATAATTTTACCATTGGAGACCAGTCCGGTACTTACTGGTACCATTCCCACTCGGGAGCACAATATAGTGACGGACTTCGAGGATTTTTCATCATTGAAGATGATACTCTTCCTTCTCACGATGAAGAAGTGAGTATTTCTGTCAGCGATTGGTACCATAATGAAGCTTCTGTGATAATGGGCAAGTTTTTGAACAAGTACAATCCAACTGGAGCCGAACCAATACCCCAGAATGCTCTTGTGAACGATACCAAGAACATGACATGGACGGTTCAGCCAGACAAAACCTACCTTGTCAGATTTGTCAATATGGGAATGTTTGTGTCCCAGTATATTTACTTGGAGGGACACAAGATGACTATAGTTGAGGTGGATGGTGTTCGTGTTAAACCACAGGAAGTGGACTCGTTGTATATCACTGTGGCCCAGCGGTATACTGTCCTTCTTCATACTAAAGATACCAAAGAAAACTTTCGTTTTGTGAACATTATTGACCAGGAAATGCTCGATGTACTTCCAGAAGACTTAGAAGTCATATCTACAAACTACTTGGTTTACGATAAATCTTCCAAGCTTCCTGAAAGATTGACAAATGGTCCAGATAAATTTGAAGCAGCCATTGGCAAATTGAACCCTTTTGATGATTTTTACTTGAAACCTCTCAGCAAGACACCCCTCTTGGACGACTACGACTACCAGATCGAGCTCAATTTTACTATGAATAACCTTGGCGATGGAGTCAACTATGCATTTTTCAACAATATCACCTATGTGTTGCCCAAAGTACCCACATTGATGTCGGTATTATCCGCTGGGAAATTTGCCAATAATGCCGGAATTTATGGCTCAAACACTCATACGTACGTTCTTCAAAAAGACGAAGTTGTGGAGATCGTATTGAACAATATGGATCCAGGCAAGCACCCATTCCATTTACACGGACACATTTTCCAGTTAATTTCCAGGTCTCCTGAAGGTGAAGACGACGATAATCCACTAGTTTACGACGAGACAAACCCAGAACACAACAACTTTCCAAACCATCCTATGATGCGTGATACCGTCATGGTCAATCCCAATGGTTTTATAGTTCTTCGATTCAAAGCCGACAACCCTGGTGTGTGGTTTTTCCACTGCCATGTCGACTGGCACTTGGAGCAGGGCTTGGCTATTACGTTGGTGGAGTCTCCAATGGATATTCTTGCTCAGAATCTGTCAATTCCTCAATCGCACTGGGATGCTTGCAAGCTTCTGAACACTATAAGCTACGGCAATGCTGCAGGAAACTTTGGTCCTGACGAGTCCGATTGGCTCAATCTTTCCGGAGAGCTAGTGCAGGCCAAACCGCTTCCCGAGGGCTTCACCACCAAAGGTTATGTTGCATTTTTCATTTGCACAATTTTGGCTCTTTTTGGAGTGTACTCCATCTACCGGTACGGCATTGAAGATGTCGATACCAAAGAAAATGAAGAAACTATGAGAAAGCTCTATGCCATTCTCAGTGCTCACCAGGACAGCGACCAGTACAGTCTTGCTACCAGAGAGGGCGAAACCGAACCATTGCAAGGGCATTGATAGGCAACTGTCGTGTATATAGCCTCGAAACACGAATATTTTTCGCAGCCGAAATTTAATTTTTATCAAATCGTTTTATGACCAAATACGTAATTGTAGGGTACGTAGTTTTTGGGACCTTTTATTTGCGTTGCTACTAATACAGTGCTGGAATTATCGGCTTCTATACTGCCTACAACTTGCTTGAGAGCCATGTGGATGCAATTGACATCAAAATAGTTGCGGAATTTTTTCCCGGCGACGAATCGATTCGCTACACTTCTCCTTATGCCGGGGGAAATTTTTCGTGTATCACTGGCGACGACCCAGAAACGCTTAGAAGAGACAAAATAACCTACCGGAATCTTACTAAGGTGCAAAAGAGTCTAGGAGGTGCAAAATGTGGATTAGACAGATATGTTTCTCACGAGTATTTTGCCACACATCCATCGCAGGAGAAGATAAATTCACTCAGAAGCTACTTGGACGACTATGAGGAGCTTAAGGACCTTCCTGAGGGATATGAATATGGTATTAGGTTTTTGAGCTGGAATTTCAACTGCCCTCTTTTTCTCAAATCTATGATGAATTATCTCCAAAGAAAAGGTGTTCAAGTCAACCGCAAGAAACTCAATCACATAGCAGAGGCTTACTACCCAGACACGATCGCCGTAGTAAATTGCAGTGGCATTGGAGCGAGAAGTTTGGGTGGTGTAGAAGACACCATGGTGTACCCCACGCGGGGACAGGTTGTGGTGGTAAAAGCACCACATATTCTGGAAAACAGAATGTTCTGGGGTAAAGACTCGGCCACCTACGTCATCAAGCGGCCATATTCCAACGATCAAATGATTTTGGGTGGATTTTTGCAGCATGGTGACTGGACCCCAGATACTCTCAAGGAACAAAGTGACGATATTTTGAACCGCACGACTAAAATGTTTCCAAAAATACTTTCTGATAACATCCATGGTCCGAATATAGAAGATTTAGAAGTTCTTCGTGTGGTTGCAGGACTCCGGCCAAGCAGAACCGGCGGAGTTAGAATTGAAAAGCAAAATTTTCAAAACAAAATATTGGTCCACAACTACGGAGCCAGCGGGTACGGCTACCAGTCTGGCTATGCAATGGGCCAGGAAGCAGCGAAGTTGGCTTTAGCAACACCCAAGTTGTAACCAACCAAGATTTAGCTTGGGTGCAACTTTTGGTAGTGCACATAACCAGCGCGATAACTTCTATCGCTGCGAAACCAGCATTCACCCTCGATATGCCCGGTATTTTCGAGTGGGCTTTTGGGAAAAAATTGACGCCGCAAGAGCGGTTGCGCAAGAATCAGCGTGCTCTTGAGAAGACACAGCGTGAGCTCGCACGAGAAACCACAAAGTTACAAGCCCAAGAAAAAAAGTTGATGCTGGATATCAAAAAGCTGGCGAAACTGGGCCAGATTCAAAGCGCCAAAGTTCAAGCAAAAGACTTGATACGGACCAAGAATTACATAGTCAAGTTCAACTCGATGAAGGCACAACTCCAGGCGATTCTGTTGAGAATCCAGTCGGTGAGAAGCAACCAGCAGATGGCAGCCTCGATGCACGATGCCACCCGACTTCTTTCGGGAATGAACCGATCGATGAATTTGCCACAACTCTCTCGTATTGCGCAGGAGTTCTCCAAAGAAAACGATCTCATGGACCAGAAACAGGAGTTCATGGACGATGCCATTGACGATGCGATGGCAGACGATGAAGACGAATTGGGCGAAGACGAACAAGTGGATGAAATCTTGGGTAAGGTTCTTGACGAGATTGGAGTGGACCTCAATACCACGTTGAAGGACACACCTAGCCATATAACTGCCGAACAAGAAGCAGAAAACAAGGTTGCTCAAGCGGTGGGAGCGTCTGACGAAGACGATTTACAGGCACGACTCAATAGCTTGAAGAAATAGATAATGAATGATGCATACGCTACAGCTAGACCAGGTACAGATTCAGACCCTACAGCTTAATGCACACCAATCTTTTTAGCTTACAGACCAATCTCGACAGTTATCATAGACGAGCTACAGCATATTACTTTTGTCCTTCATCTACTCTATCTTAAATAAATCCCTTCTGCTCCAAGTACGCAATGATCTGGGCAGCAGACTCTTCCACGGTGGTGCCTTCGTAGTTTTTCAAGTGGATTTCAGCATTTTCTGGCTCTTCATATGGAGCACTGATTCCAGTGAATTCCTTGATGATTCCCTCACGAGCCTTCTTGTACAAACCCTTAGGGTCTCTCTTCTCAGCAACCTCCACAGGCACATCAACATATACCTCAACAAACGGTAAATTGTCTTTTTCATGGAGCTCACGAGCCAACCGTCTGTCTTGCCTGTATGGTGAGATAAACGATGTCAAAGCGATGCAACAAGAATCATTGAACAATTTTGCAACCTCAGATATACGTCTGATATTTTCGTTTCTGTCATGTTCACTGAACCCCAAGTCCTTGTTCAAGCCAAACCGAACGTTATCTCCGTCCAATCGGTAAGAATTCAATCCACGAGCCAAAAGAGATTGTTCCAAAGCACAGGCGATGGTGGATTTTCCACTGGCAGACAAGCCTGTGAGCCACACGGTAACACCTCGTTGTTTCCTGAGGGCCGAGCGCTCTTCATGGCTCAAATTGGGGTGCCAGGTGATGTTGGAAGCCATTTTGTGAAAAGTTGAAAATCACTGGAAGTCTTATATGATTGCAACTCACGTGAGCTGATGTGGTCGTGGGTTAGTTTAGTGCGGGTGCATTGGAACTGCATTTGCGGTCTGGTGTCTGGTGTCTGGGCTCTTCACTTACACCGAATTTTTCACCTTTACATATAGCCATGTACTACGAGTTGTTGGCCATATCCAGAATTCTGGATCCACAGCAGATGGCAAAGGAGGCCAAGAAGATCGTTTCCACCATCGGAAAGTTGATTTTGAACAACAGAGGAGTGATACGCGATGTCACCAGTATGGGTCCAAGAGTTCTTCCAAAGGTAATTTCCAAAGATCAAGAAAGACATTTTCAAGGATATCATTTTCTTATGGGATTCGACGTGTCTTCAAGTGTACAGCAGGAGTTGTTGAGAACACTTCGCAGAGATCCCAGAGTGCTTCGTGCCAACATAATTCGTCATGATTTGGCCAATAAATTGTCGCCAGGAACCTCTTACCAACGAGCTTATAATAGTATCCCCAAACAGGTGTAAATAGAACGGGGAGTGTAACAATACGGTTCACCGAACGGATCGGTAGATGAATAAATTGACATGAAAGAGATCAATGAGTAGGCTGTAGAAGAGCAAAGATAGCAGAAAATGAAGCAAGATAACCATTATAGCAGACATTAGTATTAGTTATTAGACATTAAAGAGCTACTTGTCTTTGTAGCTTCGTGATGCAAGTTCGTCATCAAGCGACGTGGTGGACGCTGTTAACGATTGGTGTTGCTCTTCGTCAAACACCAGTGGGGCGGCAGAATACTCAAGCGAAGACGAGTCGAGAACCTCGGTATCATGTGTTTCTTCAGCTATGGCCAAATTTATCAGTGATGACGACTTCGCAGTGGAATTGCTTTGAAGGGTGGGAACTAAGGATCTCAGTTGCTGACGTGAACGGGTCATGGGTGCCAATTCAATGTTATCACTGGCAGGCACAAACAGGTACGGACGAAGAGTGTTTTCAGTGTCCTCATTAAAGTTAATGCTTAAAGGGTCCGATAACCGAACGTCAACTTTATGAATTTCGGTGTACGACCACCGACAAAATTTGGTAGGATCCATGATTGGAAGATGAGTATACTTTGAGTATGTGAACACCACATACGACAACACCGCACCGCCAATAAGATCAATAAAATAATGGTGGGTCAAGTACATCGTGCTCCACCACAACCAAACCGCATATGCCCACCAAACCACCTTATACTTGGGGAATAGCCAACAGAGGAATAAGGCGTCCATAACCGACATTCCTGAGTGTAATGAAGGAAATGCTCCGAACACCACTGGAGCATTGGAAAAATTAGAGGTGTACATATCGACACCAAGTATTGCATCGATACGAGCCAAACCTCCAGGAGAACCACTCATCAGGTAGTTGGCAGGTTCGAGTCCATGGGACAACTTGTACCATGGTGGAGCCGCTGGAAAGAGAATTTGGGTCATTACTCCAAGAAGGTTCATGTATCCAAACGCAAACCCAAACGACTGCAATCCGGTGGGAGGACCAAGTAAAAAGATAAGAAGTGCCACCACAAATGGAGCACTAAAGTGGATTATCCCGTAAGGAAGCCAGGCGATAAGATCCAACAAAGTTGTGTTAAAAGTCGCAAGGACATTGGATAAGTTATCACCGTAAAAGATGGTCTCTGTAGCTGGAAGAACCTTCACGCTGATCGCAGGTTTCCACAGCACGGGAATTTTACCCGCCAGGAAAAACAACGCAAGCCACGAGAAAATGGGGAGAGCATGAATGAAAAATTGTGACGTCAATGGGACCAAAAAACAGGTGATAAATACCGCAAGAATGGGTATTTTTATGAAAAACGAAGCCGGGAATATAAGAAACACAAAGAAAATAACCGACAGAACGAATGAATAGTGCACTATTTCCTGGATGGTCCATTTGTGTTGTCTGAGTTTGGTTATGGTGATCCCAATATCTGTTTCAAACGACAAATCAGAAAGCTGACACCCCGGATATTTTTCGGAAAGAAAATAGTAATGAAACCATTGATACGGTTTCTGTACTATCTTGGAACGGAGGAGCGACATTCCACCAAAAAAATGTTCAAAACAAAATTAATTGAATACCAAATTTAGATGGTTTAGTGCGTGATCTGCCCAATTATGAAACCACAAAAAAGCGTCCAAGAAACGGTCTTGACTTATCTACGGCAACCACAGTAACGCTGTGAGTCCAAAAGATGAAAAAAAGCCAACTTTAAATGAGACAAAACCACCTAGCAAAACCCGGTAAGATATTAGTGATGGCACTAGAAAATCCTCAAAAGAAATTCCGTTTGTTTGTGTCATGTCGCGCGACACCCGCGCCAACCGGACAGGTTAGGGGAACCTGGTGTGTGGGCCCGCGGACCGCACCGTGCACGCGGCGTGCGCGCGGTTAGCTCGTCTTTCTTGAAATCGCGGTGTTTGGGAGCAATGTCAGTAGAAGAAACAGACACCCATGTGCATCTCAAGCATGCTTCTGGAAGCACTGCTTCGATCCTCAAGTACGGCGCTACCGTAATATCATGGAAAGAGGACGGAATTGAACGTTTATGGTTGTCGGAGGGTGCCAAAACCGACGGTTCCAAGCCGGTTCGTGGAGGTATTCCGCTTGTATTTCCTGTTTTTGGCAAGCAAACCGATGAAAAACACCCTACTTACCCATTGCCACAACACGGGTTTGCCCGGAATTCTACATGGGAGTTTTTGGGACAAACAACTGAAGATCCAACTACGGTTCAATTTGGATTAGGACCGGAAAACGTTGATCCGGAACTCTACAAGTTGTGGGCGAATGGGTCCAATGACTTCACGTTGATCTTGACGGTTTCGCTTGGTTCTGGGCTGCTCAGGACGGAAATTGAAGTGGAAAATACCGGCAAACAACTGTTCGACTTTAACTGGTTGTTCCACACTTATTACCGTATTCCCGATGTCACCGACACATTGGTCACCAATTTGGTGGATTCCAGGTGCAACGACAAGCTTTTGAAGGAGGTTTATGTGGAAAAAGCACCTATGGTTAGCTTTCATGAAGAGTTTGATCGAGTGTACGAGAAGATTGAATCTCATAAAGTTCTTCAAATTGTGGAACTTGGAAAGGTTTTGGTCACTATAGAACGTGAAAACTTGCAGGACGCTGTGGTATGGAATCCATGGATCAAAAAGTCAGAAGGAATGGCAGATTTCTTGCCTAAGAATGGTTACTTGAACATGTTGTGTATTGAGCCCGGTCATGTTTCAGACTTTGTCAATTTGGCACCCGGAAAGAAATGGAAAGGAGCGCAAAAGACCACTGTTGGAGGAGAAATCAAGGTACAGACCAATATATATTAGGAGATTATTTAAATTTACTCTTGAATTTTTGAAATCTATCCAATGATTTTTGCGATGAAGAAATCGTAGGCTTGTCATACAACAGAAACGGCTGGGGCACCGTGGGTGCTTTTAGCGATCTGGAGGTTGGTGACCGTGTAAGTTTGACCTTTGGGGCGTGTTTCAATGAGGGTATCGAGTGAGACAGCGAATTTGCAGCCAAATTTGGAACCGAACGAGACGACATTGGGTGAGACAGATTTGTGCGAGACGAACTTGAGTGGGACAGAGAATGTGAATGTGGCTGGATAGGGTGCACCAGATTTGGGATTGGGTGAGTTTTTTGGTTTAGGGAGCTGGACGATGATTTTGGTTTGAGCGACTGGGTTTTTGGAAGAACCGGAATAGCCTTTTGCAATTGAGGTTTTGTACCTGGATTGCTAAGCAGTTTTGCTGAATTGTTGAGCAGTTTTGATGAAGGAGAGCCTGAAAGAGTGGTTTGTTTCAGAGTGGAGGCTGGCAAAGGTTTGACACCAGCCAATTGAAGCACCGATGGCCGAGTAGTGAGGGTTCGAGTGCGTGGTTTTGGCACTGCAAATTTGACCGGTGAGCTTTTTTCTTCGGGCTCCAGTGTGAGAATGCTATGAAGATCATTATATTTTTTCGAAGGAGAAATTCGCTTGAGTGGACTCGAAAGCTGCTTAAGTGGAGACAGGCGAGGAAGGTGGATCATATTAGGCTCGCCAGCGAGGTTGGAAGTTCTTCTTCTTTTGGAGTGTGCTGAACCTACCAACGACTCACGTTTGTTGGAGTGTTCTTTGTATTCTGTGGAGTTTGTTGAAGTTGAATTGGTTGAAGAGTTTGTAGTGGAATTGGGTGCAGACTTTTTCTTTGTTCTTACCGAATAGTGACTCGAAATCGACTCGAGTTTATTCCGCCGTCTTTGGGTGGTCTGTGAGTGGGAGGAAGGTGGAGACCTCATTTTTTCAGAAATTTGTGAGGCTCTTTGGTTGAGTTCCTTCAACACATTACTGCTTAGTTTTCTCAGGTACCCTAACGATTGCATGTAAGAATTGAGTGGAGGGGAGCTGGACGGCAATATATCATCGAGATTGGGGTATATGGGCGATAAGCTTGACGGCGAACCAAGACGGAGATTTTTGATGGGCGTGTTGAGTTCCATAGAGGAATCAAACGAGCCGGGAACTTCCATTAAATCAATAGGGAAAATGCGATAGGGGTATATTAGGTGAATGTGAGTCGGTGGTGACCGGTCGGAGGGGGCTGGGTAATTGGTTAGTTAATTGGGTGGTTTGGTTAATTGGTTGATTGATTGATTGGATTGTGCGATGCGACCGATTAGGCAACATGTCAACAGCCCGCGAACGGTGCGGTGCACGGGTGCACCGGTGTTACTCACAGTGATTTCGCACTTTCTCAGTTTCGCAGTTTACAGTTCGCGGCCGTTTTTGCCGGGGCTCATCGCCTCCGACCCCGGATATCGTCGCACCCACACACCCGCGCACGGCGGTTGAGCCTCAGACTCAAACATGACGTGCGATGCTAATCGCCGAAAACGGAATGCAAACTCACAACAAATTTTGTCCTCGGATGATTATTTGGTTGTATTGGCAAGCTCGAGTGATCTACGAAATCGGTTCATTGTGGCAATTTAATCAGAAGACAATTTAAAATTCTCCGCACTGACTCCTCATGCCCGTAATTTGTTACTCCGAAGTCCGACACAGCATGTGCGCCCTTAGAGTAGTGTGCACATGCCGCGCCGGATTTAGCTGGCCGGGCGTTCGGATGAAACATTCTCCGCACTCACGCGACGAAACTGAAGCCAACGAAAAAAGTTGAAGAGACTAGAACTGTTGACTTCCGGCTATGCTCACAAATCTTCGGGCTATCACATTCAGTTGGTCCCATTTTTCATTTTCGTCCTCGGCACTCTCGTCCGATTCCACCCGACACACCCATACACCAGTTCCCCTCCTGTTGCACCCGAGGCAAAATGACTGTGAGTCGCCGAGGTGTTCGGGTATTGAATTGCATGAGATGAGCGAAAAAACAAGAAACGAAACAAATTTTGTAAATATAGTGACTCTCTTCATCTGATACAACCCTTCAGCTTAACCCTTCCTCTTACCCGTTTCCCTCTTTTTCTTCTTCAGCCGATTCCCCTCCTCGGACTCGCGGCTTCGCTGCGGCTCGGTTCCGCAGCGGACTTTCGCACCCCGCGGAGAACATCAATATATATAAATGGGTTTCCCCGGCCAACTTTAATTATCTACATCGGCTGGACCATGTCAAACGATCTTTTATGTTATTCGATAATGAATCAAACCACCAGGCCCCTGGCTCAAGTGGCTACTATGCCACTTCCTATGGTTGATAAAATACCGCGTATGTCGTCGGTGGTACTTCCTCCTGTCAGTAACTTGACGGTGTTCGATCTGCCTTCCAAGTTGACAGAACAAAATTTGCAACAAAATTTGCTAAACTTGTCGCGGGCCGCCACTTTTGCAAGCGTAAATGCAACAGCATCTCCAATGCGCGCAACTAACGCCGCACTCACAGGCTCTGCAAATTCTGGTCGTTCTGATAGTTTTGCATCGTCGGCATCTTCTCCATACTCCAATGAACCGTCGTCGGCTCCAACATCACCAGCATTACCTTCATCGCCCAAAATGGCCATCATTGATTCTACAGGACACACCAAACGCCGCCAGCGACTCGGTCCGTCGTGCGACTCGTGGCCGGCTGCGAAAAGTAAAGTGCGATGCCGATATCTTGGTGCTCGCCAAAACCCCGCAAGAAAATGAACTTTGCTCACATGAAGGTGTCGTCGACCCAGATTAATAACCTCTTCAACAATAATACTCCCATCAAGTTGGATGACGACTCGTTCATCATTGTCGCGAACGAAAAGGTCATCAAGTTCACCCCATGCAAATCATGCAGCGCCAAGGGTCTCCCCTGCTCGTTTTCCAAAGGTTTCACCAAGGAAGACATCATTCTCAACTCCAAAAAATCAGAGTCAACCACCCCGCTCAAATGCAGAACTCTGGTATCCAAAGTCACCAAGCCGCGCATACCAGAAGCGGTCTCTCCCGTGGCTGCAAATTTGGCAGTTTCTGTCGCAGGAGGCGCTGGCGTCCTTGCTTCCGCAGGCACCAGCTCGAGAAAATCGTCGTGCAGCTTGTGCCGCCGCCGCAAGGTGAAATGTGTGTATAATGCCTCGGCCAACAAATGCGATGGCTGCTTGAAAAAAAGCACCAATTGCTCGTACGACATATAAGACCGGTTCAGGTCCAGTATTTAATAGAATGGCACTATCGACTCAGTATTAGAATGACACTATCGACTTCGTATTTAATGACACTATGTTGGTCTATATTGGCTTATCGGTCTTATGGCTATCGGTCTATATCTCTCATATCCTTGACGTAGCGTGGAAAACACTGCAGAACTGCGGTGAGAAGCTTGTCAGCCAACTTGTAGTCCACCAAAAATTCATAATTAAGCTTGACCAATTCTGCCCGCTTCAAGTTCTCCGACACCTCAAAGTCGTTGATGGCTCGAAATATCATTTCAAAAAGTTTTTTGTGTTTCAAATTCTTGTGGTTGGCATTGTCCCTCAAGGACATCTTCAAGTAAAGCTGGCGCTTGGCAAATTTGTTGACTCGGAAACAAAGACAAATGACAATTTTGTCCTTCAAGATTCGCTTGGGCGCATTGGCACTAGTATACTTGATGTAAAACACAAATTGAATATAGTTCAACTCGCGGAATTTGACATCAAAGTCAAGTCGACGCACATTATTCACGAGCCTACTCTCGGGAACTTTATCCAATTCCACCATGGATTTCTTGACGGTGGAAATTGCTCGGAATACTGGCGCTATGCAACGAAGATACTGGACAAGCCCAACAATGCAACTATCTTTTGGATGGGAAAGATACTGATTGATAAACGTGAGCACAAGCTGGATTTCCGCCTCGATACCACTGGAAACAGTTTTGAAGCTGGGCACCCTCTGCATTTCCGCAGCTCCGGTATCGCTTTGTGGGAGCTTGATTTTCAACACACCGAAAATATCGTCAATATGGACAGAGATGCCGTCGGCCGAATAGTCGACAATCTCAATGTTCCATTCGTTGAGAATCGTCACCAGAATGATGGATTGTTTGAGTTTGTTGAGCGAGTTGAAAAGGTTGGAAAGTACCTTACTTTCAGCCGAAGTGGCACTGTTGTTCATGGTTCCAGAGAGGTCAACAGAGTCTGTAAGCGTAAACTGCCTTTTGCCATTTTTGTGGAAAATCGACAATCCTTGTTCGCCGGTGGTTGAGAGCTCAATTCCTCGGAGTTCGCCCATTAAAAGAAGCTTCATGTGGGTGGAATTGTGGTGATGCATTAAGGTGATTTTGAGAAATATGGTGGTGGAAGAACTGGCAATTGGCAAGAGAGTTCCGTCGTTGTAAAGCGCTATAGTCAGCGAGTACAATTCGGAGGAAGATGTACCACGATTGACTGTTTCTTGCTTGATACCAGGTTCAGTTTTGACATTGTCACTGGAGAGTCCACCAATACTCTCGTCCACATCGTTGACAAAGCGAACTTTTCTTTGCTCCAATTCCTCGTGGACAATATGGTCAATAATCAAATTGGAACAGCGAGTAGAAAGGCTGCTGAAGAAGTTGTAGTCTAGTTTTTGTGACGAAGCATTGCTGGCAAGGCTGCGCAGCCATTGGATCCGCCAGTCTCCTCTCACCGACTTTATACGAGTAACCCACCACGAGGTGTTGAACGAGGTACCGCTGCACAAAATGATGAGAAACCACGAAGATGGCCAGTTTTTACACCGGTAAAAATGGAGTCGTTGCAAGGCGGAATGCGATGATTTAGTAGTAGAAGAACCACCAAATGGTTTCATGATTCCTGGGCCCAACTTCGCAATCTCAACTTCACTCAACTTGATTATGGTGTTGTGGATCCATTCTGTGGTAACCAATCGGTTATGGATTTGTTGCGAGAAAGTATCGAGACGAAGTTGAAATATGCTAGCAACGACATGCGAAATGGTGTCTGTTTCTGATACGAAAGTCTTGGATTTTGCAGAAGGTGGAGGTGCATTGACTCTGTTGGCGCATTTGCTGTAGAGTGGAGAAGGTTCGCAAAAGTAGAAGAGTCCCGTCAAAGGATTGAGTGCAAATAATGCCAGGGTTTTTGGCGCAACTGAAAGCAAAAGTTGGTGGGGAGTAAAGAGAGTTACCGAAGAAGATTCGGTGCCAACCACATCCACGAGTTGATCGTATATCTGCTTAATGAGAGATTCGGTATGGCGATTGGCTACCACGTTAAGTATCATGTCCAAGCTAAGCACAGACCCTCCAGAAGGTCCTGCTCGATCGGCAACTTCGATATCGTGGTTTTGGTAGTGGCCGTTGCGGAACCATCGAAGGCCCAAGCTGTTAGAACGAGTAACTCCCAACTCGATAAAAGACCTCCAGTTTCGGGAGAGGTACTGCTGAGACCAGTAGTTGATCACGAGCATCAGACGATCATCAAAGTATTTGTACTGGACAGAACCCTTCCATTTACTGATGGTGCACAAGTGGGCGAGTTGGCGGGATAAAAGGTATAGTTTGAATGCAACGGAGTAGCGGTGAAGAAGGTTGTAAAGTCCCTCGAGGCCGTGGGCAAGTAAGGAAGCGTTGGCAGCGTGCTCGAGTTTTCTTAGTGCCGGGGGAGGGAGCAGGGTATGGGCAATCGAGTCAGACATTCGCGACGGTCCGGACGAGTCGTCTTCAATTAAAGTGTCACCATCTGAGCTTACGCCAAACAAAAACTTGAAATCAATGAAATAGTATGGCGATTTGTAGTAATCTTCCGCCGACTCGACAATGGTATCGTTTCCCACCGTCACAGAAACCTCGAATTCTCGCGGCACCGTGAAGTAAATTCGTCCGTCTTTCACTAAATAGTCACCAAAACGAGCCGGTAATGTGTCTTCAAACACCATACGGGCCGTGAGGCAGATATTGAGGTCGTGGATGACTTGGAGGGGTTCTTTGAGGCAGAATCGGTCGCGGTGGAGAGGTATATGACGGTAATTGTGGGCGGGCCTCGAGCAAACTTCTAAGGCGTGGGAATATCTGCGTTGGGCACTGAGCGCCCGAGTACCCGTTAAAGTTCGTTTAAGTCCCAAATCCCAACTGGTCAAAAAAGTACTCTGTTGACGGAGCCAGTTGAGAAAGATCGATGAGCTTCGACACGTCTTTGGCATTTGCTGCCCATTTGACAAGCGTATAGAGCTTGATGAAGTCATGGCGAAGGTCTATGATGGTGGAGAGAAAGCCTCTCTTTCTATTGGGGTCGGTTTCAATGTCTACGGTGGATGACAAGTTTTCGATGGTGGTTGTTAATCGTTGGTATGCGTTTTGAGCGTAGAAAAAAAGAATCCTGGATAGGGGAATCATGTTGGATGTGATGTGCGGGATGGCAGGAACATTGTGCTTACTGCCATTTTGCCCAGCGGATGGGTTTTGACCCAGCTGTAGTTCCATGCTGAGGTGGAAGAAGAGAGTTGAGTTGAGTTAGTGCGGGCATGTGCAGGAAACAAGAGAGACAAGGCAGAGAAGAAAAGAAGAGGTAGACAGAATGAAAAGAAAAGGTTGAGAAGAAATGAGAAGGCAGATAAGAAGTAGACCAACTGATCCGGATACTCGAGATTAATCTACTTTTCAGTTTACGTATAATACAATTCATTTTACAATGACGCCTGCAGCGGCTATCGCCAGCTTGGAGGTACACAGTCCATAATTGGGCAGCCAAGGAGATCGGAAACAACCACACGCCGGTCCTTACGGACAAGGAGCTGCTCTACAATCTCTCTGAGCTCGGCAATTATGTTTTTTGCAGCACCAGGTATATGGTCGTCAGATACCATTTCGAGCACAGTATACCAGTCCCAACTAAGCATGGCGATTCGATGGGCTGCAGTATTCTTGTTTCGGCGCCGCTTCAACACCAGCGGCGAGATTCCGTTTTGCGGAGCAATATTGGGCGGCACATCAAACGGAAGTCGGTTTTCCAAGAGCGCATATATCACCACTCCGACGGCCCATGAGTCGGTGAGTTTTCCGTCATAGGGGATTCCGAGAAGAAGTTCCGGCGATACGTAGTCCTGGGAGCCACACCGGGTGGTAAGGAATTCACCGGAGTACCGCAAACGACGAGAAAGTCCGAAATCAGTCAAGTTGGTGAAGCTGTCGTTGGTACAAGTTTCAGACATCAATTCTTGGTAAGGAAAATTAACCAATATGTTTTCGAGCTTGATATCTCTGTGGACAATATCGTGCGAGTGAAGGTGGGCCACAGCGCATATTAATTCGGCGACAATTCTGCGAATGACCGTCCAGTATTCGACGCTGCGAGCCTGCGATGTCCGGTGCTGGTGCTGCATTTGGTACAAATTACCTCCTCGGCTGTATGTGAGGAACAAGAGCTGCTCGCTGTTCTCGCGGACTGCGTTGTAAACCAGGGTAATGGCCGAGGCGGAAATTGGAGCGCCGGCTAGATCGAGGTCTGGGTCCAGATCGCCGTCGTCGCCAGATCCCAGTTGGAGTGGAACCGACACTGAGTAATCTAAAAGACCAACTATGCAAGGATGATGAATTGAGTTTAAGGCGTTGAGTTCACGGCGAATCACCGCTTTAAAGTTGAAGGTTTCTCTTTCGGATGTGAGAGGTACATGGACGATTTTCACGGCAGCACAATCGTGGGAATTTTCGGCATTGATAGCCAACACCACAGTACTGAAAGTGCCGCTGCCAATATCTTTCTGGTAGATGTAGCGGGCACCGTTATGAGGAGCCACGTACACATCGCCGGAGCGAGATTTGGGTGGTTGATTTTGCAACGATTTATCGTCGTTTTCAGTCCCATCTTTTGGAGGCGGCGTGGCTTCTGTGCCTGTGGAAGCCATGGGCGTGCTAACTACACGCTGATTAGTGAATACCAGTGGCTGGGCTGCCAGAGACCCTTCCAAGAGCAGGCTCTTACGCACCAAACCCGTTGGTTTGTACTCCGAGATCGCTCTAAAGTTCTTTGTTTCTCGACTCAATGGGTTCATATTGCTCTCCTCGTACACGGGCGACAGCGTGGATGGGCTGGTTGACGTGACAGTCCCGGGACTTGACGATAAAATATTGGAATGGCCTGAAAACGTAGATGAAAACAGACCCTGTTTTATGATAGGAGTAGGAAGTTTTGTGATTCGATCAAACGTGGCTGCGGTGGGAGTATCGGGACCCAGGCCGGAACCAGGGCCCAGGAAGTCAATTGGGTCATCTAGGCCTTCATTTAGTTGTTCATTTTGTGACGAGTTTTGGGCTTGTTGTTGCAGCGAAATCAACACTGAAAGTCCAAAAGGTGACAGCCTTCGTGCAGGAGGTGGTGGTTTCCTGTAGATTCCTTGGACATCATCTGGAGTTGGGCTTTGGCCGGTCATATTGGCATGGGCCCTTTGCACTATTGTTAAAGGAGTTGCGCGATGTATTTTGACGTGGGTGGGTGCAGGAGGCTGGCTAGCGCGGGCTGGCACGGGCGCGTTGGTAGCCGCGCTTTGGAGCCGCGCTTTAGTGCGGCTGGCAATGGGTGCAAATTAAAAATAGAAAGCGAGTCGAAAGGTGAGACAGTAGTTGAGGAAACAGATGAAAAAGTAAGAATGAGAGCCAGTAAAAAGAAGAAAGGTAAGCTTATAATAAGATGATTCTAGAGGGGAATTGAAAAGGTAATGGTGGAAGAAGAGTAGAGGGAAGATAGCAGAAAGAAGAAGTAAAGCAAGTAAAGCAGAAGAAAAGTAGAAGGGATGGAAGAAAGGAGAAATGAACTGAAAACAAGTAGAGTATAAAGGGAAACAAAAATCTATAGAAAACTCGGTTCAAGAAAATTTATTCTTCACTCACTCTATCCATTATCATTGTCCTTATCATTTATTGCTAGAACATTACTCATCCTTCCTTTCATATCTGATTCATCCTGTTTCCTTCATCTTCCCGTCCTCCTACATAAACCCCTCGAGTACCCGAAGCGCAGACTCGAGTCGCCGGATTCCTATCTCGTACCGTTGTTCATCCACCAACATATCCAGCGTCAATCTTGAAAGCGAGTCCACTATTTTCTCCACCAATTGCTTCTGTCTTATTGGAAGATTAAGTTGGGTAAACTCTTCACCTATTACTGTGCCATTGGTACTCTCTAGTAAACTTATCAATGTCGAGTAGGTGAATGGCTTGAGATGCGATTTGGAGGCATGCGACTTGACTCGCTTTTTTGTCTTTTTCTTGCCTTTGTTCAAGTTGTGGGTACTGTCTTTGACAGATTTGACTCTGGCTGGCGGATTGACTATCACCGGTTCCTCAATGTCATAGTAGTCGTTATCATCTGGAGGATATGGAACCGAATGGTCTGTAGAAACCGAGTGTCTAGAGTTCCATTCCTTGGTTGGACTGTGGTCAGATTCAGGACTGAAGTTCTTGGATTTTTCCGCATGCTGTTCAGACTGTTCCGGATATTGGTAAGATTGCTCCGGATACTGTTCAGATTGAGAATCGAGGTGCTCAGATTCTGGTCTAAATTGCTTAGATTGTTCAGGACTGAATTGACCAGATTGTTCAGGATACTGCTCGGAATGCTCAGGATGCTCAGAAGGTCCAGGATTGAATTCATATCGTTCAGGACTAACCTGGGATTGTTCAGGATGCTCAGACCGTTCAGTTTGAATTTCTTCTCCAAATTCCTTTCCCATGCCCTGTCTTATCTCCTGGCTGACCACCCGTGCCCTCTCCACGTCCGTAGGTGACGGTCTGGGCGGCAAGAATCGATCACCAGCCTCCAATAAAGGACTGGTAGTATCGGTCGTCTTTCGCGAGTGCGAATATTTGGAGCTGGAATCGTCTCTACCTTCATATTTCTGCTCCAAATCTCCAGCACTAGCAGCGCTGGCCATAAGTTTCTCAAGGTCTTCAGTGATAGATTGCAGCATCGAATGCTGCTGTTTGTGGCCTTTTTCCGTAGTGGGCAGATCGATATCTTGTGCAGTATAAATTCCACTTTTGGGACGTCTCGAAGAGCGCGGAGGTACTGGTGCTTCGACATTGGTATTGTAGCTCATATCAGGCAGTTTCTGCTCCGGTCTGCCCTTGACTGTGGGGAGCTTTCCAAGCTTTATCGAAGATTCTGATTGCAAATCAACCCTATTGACTTCGCCCAGATCCCGCTCCACTCGAGTAACCGTCACTGGCTCAGCGACGTCTTTTTCTCTACCAGAGTACTCGGAAAGCGAAGACATATACGAGTCTCTTGCGGAGTGTTTGGTGGGTGGAGCGTGGAAATCGGAAAATGGATCTTTCCTTGAAGTTTTGGAACTTTTGGACGCTCTGGAACTTTTCGAACTTTTGGAGCCTTTTGAAGAATTCGATTTATGAGATCCAGTTGAACGGTGCCTACCATCTGGCCCCAGAGTGTTCAATTCCTCTGAGGGAGCATACGAAAACTCGGATTCCATGAATAGCTTAAAACTTAAGGTTGAGATTGAAATGAATCAGTTGTTTCGCAGGGATGTTTATCATTGTCCCGATTAGGAAAGCTAATTGGGTACAGGTCGAGATTGGCACATTTTTGCATATGCAGTAGACGCTCGAAAATCGTTTATGAAGTATGGAGGATACTTCTGTCGGCCTCCGCTAAACACCGAAACCTTCGTTCGTCGGCTCGAAAAGTTTGCAGTGGAGCATCCTACAGGCTCTCATCCAAGTGCTTTGGTGGATTGTATTGTTGCGGCACGCCATCTTCAACAAAATCACCATCGAAAACCTCACACAATTTCCACAAAATGGTCTGATTTGTTGCAATTGAGACTTGTGAGTAACCATGAGATCGAAACCAAGCTCTGGGACTTTTTTCAGAAGCACAGAAGTCAAATCGATGCAAATGTGGCTTCGAGGTACTTGCTTGAGCACCCCCAACCAAAGGTATCTTCACGAATTATAGATCTAGCGTCTACTGTAGCAGAGCCCAGCATTACCAGAGTGGCATTGAGGACGTTGCTACATCAAAAAGACTATTCAAATAGCTTCAATTTGGTGGACAGAGTCGTTTGTTCGCACCGAAGTTTGCGCACCGGAAGACAAGAATGGTTACGCACGATGATGGTTTCACAAGCAATTGGTGCGGCGTGGGGCATAGCAGAGGCGTCTGTGTTATCTGCGGAGTGGTCTCACTTTTGTGTGTCGAATATGGCGCTTGCTGGGTGCCTTGCATTGGGATTGAATTTGGTCCAGAATGGAAGTGGACTTTCCCGGGTCAAATGGAGACCGTACATGTCCCTGTTGTACAAGCACATGCACCGGGAGGAGCTTGAAATGGTGAATCGCATTGTGACCCATTTCGAAGAGCATAATGAGTTGAATGTTCGCAACTTTCATGTCAGTGAAGCACGACAGAATACCCCTTTAAATATCTTTTCCCACAACGATATGATACTTGAAGCCCCACAATCAGAAATTGAGCAAGAAGGAGTCTCAGAAGTGGTGAAAGTACTGAATATGATTCGGCTTGAAGTTCAAAAGCGGAAAATGGTGATGGGTCCAGTTGACGAAGAAGTGGATTTTCTCGAGTTTTGGCAGCGCCACGGTGATGGGTTTCAATGGGTGGAGCCGGACCAGGACCCGGCCGAAATCAGGCAGTGGAAATTGCAAGAAGCAGAAAAGCACAATTAGAGCCTTATTTGCAACTTTGCGGCGTGCATACGGGATCGCACTCAAATCGCGAAACCAGTTGAAGTTTCTCTTCACAAATGCCTCCCAATGCATTCACCAAATTGAGCTCTCCCGGCGATTTGGGGGCTGTGACAGCACTTGCCTTCAATGTGGCAGCCCAAAACTTGCTAGTGGCGTCGGTAAATACGGGTATTTTGTTATATGACTGTAATCAGTACGAACGACAAGAGACTCAATTCCATATCAACAATGTAATCCTGAGCATGGCGGTGGATGGTTCCGGATCCGTTTACGTTGGAACCGATACCGGCGCGGTGGGATCTTTGGATTTGGAAAACCTGAAGTTGTGGGAAATGGCTGATGAACTTGGTGTGTGTTCGTCTTCCCCAGGGCTAGATGCAGTAGCGGGAATGGGTGTAATTGATTCCAAGTTATTTGCAGCCAAGTATAACGGCAATTTTTTGCAGCTAGATCCTCGGCAAGCCAAGGCAGTTCAGCTGGTAAATCTTGAGCATAAAGTGTTTGCGATGGACGTTTCGGATACCTATGTTGTTTTGGGAATGGAGGCCCACAAGGTGCATATATACGACAGCCGCAAATTTGACCAACCGGTGCAACGGCGAGAAACCGGACTCAAGCATCAAACCAGTGATATACGGTGTTTTCCCAATGGAAAGGGCTACGCTCTAGCTACCATTGACGGCCGGGTAGCCGTGGAATACTTTGATGTTTCTGCCGGGGTCCAAGCGCGAAAGTATGCATTTAAATGCCATAGAACCGGTGGTAAAAACGAGTCCGAAGACACCGTTTATCCAGTCAATGCCCTCGAATTCGACCAAAATCACGATTCCATACTTTATACTGCCGGCTCAGATGGTGCCGTGTGCACTTGGGACTGGCATGGCCGCCGGCGAATCAAGCAGCATAGCGGGTTTTCTGGCGCTGTCACTAAGATGCAAATTTGCGGACCGACGTTGGCGGTTGCTGTGTGTGACGACTCGTACCGGGTGGGGAAAAGAGCCACGAGATCCAGCGAGTTGTATGTTATGGGGTGAATTGCCGAATTGCGACGAAGTTGCAATTCGCACAAATATTGCACCCACTATTCGCACCCACTAAATTCCCACTGATTCGCACTAATTTTCGTCGCGAGAATTCGCAATTGTGCATCGCATCGCATTTTATTCGCAGCTATCAGTGGGCCCACTCAATTAAACTTTAACTACCATTTGTCTGCATCATCGCCGCAGGGTCCCGCCTCGAACCCACCACCTCCCTCACTATGCATTTTGAACCGGCTACTCGTGAATTTGAGCAGTGGCTCGCTCGCCAGAACATCACCATTCTGCCCAAGGTTGCTATAGCAGACCTACGCCACCAATTCCAGGGCAGGGGGTTGGTCGCTACCGAAGATATAGTGCCGGAAGAAGAGCTTTTTCTGATCCCTCGACTGTCGATACTCAATGTGGAAAATAGCCAGTTGTTGGTGGACAAACCGGATATTCGTGATAATCTTCTAGCGTTAACTCATTGGGAACAATTGACCATTGTGCTTCTTTACGAGCTAGAAGTGCTCAAATCAAAGTCTCGGTGGGTTCCATACTTCAATGTGTTGCCTATCAAGGACACCGACAATCTTGAGTTCAACCAGTTGATGTTTTGGACCGACGCCGAATTGAAGTTACTTTCTCCCTCGCTAATCGTGGAAAGAGTGGGAAAAGACGTTGCCGAAGGCGTGTACGAAAAGCTCTTTCCCGCCTACGTATCGCAACAATTGCAGTTGCCGGAGCTTGCGGAAGTTACACTTCAAACGTATAACCAAGTGGCATCGATAATCATGTCTTATTCGTTTGATGTCGAGAAATTTGACCCGGAAAGTAACGGAGACAGCGATGAGCCTATGGACATGGAGAACGCTGAGGAGTTGCTTGAGCTCAATTTTTTCAAATCGATGATTCCTTTGGCTGATACCTTGAACGCAGATACAAAACTCCACAACGCTAGTCTTGTGTATACACCCGACTCGTTGGTGATGATAGCGATCAAACCAATTCCTAAGGGAAATCAGATCTACAACACCTACTCAGATCACCCAAACTCGGAGATCTTGCGACGCTACGGTTATGTTGAATGGAATGGTTCCGAGCACGATTTCGGTGAGGTGCCTTTGTCCTTGATAAAAGATTATTTTGTGTCCAGGGGCCAATTTACCGCAAAGTATGTCGACGAGCTTCTTTCCATCATGTCGCAAATCGTAGACAACGATGAGTCGGGCCGCTGGGCTGACATCGTACTTGATTCCTACGATTGTTTCGTGAGTCGGGAAGTCATTATTGAATTCATTTTCATCATTCAAGTACTCACGGTGCTTGCTAGCATTAATTCACTAAATTCAATGGAGCACTTGAGCGACGAGTCCAAGTATCAGCTCGTTTCCCGTGTTTTCAAAAAGTGCTACAAGTTGATAGAATCAGGAAAGTTGACCAAATGTTTTGAGCAAACCTACAAAGATATTTTAGATCTCCGCTTGAAGCAATACCCAAAAGCTGCCGCTGAAGAATTCACCAGCGACCCCAAACACGACCGAGCCAGTTTAGCGATGGCGGTTTTGAGGTCGGAATACAAATCATTCAAAACCTGTTCTGACACCAATGCCGTTTTTCGCAAGGGTGACGTCAAATACAGCTTTATTCTGGATGAAGCCTTCATTAAAAGTATCGTGAACAAAAAATTTTTAGATGAGCTCCATTAATCACTGAGCTAGAGAAATGATTAGATTGGAAATACGTACAAGCAAAAGAGGGTAATGTTAATATTAAAATAATAGATAAGATTTAGCTCCTTAAAACCTACTTCGTTCAGTAATCGTGAATACATGTACTGTACTACTTAGTAGAGGTGGAATCACTGGTCAACAGTGAATTTCCGTCATCCTCTAATTTTTTCACTATCAACTTGCGTGGACGAGAAACATGAAAGCTTCGCTCAACGGGTTGTTTTTTGCCAAAAAGATTGCACAAACGACCGGCAGGCCCATTATTGGTTTGCGGTGACTGTATTTTCTCCATAATTTCCTTATTATTTCGCAGTTCCTGGGTATCCCAAATTTGTCTGGCATCCCACATTGCTTTGATATCTGGATCAACCAGATCACCAGTGAAATATTTGCGGTAAATAAGATCTGCTTCTCGGAAAGTATAGTCGTTTCTCTTTGGCGTGTAAGACTGTGCTTCATCTGAAGTATCGTTGGCGACAGTAACAGACTCTGCTTGGTCGGAAGTGCCTTTGAAAATGATGGATCTCAGCAGCGCGATAGAGTCCAGATCATCACTGCGGGCTTCGAATATGGTTCCTGAGCGGTAGTATAACACTTCAGAAACTGAGTCGTTGACGGAACCAGAGTTGACATCTTCATCTACCGCAGGCATTTTCTTTTTTTGCAAAACATGCTGGTAATCAAAAGCGGCTGCGAATGAATCATAGCTGGTGTGTTTTTTCAAATTGCTTCCAGTCAGGTCCAGTGAGCGTTTTGCTTTGACAATGGACCTTATGGTAATCACAACACCATAGACCAATTGCACAAGAAACACCACCACCACAAACAAATGTACACCAAAATGTGCAAATGCTACCCTTGACCTCATATCTTCAGAGTAATTGAGCTCTCTTATCAAAGGAATGCAAAGAAAAGTCACTAGCAACCGTGCTGGTGGTATGATGGTCTTTGTGCTGCACAATGAAAAGTCGACGAAAAACGGCCAGATTCCAAAATGCAATATCACGTATGCGACTTCAAGAACAATTAGAGCTCCAACTTGGTAAGCTCCGTTAGTTTGAAGACAGCCGACTATCAACAGACGGAACATCAACGTAAGAAGATCAATAATCACAAAATACACCTTGTTCGGATGGTACAGGTGATAAAACGGCGACCAAATCAAAATGGTTTTCACTGAAGTATAGAGTTTTTTGACCCTGTCATTCTGGGTGATTCTGCACTGAGAAATTTTGACAATGTAGCCGAATATCAAGTAAAATGCAAGACCAATCCAAAGAGCGAAAAAAATCACTGATAGCGCAACAATTGGAGTAGAAACGTTTCTATACGAGCGGAACGCCGAAGCTATTGGGTCTCTTGTGAGCGGAACGTTCGAGTTGAGCGTGGAGTTGCGTAATGGGATGAGGGTGTTTGCGAGTGCCTTTGTGGTGTTAAATGTGGTTGTGGAATTCAAGCCTTTTGGTGGCTTTTTGTGTTGAGCAAACGCCAGTAGCGGGGCGAATAGTTGCTGGTATGTGCTTGTTTCAGAATAAGCAGCACGTCTCACGTCCTGGAAAATAAAAGGGAACTTGTGTCTTCCATTAAGATTAGCGGCTTCGACCATCACGTAGGAAGTGAGCACGAGAAATGGAAATCCGAAAAGTAACATAAAATGGCTGACAAGTTGTCCTAGAATGAAAGAGATGTCTCTCTTTGTGTCGAAGTCTCTGAATGCAATGAACCTTTTCCACCCAGTTATTATCAGGATCCATCTTGATTTGGGTCGTAACCATTCCATAAAGTAATTTAGAACGAGAAACCCTTGTTGCACCAAAATAAGAATAACGAACCAAACTGCCAAAGAGATCATAAAATTGGGCCACGCAATGGTACTCAGGTGGATGGAAGTGTATGATGCCAAGGTTTTGAGTCCGCCGATGTTGAGGGTGAAGTATACATTATCACGGTGTCGTCCTGTGACACCCAGGGAGCCAATGAAATTGAAACCAAGTAACGAACACCATCGTATGCTGGAAACCATCGGCTGATAGAACCCCGGGTATTGAAGATCAAGAGCACCGATGAAAAATGCAAACTGGAAGTAGACAGCAATTAGCTGGACGGTGGCCCCCAATTGTTTCAACAACCCTCGGTTGCAAATTGTCGAGGCCATGAAAAGAAACGGATTTGATGATTCTTGGTACGACGAGTAGATGACGGTGAAAAAGTTGATGAGGCCAGTGACTAAGAAGAGAGCCAACACTGCGATCACGATGGAATCGATTATTGAATCGGAAATGACCGGCGTAACGTATATCTGGAAACAGCCCAATACGCTGCCCTTACTATCATTTGAAACAATGGTGAACTTGGCACTGTAGGAGCCAATTCTTCGCACGTAGTTGGAGACATCTACTTGGTAGTAGAATGCAACTGAGTCTTGGTCGTATAATGGACATTGGACTAGGTTTCCTGTTTTGTTGGAGAAAAGATTGCTGATGGTGGAGTTTGAGTCGGAGAGGTAGGGGAATTTGCGCTTAGTGTCACGATCTCGTTTGGAGAACAGGGAGCCATCTGAGACATTATGGATGAAACCAGTGGGAAAAGGACGGAATGTTGAACGGGTGGAAGAAGATGCTGGCTTATTGAAACGGGGCGAGTTGTAGAACTGAGGTGATTTTTTCACCATCAAAAGGTCGCAAAGCCGTCTATTTTCATTGACAACAACTTTTCCTTGGTACGTTATTAGCACATGTAAAGTCGTGAAAAGATTAGTGGTGGAATTGACATCACTTACCACAATATTGTTTCCTGCGGATTCGTTTCGAACTTGTGAGTTGACAAAGAACTTGAGGAGATCGTGGTCCTCGTCTAAGGCAACGTCTACAAGAGCCGGAGCAAACACATATTGCTTGGACTTGAAAGAACATGATTGTGTTTGGATGAAAGCGGCCTCAACCACTACCAAAAGGAATAGCAAGAACGCGTACCGCATCTTTGGCGATGGGTCAAACCTTCAAAAGGTTTTTTTCGGAATCCACAAGCGAAATTGGGGAAGAAATAACCTTCGGTTGGATATGGAAGATGATGAAATTTGAATATCTGGACAAGTATTAGCTCCCTTTTTCGATGGAAAGGTGTCACCCGTGGTGGCAGGAAGCTATACACGTCTTTGGAGCGTGTAATTTAGTAGTAAATGTGTCGTGGGACCCAGCCCTTTAACCATGTAATTTGATGACTATGATCTTTTTTCCCTGGGGTTCGGATGTGGAACCGTAGCGGCTGCGGCTGCATGGAAAGATATTGCACGCACGAGAGATGCAAAATGTACTTCGAGAAAAGTAAAGGGTGAATGGGTATGCAGGTTGGTTTCTGGTTGAAAAGGTGCAAAAGAGTATAGAGATTGAAGTTTTTCGCTTAAAAGTTTTTGTAGGTGTACTAATTGAGAAGAGGCGCAGGCTGCGGCATGAGACGGTTCGGAATATAATTACGGACAAATAACTATGAAAGGAAAGAATTGACGAAGAACTGAAGATTTGAGTGGATATAGCTTCTGAATCTAAAACTAAATGAAAACTACATAATGATTACAATTGAAAATTTTTGGTATTAATGCCAATTAGCGTATAGTAGTAAAACACTCTTTCATCAGTGTGGCTGACACTGTAGTTTGAAGAGCTTAAAATGTAAACTGTACAAGGTATGAAACTATACATCATGATGTAGGCATTTGGGTTCAGAATCTAAAACGATATGAATTGCAATATTAACTTACAGTGTGTCCGAATAACTATACTTCAAATTGAAATATCAAGTCTTCCATATTTCAAGATTCGTAGGCTCTCAGTGAAGTAAGAATGCATTCCCTCTATGTCTCTTCGTCTCTTCACACTTTTCTCCCTTCCTTCTCTTTCTACACATTCCATTCTCATTTCTCATTTCTATTTACACTAATCATTTACTTTACCCAGTAACTTCGGATATAATCTCGCCGCGTGGTAGTTGATCGACAGCAATGTCTCCTTCTTGGGCTTGTATGTCTCCATACACCCCTTCAAGTCATTCTCAAAACTTGAACATTGAGCGGAACCCTCTCCGTTGGCAGCCCAACAATTGAGAAGTGACGACATCAATACAAAACACTGATTCGTCAGCTTCGACAACGTGGGTTTCCGGATCTTGAGCCGTGGCAACGGCGGAAGCTTCTTGTTAGTAGCAAGCTTCTTGTACGCCATGAGTTCTTTGAAACCGTGCGATGAAAAAAAAATTGATACGAGGACGAGCGGTGTACTGGATGTCCTCACGTCTCCAATGTTCCGAGTATCAACTTGTAGTTACTCTTTTGTTTGGTATTGACCATCTTTCGTACCTCGTTGTTGCTCCAGAGTATTCTCTTAAATGGCTTATCCATTAATGGTTTGTAAACCACGGCATCAACGTCCAAACTTTTCTTCTCAAACACATCCATGAGTTTGGTGGAGATCACTTTGCGAATATTATTTGCAAGTTTCTTCATGAATTTGGTAATCTCTGCATCACTTTGATACTTGATCCGCATCAGGGTGTCGATTTGGTCTTCCAAGTTGATAATGAATAATTTCATGAGATGTTTGTGTACCCCACGCTGTTGCTTCCGCGAGTTCATGGTGAAATAAAACGGCGGAAGAATGCTAAGTTCACGAATATTGTAGTTTACAATGACAATATTAGATCCTGATGCTGGTTTGAATGATTTCGCTTCGCAAAACTTGTAAAAATTGGTTCGAATGTCGTCCTGGTTGAACATGAGAAGACGGGACCCTTTGGCGGTCATGGCCGTTTCGATTTCCTGCTGAAGCTGCAGCTTCATATCCAAGATTTCCAGTTCTATCTTCACCTGGAGTGAGGTTTTGATAGGTATGGGCTGGTAATCACCGATGGAACGAATGGAAAAGGTATTTCTGGTGGTTGTTAATTCATGATTGATATCGTCAAGAATGTTATCCATTTCCGAGATGTTAGGACGAGCCAATCTCGAAGGGTCTACGTTATGGGGTGCTTCTTCAGGCTCAATAAAGTCCAAATCACGCTTTTGAACCGGAATTTTTTTGCGGTACATTTGCAAGTCCTCGATAAATTCCTGAGGATAGGACTGCTCAAGCTGGTTCTTTCCGGACCGCAAGGGTAGCCCCGAGATACTGCGGTCAAACCCTACGACGTTGTATGGGTTTTTGAGGAGGTTTTCCCGGTAATAAAATGATCCTGGCGAAAGGGAAAGATTGTCGATTTCTCGTCGTCTGAGCATCTTGAATTTGGAGTCGATTCCGTTAAACTGTTGTATCAAATGAGTCACCGGGTCGTCATACCGCTTGATATATCGCTTGTAGTACTTGAACTGGACCGATTTATCCTTGTCTAGCATTTCGAGGCTGTGGTATGTCTTCTTTATCACTTCGTCAGAAGCAGTAAAAATATCAATTTCGTCCGGAATTTCCCGCAAAAGCCGTTTTCTATCGAGGTAATGGTCACTTTCGAACGTTTGAAACTGCCCTCCTTGATCCAAATTGTGCTGTATTTGGACATCTTCCGAAGTCATGTGCGACACACTATCGTAAACGAGTTGAATTTCGCTCGGAGATTCTTTCCATTCATTTTTGACTTGACCTTTCAGTAGACTATCGCCCAAGGAACGCAAGGCATCTTTTTTGCTGTCTTTAAATAGCGCCTGGCTACGGCTAAAATGGCGTACAAACCGCATAGAAGAAGAAACCAAAATTACTCCGATTGGGGGGATATATGTGTGCAGGACCCGCGACTGCAAGAGACTGAAATGGAAAGGAAATAGAGTGATCCTACGAAAGTGTCTTGTGGGGTATTCTTGTCATTTTATTGTCTATGCTATGCAGACCTGCTGCTATGTCAAACTCTGGATCAACCGGTTCAACTTCTGTTGTTCGTTCAATGCTGCGTATTCTATCTTGGGATCCACCGTATAAGTTGGTGACGTTTCGGCGGACGAAATCGACGAAATCAGCGTCGTGGAAACCTGTCGCGTGTGCAAGCTCAATGTAGAGCTATTGGATGACGACCGGGACATGACAGGGGTTCCTGGACGAGCAACAGGCACCGATGGAGGAGGTGACAATGGTGTGGTGTTTCTTTGAGATTGAACCCATTTGCGCATTTTGGCGGTGCGAACCAAATCGTCACGGATGGGCTGGAGGAATTGGTCAAGCAGGTCGATCATCTCCTCGTTCAGCACCTCCACGTTCCAGTTTAATAAATACAAGAGTTGTCTTTCCATCAAGTTGATATCCTTGACGGAAAAAAGTCCCTCGGTGTACTTGGCCCAGTGGATATTTTTGGGCGATGAATCGTTGTGGAACTTGGCACTGAGAATCAAGCACGAAAGGAGAATGCGGTGACGAGTACACGCCAAACCTTGAGGATTTTTCGGGAGCTTGGTTTTCAATCTGTTCAACAATACCAAAGTAGCCATAAGAGTACCAGTATAAACGTTGGTATAGCGAACCAATTTGGTGAGAAATGTCATGAGCGAGGGAAGGGTGCGGTCCTTACCAGGAATTGGCTCCAAAGTGTTTCCACAGGGGAGAACTTGGAGGGTGGAAACAACCAACTTGTGGATCATATCTTGAGACACCGGAGTGTTGATGAATATGGAAAGTGCCTTGAGATCGAGTGCGCTCATGATGTGTTGGACTCGTGGAGTACAGACCCCAGAATGGCCATGTTACTTATATTTGTTCATCCCTGTCGAATGTGGATAAATTGAACGCGGCGTGTTTCGTGTTTGTCGCAGCGCGCCTGCGGCGCCATTTTGCGAGGGGGAAAACTCAATCTACCGCGACAACCAGGGGACAAACGGTCCGCAGCACAGTGCAGGACGGTGCTATTGTGAGTATCTATTGTATTGATAATAAGGTTGACGACTAATGTATTGCGTCATTGCTACAGAAAAACCTCAATGGCTCAAATTGGGTGATGTCAATCTAGTCAATCTGTTCAATTTTGTCAAGCTTGTTTCAAATCTTTTTAGGGGTGGTTTCAAGTCTCATTGGCAGGGGTCTGTCGCAGTGTGTTTCAAAGTGCGTCTAGACGTCGCTCCCCCCCTGCGATGCGCGCGCCCATCGCACCGCCGTAACGCTCGCGCTGGAAACACCGAGAAGTCTCGCTGCAGGCACGCACCAGTTGCCGGGCGCGCGAGCCAAGCCGCAAATTGAAATGGCGAGCGAGGCGAGACAGCGATGGTCGCGTGTACCGTGCATCGGAATGCGACAATTGGTTGTCGACCAATGCACCAAACCGCTAGAAAATACAGTAGGTTGGAGAGATACAATGAAATAGAATAGCGGAGTAGCAGGGGTACTGAAATCGTGAAAATCATTTCAGTTGATCAGTGAAAAATATTGAGTGAAAATTATTCAGTGAAAAATCTGATCTAGTGAGAAATTGAATCAGTGAAAAATTTCAGTGAAAAATCTGGTTCACCAAAAGTAGCATAATAGCATAAAGTATTTAAACTAGCAGAAGCTAGTTCTAGTCCTTTATAGCACAGCTTGTAGCGCTACATTAGCATCTTAGCTACTTGCTAATCAGCTGTTAGCTACTAGCTTATTGCTTGTTAGCTTCATTAGCTTCGTTAGTTGTTAACTGTTAGCTATCAGCAACCTTAGAGTTCAATCTTTGGTAAACTGAGTCTATATATCGATTACATTTATCAGAAACTTGGGTATACTGGGTCTATCATGCAATGAGTACTCAGACTGGTGCACAGCGTTTTGTCATCATTTAAATGTAATAATGAAAATTTTCAAAACCGGCCCGCTAAATACATCGCGGCGGGTAACCGTCCTGCAGCTAGAAGTGTGGATTGTCAAACGAGAACGGCAGAGCTGCAAAATTGGTTGTAGAAGTATCGCCCAACATTTCCAAATCGAGATAGTGCTCGTCTATGGGTTGACCCTCAGTAAGCGGCCCAAAACTGTCCTTCATAGATGCCAATTGACTCCAAATTTTGTCAACATCGGCGTCAAAAATAAACTGGAAATCGCTATTATCTCCAATCGAGGAAGGTTCCAGCGACGTCCGGTCTGTAGAATGATCTGATACAAGTTCTGTGTTTCTCTCGGAAGGATTCATGAAGTTGAGATTGCTGTCTTTGGAAATCTCGTCGTAAATGTCTCGCGCAAATCTGGTAATTTTGGTCTTGCTGAAATTGCGAAGTGCTTTGTCGCAGATGGTTGAGAAGCAGTCGATTTGTTCTTCTGTCATCTCGAATACTGGCGCCAGAATGTCCTTGGTTGCTCGATAAAATGACTTGCCGGTCATAACCTTGACGAGAAAATTGTGTGCCTTGGAGATTTTCCACGCAAAATAGTACCTATTAGCCAACCTAGAAAGAAGCGCCGTAGTATACTCGACAATCTTTTGTAGCTGTTTCGACAACTTGCACAATTTTGCAAACCGAGTCCGATAGTTATCGGTGTTCCATTCAAGATATTCATCGTGCTTTTCGCTATTTTTCATGAGGTAAATGGTACGATTGACTCGACACATAACCGCAATTACCATCTGGTTTGATCTTTGAATTGTCATTTGGATCGGTGGGTTCAAAATGAGGTCCGAAACCTCTCCAAAGTTCAAGTGATTGTTAGCAACAAGCTGGAAGTACCCTGGAACCATCTCGCCGAGAAAGCCCGCAAGAACCTTTCGAAGATAAAAGTACGACAATTCATTGTTCTCTTTGGCCTCGTAATACAAAAACAAATGGTAGGTGAGGTTCATTATAAACCGCTTCAAATTAAGGTAGTTTTTGCATTTCATGGTTTTCAAAAAGGGATATGCAAATTTGTCCTCTTTAAAGGGAACCAAATAGTCTTGTAGCACCCCATAATTGTCCTTTAAAATACCCTCAAATACCGAGAGCTCGTGGGTAATGTCTTTCACCCTAGCATCGTTGTTCATATCTAAGCACATATCAAGCACTCTGCGAAGGGTAGGATAATACTTTTCAAAATACGCTAGTGAGCTCAACATGTGCTTTTCTTTATCCACGTCAAAGCTATTCTCGTTCCCAGCTTTGTAGTATGGCAATCTTGTATCGTAGCATTTTTCATTGATTGCCGGGGGACTTCCGTAGTTGAGCGAAAGATTGAGGTCCATGACAATAAGAAAGAACCATATCTTACGTCCAAGGTGTCTTGATTTGGCATCAACTGGATAATCTTCAAAGTAGTCAGGCTCACGATTGAGGCCACAAGACTGGGCCATTTGAATGAGCACTCCATTAGTTATTTGTGAGTCGCCGCCATCGGTTCCATCGCCGTCTTCTGGAGAAAAGGTCCGGTATATTCTCAACAAAAAAGCACATTGAATGATGATTGGATTTGATTTCCGAGAGGTGTCGAATTGGCTCAAGCATTCCTCAGTAATATCAATAACATCTATATTGACGGGATTTTTGAGCAAGTACTTTATCTGCTGTACCTCAGGCGAAGGATCATCGGAGTTCATGTTATATTCGTTGACACCATTTCTGTTGGAGAACAAAGACAAATAAGTAAGTCGAAGCATCACCAAAAGAGTGCCCATACGCGGCAAATCGAGTCTGTTCTGAACTTGCACCTCACTTATTGGTGCATCGAGAAAACCCTCTGGTCCTATTATTCTAGTCATTTCTTGCCTGAAGTTGGCTTCATCCACAAATGGTGCATATGGATACACCAATTCAAAGAACCTATTTATGAGCATCCAGCACACTTTTTGTTTGGGAAGAATTACCTTGATCCGATCAATCAAGGCAAGTTCCTGATCTATTTTTCCCTCGTAGAACGACACACCCGACGACTTGTCGTTGGAAAGTTTATTGATGGTTCTTCTCTGCTCGAGTTTGTCTTTGTTCATCTCGTCGTACGGACGAAGATCTTCAACACCATCGCGGACCAAAGCTATACTTTGAAACTTGCTATCTGTTTCTGGAGCCGCCTTGAAGATCTTGAAATTTCCAGGGGTGTCTACTTCAGTTGGCTGCTGCTCTTGTTCCGCGGGAGTTACCACTGGCAAATCGTTTTTGGAGGTGTTGAACTTGAATGTCCCACACTCGAGCATGGTCTTTCCCTGACTAGTGTAGACGTCTGCTTTATAATCTTGCAAAAACGTCCACACTGATAGAAGTACTTTGTCTTTTTTGAGAATTGAAAGCCACGAAAAAGGACCAAAGTTGAGGTGTCTCGATGACCTTTTGATGTGAACCGAGGTGTAGCCTTTATTGAGGTTGATCATGTCGTTTTCGGAAGCGTATGGATTGACGCCTACAAAATCTTCTGGTGAATTGAGAGCATAGTTGGTGACTGAGGGGTGCATTGTGCTCTTTGATTCGGAAGCCGTGGAGCTGTGGTAGTCTTCGGTAGTGGATGGAGTTCTACTCCAGTTTAAAGGTGGCAACTGGACTCTTTGGTGGCTCCAGCCAAAGCCCACGGGGTTCGTCTGTGTTCCATTTGTGGCATCGATTCTGGAACCTAGAGGTATGTGGCGGTTTGCGTTCAGCTGTTCAATACAGCAGCCTGGAACCAGAGGTGTTAATGGCGGAGGAAAACCGGGACTGATGCCATTTCGGTCAATAGGTGCGTTTTGTTCTGGCGAGTATATGCTTTCCGGACTGGGAACCGCCTTTATTGAGTTTTCCAACTGACGAATCCGGTCCTTAAGAACATCTAATTCACTGGCAACGGCACTCTTGTTGGTTACATTGCGATGATCTGCCGAGGTTGATGGTGGTGGTCGTTGATTATGGATTTGAAACACCCCATTTTCGGCTCCAGCGGGCTCCCATCCCTCTGAATATTCACACAAATTTGCCACATTGTATCGAACACACGAGGAACACGGTTTGCCACGGTCACATTTGACCTTTCTACGTTTGCAATAGTTGCAAGAAAGTGACGGACGGAGACGTTTTCTTGACATTTTTGGCCACAAAGAGCACACGTATTCTTCTTCACTTTTATAAGGATTTAGTCTTTTTGGCTAGTTTTGGGTATTCGTGTTTAGGGACGTGTTGTAGTGCCTCACAGCTCGTCAGATCGTTGGTGGCAAAGTGTAAATGGCACGATGAACGGCTGAGTCTGGTGAGGTCTTAGTATAATCTCCGACGAAGGCGAGGACACCGACAAGGCCGAGGCTGTCTGCAGGACTAAACCCGAGATAGCGGCCGCAATCGGAGTCGGAACAGACCAGGGTGGGTCATAAAAGTGAAGTGTAGTATTTAGGGGATGCTAGTGATTCTATGAGATGCTAGTGGCACCAGGAACATAACTTGTGTGGGACATTGGGTAAAAAGAGGAGTATTTGAATTGTTTTGCATTCCGCTTCTTTCATTTCTGTTCATTTTTGTTCTTTTTGTTCACTTTCACTCCTCCCGTATATTACACTAAAGATCACTCCACGCCGGCCGGTCCACATCTCCATACATATCAAATAATCGTACAATGTCGTCGTTGGTCATCATATCGGTACCCATATCTTGCATATTCATATTCATAAATGGATCATCAGGACTCGACAAGATGTTGGCAGCATCTTCGCCCATAGGCATTGTTTCCACATTAAAATGAGTATGGCTCGACTCGTCAAGATCTCGCTTTCTGTGCCGTTCTTCATTTTTGTGCTTTGCAAATCTGAATTCTTCACAAAGTTTTTGCAAGTGTTCCAATTCCTCGTGGGTGAAAAATTCAAGCATATTGGTGCCACTATGGTAAAGAGAGTCGGCTGTTCTCTCGAAAAAAACTTCGACATCCTCCATGCACTGCTTCAACACCAAATATGTCATCACATATAACCTATACGAGTTGATATAGGTACGACTGAGTTTGCGGAAATTTCCAACGAAAAGTTCAGCCTCCACAATTATCATCTGGAAGAGATTATCGATGACTTGTGCACGTTGAATTGTCGCCTCGTCGGGAACTCCTGATTCTTTTGCAGCTTTCACCCGATCGTCAAGAACTTTTTTGTGGTGAATAAGCCGGATGAAAAATGACGAGATAAAGTTGTGGGTTTTGATCATACACCGTTCGTTGTTGGCGGTGAGAATAAAGTCGTAGCATCTCCCAAAAAGCTCAACCAGATGGTCTAAAGTGTAGGACATGATATATACGAGCTGAACCACACTTTTGACAAAGATCTTGAATAGCTCTATCGCTGCCATCATCGAAGGTGTGCCCATTTTATCATACTGTTGCTCATAATGAATGGCAACTTTGTAGTACAAACATGACAAGTTATTGCGGAGCTGAATAAATGTGTTGAACTTGATGACTTTCAAGTACAGAAGCTCGTATTCTGTTGACCCAATTCCCTTTGCCAGAGACGACTTGGGGTTTGCATGCGGATTGCAAATGTATTCATTGAAGAAATCCTTGCCGAAAAATTCAAGGAAAATCTTCTCCAATTCGTTGGCTTTCAATAAGATATCGACAATCTTGGGCAATTTTTGCACATCGGTAATCATATTGCAAATACGACGGTACACTGCATTTATAGCCTTAATATTGGCCATCACCAGGTCAGTTTGACCCAGTTTGTTTTCGTACTCTGGTGGTCTAACATCACTCAATTCTAGCGACGGAAGATTGGGGATAGACCCGCAGTGAATAGCCAGCACTGCGTCAACGTCACATAAATAACTCCAAAGATGGCGCCAGTCGCTCACCAAATTCGTCTGTTTGCGAATATTTTCATGCGCTTCGTACTTGGAAGGATCACGATTGAGGCCAATGGAAATAGCCTGGCGGATGATTGTACCCAACAAGACCAGCGAGTCGGCGCCGCCTAGGCCATGACCATCGTCTGGTGCTACCTGCCTGTAAAAATGAAGTAGAGTAAGACACTGTAACTCTTTGATTGAGCATTTGGACAGCGACATGGTAGTAAGGCCATCGGGAAGACAGATGCCCACCACCGCCATATACCGGCGATTCAGAATTGATCTCATATACGAAATCATTGTGAGTTCATCTTTGGAGTATTGGACCTCGTTGGTGTGAACCAAACTCATGTAGCCCAACCGCAACACGAGAAGAAAGATCCCCAATACGTGAAGAGAATGGTCACTTTTGATGGAAAGCGACAGAAACTTTTCATCTTTAAATTCTGGAAATCCAGGCATCACTGGTCGAACATCGATCAAAATGGTGGACTCAGATATGATTGGAATGAACGGTTGCACGTATTTGACAAATTGGAAGAAAAGCATCGCTGCGATGTGTTTCGCAGGAAGAATATCTATGGCTGCCTGTTCCACAATGTTGTAGTACTCACGTTTCAGTCCGGTTAAGCGATGAAGACCCGGAATTAAAGGCGGTGTAGAAGAGCCAGACTCTTCATTTTCTTCGGCCAGAGCACCAATTTTGGTTACTATTAAGCTGTCGCTTACTCTCACATCATCGTCTCCGGCCTGACTAGAAGGAGAAGCGTCTGTGCTTGTATCTTTGGAAGCGTTAGCCTCTGTCTTCAAGTCTGAAACCGACGACCGTTTTCGTCTCTTGTTGGCGGTTTCTCGACGCTTTATGCGGTCTTTGTGAATGAACTGAGACATTTCTCCAGACATGAAAATTGTGATTGTGTAGTGTCGAATGAGCTTCATGAACGGATCACTTTTCACGAGACCAATATACGAAAGCGGGCCTTGCTGCGACCAAATGGAGCCTTCCACCATGAGAGAATAAGAAGCGTTGGAAAACACATCCATGGCGTCGTCTGGGTTGATCCGAAGCACCGAATTGGAGCCTATGGGTACGGCAACTAAACGAGTATCCTGGAGAGGTGCAAGCTGGACACTTTTATGTGAGCCACTGACATGGGAGCCTCGATTTGAGCCATGATTGGAGCTCCGGGAAGACTCGGGAGAAGTACCCGGGGTGGTTCCAACGGCTACGTTTGTCGTGAGGCCAACATGAGGGTCATAAGGAGATGCACCCAGTTTTGAAGATTGCGATTCGTTTCTGTTAGACGAAGCCATTTGCGGTCCGGAACCAGGACTGCCGTAGCCAAGTGGAGGAAGAATTTTAGCATCGTTTTCTGCTGTGACTGCTGGAAGATTCTGGGCAGGAGAACTGTGTGACAGCAAAGGAGCCCCAGAAACGGAACCGGGAATTGAACTGGTAATGGGGCCAGATATAGAACCCGACATCGACCCGGACATGGAACCGGACATTGAACCGGAAACTGAACCTGGATTGGAGCCCGTTGAGGGTTTTGAGTGTGAGTCGTACGACTGATGCATTCCGTATCTCGTTGGAGGAGGGAGGTGTTGGCGAGGAAACAGGCCAGGGCTGGGGAGGGATAGTTTCAGCGGTTTGTGGGGGTTATAGTGGTGAATGGGAGACTGGTTGTACTGGAGAAGACTGGACTGGTGGAGCGGAGATTGGAGGGGAGGTTGGTGAAGGTTCTGGGGTTGGTTTGGGATGGGCTGAGCATTGGGTGGGAGGTTTTGGGGCTGATGGTTTGGACTGATTTGAATTTGAGAATGGTGGTGGTGGTGGTTTGGGTGTTGATTGATCTGGTTTTGATTGATCTGGTTCGGGTTTTGATTTTGATTGATTTGGTTTTGGTGGCTCTGGTACGGACTGGCTTGCGGCGAATACCCGCTTTGGTTCGGGGTTGACGTCACTTCGTCCTCATAGTATGGTTCGGTCGGCTTAGATTTATCGGACTCGTAGAAACAAAGATGCGAGATCGACTTCTTTTTACAGGTTCCACACACTGGACGAATACGATCGCACTTGTTTTTCCGTCGGCGACATACCAGACACAGCGCTGGAACCCTGTTTCGTTTTTTATACAGCGCCTCCATGTCCATGACACCTTATTTGGAAAGGAAAGTGGGATGAAAAGTTTGGGATGTGATTGGATCAGAATGAGCGCAATGATCACACGGACGGATACGAAATAAACAATCCCAATTAAAGGTGCAGAACAATAACGATATATGCAGCGTAAGTAATGGAAACACACCCAGAAAAAACCCCAAGACCAAGTTGGCGGTGTTTGGGTGTGCGCCCGGAGAGGAAATCGTGGGGGAGGAGAAAAGTTGGGCAACCGGAGTACCCACCGAGACTGCGGAATTACGAAAGGAAAAAAGGGACCCCAACAGGAAGGACAAGAGGTTGAAAGAGGCTGAAAGAGGTGGAAAAATGCAGTTTTGGGAAATGAGTGGCGGAAGTTTCCTTCAACTCCGCATTGCCCCCACAGTTGCCATGGCTGCTGGTAATAATTGTTTGGATTGCGTCTGCACCACGGCTATATTCCCCACAGCGCGGCCACAGACCTGTGTGGACGATAAGTTGTGGTTTAGACACGAGTGTGCGATAGAAACGGAAGGGACAACATACACCACTGGCGCGCACTAGGGTAGTCGCTAGTGCGACAGTGCGATGCTCACTCTATACACTCTCTACGCTATATTATATACACTCCTCTTCCCTCTCTACACCTCTTCATTTTCAGACTACGCGTCATGTCTGACTTCGACTCGTATGCCGCCGATTCAGAGCTAGAAGACTTTGTGGTAGACGACGAGCCTCCTGTGGACAACCTGAACAACCCACAAAATCCTCAAGATGAATCTAACGAAGCGTCCGAAACTCGCGACAGAATTCGTGATCTCACCACCGCACTTCAGCCCAATGAAACTCCTACTCAAAAACTCCTAAAAGCCCATATTTCGGTATTGGTGACAGCATTGGGTGGCCCTGACCACGTGGGTAGTTTGAAAGATTCGTCTTCTGAGTATAAACTTGGCCACGACGCCTTGGCATGCCTCAAAGATATCAAACGATGGATAAAATCAGTAGACGAGATCGGTCACAAGTACGACGTGGCGTTGGCTTGTGCTGACTGTGGGTTGGTGGAAAATGACCTTACTGTCATGTTGTGCCAATGGGACTCGCAACAAAAGCACCTGAACACATCCAAAAGAACCACTGAAAAAATCATGCTTTCGGCATTGGAAATCTTGGTGCTATTGACCTGGCCCGTGGAAATGTCATCAGAAATGTCTGAGAATCAGCAGCTCAATTTTGTGGCTGTTCGCAAGTCGCAATTGGTCTACAAGAAACATATTCTTTCCTATAATAATGGCCAGACTTTCAAAGCAGTTCTCCGTCTTGCTCTTCCAACCATTTCCAAAGACACCAGCGACCGCGAGCCCCGCGATAATGCCATTTTAGGCTTGGTGCTTTTCTTCATTCGTAACATGCTCTACATTGAACCACCGTCGTTGTCCACTCTGTCCAAGTTAAGGAAAACAATGATGGAAATCGACAATTTGCCAGCCAACATGCGCTACGACGACGTTTCCATCAATACCGTGCTCTCTTGCTTCAAACGCAATAAGGTCCTCTTGTTCTTGCTAACAATGTGTGGCTCGTTGGGCCTGGATTTTGACCGTGAAACCTTTGCGCCGTGCTGCCTTGAATGCATCTTTCTCATAGTACGCGGGGTAGAGGCTCGTGATCTTGTCGACAACGTCCGTCCTGTTCCTGAAACTAACGATGCTAATGGTAACAATTTGCCCACCCTCAGTTCCACGTCCGACATGGCGCTTCAAGACCTCTTGAAAGAGGAAAAGCGCCGTAAAAAAGTTCAATCTCAAAACATCTCCACACGCCATGGCCGGTTTGGCACTCTACTTTCTCTTCAAGGTGAAAATAGCTCCTACGTGGTATCTGGACAGGAAGCATTGTCAAGTGCTAATCAAACTTTTGCGCAACTTGACAAGTCAAAGAAATGGAACGATAGAAAGCATTTCAAATACGACTCCGATGCGTTTGTCAATACGACACCAAATTTCATTACGTCTACCACTATACTGCTTCTAAAGGAGTTTATAAACGAATTTCTTGTCGGAGGTTGTTTCAACTCGTTGATGTCTAGTGTGGGGTGGATATTCTCTGGCGCACTGGATCTTTCATACATAAACGAGTACGAAAAAGCATCATATTTTTTGACTACAGCATGGTTTTTTGCCTATAAAAGGGCCCGAATAGAGATTCTCAAAAACAGAATTCTCAACGAGAACGAGGATACGTTGGATTACGGCTCCGTAGCGGCAGGATTAAGTGAAGTCAACTTTGTGCTCATTATCGGTTATGTTCGTGAGTCCTTCGAAAGACATTACTGGGACTCTCTCCATGTGGCGATGATATGCTTTAGGGAAATGTTGCTCATATCAAATTCTGTTTTCGAGTCAAAGCACAAGGATACTAATTCGGAGCAAGATGAGGAGGATCGAGATATGGCAGAGGGAATCATTCGTAAATTGTTTTCTTTGGAACAATTTGTCAACTTGATCACTCATATTCCACAGTCAGCTTCCAAGCATTCACCAGAGTATTTGAGTGTTTGTGTTTCTGTTGTCTACATTCTTTTGAAATCATTCGAGAATTTTTCAAAGGAAGACATCAAGTTATATGTTCAGTCAAAGCGTAAGCAAAGGAGAAACGCAAAGAATTTCAAAAATGTGGATTCTCTAGAGTTGAAAGATATTATAGAAGGATCTGACGAGGAGATCGATGAAGAAACAGTTAAACAAGTGTCTCGTGAAAGAAAGTTCGACTTCAACAAAACTGAAATGAAGTTTTTTCAATCATCTATAGTCACAGCACACATCGACTTTTTGTCTCGCTATGAAGACCTCACCCACGAGCAGATCAAGCAATGTTTGGTGTACTTCCACCGCTTGTTTATTGTCCGAAAGGACTACCTGGGCCTCTTCCGTTTAGACTTTCTTCATGTTTTGAACTCTTTAAGGGACTTTTTACCACGCAAGTCTAATATCAGAAATCATGTCGAAGAGTTCACATTTCATTTTATGAAGCGATTCAAAAATCTTTTCCGTCGTTTCCCAAATCCAGTGGAACTTTTGTTTCCACGGATGGAAGATGAGTCACTCAGGACTTATTTGTCCTTGGGAGAAGTTGTTGAGAAACCCATCAAGAAAGCCAAGGAGCGTGAAATTCGTTATGCCAAGGAGCTTGAATTCACTCGTTCGAACTTTTCAGAGGATGAAAAGTATAAGATTCTAGTCTCGGCGATATACTTTGAAGACAACGAGAAGTTTCTCTCCTGGCTTATTGAAGAGTTGTCTCGAATTGTAGAAATTGCAGAGAAGGATTCTGAAGCATCAACAATTAAGCTTCAAGTTCAAGGTGAATACGAACCACTAGTTCTCGAAAACGCAACCGTTCGATTCTTGTTGGAAAATGTTGGCTTTGTTGTACCGGAATCTTCTTCTGACGAGTGTACCTGTACCGTTGGCACATCAGAATTGACTCAAAGTCTTGAGTACATCAAAAAATGGTTAAGTGTTCAACCTGTGGCATTTGATGAAGATAAGGATGCGTCGCATTACCTTCGCGTACGAGATGACGCCAATGATGGTGAGTTCAATATTGGCTATGACGAAAATGAAGACGAGATTGCGTTCGAGACAGCCCCAACAAACAGATACAGAGAGGATTTGGAAGCTCTTGATAATTTGGAAGAGTTGGAAGCAAGGATTTCCAGTCTGAATGGGGTGAAGGGTGTGGCCAGGAAAAAGCGTAGACCTAAAGGTAAGATACTGGACACAAAGCATAGGTCAAAACCTTCCAGTACACATCGCAAACCAAGGAATTTGGGAGTTCATTCTGACGACGAAGAAGATAAGCCTCTAAAATCAGGAGAATATGTTCATGATTCTGACGATGAATCAGACAACGAAGATGCTAGAGCGTTTTTCGAAAGGGAAGAAAAATTGCGTCGCATGCTTACTGAGTCGGGTGGTATCGTCAACCCGCAGCAATTGGAAGAGTTTAAGAGGGCCTGGGGAAAGATAGTTGGCGGAGAAGCCGTGGACAATGTTCTCAGCACACTAGGTCTACAAACGGGTGCGAGTCAAAGTTCACTTCCGCTTGCCTCTCAATCCCAAGTTGATTCTCAACCTCAAATTGATTCACAACCTCAAATTGATTCAGAATTGCAGTCGCAATCGCTCTCCCAAGTTGTTGAAGATGGTCCCTCGGTGGAAAGCACACAAGAAAGCAGCAGCGAGGAGTTTTTGAGTGCGGACGAAGAGCTTCCCGCCAGAAAGAAGAGAAGAGTTATCGACGATAGCGACGAAGAATGACGTATCTATTCATATTCATAAATAATTTTGCATTAGGCGTCCACGCAGTGGTCTCCGCCTTCAGCGCTCATGGACGTTCTGATACTCATGAAGGAGCTAATGAACATTACGCTGAACCCAAACAAGGCACATGCTATGCTGGGCACAACCTTTTTCCATATGAAACTTTTACGTTCTTTTGGGGTGGCTGTCTTGAAGTCAAACTCGATCCAAGAAAGACGAAGGTAGCACATTGGAGGAATGATATAAGCCATAAGTGAAGCAGACGTAGCACCTATCAATTCCAAGATTATTCCAAGATTGCAGGTGAAAAGCGAAACCGCCATGGATGAGAATACTAAAAATGTAGTAATGAAAAAATGCTGTTTTGACGAGAGTTCAAGGTGGGCAGTGCTGCCGTCTTCAGAGCCTCTGCTGGCCAAAATAATATCTTTGAGAACATCACGGACGACAAAAAGCTCCAAAGGAAAGGTTGTGAGCATATTGAGCCCGAAACAGAAGCGAGCAACGTTGATCCAATTATCGTCACTTTTGAAGTTGTTCAAGAGATTTCCCTTGGTATTGTCGCCAAAGTTAAGAAGACCATTCACGGCCATGACCAAACAGCATATCATGGAGATGCCACAAGCAATGTGAGTGAGTTTGGAAAACCTATCGACGGTAGCATTTCTTAGTGAGTTGTAGATAAAAACTGTGTTATGGTGGCACACAAGAGCAAAGGAGATCACCGAGATTCCTTGGAATATGTTATAGTTGACTGTCCATTCTGCCTTTGTAAGAGGAGCTCGAAGCGACTTATCGACAAACGGTCCTCTGATGAGAGTCAACAATACGATGATGAGCATTCCCACAAGAGCAAATCCTGACGCCTTTGCAAGCTTGGATATGTCTCTGTTGAGCGAAAGTGGGTAAGAAATGCACGTTGTGAACACTATGATGATGGTATTTCTGGCAAATAGCCAGCCAATGGGTGATTTAAGAATGGTTTCCAGAGTGAATGCCTTGAGAACATGCGGTATTGTGTCGCCTATAATGACACAGAACGCCATACAACCCCCGTATGCAAAGGAACTGATCGAAAAAAGTAACAAAACCCGACCCCAACGGCCGAAACAGTAATGAACTGTGTCCTGATAAGACCTGGTATTGGACTTCTGAGCATTGATTACAATGAGCCGAAGTGTCCAATCGATGAGCACCGTCAAGAGCGCCAACACGATGAGTCCGCCTATAAGTCCGCTGTTTTTAAATGCAAATGCCTGGCCAATTATGCCTGCTCCCAAAATGGAGTTGGCCATATTCATAAATGCCATTTTCATCGACGACTTGCCCTCATTTTCCGTTATGTTGTAGTTCATGAGCTCCGGCTCCGACTCCAAATCCTCGATCTCTAGACTTTGGAACTCATTTCCGATTTCGTCGGCAATTTCAAATGAATCCAGATTTCGACGAAATGAAAAATCTGGTGCATGGGCCTGATCTGGAGCTTCTGGTTCAGTGCTGGTCACCAGTTCACCATTGTGGGTCGGCGGGAGCGGTGTGTACGTGTGCTTTGACATGGAAAAGACCGGATGTCATGAAAGGTCACCAAAGGGTCTGTTACTTGATATCGAAGGGTTCGCGACAGTTAGGTATTGTCGCTGACGTAAGATTCTGCTATTGCTTACCGAGAAATGCCCCAGATTTTCATCTCATCGCATCAGCTACCTCATCCATCGACATGGCTGGCCCCAGAGATGCACGAGTAAACCCATGGAAAAACAGAAAGGAGTCCAAGTCGCGCGAGATCTCGCGGCTGTTGACCCACAGAGCGCATTTGCGTAAGAAATACTTCAAAATGATCGAAAAAGAGGACCCCGGTTCCGCTCCGGTTGACGGACGCAAATCTGAAAATTCGTCTTTTGAAGCAAAGGACAAGCCAAAACTCAACTTTGCCGAGCGTTCCAAGATCGCCAAGGAGCGCAAAGAGCGCCAACGAAAGGAGAAGTTGCAGAATATTCGGGAGCAGCGAGAAAATGCAGAGAAGAAAAAGAAAGATCGTGAAGCCCAAAAGGCGGTTTTAGCCCAAAAGACCCGCACGGGACAACCATTAATGGGTCCTAGAATCAACAGTTTGTTGGACAAGATCAAGGAAAGCAGAAAAAATTAAGAAAGTTAAGCTTTTCTCATTTACATTTTAGTCCATTTTACGAGCATTCTCGCACTCTATTAGCATATATACATGTACATTACAGCGTCCAATTGCGGAAAAGCATCACCCAGTCGTAGATCCAGAGCGAGCTCCGTCTCTTTTGGAACTGAAACCAACATTTGGCCGACGCCATAATCCAGTTTAATGAAAATGTCGAGTAGGTTTTTTTGAGATTTTCAACCTGCTCGTCGTAAACGCACCGGGCGCAATAGTTGGCGAGGATCAAAAAGGTTCTTTCGGGCCCCAATGGGTTGTTCAAGTTCTCGTCAAGCGCTCTGGTGAGGTCATTGGTCTTGAGAATCAAAAGTATAATTCGAGGCATGGTACTTAAAATGTCCATTAAATCTTCAAGTACTCCATCTTCTTCCTGGATTCGACGCTGGATATTAGTGACTTCGTCGTGGCTCCTTTGGGAAACCACAGAGTTGCTGAGAGCGGTTTCTGGATCGCGACCAGTTATAGCAGCGAGAAAAATCTTGAACCGCTGATCTCCTCTGATTCCAGCAATCTTGTCGGCGTATTTTTTCATTTCCTCGACATTGTTGTCGATCACAGAAAGCCAGAAATGGGAGTAGTCTCGCTTCATTTGCAATGGAATCTGGCGGTATAAGCCATGGTCATACAAAATGATCTCGAAATTGTGGCCATTTGACTTGTGATCAAGGGCCCTAATGGCCAAATTTCCTCCATGTGGGTCACAGTGGAGTCCCACATTGGGCGTGAAAATCATGTCGCTGAAAATATGTGAAAGACAAGACGATACCTCGGCAGTGCTGATTTTATGCTGTTCCATGTACTTCAAGTCGTCGAGACGAGCACCTGAAACACATTCCATTACTAGAATACGCTTGTGTGCGGTGACAATCCGAGGAATACGAAGTGCGGTTTTCTGTTTGTAGTCCTTGAAATAATTGGCTGTTCTTTCAGCGTTTTCTGCTTCGTTCTCGAAATTCAACTCTACGAAAATCAGGTTCCGAAGCTCATCTCCAAGCCAGGTCAATGGATATTCCGGGAAAACTTTCCGCATAAGCTCAAACACACGAGTGGTCAAGTAAACATCAAGAGGCACAAATTCAGCAAGAGACGGATGTTGTACTTTCACGGCAACCTGCTCGCCTGTTTCACGAAGTCGGGCTAAATGTACCTGGGCCAACGAAGCTACTCCAATTGGTTCTGGATTGAATTCGCTGAATAGATCATTCACAGATACTCCAAGATCCAGCAAAAACATGCTGTTGATTTCCTCCATAGACAGCTGAGGGCATTTGTCTTGCAATGGGATCATGGTATCTGTCCATTCTCGTGGAAGAAGGTAGGTGAGTGCGGTGATATGTTGTCCCAACTTGATGTAGATTCCACCATTTCTCTCTAGAGCACGCAAAGTTATGGTAGCGGCGTCCTTGTGTGTCTTTGCAAGCGCCTTGTTGCGGTCCTGTGGAGTATCGTATTCCTTGGAAAGAGTGTTTTTGTATAATCTGAAACATCGGAAAGTTGCCTCGGCAACAACCCCGACTCTTTTGGCTGTGAGAATGGTATGTTTGGTATTTTCGTACACTGAGTCTGAGGTTAGCAATCCAACAGTGAGACCAGCGGTGCCTCCAACGAGAAAAAGCCGCTTATAAGTCCATTTTGATCTTTTTTCATTTGAATTATGCGATTGAAAATGTTCAAAATTTATCTGGGAATTCCGGTTTTCAACCTTTGGTTGTCCGCGAGTAGTATGTGACTGGTACCGAAGAAACAAATTTGTGCACAGAGTCCTCCACCGGAAGGGGTTCCTCAAAACTGTAGTTCGTATCATTAGCAAGCCCGTGAAAATCACCAACCTGAATCTTGCTGAGACTGACGCGCTGGATGCAGGACGGCTCGTATAGGGTACTTCACATGAACGAAAGCTGGGGAAGAATGTCTAGATCAAAGTGTTCAAAGTTGGACCAGTCGATATCTTCTGCTGGTGTGTATGACCCAACAGGGGTGAGGGCAGGAAAAATGGGTGGTGTGAGTGGCTTAGGCAGATTCAAGTAGGAGCCGAGATTTTTAACTCCTCTGGAAAAATTACTATGGTCAATTGGACAGATTTTGGTGGTTTCTGACTTTTTGGATATCAGTTCGGTTTCCAAGTTGCATATCCCGGAAATTGGACATGATCCATGGGGTCCTTTGGGATCTGGTTTTGGCTGTGTCGGATCGCCCAGCAACACCGGACAAGATACTGGATGCATTCCAGGAACCCGAGCATGTAACGTAGCGTAGCCCTCAGGCGACAACATTTTTGTGGTTCGAACGTAGGACTGGAAAAAGTCCCATATTTTGGTGTATCTTTTGTATTTGCAATAGTCTGCTGGATCGCACGATGTTAAGGTCTGAATAACTTTGGCAGTTTCTTTTGTAATTCTTGTGACGGAGTCTTGGTCTTTGTTTTCGAGCCGTATGATGGTGCCAATGTTGAACTGGATGACGTAGGGAAGAATTTCCGATGTTAAATAGACAACGAAAATACCATTACCAGTTCTGATGCATTTGGCGAGATGTTGCAAACACTCGACGGCATTTTGAACAATGCCAATTTCTGCAAATTCAGTTACTTTGTAGTTGGTACACTCTTCTCCTTGCAAGATATTGATGTAGTTGAGATAGTAGCGAAGAAACAGGATGATGGTGCAATATTCAAAACGACGACAAAAGTCGAGTTTATGAAGTCTTTCGTCCTCCAAGAGAGCGGTGCACTCGTTGATCAAGCCAAAGATGTTGGCTGTTGTAACAAAATACTTGTTGGAGTTGTCAAACGTGGTTCCATAGAGACACGAAGTTATTCGACAGATGAGAATATTGGCTGCAAACGAGAACCCCAAACCATCGGGCGTGGATATTCGGTCGGGATCGTTCAGGATCTTATCCCAAATCATGTTGAACAATTGCGACTGTTGCTTGTGGCCCGGTTTGGAGAAAAGTATCAGCAATGCTTGAAGATTGAACATGCGAACGGTTTCGCTCCAAAGAAGTCCAAAGTTTGAGCGGAAAGCATTCACGGCGGTTTCTGGAATGTGTGGTTTCTGGGCATGTATGTGTTTTGGGTTGGTCCACAACGGCAATTCTCCTTCGCAAATGAGCTCCAGAACCAGTATGTTGAATACCGATTGAAACTCAGTTTGTAGGTGGTTGAAGCGTGGACAAAACTGGAAAAACATCCGGTTCAAGAGTGCCAAGCAGCATGAATAAAATGGAAATGCATGGTGAAGCGGATCATAAGAACTCTCGGCAACGGGAGTGTGGATATATTCCAAAGTTTTCAGAATCAAAGTGCAGAAAACTACCCTGCTGTGACCGTTTGAGTGGGTGAGAACTCGATTGGAAAACACTTGTTTGTAGCTGTTGACAGCTTGGATTTCGGCTGATCGATTTTGTTGAACTTGCAGTCGAAAATGCTCAAGTACTTCTTCCACCATTATGCCCATCATGCAAAGGTATACGAGCAGAAACCTGAAAAAATGGTACCTAGCACCGTCGTCTTCTCCACTCGGAACGTCGTTGATTTTGAGCTGAATCCCATACGACCCTTCGCCGTAAAGTCCACGAACTCGAGTCTCATACAACGACAAGAGATCTCGACTCACAGACGAATACGAGCCGTCAAAGTAGTAGTCAAGAATGAACGTGAGCTGGGCACAGGTAAGCTTTTCGTCGGGAAGCGAAAGACTCAATATCTTTTGCCAAACATGTTGCGTTCGTTTCAAGAGTTCAATCGATTCGTAGTAATATTCCGGCAATTCAAGATCTGGTTCCGACTTTGGAGACTCTTGCTTTTTGGTAGATCCGGATCTGCTATCTTCTCCGGTTCTATTATGACTTCGTTCTTGATTTTGTTCTTCTTTCCTGTTTTCTTCTTGACTTTCTTTTCGGTTTTCTTCTCGAACACTCGAAACAGCTTCGCGACCTTGCTTGTACTGGTGGTACGCCCTTTGGATCGAGCTGACCTTGAACCACAAATCGGTCAATTTAGGGTCTAAATTAATCACATTTTCCCAGCAGAATAGGTGGAGAGGTTCGCTGTTGGTATGGGTTTTGAGGGTATAAGAAAAGTCCGTGTCGAATTCAATGGTATCAGGCTCTCGATTCATGTTCCTGAGCTTCTGGAGAACCGTTATCTGCTCGCTATCTGACTCCATCGACTTCAATTTGCTGGAATAAACCTGTCTCAACACATTGACTTCTCGTCGCAACTTGTCAATTTCGATCCTCTGGCGTTCTATCACCCCATTATTTTCTTCCACATGGTGTTTGGCGCTTGTTTTCTCGGCCACAACTTCGGCTGTTCCCGTCAGCCAAGGAGGATCTACAAATTCACAAAGATGACCAACGCCATTTTTGACACAGCCACCACACGCCGGACGGTCCTTGTCACATTTTACTTTTCTCCGCTTGCACTGGAGACACGAGAGAGGCGCTCTTTTGCGTCGCTTCGCCTCAGTCATTAAAATAAGCTAAAGTTAGCAGAGTATTGCAACAGAGTATTGCAGCAGATTACTGCTTATTTATCAGTGGTCAGGTGATTCTGGTCACGTGCCGCACCTGCCCGCTACGATTCTCATCACTTCCAGATGCACTTTTTGGCATCTTGCGAACACCACTGATGTCAGCAGGAATTCCCGTCAAGCTTCTCAATGAAGCCCAGGGCCACGTTGTATCGTTGGAACTTGTCACTGGAGACACATACCGAGGCAAGCTCCTTGAAAATGAAGATAACATGAATCTTTCACTTTACGATGTAGTAGTCACCAAGGGCCGCACCGGAGCCACCACTCATATGAACCAAGTTTTTGTGCGTGGATCCATGATACGATACATTTCTGTGCCGGAAATCTTGCGAAATGCGCCCATGTTCTTTATGAAGCCAGGAGACAAACCCAAGCCGCCTGTTCGTGGCCCCCCACCAAAACGAGCACGGCATTGAAAAGTAGGAGAAAAGGAGAAAAGAAACAGTGTACGATAGAAGCAGGAAGTAGCAGGCAGATAGACGATCAGAAATAGCAAAGAATGAAAATAGTAATGAAATGAGCAGAAAAAAGTGTAATGACAGCAAGATAGCAGAAGAATGAAGATGATAGCAAATGATAATATCAATAGCAATAGCAAATAATAAGTAACCGCCTCTATTCTCTCTAGGTCATCGTCACCAACTCCTCGGCAGCGGTGGGGTGGATGGCTACGCAATTGTCAAAGTCAGCCTTGGTGGCTCCCATTTTAATAGCCACTCCAAATCCTTGTAAAATTTCAGAACTGGCATCTCCCACAAGATGGAGTCCCACCACCTTTTCGTCTTTACCCGCACAAACAATCTTGTACACCGTGGGATCCTTGTGATCTTGGTCCATCATGGCATAGTACATCGAAGTGAATTTGGATTGGTAAACCTTAATATTTTCCTTACCATATTTCTTCTCTGCGTCCTTGGAAGACAATCCAATCGAACCAGCTTCAGGATGTGAAAAGATCACAGAAGGAATATTCTCATAATCCAATTTGGCATGGGCAAATTCTGGTTTACCAGAAAACAAACGGTTGCTCAATCTACGGCCCGCAGCAATAGCCACTGGAGTCAATTCCACTTTTCCAACCACATCTCCCAACGAAAATATCTTGGGATTGGATGTTTGCTGGTACTCGTCTGCCACCACCTGGCCCTTTTCGTTGGTTTTTACACCGACAATGTCCAAACCAATATCGACCAAAGATTTTCTTCCGATGGTCCACAACACTTCTTCTGCCTCGAGGGAGGTTCCGTTGCCCAAATACACTTTCTTGAGTCCGTTTTCGAGCTTTTCAATCTTGGAAACACTGCCGCTTTGTTTGATCATATTGATACCCAATTTGTTAACGTAGTGGTCAGTGATAGTATTTTGAATAACTTCGTCAAAAGCTCTCAAAACGGTGTCTCCACGAATCACCATCGACGTTTGAGTGCCCAAAGCCAGGAAAAACCCCGAAAACTCCACACCAATGTATCCGGCACCCACAATAGCCACCGATTTGGGCTGTTTTTTCAACTCGAAAAACCCATCGGAAGTTATACCCAATTCGCTTCCCTCAACATTTGGAGGAACAATAGGAGCACCGCCCGTAGCAATCAAGACATTGTCAGCAGAAAAAGTCAATTTTTCATTCTTGGTGACTTTTTTCGATAAAAATTCGTGGTCCTCAGAAACCGTCACTTCGACATCACCATTGGAATTGATAAACCTAGCAAAACCAAACAAAAAGTCCACGCCCTCCTTGATCAAGTTGCGCTCGTAGATCCCATTCAAACGACGAACATAAGCGTCTCTTTTTTCCTTGAATTCACTCCAAGCAAATTCACCATACGAAGTCTCTCCCCCACCAGGTAAACAATAAGCACCCAATTGGCTCTTTCTATGAGCATTATCGGCAGCATACCACATCACCTTCTTGGGTACACACCCCACGTTGACACAGGTGCCCCCCAACTTGTTAAATTGAGCCTCCACCAACAACACTTTTTTACCATAAGAAGCAGCACGGCGAGCCGAAGCCACACCTCCCGAACCGCCACCAATTACCAAGTAGTCGTAATGTTTCTCTGAAGCAGTAGGAGCCATTGTGGATAGTTGTTTGTTGATCGCGTCTAGTCTTTTGATCGAAGTACGAAGAAGACCAGAGGGTCGAAACATTAAGTTTGATTTAGTCAGCGGGCTTGAGTTGCGTGGTGTACTGGGCTGAAATGGTGGGGGGCTAACCTCAGAACCACAGAGCAGCTCCATTAGATGATTGTTGTTATGCACGTGACTCACATTGCCGGGTAACGCCCTGAATTTAGGAAGTTTACGAGTTCAAGTTTACAAATATTAAATATAAAGTTATAAACAACAGAGCTAGGATATTGATTGATACATAAAACAAGTCAATTGGATCCGATACCCTAGGATAAGTACTATACTACCGTAAAATACTACAGTATAGAGTAGATCATAGCTCATAACACCAAAAGGATATCATCACGTAATCAGCTAATTCAACAGACGAATGGATTTCGATTGGGATCATAATGAACAGTTCTGGCTTCGTTGTGGTTTCGTAAGCTTGTGTATTTGTGGTTTTGTGGTTTTGGTTTTGGTTTGGATGGTTTTGGTTGGTTGGTTGGTTTAGTTCACTTTCGGTGAATGGCTGCAAATTCATGATTTGGTGAATACGTTGGATGCAAAAAAGTGGGATTGTTAGTTCAATTACAGGTCGGGGGTTGAGTGTGGAATGGTGGTAATTTTTATGGTTTGGTTCATATTTGCGATATTTGCATAATCTGAAAAAATGGAAAAGTGAGAAGAGTTTGTGAGAATGAGAAAAATTTAACTAATTCAAAACTGAGAATCACAAGATAGATTTGGTGGTCATTTCGCTTCTTTTTACGAAGAACACGAACTACATACTCTTGCATTCTTTCTCCTCCGAATTATTCTCCGACATTTTTCGCAGCCATTTAAAAAACCTTTCTAGCCAGTTCCAATTGCCATTGACAAGCAAAAGAAGGGATATTACCTCCCTTTTCAAGTTGAGTTAATAACCCTATAAAATTTTTGTCTCAACTTCTTGGATATTTGGGAAATTCAAAAAGCGGATAACTTGGTCTGGTTATGCTATTCTTAAGCCAATAAATCAATATATCAGTAATTGGTTTCCTGGCTACTAATCTTAGTTGATTCTGCATTCAACAAGTCAAGAAAGGGCATACGGGCTGAAAAGATCAATATTAAATTGATCCGATCAAATGCTTCATTCTAGCCAATTTTTCTTTCAAGCAAAAAAAGTAAACCTTCCTTTTCTAAGTGCCTGATTAACTGAAATCACCAGGATCAATATCCAGGCTAACGTAGTGGGCAATTTCAAAAGATTGCCAGAAACTCATTTTTTTGCACTCATTTCTTATGCATTACTTCTATGATGTTTCAGTATCTACGCAAAGGCTCGGTAACAGCGCATAAATGTTCGGAATTCACCGATTTAGCAAAAAAGAACTTGATTCTGACATTCAGCACGATCAGCAAAAAAGCCAAGTCTGACGTAAATGCACTTCATTTTCGACCTTCCCTGCTTATTCGCATATCCAAAAATAAGTCTGCATTTACGCACGCTCGAAATTTCAAATCATCATGTCGAATGTTGTCATGTGGCTTAGATTGGACATTGCCGCTTACTTAGACGGCATAAGTATGCAAGGCAACCCCTGCCGAAATGCCAAGTTTGAATGGTAAATGCGCTCGTAACCACAGTTCTGTTACATTGTTGTAGAGGTGCATCAATATGATGATGCTGCATGTGTACGCAAATTTTCAATTCGATGCATACGTATTGTATTATTGGCGGCGTGTAGCTGCAGTTTTGTTGATGTAATCCGCATTACACGCAGTGAAATACGAAAATATTGGGGACCCAAAATTCGGAGACTGATATTTTTTTCCGAGTCGAGTAATACGACTGAATACTTTAATCGAATAATTTGCCTTTTTCAAAATGTCGAAACCACACATTGCAAACCACGACATCATTGTTCAACCCTATTAGTCGATTTACACAATCATGGGTGCATCAACTTTAACGCATTAGACTGCCAATAGCTTACTTCAGCTAGACGGTATGTTGGCGTCATTCGAAGTACATGGCAGATAATCTAAAATGCATGCGTTCGCAACCTACATGCAAGAGCCAAGGCGTTTTCAATAGTTGTCAGGCATTGCTCGGCTGCAACAACTGCATTCGTAAACCACGGACCTGCACCGGGATCTGATCACATCATCTATCCCGCATTGCATTGCATAGTATAGTCATGGGCGTTTGAACCATGCAACTGAACTGCAAAGATGACGCGATTAATCGACGAATTCATCAATAGAGCTCAATTGAGCCACTGAATATACTCCCGGGTGCTAGCAACTTATTGCCTCGGAACGTGATACAAAGTATATTGTTGTACAATGCAGGACTAAGCCGTTATTTTCATGCACGTAAGATCCAGATCAGGCTTCGCACGTCAAATAGATAAGAATAAGCGATGCGACTTTTAAACTACTGTAGATGTTGGGGCACAGGCTATGTATGTTGATACTGAAAGACTATCTTAAAGTCACTATGTGTATGGTGACCTTACGTGGCTGTGTGTAGAGGTAATCTAAAAAAAGTCTTTTGGCATCCTGTATATTGCTACCCCAAAAAAATTTAACGTGCTGCGTAATATGCATGTTATATGCAAGAGTTTTGATGCATTGAAAGTCGGACTGCAGCTAAGCAGCAATGGTGAGAATTTAATTTTCATTTGTGGAGAAGAATATGCGCCAACACCGGGTGCAGCAGAGAGATGTGAAGTGTTCGGGAGAAAATGGTGTATAAATTGGCGGCATAAGGTCCTAGATTACAGCAGCAACTTGCTGTTAGCTGCACGTCCACTGCTACATGACATAGCTGCAACGTTCTCCAACATCCATCTGCATGAAACTCCCAATTCAGAGATAGAGGCGGGGGCCCCGTGCCGCATATGTTATCCAAAATTCTATGCATGAAGTAAAGCAAGAACTGCATTGTTGGCGGCGAGTAGCTGCATTTCTGCTCATGCAATCCGCATTACTCTGAGTGAAATATGAAAATGGTCAGCCAAATTTGCTTTTGAAGACAGATACTAATTTTCGTGTAGAATGAGTAACATAAAAGGAGGATTAAGCAATAGAGGTCAAAGATTAAGGAAAAGTGAGGAGAGCAAGAATTGAACAGAAAAATTTTATTATTTCAATCATTTTCAAATGGATTGACTTTGAGTGTCGAAAAATTGCTCTACGTGAACAACTTCGGTGCATTGTTCAGCCCAATTAGTCAGATTTTACATTCATGCTTGCAGCGTCATCCAGTTTCACGCATTACTCGGCCCGTTCCGTTAATCTCGGCGTACATGACAGTTAACCTAAAATACAACGCTCGCAATCTAGAATGGAAAATTCAAGGCGGTTCGATGGAGGTCAGGCATTGCTCGGCTGCAACAGCTACTTCTACTGCGCTCACAACGTCGAGCCTGCACGGGGCTCCAATCACCACCACCCCGCATTGCATTGCATAGTTTAGTCATGAACTACAAAGCCATGCAACAGATATTTGCTGCTCGAAAAAGGTTCGATAATTTGACGAATCCTTCAGATCCTGTAAATCAAGCAACTGGATAACCGGGATGTTGAAAATCTGTTAGATTTGGAATCAGACGTTTTAATACTGCATATAACCAGCATGAATCTCGAATATAATGCATGGAATGTTGGACTGCAGCTAAGCAGCAACGGTGAGATTTTAGGTTTATTTGGGCAACGAATATCAGCATAGCTGCATTGGGGTCTGTGAAGAGGCGGGAGCAAGGAATGGTGCATAACTCGGCAGCTCAAAAAACTTTACGTTGTAGCTGCAACTCTTTAGCTGCACGTTGACTACATGGCTGCAATGCTAACTATTGTTCACTGCACGAAACTCCCAATTTGGAAATACAGGCGAGGCCACCGCGGCTTGCCGCTGTATACTTTGTGCGGCTGCATGAGGCAAGTATCACTTGCAGCATTCGACCAAACTAGGGCCAAGTTCCGACAAATGTAGTGAACAATATGGCTCGTTTGGGATATGGTTGCAAAGCGCAAGTTGAGGCGTTGGCTGCAGCGTCTGCAAAACCTATAAAACCAAGCAGTTTGCTAAAAATTCCTCAGAAATTTGTTGAACACTTCTTAGAACTTGAACTTGTTTTCACTTTCGCTGAAAATGACCCCATTATTTCTTTTCACCTTGTGGGCAGCCGTAGCCTCGGCAGCTCAGGTGTCTGGAGTATTTACTGGGTTTCCGAGTTTAGTTTGGCAAGCTGGTGGCAACTACTATAAGCCATTGCCCGAATTTTCCAGTTGGGTTGCCACACTTGACTGGGCTATTCAAGGTTCCAAGTTCAAGGCAGGCGACACGTTTACTTTGCACATGCCATGCGTCTTCCAATTCACCGCTAATACCCCAACTGTACAATTGAAAGTGAATAATGACGTTTATGCGACGTGTAATTTCTACTCCGGAGAAATCATTACCACTTATTCCGAGCTTCAATGTACCATGTCCGACCTTGTGAATGACCAAACCGACGTCTCTGGTACTCTTACCGTGCCCATGTTCTTTAATACTGGTCTAACTGCCAATGCGGTTGATCTTACCAACGCCAAGTGTTTCAAGGCTGGTGACAATACCGTGACTTTTACTGATGGAAACAACGAGATCAGTACAAATGTTAACTTCAATGGCGGTCAAATGTTAGGGCCCCTTGACCCTAACAACATTATTGTGGGCTCCAGATTTGTTCCCTCTCTCAATACGCTCCAGCATTTTTTAGCGGCGGGAAAATGTGACAATGGTTATATCAGTGGTACGTTGGGAATCACCGTCGACAACACAAACTTGGACTGCAGCACTTTACAAGCTCAAATCACTCTGCAACTCAACGACTGGTTCTTCCCTGAAAGCTCGCAGAACTTCAACTTTCAAACCACTTGTACTGGTAACACCTTCACCGCCACCTATAACAATGTGCCTGCTGGATTCCGTCCCTTTATCGACATCATGGGATCTGCTCCTTCAGGCAACAACGGATTTATTGTGCACTACACCAACGACTACTTCTGTAACGGAGACCCAACCGTACACAGTAACGGACAGGGAGTGAATTGGGGTCAGCCCCAGAATACTGACAGTGGTTCTGACGGTAACGCAGCTGTGGTTACCACAAGAACATGGACTGGTTCAACAACCAGAGTCACTACTTTGCCATACAACACCGCTCCTGGTAACACCAAAACCATCGAGGTTGATGTTCCTATTCCAACTACTACTGTCACCAGTACCTGGACTGGAACCAATACTGTTACCACCACCAAGACTGCTACTCCTGGTGGAACCGCTACAGTAGTAGTTGATGTACCTACTCCAGCAACTACAATCACTTCTACTTGGACAGGTTCATTTTCTACGACGAGTACGATTACTGCTCCTTCTGGTGGAACTGAAACAGTAGTTGTGGATGTGCCAACGCCAACTACAACTATTACCAAGACTTGGACGGGAACTGAAACCACCACTACTACCATTACTGCTCCACCTGGTGGAACTAACACAGTAGTAGTCGATGTACCTACTCCAAGAACTACAATTACCAGCACTTGGACTGGTACTAACACCACCACTGTGACTGTTCCTCCAGCTTCCTCTGGTGGAACCGAGACAGTGGTCGTTGAAGTTCCAACTCCAACTACCACAGTAACAAAAACGTGGACCGGAACTGAAACTACTACTACTACCATTACTGCTCCTCCTGGCGGTACCAACACAGTAGTAGTTGATGTACCTACTCCTGCTACCACCATCACTAGCACCTGGACCGGAACTAACACTACTACTGTTACTATCCCTCCAGCTACTTCTGGTGGAACTGAGACAGTGGTTGTTGAGGTACCAACTCCTACGACTACAATCACTAAGACTTGGACCGGAACCGAAACCACAACTACTACCATTACTGCTCCTCCAGGAGGAACCAACACAGTAGTGGTTGATGTTCCAACTCCCGCCACCACCATCACAAGTACCTGGACTGGGACTAATACCACGACTGTCACTATCCCTCCAGCTTCATCTGGTGGAACTGAGACAGTCGTTGTTGAAGTTCCTACCCCTACCACCACCATTACCAAGACTTGGACTGGAACTGAGACCACTACTACAACTATTACTGCTCCTCCTGGTGGAACTAATACTGTGGTAGTTGATGTTCCTACTCCCGCTACTACCATCACTAGTACCTGGACTGGTACCAATACCACAACTGCTACCGTTCCTCCAGCTTCATCCGGAGGCACTGAAACAGTGGTTGTTGAGGTTCCAACTCCTACGACCACTATCACTAAGACTTGGACCGGAACTGAAACCACAACTACAACTATCACCGCTCCTCCAGGTGGAACTAATACTGTGGTAGTTGATGTTCCTACTCCTGCTACCACCATCACTAGCACTTGGACTGGCACTAACACCACCACTGTGACTGTTCCTCCAGCTTCTTCCGGTGGAACTGAGACAGTAGTCGTTGAAGTTCCAACCCCAACCACAACCATTACCAAGACTTGGACTGGTACCGAGACCACTACTACAACTATTACTGCTCCTCCTGGTGGAACTAATACTGTGGTAGTTGATGTCCCCACTCCCGCAACTACAATCACAAGTACCTGGACTGGCACTAACACCACAACTGTTACCCTTCCTCCAGCTTCTTCCGGTGGAACTGAGACAGTGGTTGTTGAGGTACCAACCCCAACCACAACCATTACCAAGACTTGGACTGGTACCGAGACCACTACTACAACTATCACCGCTCCTCCTGGTGGAACTAATACTGTGGTAGTTGATGTTCCAACATCGAGAATTTCCGAGCCTCCTTCGAGTTCTTCAGAACTTTCCAGTTCATCTTTGAGCTCGTCCGGATTCTCGACACTTTCTGTCTCGTCTGTTTCGTCATTTTCTTCATCGGAATCATTGAGCTCTTCATACATTCCTCCATTTTCGAATACGTCCGTCCCTACGGTTTCAAGTTCATCATTGACCTCGTCTTCGAGTGTCTTGATCAGCTCAACATCCGTATCCCTTACTTCCGGGGTACCATCTTCCTCATCTGAAGTTCCTCCAACATCAGTGCCAACTGGACCTAGTGGACCATCTTCTTCTGAGGGACCATCTTCGTCATCTGAAGTTCCATCAACATCTGTTCCAACCGGACCTTCTGAACTTTCATCTTCTGAGGTACCATCATCCTCAGTTCCAACCGGACCTTCTGGACCTTCTTCTTCTGAGGGTCCATCTTCCTCATCTGAAGTTCCACCAACATCGGTACCAACTGGACCAACTGGACCCTCTTCTTCTGTTCCAACTGGACCTAGTGTTCCAACTGGCCCAACTGAACCTACCGGCCCAACCAGTGAGCCAACTGTTCCTACTGGACCTTCTGTTCCAACGGGCCCAACTAGTGAACCAACAGGACCCACTGAACCTACTGGACCTACGGGACCAACTGGACCTTCTGGACCTAGCGTTCCAACTGGTCCTACTGGTCCTACTGTTCCAACTGGCCCAACTAGTGAGCCAACTGTTCCTACCGGACCTTCTGTTCCAACTGGCCCAACTAGTGAGCCAACTGTTCCTACCGGACCTTCTGTTCCAACTGGACCTACCGAGCCTACTGGACCAACTGAACCCACTGGTCCTACTGGACCTTCTGTTCCAACTGAACCTACCGAGCCTACTGGACCAACTGAACCCACTGAGCCTACTGGACCTTCTGTTCCAACTGGACCCACTGGACCTTCTGTTCCAACTGGACCCACTGGACCTTCTGTTCCAACTGGACCTTCTGGGCCAAACGTTCCAACTGGTCCCACCGAGCCCACTGGACCTTCTGTTCCAACCGGACCATCTGAACCATCTGAACCTACTGGACCTAATGGACCATCAGAACCCAATGTCCCAACTGGACCTTCTAATCCTTCAGAACCTACTACTACTGTTATAGTGCCTCCTGCTGGAACCGTGCCTACCGACGATACTAACGTGCCTCCAGCCACAACTGGAACACCAACCACAACTTCCGGAACACCCATTGAGCCAACCACTTCAGGTGGAAACGGTGGAAATGATGGAAATGATGGAAATGGTGGAAATGGTGGGAATGGTGGGAATGGTGGTAATGGAGGTGATAATGGAAACGGTGGAAACACCCCATCTGGAAACTTCCCTGGCGTTTCGTCTACAGTCTCATACTATTCCCCACCTCAAAGTGCAAGCGTCTCCACCTATGAAGGAAGCGCTTCAAGCTTCTCGTTCCCATTGGGAGCGATGGGTGTCATTTTACTTTCGTACATTATTTGATTGGAAACCATCTTTATAGACATTTTTAATTCTTTCGCATTTCGGCTTTACTTCGACAATATATGGTTTAAAATTAGGAAATGCACCGAGAGCAACAGGAACAAACAAGATCAAAAGAACCATTTCATTCCTATTTCTTATAACTACCATTTCATTCCTATCTCTCATCTCTAGTCCTCTTCGAGTTCGTGCCGCAAATGGTCAAGAATATAGCGGTTGAGATCATCATACAAATTGTCTTCATCTTGCCCAATTCGTCCATCTGGTCCATCCAGGCGTTCATGAAGGTACCGATTGTAAATCATATCCAACTTCTGGCCAACAATTCCCCTAACTTTTATTCGGTCCATATTTTCATCTTCTGCAAAACCACTTCGCTCAAATTTTATGCGAGCTTCTTGCATCACCATTTGGTACTCTTGTTCACATTCTATCAACTGTTTGACCTCGTCCTTGTCCTCGTGGAAAGCTTTTTGGATGTTCAGCACGTTATCCAAAGCCGAATAGGCGGTATTGTTTGTCATGTACTCTTGGTTCAAATTGTTATTATAACCGAAAAGCCGACTAATAAGTTCCTTTTTGTTGCTCACCTGCTGCTTTCGTTTGCCTGCAAACGATGCAAACTGAGTCAATTGCTGGTCCTGCCGATACTGGTAAGTTTCAATGGGTCCAATGCCCAGAGTGGGTGTCATTATTGGCTGCGAATTAAATCCATGAGTATCAAACTCACGGCACATTGTCTTTACCTCGTCCTTTGTATAGCCCGGAATTGCCTCCAACACCGTTGTTGGCTCCGGATTTCGAGTCGGAGTGGCACTTTCGACTTCGTCCTCGGAATCAGAGTCAAATATCACATTTGCGGCGATTCGTTCCGCCGACTCCCACGCCTTAACTTGCGACTCTTTGACCGCCCGCGGTCCCAATTCGCCTGTAGTGGCATCAACAAACACAGAATAGTCGTATCCAGGTCCAAAACTAGTGGAAAACGATGTTTGTTTTGTGGGTTTTGCATACTTTCGCAGCAGTTGAAGATCCAAAAGTTTACTTTTGAGCGGCGCGGTTTTCGTGCGTGGCCGGGGAGTGGTTCGTTTACGTGATTTGGGTTCAAGAACTCCTCCCTGGTGGTTGGAACGACCCAGAATAGGATGGTTTTGTGGATGGTGTTGGGGGTGGTGTTGGACCTTTCGAATGTTATTACTGGGTGTGCTTAGGATAGAAGCAGAAGAAGAAGAGACTGAGCGCAAGGAGTCGTTGGGGTTGAGGAGGGATTGCTCCGCCAGGTGGTGGGACGGTATTCGCCGGGGAAGGGACATGTACAGAGAGAGGTGAGGTGAGGTGCGAAAGGTGCGAAGGGTGCAGGGCGCAGCCATGCACCGAGCCCGAGCACAAGCCAAACACAACCAAACACCACAATACCTCTAAGCTGGTGCAGTCCGGTCGTGCGCGCGCTTTGCTCGCACACTGGTTCGCACACTCCTGGCCGTTCGTGCTCGTGTTCGTGCGCTCGTGCTAGGGCTCCGCCCTACTCGCCCGCGCACTCGAATCAGTTTCGAAAATTTTTCAGAACACTCAACTCATCATGGCTACTGAATTGACGGTTCAATCCGAAAGAGCGTTCCAAAAGGTAAGTTATCCCCCTATATACCCCTCCAGGTCCACAAACTAACTCCAGCAACCTCACATCTTCACCAACCCAAAGGCCAAGGTCACCAAGAGATCCAAGAGATGGGTTAAGGATGTTGGATTGGGATTCAAGACCCCAAAGACTGCCATTGAAGCCAACTACATTGACAAGAAATGTCCATTCACCGGTACTGTTTCCATCAGAGGAAAGATTTTGACCGGTACCGTTGTATCCACCAAGATGCACAGAACCATTATCATCAGAAGAGAGTACTTGCACTATGTTCCAAAATACAACAGATACGAGAAGAGACACAAGAACTTGGCTGCTCACGTTTCTCCAGCTTTCCGTGTCCAAGAGGGAGATGTTGTCATTGTTGGACAATGTAGACCAATTGCCAAGACCATTAGATTCAATGTGTTGAAGGTTGCTTCTTCGATTTCGAAGTCCAAGCAATTCACCAAGTTTTAATAGGTGTAATAAATAAGCGACGAGAATGTGTAGAAAAAGAGAGAGTTTGAAAGAAAAAGAGAAAGTTGAAAAAATAGAAAGAGCAGAAGGTAGATAGGCAAGTGGTGGTGACTTCCAAAACTGTTACCTTCTCCAGTCCCTTGTCCAGTCTACTGTCTTACGCTATATCATTTTCTATTATATTGGTTGTCACTTTCAATATCAGACCATTACTAGCTTCAGTACTCAGATTCTTTACTGTCAGATTCTTCTCTATAATCTCATCCCAATCAGAAGCAAACCAGGCTTCTAGCTCACATTCTCCAGCGTATCAGTCTGCTCTTCTCTTCTCTTCTCGTATCACTTCTGCGTCTTCTTCTCTTCCCTTCTCTCTAGGCTTCTTCACACATTAGACGGCGCCTCCACCTGCTTCACATCCACCAGTTTCTCTCCCCATTCGATCAACAGCAGCACCAACTCGCCGCTTTCATGAAGCGCCATCATGTCGTCGCTTCCTCCTCGGCTCTTGGACGACTTTCCTACCAACACATTTGGGACGGTCCTGCGTCCGCTGACTTCAGCAAGGTACTTTTGGAGCTCAGCACCATGGGTATGACGGTCCAATTCCACAATAGCAGGCTGGGGAGTGATCTGGTAGTTGTCATGAAGTAAAGCTTTGAGTCTTTTGGAAAATGGACAAGTTGTCTTTGAAAAAATCACCACTGGGCTAAGTGCTCGAATTGTCACAAGTTCTTTGGCTGGATCAAACTCGCCAGTTTCCGCTGCTTCCGGCTTGGTTTCCGGCTTGGCTTCATCCTCGGTGCCCAACTGCGAAATTTGGTGGTTTATAGCCGCGTCTACCTTGTCGTCGTTGTTGGAGTCAATGAGACTATTTGACGTAAGTAACGTTTGAGCTTTTTTCTCGGTATCCAAATTTGTGGGAATTCTGCTACGCGTTGTGTGGTGGAGTGCGAGGATCATGAGCACGGCAAACACCGCAAGAGCCACGACTCTGGCTTTTCTGCTGGACATGAGGAGGTGATCCACGCGAGCTGAAAAATGATCGCGAGTGAATTTACATCCTACACCAAATTTCACCACTGATACCGCACAACTACCACAGACTATTACTATCGAAGTTTCTCCAATCTTTACAGTTTCCACTACTTTTACTTCAGTTATTTGTCGTTTGTATTTGTTTGTTTCTTATTTGACTACAACTTCTCCGCAGAGGTGGGTCTACCAATGGTGGTGACATCATCGTAGATCAACGTGGTGACGAAATCAGAATACTTCTCTGCCGATGCTTCGGGCTTAAAGTATTCCAATGCTCTCTTAAACTTGTTACCAGATGGGGCAGCCTTCTCCAACTTGGAGTACTCCTCTTGCAACAACTTGGCAACATATTCCTTGGTAATAAGCTCACCCTTGTCCGTCTTGGCACCATGAGTAACCCATTGCCAGATTTGCGTTCTCGACACTTCAGCAGTAGCAGCATCCTCCATCAAATAGTTGATAGGAACACAACCAACATTGCGTAACCATGCCTCGATGTAAGACAATCCAATGATACAGTTGGCTCTGATACCTTGCTCGGTGATCTTGGCACCAGGAACATAAGGACTCAACAAGTCTCTGGCAGTAACTGGCTTGTATGGAGTTCTTGGAGGCACATTGATCTGGTTAGGACCCTTCATATGCTCGTTGAACACCTTAAGAACCACAGGAACTAAAGCTGGGTGGGCAACCCAACACGAATCGCATCCAGCCATAACCTCACGCAACTTGTCCTTGGCAACATTTTCCAAAGCAGCCTTGTTTCTTTGCTCGTCATTCTTAATAGGAATTTGAGCTGCCATGCCTCCCAAAGCGTGAACTTGTCTCTTGTGACATGTGTTCACCAAAAGCTTAACATAAGACGACATGAAAGGTGCCGACATCGTCACCTGCGATCTGTCTGGCAAAATGAATTCTGGGTGGTTTCTCAACGATTTGATGTAGGAAAAGATATAGTCCCATCTTCCACAGTTCAACCCACCAATGTGTTGTCTCAATTGATAAATAATTTCGTCCATTTGGAACGCAGCGGGTAAGGTTTCAATCAAAACCGAACCACGGATGGTACCACGGTTGATACCAATGTAATCTTGCGAGTAGTTGAAGATGTCGTTCCACAACTTGGCCTCCAAATGGTGCTCCATCTTGGGCAAGTAGAAGTATGGACCAAAGCCTTGAGCAATGGCTTCCTTAGCACTATTGAAAAAGTACAAGGCAAAGTCAAAAATACCTCCACTAACAGGTTCTCCATCCACCAAGAAATGCTTTTCCTCAAGGTGCCAGCCACGAGGTCTCACAATCAACGTGGGAATATGTTTACCGTTCTCAAGTTTCAACTCATACTTCTTTCCTCCAGACTCAAATTTAAGGTCTCTTCTGACCGCATCATACAAGTTGGTTTGTCCATCCACCAAATTGTCCCAAGCTGGAGTTAACGAGTCTTCGAAATCAGCCATGTAAGTGGCCACGCCGGAATTCAAAGCATTGATCACCATTTTCCTATCAGTAGGACCGGTAATTTCCACTCTTCTGTCACGTAATCCAGGTGCCAATGGTGGTCCAGTCCATGTTGGATCTTCTCTGATATGCTTGGTTTCTGGAAGAAAGTCTGGCAACACTCCCTGGTCTCTCAACTGTTGTTGTTGCTTACGATTGGCTAACAATCTCTTTCTTTCACCATTAAAAGCACGATGAAGAGTAGCTACAAAAGCCACGGCTTCAGGGTTGAAAATGTGTTTGGATCTGTCGGGAATCGAAGCAAGGATCTGAACTCCCTTGAGTTTGTCCTCTGTTTTGGGGAAAGGATTTGACATGTCTAGGCAAAAATAATGGGGCCACAGGGGCTGGGGGGTATTTATAGGATTTATGGCCGCAATCACTACCCCAGACGCAGCAGCGGGTAACCCGCCGGGCCAGGCCGATCATCCGGGGAAAACCATGTGACGGCGGTGACTCGGGGCGCCGAGTCGCGGGGCCGAAGCCGGGGGCGCGCGCACGGCGCCTGGTGATTGGTAGGATAACGTCGGGCCAAGGGAAGGGTGCTGGATACACGGGCCGAGGCTAACTCCGGCAAAAGTCCGAGGAAAAAGTACCAATGATATAATAACGAATGGTGACGATTTGATTCAATTGAGTTCAATTGAACTGTGAATTGAGTATTCTCAATTCTAAATGTGAATTCAAGAATATTCTTTTTTGATTGTCTACTTCAATTTTGTCTAAATTTCTTATTTCGCATTTTGCAATTCGCACTGATTGTCTCCAAATGGTACTACATTGTTAACTTGACTCATGACTCAATTGACTCAAATCTTGACAATTGACCAATTCCTCACTTAACTCTACTCCTTTTTTGACTACTTCCTTTTTCCATTTTGATTTCTTGTCTACTTGACTCAATTCTACCAACTTCGACTTGATCTCAATTATGGCTCTTTCATCTACTTCACCCACTTGGTGCCCTGCGCAATTGGTCCTTGCAACCCCTTTTGTGTAGGAACGTAGTTGATTCTGTGGTAGCTGTTCAAATTCTTTCTCAACACAAATTGGTAGCATGTAGCTGAACCTTGTCTGGAAATTTGAGTAGCAGAAGCCAAGAAGTACTCCCAGATTCTAAACCATTTAATACCATACTTGTCAACAACCTTGTCCTTGTTTCCCATCCAGTTTCTGTACCATCTCCACAAAGTAGCCGAGTAATGAACTCCAATATTGTCAACGGAGACAACTTCAAATCCAGCACTTTCCAAACAAGAAACCACAAATGTCAATGGAGTAGATGCATCGGCTCCAGGGAAAATGTACTTGTTCATGAACAAACCCCAGATCAAATCTTCGTATTGCCAACTTTTTCTCAATCCCGCATATTGCAAAAAGAACAATCCATCGTCTTCCAAAGAATCATGTACTTGCTCGAAGAAAGTGGTCAATCTTCTGATTCCCACATGTTCTGCCATCTCCAAACAGGTGATCTTATCGTACAATCCGTTAGGCTTTTGACTCTTTGGCGAGTCTCTGTAGTCAACACAGGCAATTCTCGATTGCTTGGAAGTAATACCATACTTTTCCAACAACGAAGTACCCCATTTGGTTTGGTTTTTTCCTAACGTAACACCAGTCACTCCAGCTCCGTATTGCGACGAAGCAAATGTGGCCCAGGTACCCCAACCACATCCCAAATCCAACACTTCTTCACCTTCCTTCAACTGGATTTTATCAGCAACAATTCTCAACTTGTTGTCTTGCAATTCCTCGAGAGTTTCCTCCTTGGTGATGTCGCCGATGACACCCGAAGTGTATATCATTCTGGGGCCCAAAAACCAGGTGTAGAAGTCGTCACCACGGTCATAATGGTCACGGACCTGTTCTTCATCCTGACTCTGCGAGTGGAAAATCACCTCAGGAATCATTCCCAACAAGAAAAACCTGAAAAGTCCAAGGGTGAACCGGAAACTGGCCCAATCATGGCGGTATTCCATCACATCCAAACAATCACCTCTGAAACTCACCTTTCCGTCAAAGTAAAGTTGTTGAAAAGTTTCCATGGGAATCTTGGTTCCCTTGCCATTGTTGCTCGTTTCGTACTTAGCCTTGAGTTCCGGGGTGTGGAATTCCAAGTAGTGGCTAATTGGCTTGTTGGGAAGCTTAACCTTTTGGTTGATCCGAGGAGAATATGAAGACAATAAAGTCCAGTAAGCCATCATGATGGGAAGTGCAAATAATAACGTAAAAAACAACCACGTCTTGAACCCACCGCCAAGCTTGCGGGTCACAAAGTATGGAATCAACACCACAAATCCTGCCATGGCCAAATTGCTAAAACTACGAGCACCAGGTCCATCGGCTGGAAGTGGAGCATTTTTGATAGCAGGCAGTGCTGTTGTCTTTACACCACACTCCGCACTAGGTGCTGGAGGCGCCTTCACTGGCGGAGTTTGAATGAACTCCACACCGTCAATCATTGAAAAAAAATTGACAATTGAAGAAACAAGAAAAAAAGGGAATGTGTCGACTTAAACGACAGGTGGTGCACCCATGCACCTGCGGCGCGCCAGGGCCCTAGACCCCCACTTAGCTGAAAATATTACGATGTTCTTTCGAACTTTACTTATCATTTATCTTTCGTGTCAATTCCTGCACTCTTCACTTATTCGTCATTCATCCTTTATCTTCATTTTTTTTCATTTCTTTTCATTTATCTTCATTTATTCTTCATTCCATTTCTTTGCACCCAGACACCACACCATTATCATCGCCGCACCTCCAGTTTCTTTATGCTGCTGCTGGACGACCATCCGGCCCGTTCTGGTTCGCCCAGTGCTGTTCTGGAGCCGCCAGCGAAGAGGCTAAAGCACGGTAGTTGCGCGGAAAGCGACAGTGAGGATTTATTGCTGGAAAATGTCGAAAATGGCGAAAATGGTGCCGAGGTCGTGGAGATGCCCGTGACTTTGGGCGGCTATAAAACGACTGCCGAGGGGAATGTAGACGAAATTGACCCCCAAACACAAGTGGTAGTGGATCTGGGAGGCGGTTCGGGTGCCGAGTCGGATTCGTCGGAATCTCTCGACTTGGACCTCATATCTGAATCTGAATTTCGCCAGATAATCGCTGAAACTCCCGACGAATCTTCTATTGAGGAAACCAGAGTATTCCTCAAGACTTTTGGACCCGTGGAGTTCTTGCAAAAGTATCTCCCTACCACCGCTACCAGCCGCAACATTTTGGAGGTGATAGTGAGACTTGGATTTGTTCCTCGAGACGTCGCCATAGATGGTACTGGAGACCAAATATCGGGCCTTATTCGGCTTTTAAACCAGGCAATGAAGTCTGTGCTCACCACGAGAACCCGTCTTGAACACTTTTACTCACTTGAACATGTTATTGATGGACTCCAATCCGCCAAAAAAATCCTCGTTTTATCTGGAGCTGGTATATCCACCAGTTTAGGAATACCAGATTTCCGTTCTTCACAAGGATTTTATGCCAAACTAGAGCACTTGGGGCTCTCGGATCCCCAGGATGTGTTTGATCTTGGCATTTTCCACACAGATCCTACGGTATTCTATCTGATTGCTCACATGATTCTTCCTCCAGAGCACAGCTTTACGCCCATGCATGCGTTTATAAAGACCCTCGACGACAAGGGAATACTACTCCGAAACTACACACAGAATATTGATAATCTTGAAAGCAATGTGGGCATTAATTCGGATCGTGTGGTTCAATGCCATGGTTCATTTGCAACCGCTACTTGTGTCACCTGTAAAAATACCATTCCTGGTCACGAAATCTTCGAATGTATACGGAACAAAGAGGTGGCCTACTGTACAAAATGTACCAATTCTCGTCTTGCCTTGATGGATAAAGACGACGCATACGTACCGGAGAGTTATGGAGTGATGAAACCAGATATCACTTTTTTCGGAGAACTGCTTCCCGCCAAGTTTCACGACACCATCAACGAAGATTTGCATGAATGTGACCTTGTAATAAGCGTGGGAACGTCCTTGAAAGTTGCTCCTGTGGCCGATATAGTGGACAAAGTACCACCTTCGGTTCCACAAATTCTTATAAATCGGGACCCCATTACCCACTGTAATTTCGATGTATCATTATTGGGCTACTGCGATGATGTTGCTGAGCTCTTGGAGAGGAAACTAGGATGGAAAGATGAAAAAGAAAAAAGTGAAAAATTTCAAGTGGTGGAGGTGGAAAATCGTATGTATAAAATTGGTCAATTGGATTCCGAGTCTACAAAATTGAGAATTGATACTCATGGCGATACTCCTGGTAATACTCCTGCCAATGCTCCTGCAAAATCCAGTCCAGAGCCCACACCGTAGATAGATAGAGGGACAGGTTTCCCTACATATAGGCCACTTTTGAAAATGCAGGAATGCCATCGCAAATTTCAACACTTATGTTTGTACGAACACAACCATGGAGGAGCTTGCGACCCTGGACGCGGCCTCTATACCACACAAACGTGCTCTCTCTACGCATGAATAGTCATAGATCCAATATGGGACCGTCAGCTTCAAGTGGTGAGAAACTAGAGCTCGATCAATTATTACGTGATTTGGACTTGTTTAACGAACCCCAAAATGATGAAAAGAGTCCAAGCAATAACCAAGAGATTACAAAAGAGCCTTTGAATCGTGAAAACCAGTTGGAAAACGACCTCGAACTGCTTTTTGGAAAAGTCCAACAAGAACAAGAAGAGCACCTTGATCGCAACGAACAAATTATTAACGAGGAAAAGAATTTATTTCAAAGAATATTCACCTCGTATATTGATTCAGAGCCCAAAGAATCCCCAGAGAACATTTTAAAAGGTATAAATCAGCCAACTTTTCGCAGTTCTCGAATCCATTCTGTATCTGAAAAAATCAGAGACGACGTCTTTACCATGACGGATAATGCATTGAGTGCCACACTGGACTATATACAGAGCCTTCCGACCAGCCAGGAGGTCACGGAGTTTCTTCTGAGCACTCTTGACAGATGGCTCGCACAAGACAGTGCTGCAAAAAATGATGGACAAGTTCAAGAATCGATATATCTCAACAAAATCCTCAACAGCAAAGGCAAAAGGATCACTGAGAGCCACACCAAGTTTATTGACAAAGTCAAGGCTACTAGTGAAGCTCAACCAGAAAAACCATCACTTAACATCTTCACCTTACCTATCCTATTCAACAAGTGTATAGCTCGTCTCTCAGCTTCAGGAGACGGGGTTCTCGCCTTCACGATATTCAACCGGCTCAAAAGCCATATTCACATCTATACTATATGTTGCAACCAAAAAACGTTCAATGAGATGATGAAGATAGCATGGGTGAATACTATGGATCTTTACACCGTGGAAAAACTATACTTTGAAATGGTAGGAAACGGGTTCACTGGCGACTACCACACGTTCCACATTCTCAAGAGCATTATTGTGGAGTACTATGGCATGAAAATGGGCACTATGAACTCTCCAATCTGGTCGCGACAAGACGATATTCGGGTGGAAAGTTTGGAGAAGAAGTTGGCGACATTAGCGCGGCAGTTGCAATAGCCACCACCACCCCTTATCTGATACCACCACCCTTTACTAGATATCACCACTTCCCAGTACCACTTTACCGATTATTAATATCATACTGTACATAAACCATAGAAACTTGCACCATACCAGATATTACACTTCTAAGCAGAGTATACGCCTGCCAACTGCCCAGTAATCTGTATCAGTTCAATTATTAACTATTTTGTAAAGTTTTAGACTAAAATTTTGAATTGCAATTCATAGTAGTTATTTCTGAATGTGTCCAATCTACAATCATACTTAAGACTGCAATAAGATGTTCACAGTAGCATTATCTGGCGTTCTGGTTGACACTCAGCTCATTTGTATAATATAAACTAGTAAACTGACAAACTGAAACTGTGTATAACTGCATATCTGAGTTAGGTAATTTCTGTTCCTTAAATTTGTTTTCGCGGTCACCTGCACACAACCTACACTTTCTTTCTCAACTCAACCCCAACTTCATGTCAGAGTATCTAGGTTTGAACACGTACCAGTCCAATTCCGCGTCTGCAAACGGGTCAGCGTCCAGCTCGACGTCTCCCGACTCCAGGGCTCGGGTTCTGGGGAACCCAATTATCAAAACAGAGCCAGCAGAAAAACTTATTCCCAAGTCAGGGGATATTAAAAAGCAGCTTTCTCAGTCACTTTATGGAGCTAGCGGTCCTTCAAGCAGTAGCGGCGGCATCTCGAAGCCACATTCACGGAAAAATAGCGTAATAGCGATGAAATCCGAAGAAGAAAATGACGACGAAGATGACGATGAAGACGGCCAAGGCAACGAACGGAAACGGCGAGACAATATCAATGACAGAATTCAGGAATTGCTCACATTGATTCCTCCTGAGTTTTTCCAGGAAACAGCGCCGGTCGCTCACACAGGGAATCAGGCGTATGACCAAGAAGCAGAAATTACGGCGGCAGTGAAAAATTCAGGCACCAAAGATGGAAAGCCTAATAAGGGCCAGATTCTTACCAAATCAGTGGAGTATCTCCAGTACCTACAGAACCTAATTGATGAAAATAACCGGAAGGAAGTGGAATTGATTATGAAGTTGCGTAATCTTCAGGGCCAGCCTAATACGGCACCAATAGGCAATACCAGTGCTGAAAAGGCGTTGGGGAAAATCGGCGTGGGGCCGTTGAGTGAGCCGTACTTTAAGCAGATTCTCGTCAACAGTGCTAGCGCCAGCAAGTCTGCGCGGCGCGGCAGCGTGGGGTAAAGGACTGGAAGAAAGAAATTGAAGAAAGAACTGGAAAAGAAATTGGAAGAATCTGAAGAAACTCTTCCACTTATTTCCACTCTTTCCTATTATTTCACTTCCTCGCCTTTTGCCGGCCGAGTCGCTCGCGCTCGTCAGCTTGGTCGTACAACATATACGCCGGAAGATACTTGTCATCCCGCTTCAAATACGGATTTGGCACCGTATTGTCGATTCCTCCTAAACTGGTGTATCCCAAATCGTACATGTGACAGTATTCCACGTTGCAACCCACCAAAAAATCCCATATATCCACATAGTTCCAATGGAGTATTGGGTGTATACGAAGAAACGATGGCCAGTTATGGTCTGTCATTTGTTCATACTCTAAGTTCGATCCGTATGGGTCGGTGTATCGAATGCCAACAATGATGGTTTTACAATCCACATTGATTTCATGCAAGTATTGTTCAAAACCTTCTTTTAATGGTGCTTGAAGAGTCTTATGTTCTAGATGGTAATGAGCGGCTGAGTCGGTAATAAACCGGGCAAGGTCTGGAAACGGCATTTCCGAGTTGATATAGATGGAATTGAGTTTATAATGGTGGGGTATATGGTCCGGATCTGTAGTGTATATGCAAGCTAGTACTAGAATTAGCATGACTAAACAGTCTTTTCCACCATTATACGAAATAGCGATCTCGGAAAGTCTGGTGTTAGAAATCTTTTGAAGTGGAACTTTATAGTAAACTTACCCATGGCGCTTAACTGCGGTTTGAAGAACTTGAAGGCTCTTTTTGATTTTATTTTTCGCTCCTTCTCGACGATTTTGGTCGTATTGATAGTCCTTATGCCGGGCTGGAACCAAGCCCCAAGGAAGTGTATCGCTGAGGAAACCTTGGACTAGCTCGTGGGCTTCTCTACATCGTTCGAGAAAGGTGGCGGGACTAACACTCATTACAGCGGTTGTTCGGAAACAAACTGGTGAGGTGGGGGTGGCAATATGCAGGACGAACCGAAAAGAAGATCAGAATTAAATTGACCATTAATAACTTGACTTTCGGTTCTTCTTCTTTTCTTTCTTCTTTTCTTTCTTTCTCCTTTTCTCATTTGTACACAATCTGAACCACAAACTCCTTCGTATCGTGGTCCCAGTACCACCAATAATCGTCTGACATTTGGTCCATATCAGGCTTGATTATGGGTCGATTAGGAATGGCCATAGCTATGTTTTCGTACGGTTCAGCCGAAACAACCAAATAAAGGTATTTTTCTGGGTTCTTTGTGTCGACTGCTTTTTGGTTGTAAGCCGTGAGTTCGTAATAAGACATCAAACGAAACATCGGTTCATCGACGGCTTTGGGGCATTTCACCGTCACCAAGATTCCCATACGAGAAGTATTGGGATCGCAGATTTTGGTCATTTTGAACGCCGGCTTGCCGATTTTGGTCCATGTTCGTTTGGGAATGCTGTTAATACTGAAAGAAACCGGTCCTGTTTCTCCACTGGCTCGCTGATCAAGCCGTCGTCTTTTTTCAAGATTGAGCTGGTGTTTTCGTCCACTAAGGTGAGAGATATAAGAGGCTTCGTTAACATGAGTTGTGGAGCAAAGACGACACTCTAGTATACCTAAATGATTCCTGAAGACGTAAGGGTCTGATTCGATGTCTAGAACATGTGTCGTTAAAAGTTCCTGTAAGCGTCTTTTTGTATGAGCGTTTGTCTCTGCGGTATCAGCAACACCACCGCCGCCTTTTTTGGCGTTCACCCGGCCGGAGTAGTCCATTAACTGATTAGTGATTAAAGTCTACAACAGTTGAGATGCCGCAAAACTGGTGCTGGGTGTAGTAAGTTTCTGGTGCACCGGTGCGGCCGCTTTAACCGTCCGCGCGAACGCTCAACACGTCTTCATGGATTCTCCCCAGCAAATAGGCGACATGACCACGTCGTCGATACAGCACCAGCTCCGAGGGACACATCTCAGCGCCACGTGTCTGACTCTGATTAGCTCGGCGGTTTATGCTGGGCAAAAGTTCATTCAATTGAACTTGAAAGTGGGCGAAAATGATACCAAAAACGATTCTAAAGATGTCAATAAAGATAGTTTGGTGATACTTCGGCGCGTCCAGGACTCGTTCGTCAATGTATCGCAACTTTTTTCCATTTTGGTCCGACTTGGACATTCAAATCCTGATCAAATTTCGAGTTTTTTGAGTAACGAAATTCTTTCCAGCAGCCATTACACCGGTTCGATTGAAGGATCGGTGTTCTACAATGATTTCCGGAGCCATGAGAACCCCATGCTTCAGGGTTTGTGGGTTTCGTACGACAGAGCAGTGGCACTTGCGTTGCGGTTTGATATTTACGAGTTTGCGAAAAAACTCTTTTTAATTGATGTACATGACTACGACAGACTTCCCAAACAAGAGAAGCGCTCGCTCGCTGAAGGCTACGGCGTGGACGTGGCGGCAGGCTCGCCAAAAAAGAGAAAAGCCCTGGACTCCAAACTGACGTCTAGTGAACCCAACTCTAATCTGGTATCTACATCGGCGGTTTCGATTTCCACAAACTACCCGTTTGCCGAGCCTCCTCTCTCGCTCGACGACAAAAACGACGACTTGGTATCCACCATCAAGGCCAAATACGGCGAGGTGTTCAACAGTGACGTCGCACACACCATGGACTCCATCCAAAAGATCTTTGAGTCGATCATCTCTCGACACCAATCGCACCTCTTGGCGGTGACCGATATACCTTTAGACCTGAATGGCAAAACCGCGCTTCATTTTGCTGCCACCTTGGCTGTCACAAACCTAGTGGGTGCATTTGTAGGACTAGGACTCACGTCTCCCATAAGAGGAACGTCTGACGGTGAAACTCCTTTGATATCTGCCATAACCGTCACCAATGCCATGGAAAAGGGAAACTTTTCCACCCTTCTCAAAAACTGGTTGTACCCGTGTCTCTGGCTTGTGGATAACCAGCGGCGTTCTGTTCTTCACCACTTGGCATCTCAAGCTTCGGCAAAGCCTGATTCCACCAGGGCATACACAAACCAAATAATCGACTATATCGTACAATCTGGAGGGCTCAGAAGGCTTTGCGAAGATATCGTTCCTGGTCAAGAAGACACTCACGGCAACACCTGTCTTCACATTGCAGCAGAAACGGAAGCGCGCTGGCTCGTGCAAGTGTTGGTTGAGTTACGGGCTGATGTCAACGTAGCCAACAAGCAGGGCGTCAAGCCTATAGACTTTGACATCGTGAAAGATGTGGTGAGAGGATCTTCGGTAGAAAAAGGAGACTATATTGTGGAGCTTATACGTTCAGGCCTTGAAGTAATGGATAAAAACCAAGAGCTTGGAATTAACGACGGTCCAGAAACCCACAAAACTTCACATACATCCAATGGCCAACCACGATCACAAACGCCAGAATCGGCTTCTGGCAAGATTTATAATAGCATACAAGAGCTTCTTGCGTCAACCAGTCTGGAATATGAAGCAATAATCGAGTCCAAGAAACAGCTGGTGAACGAATTGAATAAGGCGCTTCGTGATCTGACCATTGTCACTGCTAATAACCGGTTCATCTCACGCAAAATTGCCGACAATTTGGCTTTTCTCGACAATCTTAAGCTTCAACTCAACAACATCAACGAAAAAATCTCCACCACTAAACAGGAGGTTCCCGATGCCAATATCAGTGATGATGACGACGCCGATTTCGATGCTGACGAGCCTTTTCGTATACGAGCGCTCTACGACAAATTGGGAGATGGAATAGAAGAAGTTGAAGAACCTGGTCCCGAGACAATGGACGAGTTACCGTCGGCCGCGGTGCTCCAGGCACGGATCAAGGCTTACGAGGAGATCAACAGCACCATGGAAACCGAACTCAAGGCATTGACTGACTATAGCCAGCTCACGGCCAAATTCAAAAAGGTGGTGAGCCACTGTACTGGGGTGCCCATTGATGAGGTGGACGAGTTGTTGGATGGGCTCTTGGATACCGTGGAAGCACAGCAATGAGTTATTAGATGAACTATGGTATTTAGGACTATGGTACATTACACCAACCCCTCGTAGGCATTGATGGAGTTGGCTATGGAAGGATCGAGTTTCAGCAACCGCTTGAATTCATCGAGATTGATGGTATCAGTTTCGGGATTTTTATCAAGAAGAGTAAAGAATTTGGTGGTGCGAGCATCGGGGGTTTTTTCATCATCAGGAAGCGATACCATCGGTCCTATCATTTTGTAGGTGGCAGCCACCACCTCTAGCATATCATTGTAAGTTATCTTTCCCGTCTTGCGGTGGTCGTACAATTTAAAACTCCAGTTCATTTTCTGGTCCATCGTCCCTCGACTGGTTATACTCAATGCAATTATAAACTCCTTAAAGTCGATATATTTGGAATTGTCCACATCGAACACCCGAAACAAGTAATGACAGTATTCCACCGGGTCTCCAAATGGGAAAAATTGTTTGAAAACTTTGGCAAACTCTTCTTCGGAAAGTTGACCCAGCGGACAATCTCTCAAGAAACCTTTGTACCATTGCTGGAGTTCACGCTTATCGAAATACGTGGCCAGTCTGAGCGACCGGAGGTCCTCTTTGGAGAGTTTTGACACCGTTTTGCCCATGGTAAGTGTATAACAGTGAGTTGTAGTCAGGTGTACAATAGTAACTGAATTTGTGCAGTACAGTGGGTGTCCGGGTGTCTGGGGTCAAAATTCATCGATTGGTTGCGATCACTAATGTCTGTTCGTAGAATAGCCATCAGATGCCTTAATTACGGCAAGCCACAGAACCCAGCGTACAATGCGTCGCTGTCGATGCGGATAGAGCCTATCAAGCGCACGGGAGAGACCCGGGAGACAAAAAAAGCCCGGTTGGTGTACCAATCAAGAAAGAGAGGAATTTTGGAAAGTGATTTGTTACTTTCTAGATTTGCGAAAAAACATTTGGATAGTCTCAGCGATAGCCAGCTCGACGAGTACGACCAGCTTTTGGATGAACCGGACTGGGATATCTACTACTGGGCCACCAAAAACTACGATGTGACTCCGCTTCCGGACCGGTGGAAAGACAGTGAAATTTTGAAAATGCTTCAAAAGGATGCACAAAATGAGGACCGGGAAATCATGCGGATGCCCGAGTTGTGACCCTCTTATATTACTTGCACATATTACTTGTATTTATTGCACAGAACTGTATTTATCTAAACTGTATCTCGCACAAATTATACTATATAAGTTCGCACAGAGATTTAGATTCGCATTAAACTCAATCCTATCTACACATACCAATTAACCGTTAAACAGTTAACCAATTAACCAATCAACAAGTAATACCTTCCATTTTATGTCCGTTCCTGAATCCCTCAAGTCGGACAAGTCCGTGGCGCCATTCATGGCTAGAGCCCGTGAGCTTGCTGATGTCAACCCAGTGATATCCTACTATTGCCGTCTTTATGTGCTTGAGTATATTCTCTCCAATAAGCTTCATACCACCAGCCTGGAAGTGGGTGAGTTCACTGTGAGTCTCTTGGATGAAACTGAAGCGATCAAGAACTCAGAAGATGAAAGTATTCGGAAAGTGTTGAATGACAAAATGCTTCTGATTAGTGCGGTGGTGACTTTTGCCTACAAACTTTACAATTCATGTCTTTCAGGACTCACCACCTACGATGCCACCAAGAAGAGTGCTACCGTTGCGAGAATGAGAGCAGCTTTGAATTTCATGACGTTGGTGGGCATGTTTGGTGATGACGGAGGCATTGATTTTGGGCAATTGACGGCGGGCCGAGCAACCACCAATGCCGAGTTTTTCAAGCTCCACAACGAGAAGGTCAAGACCCTCAAGTACCAGTTGACGAGAGTGATGAGAGATGAAGTTGGTGGGGAGGGTGAAGAAGATGATGAGGAATTGGAGAGGGAGTTGAAGATGATGAGTGAAAAAGACGGAGAGGACGAAAATGAGGAAAAGGATGAACATGACGATAATGACCTCAATGACCTCAATGCGAAGGAGACACAAGTGCCAGAGAATGACCCTGAGGGTCCCAACTCTACTGTGTTTGATCTTCCCGATGCTTCTTCCGAACCACCTTCCGTATCTTCACCACCCGCTTCACCCTCAGCTTCTCCATCCTCTTCCTCTCCCAAGCTTCCTGGTGCTCCTCACTTTTCCCCAGAGGACGACAGCAACCTTAGACTTCCCGGTGCTCCCACTTATCTTCCTACCGACGACCTTTCCCATGTCAACAAAGACTCGCCTATCCACATGTTTACACCAGAAGACGCCAAGAACGAGGAAGAAGCCAAATCCGCCAAGCCTGCGCCCAAACCAGAAAAACCGAGGGGCTGTCGCAAAACAAAAGGCGCCGGTCACCAAGGAAACCATTAATGAAATTCTCGATATCAGCGACCACATTAGCAAGATCCAAAAGCACGCCAAATTTGCCATTTCCGCACTCAATTACGACGACTTGGCAACGGCAGAAAGGGAGTTGGTGGCAGGGTTGGAGATGTTGCGTGCTGCCAAGGCTCACAAGTGATCGCGCGGCCATGGCAGTCGTAGGTCGCAGCCTTCGCAGCCTTCGCAGCCATTTTCATTTCGCACCAGTAATTCTGCCGCTAACTCGCACACAAATTCTGCCGCTAAATCGCTCGCACCAAATATTTCACCGCCCTAATCGCACCGTTTGCAGCCCGCTAATTCGCACCTCACGGCCGCTACTTCGCACTCGCAGCCCGCTAATTCGCACCTCACAGCCCAATTATTCGCACCGTTTTGCGGCTGCCGCTGATTGCAATCGCAAGCGCGCCGCTCGCTTGTGGCGGCTAAGTCAGCAATATCATGTGGATTGTACACCAATACACAATGCTATTCCTCTACTGCTCTACACTGCTCTAAACTGTTGTCAGCTCCCTATCATCGCTACTACCAGCTACCATCATCTACCTCCCACTAACACCACTACCACCAGCTACTTCTTCTCAATTTGCCATTACGGTCGTGCGGCGCCACATCTTGGCTCACAACAAATACGGTTCACATTGTTGTCGACCAAACAAAATTACTTACAATTCGTGATACTCTCCACGCGGTAGAGGAACTTGCTGCCTACGCATACCACTGATCTATCGTATCCATTGGGAACCAAACTCTTGGTTAAACCCTTTTATTTTGTTCTCCAACTTTGATCCCTCGTCGCTAAAAATTTACGGGACTTTTTAAAATTGATCCTGGTGGACCTGGTCTGATCCACAACTCCGAAAACAAACTGTAGTCACTCATTCAACCTAGAACACAAAACCCTGATCTTTTTTGATGAATCTTGCCAAATTAAGATCGGGCAGCTTGTCGCCCCGCAAAAAACACGATCCCCGGCTTTCGCCCGAAAAGGACCAATTCGATGAATTGTCGCCAGAACTCGTTCCTATTGTCACCCTCATGTCGTCCCAGGCACACCGGCGTTACCATGAGGGTATTTTCATGCTTTACTACGATTTGAACGGAGATGGGAAACCGGCTGATCGCGAGTGGAAAGAGGTTTATGGCATTTTAACCGGCAACCAGTTGGCGTATTGGGACGCAGCACACTTGGCGGAATACCGGTCAAACCCAGAGGCGCTTTTGGAAACCTCGGCTAAACCCAATTATATCAATTTCACAGATTCCGTGTATAATGCCATGAAGACGCTTCCGGCCGCAAAACAGAACCTTGACAATGTGATTATCGTGTCCACCACCTTGAAAAACCGCTACATCATCCAATTGAAGTCGTACAACGAACTAGTCAACTGGTATCTTGCGCTCCGTCTTGCTTCGTACGAATACCAATCCCTTCAAGAGGCCTATACCGCCGCCCTTCTTTCAGCCAGAGGATCCCGTCTCCTGGATATTCGTACTGTGTTGGCCGAGAAAAGATTTGACCACGAAGACTGGGTATCTATCCGTTACGGATCAGGAATGGCTTGGAAGCGGTGTTATGCAGTGGTGCAACCGTCGACTTCTAAAAAGAAGAGCTTCACTCCTGGTCGGATTTTGTTCTTTGAAAACGAACAAAAGAAGAAAAAACAACTCATGGCCGTCGTTTCTAACGCTTCATCTGTCACTGCAGTGTTTCCTCAATCTCACATGTTGATCGACCACAGTACAATGTTGAAACTTGAAGGATTCATCAACTTCAAATCCCCGTCTCTCTCGACCAAAACTTCAAAAAAATCGGTTGACGACTTCAAGAATACCTCGATCTTTCTTATGCCCGAACAGCATTCGTCTGTGCCGGGTTTCGACACCTTGATTAGGTTCCTTATGCCATTACTCGACTCTTTTGGTTTGTATGGACGTCCAAAGAGACTCAAGGCAGATAGAATTGACCCTGAATCTCTTCTTTTTGGTCTTCCTACGCTTCCGCGTGTTCATTACCTTGAATTATCTGACCTCGACAAATTTGCGCAAACCGATAGTATGTTCTCATGGGATGTCAAGCAGTGGAACTCCAACCTCAAAGCGATCATGAAAGCAAAATTGGACCGAGGATATGAAGGCTGTGGTAGTGACCGTGGTGTCGCTGGTGCTGTAAGTTCGCTTTCAAGTCCTAGAATGACTAGCACGAGCTCCGGCAGTACTGGAACTCGAAGCGCAAGCAGCAGTGTTTCTCGTCCAGTTCCTCCACCCAAGCAATCCTACGATCGTTCCACGTCTCGGAGCGGCAGTTCTGACCGTTTGGCTGGAGGTTTCAGCTCTGACCTGTTGCCGCAAACGTCTTCCATCAACAAGAATTACAATAATCTCAAGATTCAGACTCCTGTGACTACGGCTGGAAGCAATAACGGAATGGGCCTTGGAATCGCTGGTGCTTCTGCTGGTACTGCGTTGGCTGCAAGTAGTCTCAATGCTCCTGCTTCCAACAACCACCATAAGTCGGTTGAACTAGCAGACATATACCAGAAATATCTGACGCTCAAAACACCTTCCGATCAATTCAGAACCGACAGAAACGAACTTCTTGACAAGTCCCCAGAGCGGTTTGAGGAATCGGACCTTCCTGTTGCTTTCCAGTCGATGCATTTGGGGGATAAGTTTGTGGGCTCCTATCCCAAAGAGGACATTGCTTTCAGCGACGACGATGACGACGAAGGTAGTGCTCTTGAGGTTCCTACCTATGGTCAGCGTGACAGCAGCTACTCGTCTGTCCAGTCACCAACGACTCAGTATAACGAGTTCAACCGCCAGTACGCTTCGGCTGTTGATCACAAAAAAGGCCCGTTGCATAACGTTCATTATGGCCTGGACGACAGTCTCGAGTCGTCACCTCCACCACCTCCTGCCCACACTACCTCGATCGCTCAGTCCAAACCCTCCTTGAATCTCGCACTGAGTATCAGCAATGTTCCTCAAGGTACACCCGAGACAGCAAAAGGAGACCATTTATCGATTCACTCGCAGTCAGCTGCCAGCGGGCACTCGTCGCCTTACTCTGAAGAAGGTGACAAGAATCAGGATGTACATGATCCTCCATATCAGTCAACCAGTATGGGTAAAGTACCAAAGTTACCTCCTGTGGGAAAACCAAAGTACATTACTTCACCAAACATGTCGCAGAATCTACCTTCATTCCAGGTTGATGAAGAGCGACCTTATCCAGCGCAAGAATTGCATGTGCAACGGTCGAGACCTCAACAACAGTCTCAACAACCGCCTCAACTTCAACACCAATCTCAAAAACCTCAACCTCAATCTCAGTTTCAACCCCAACAGCAACCTCAATCTTCTTCTCGCCCGTTGAGGTCAGCAGCTCCTAACCCGATGCCCTCTTCAGCTCCAAGATACCCTCGACCAGAAGCTGAAGTTGTACCTCAAGCACCGCCGCAGAAGAAAGAGTATCCACAATCGCTGCAATTTGGGTACCAGCCTCAGGCACAACCAGTTCCAAAGGCTCATGGAAAGCGGGTTTTAGGATATCCTCAGAACTATTCACAACCAGGCGGACTGTCTCAACCTCCAGTGCAACCAAATCATGGACAACCAGCCTATAGTCAACCAACTTATGGACAACCAGTTTACACACAGCCAGCTTATGGTCAGCCTATCTCACCAAACTATCCCAAGCATCAGCAGCAACCACCACTGGGACACCACGGGCATAGAAAGCCACCTGCCAATTATGGAATACCTCCATCTGCCACTTATCAAAACGTACCTCAACAACGTCCAGTACAACAGCAAGGTATTCCACCATCTAGCAGTTACCGGCAATATCCACAAAGTGCCAATCCTTCTGCTATGAGATCTTATAACAATCCGACTCAGCAACAATATCAGTACCAATTCCAACCCCAGGGCCAACCACGGCCACATAACCCTGGCCAACAACCCCAGAATCCTGGCCAGCATCAGCCTCAACATGGACGGCAGTTTTAGGGTAAGTTCCAAGCGGAGTGGACGACATACTTTTTATAACAATGTGCAATTATTGTATTATACGAATCTAACTTTATACTTTTCAATGTAGTGCATTAAGACACATAGTAGGTACCATTCCCTCCTTGTTGGTTCCCCCAGACCTCGAATTTGCCGGCATCACCATCTGTACAAAACTCCATCCATCGGTATGCTCTTTAATGAGGCGCACAACATCACCAACTTCTATAGTCAATTCGTCAAAAAGTTTTTTGTTGTATGGTCTTTGAACCAATCGTGCGGTTGAAGTGAACGTCTTAGGGTCTAATTTGGGCACTGCTTGCTCCATATCTGGAAGACTGTCTTGAGCAGAAGGCACTTTCGGTAGTGGTTTTTCAAGTTCTGTTTTCAAATTGAACCGTCTCAAAATGAAGGGAGAGACACCAGCCAGTTTATCACTTCGTCCATTGATGGGAAATAAGGCACTGTCTCGAATAGATCTACCAACACGGTCAAAAACAGCCCGCACGGATTTTCGTTTAGACACATTTTCATCGTGAACTCTGGTGGTTTCTGAGTCTTCACGCTTGAGCTCTGAGCCGTTAAACGTGATAAATTCGCCATCACGTTGTTGGAGAGTAAGACCCTTTCTTGCATTTCGGCGGGTTATATAGTACCAGCCCAAAATTCCCACAACGAACAACGAGATAATTGCAATTGGCAAACCAACTGAAAGTCCCAATTTCAACAGGTTGTCGTCCCGTAAGGAATTAGACGCTTTTGAGTTTCCAGAGAGTCCGATAGTAGATGCCAGGCTATGATGAGTGGTTACGGAAGCTCTTGAGTTGGAAGACGACTTGGTAGTAATTTGCAGCTTTTGAGTCAGCGAAGCTTCATCTTCTGTGTCTGAGGTTGTACTTAATTTGGGTGTTTGACTCGACGGAGCAACTGTGAGGGTGGCTGTTGTAACATTTGGTATCGTGATAACCGTCTTGTGTCCACCACGCAAAGATGAAGAGTCCAAGGTGGAAGTGGTTGTCACTGTGAGGAGAATGGTATAGTCTGTGTCTGTTGGCATGGATATTGGAGGGGGGAAGAATCCATTTTGCTTTTATACTCGATATGTTTCAAATTTGTTGCAAGTGTTTCAGATTTTATTCAAAGAAGTTTGGCGGTGAGAAACAGCCAAATTTCGACCGGATTAGCTGAATCACAATGAAAACTTGTTTTGGGCGTGCTCCAACAGAACTCTGAAACTTCGTGGTTGTTTGTTTTAATTATTATAGAGAGGCAATACTTCTCCCTCTTCTGCGACCTTGTTTGAGTCTTCGCTGAAAATCCCGTTGAAATACCGGTGGTAGACGGTGGCAGACATGAATACGCCTAGGGATGTTCCGAGAACGATATCCATAAAATGGTGTCTATAATCTTGGGTTCTGCTCAAGGCGATATAACTTGAAAGAAGAAGCGGCAATGAGCACGCCAACGTCAAGTAGATCGGCTGTCTTTTCAGGAAAACCTGAGTCTGACCATAGAGCCACAACGTCAAATATAGCATTCCAGCAAAGGATATGGACGAGTGGCCCGAAGGTGTTGATCTCATTCCGTCGATCAACACGGCAATTCCCAACGGAGATGTGCACACTTCGACCCCCACCAACTGATTTACAGGGGTTCCCTCCTTGGGGCCACAACGAGCAAGAAAATCGGGTCTTGGGCGTGCTATCCAGTTTTTAAGGATATCAGTGACGGTTCCGGAAATCGCCAATGAAAGCAAAAGTCCCAAAATTGAAACTTGTATAAGATGAAGTTGGTCATTGCTCAACCTAAAGTTCCGTGTTTTGACAAGTACGCTTCCTAGAATGACCACGGTGGGCACTATGGCCGAAATAAGAATGCAAGCGATTCCTGAAACTCGTTCGTGGACGGCAAAAGGATGTTGAATTGTTGGATCATCCAAAGAAAATTGACGAAAAAAAGGCTTTGCGTGTTCAGCAACCACGAAAAAGTATACTAGAATGGCTAAGCCACATACCCAATCGAGCTGGTACCTCCTAAAGGAGGAACTATTGAGATAGGTGAACATTGTTGATTCAAAAAATCGCGACAGTGAAATGCGACTACTGAAATTTTGGCTGCGAAAGCATCTCTACACCGTTCCAGGTGGACTCTATTTTCTATCTAGTGAAACTGTCCGCCATCGCCAAAAGGATTAAATTTGGACGCTATTGCCGACGGCTGTTTTGGGGGTCTATAATTATTTGCTCTTGTTTCATACATGCCTCTGGAGCTTGCATCTTGGTCGTGTTTGTTGAATCCGTAAAAGTTACCATTGACTTCATTGTTCACATGCTGGATCAAATTGAGCAAGTTTTTCAGGTGGAAGTACTCTGGTGAAGCTACTCGTTCAAGGTCATCGAGGGAAAAATTGACCACTTCGTCATTGGTCAAATCGTACTCAAGAGGAATCAGATTGACTACTTTGGTGACTCTGGGAACTTCACTGGTTCCATCTGCCATCGTGATGTATGTCTCTGGCTTGTCGTAGGGTAAAACTGCGCAAAGCCAGATTCGAGTTTTGTAAATCTTGAACAACTCTTTGATCAAACCTCTAAAGTCAATTCTCTTGAATCCAGCAAAGTAGTAAAAGATCAACTTTTTGAAATCAAACTGATACTCGACATTAATCAACTGAAGATCGTTATTCAAATTCAACTCTTTGATCTTGTTGTAGCAGGTCACGAAAGCCCTTTTTTCTTCAAGAAACTTGTTGCTCAATTTCTGCACTTCTTTAGGTGTCGCAAGTCTCAACACTTTGCTTGGTGGGCAACGTTATAATAAATTCATTATCTTCATTCGAAGGAGAATTGACGATAGCGGTAGCATCCATAGAAGTTGAATGGGTGCCTCCGCAATTCTTCTTGGAAGACATCTGTTTCTGGTGACTATCATAAATAGTAAGTGATTTTAAGTGTTCGAGTTTCTTCAAAAAATTGAACAAGATGGCAAAATTGAGGTTGACCAAAGGCTCCAAAATCATCACCAAGTCTTTCCCACGGTCGCCATCAACGACTACCAAATCGTTCTTTCGCAACGAGACGTTTGAACTATTGGGGTACGATAACAAATCAAACTTTCCATTCTTGTTGATCACAAGACACAAGAGTTTATGGTTGAATGTGAGGTTGTTCAAGTTTTTTATAAAGGTTATCATTTTCATGATTTGTGGCTTGTTGAGCAACGCTTCGATTTGTGAGATTATCACCGCCGTGGTGTCCACGTTCTGGAAGTATTTCGCGGCCTTCAGGTACAACTGCTTGAGTTCCGGAGACGCCAGAATGTACTGGTCGTGGAGAAGAAGACCGTTTTCCAAATTGACACCGGTTGCGTTGGCGGTTCCGTTGGCGGTTCCGCGAGTGTTAGCGGGTTGGTTCAAATTGAGTTCCGGAGGGTTTGGAGCTAGCAGGCTCTGGAACTCGACGAGCTGGCTGGGCCGGCGTTGCTGAAAGTCGGAGAAATTGGAGTTCAAGTTAAAATTTGTGAACGAGTCGTTGAGCATGTCCAAATTAAACCGGTGGTTGTTATAATTGTTCACTGCGGCAAACGTAGCCAAGGTATTTTTTGAGTTAAAGGCTCCTCCCGGCATTGAAAACGGCGGATCGGACCTGGTGAACGACTCGGCGGCGTAACTGGGTCGTCTAGACGAAATTGTGCCGATTCCGCCCTGAAGTTCGATGGGCAAATTGAAGGTATCTTGGCCAAAAGAGCCATTTGAAGGAGCAAAATGGGGCGAAAACTGGTTGTGTCCGTAAGGGGGTTCAGCCATGGGTCTTGAAGTGGGCGAGTGGCCAAGGTTGGACTGGTCTAGAGACGCCAAGCGGTTGTAGAGGTCATTGAAATCGTTGGCATTTTGGTGATTGACATTTTGATTTTTTTGGTTTTTGTTGTCCAGGGGCGCTAGAAAGTCTGGGTAGCTAAAGTTCATTGAAAAACGGATTTCTTATAATAAATTGAATAAGGACCAATTTCAGAAAGACCAATTCCACGAAAGACAATGAGACCGCAAATTATAAGTTGCCACTGGGTTGTGGATTGTAAGGGTGATTGTAAGTAGTAGTAGTTCAGTTTAGCAGTTTAGTACGCGATCCTAAATTCCCAAAATATTCACGTAGCAAGTGCGTAATGACAATTTGCCTGAGTCTGGGGACGTTGGTGTAAGATCTCGTCCAGGTACAGTCCGCGCGAGAAGAGGCGTAGTGGAATTGGCAATAAAACTGGGGACCGCAGCAAAGGAAAAACTACAAAAAAAACACTTAGAAGACGCACAATATGCCAATTATCCACGACGCGAATTTACAGTTTGAATATAAAACCTTAAAGGCTGACGTGTTCCCCGCTGCTTCGTCATGCTCAGATGCCAACCCCGGTATGACGTAATGTCGACGAGACCAAAGCCGTGTGAAACTTTAGGGCTGTCTGCAGGACTCCAACTTCCATACGTCAGGCGATCCCGCTACAAACATCAGGCGAATAGGAAAATAATCCGCATGAAAAAAATTGCGCAATTAGAGCGGCCAAAATGGGCCAATTGGGAATGCGAAATTTTGCGAGACGCGTGACAGCGGCGGTAGTATCGGTTTTAAATGTGGGGACATTCATTAACCCGCGGTTCCCCGCAAACCGTTCTGTGGTGGTCTGTGCCTGCAGATGAGAGCGTGCTGAGAACCTGATGGTGTACTGGTGACGATTTCGATAAGATCCGAAAGCAAACGTGATTTCTATGTACACTATACAAACAAGTCAACTGTTTAGTCTCTCCGTCTTCCATGCGACGGAACCTTCGTCCATTCTTACAATTCTTCACTTCTGACTTGAGCATCTTACTCCCCTTCCCCTATCACTACTCATTTCTCTTCATCCATCTTATTTCTCTTCATTGTCTTCTTCTCTTCTTAATCAGTGGTCTTTCTCGCAAATCCCGTTCCCGCCTTGGGTGGGTAATTGGGGTCACTCGAATCATCAGCGGGCTCACATGTACACCACTTATCCTTAGGGGTGACGTCCATAACGGAACTGATGTGATTACCACATCCAATCCATGACTTGTTATCTGAGTTAGTGGAGTTACACAAAACAAAACGGTGTATACATACGACAAATGGAACAAATTTCAGCTCTGCACATTCTGATTAACCTTGGAAGTTATGAAGGAAGAATGGCGATTTGAGCGTGCTTTTAAACTGCGCACCTAAACACCCGCGGCATATTGGCCACCCGCACTGCCCGGTGTAAGCGGTTATGTCATTGCCGACCGACCGACCGACAAATACGTAAGAGCAATTATCTCTTCTATTGTTTTATTGTGTTGTTCTTGCTTTCTGTTCTTGCTTCTTTTTTCTTGCTTCTCGTCTCTTGCTATCTCTTGGTTATGGTTCTCTTCAGTTTCTTCTGTTATCGTTGTCTACACCTCTCATCAATCTCTGCATTCCTATATATTTCCTCCAACTTGCTCACGATGGGCCTCGATAACATCTCCATCTTCCAACTCCAACAGGTCCGGAGTGTTATCTGGTCCGACTCGAGCTCCATCAATTAAAAATCTAATGGTATCCATACTCTTTCCTTGTCTTTTACAAAACGCTTCCATTAACCTTCTCATAGGAGTTGTTCTCTTGATTTTGAAGAAAATCTCTGCCGAGCCATCAGACACCTTGAGGTTTATGTGGGTGTTGTCGGGCTTTTCTTCCTTGGGCTGTTCCGAGTCTGACATGATGTTGTTGTGAGAAGACAAATTGCCATCCCTAAGTCGAGCACCGGTACACCCACGACATCGGTGCGAACCACCAGAGAAAGGAAACGAAAAAAAAAGAAAAACTGACCTTTGTAGATCATGTCGAGTCATATAAACCAATCTGATCATTCTGAATCATTGTATCATTATGACTTCACATTCAATCTCTTGGTTATGATTTCGAAAATGCTCTTCCTGCATATATATCCAGTTCCGTACGGTTGCAAATTGTCCATCAACAAAGACTATGGTACTTTTGTCCAGTTCTGCTTTCTCACCCTATATTGTCTACTCTCCTTCTTCTCCCTCCCTCTTCTTTCTGTGTTCTTCTCGTTATTTTCCTTTTGTTCTCGTGATTGTTTCCACTTTGTTTCACCATGTTTCACTTTTTCCTTAAATACCATTTTTTCCTTTTCATTTCCATGGCTCCCCGTTACTATCTAACCTTGTCCCAGGTATGCTCCCAGGTATGGTGCAACAAATACACTATTGCATTCGTTTTGTTGGCAGTTAAAGTGTACACTTTTCTGCTCATTCTTCGCCTGACCTTGGACCATCTCATGGACCTTGTCGATACTATAAATGTATCACTAGATCAATTTGCATCCACCGCTACCAATTTTCCTGCTCAATTGACCCAATTGACCAATAAATTAATAGCAGAACAGTTGCAACAATTAAAATCAAACTTTAAACTCAGTCTATTGCTTTTGGTATCAGTGATAAGAGCACTAATTGGCTTTTATATGGAAATTTTTTTGGGCACTTTCACTTGTTTATTGGATGCAGCAGCCCAGGCTTCCGTCAACTTTGCCCTAGATTCGGCTCAGGCTACTTTAAAGTGCTTGAATACCACTATTGTATCGGTGACTTCTGAGGTGGAATCTGGTCTTGAAAGCATATCGTCGTTTATTGAAAATAGCATCAATACCGTTCTGAGTTTGTTCACAAACGGTAAGAAACCTTCGGTAACCTCAATCAACTTATCTTTGGGTAAATTGCGTAACTTGCAAATCCCTGGCTCTGTCACCAATGAATTGGATTCGTTTCGACTCAACTTAGATGAATTTGATAATTTGAAAAATTCCACTATAAATCTCCTCACGGCTCCACTAACCCATTTTGATAAAAACGTTAGCGGTCTGGACCTATTTGGACCCATTGACTCATCGAAAATGGTAGTTGCAAACTATGGTCCATCGGCTGCAAAAAACGTCACTTTCGATCTCACCGAGGTGAAAAATTCAATTGTCGATTTCAAAAACGACGCAGCAAAAATAGCACTGATTATGATTATAGTGTTGGCTTCGCTTTCTGTAATTGCTATGATTGCCTTGGTTTTCGTGGAAAGGAGAAATTTTGTAAAAAGAGACATCTTCGTGATTTCTGTGCGTGAAAAATCACTGCCTTTGGCAATAGGTAATGCGTTGGAAACTTACCAAAATCGTACAATTTACTATATGGCTAAACTTAAAGTCAACCCAAGGTACTATTGGATCTGCAACTACCTAACTTCCAAGTATGCGATGGTGGTGATTATCATAGGACTCGTTGGGGTAATATCGTTTACTCTCCAATACCGCCTTTTACTCAGTGTGAAAAACAAGCTCAAAAACCTCATTGATACCGTTTCATCTCCAGAACAAACCAAGCAGCTTCAAGCGTCTCTTTCTCAGTATACAGCCCAAACCAACAATTATATCGAAGCACAATCCAAAGCTCTCAATCAAAATCTTTTGGGTTGGTATATGAAGGCATCCACAAACGTCAACGATACACTAACCGATATTCTTCACCAAATTAACCTGACGATACACACTGTTACTGGCAACACGGCACTATCAAAACCATTTGAAGTTGTTGTGTACTGTGTAATTGGACGCAAAATAGTGGCTGTGACAAAAGGTATAACCTGGCTCAATGAACACTTGGTTATCGATTTACCACAACTACCAGTCGATTTGTTCAAAGACGTCACGGAAGCTGCTCCTCTTCGTTATGGCAAGCAACTAGAAACACAGATGGTAAAAGCCACAAACCTGCTTGAACACATGCTATTCATTGAACTTTATGTGGCATTAGGTTTTGTCGGTATTTGGGTCATTTTCATCGTGATGGGTATTATCTTCATGTTTTTTCCAAAGAAAAGAACCATAGGCAGCCCCAAACTATTGACCAAGACAGAAAAGGAAGAATATATCTTTCCCCTTTCAAGCTTTAACACGAGTCTGAGCGTTTATAGCACCTTGAATGATAGACCTATTTCTTGATAGGTGCTGGTTTTTTCCAGAAATACTGCTTGTGAGTTCTGCGACATGCACGTAATCCACCGTGGCCTCTAATTGTTTGCACCAATGTAGGACGTTCCTTATCATCATCGTTCTCGGGCATATAGTAGTATTCCTCTTCCAAAGGTTTACCAGCTGCATCTTTCCCCTCTCGGTGGATCACACCAATACATTTAACATGATGGAGAATAGTTCTCAACTGAATCAACTCCAAGTTTCCTGTCAATACACTGATTGAAAGGAGAAACGAAGCTGGGGTAGAAGACAATCTAGAGAATGCAAGATGATTGGTAAGAACGTTTTCAATTTCCGCCCGATTCTTGAGAGACTTGATACTGTTTTCATCGATATCCACATCCTGGATCGTGGATGGGGTGGTCTTCTTTTTCTTTTTGGCCTGGGGTTCTTCGGAACGAGCCCGGCGCTTTTTGTTGGGATTAGGTGTTTTAGGAGTAGAAGTGGAAGATTTGTGCAAGTTTGTGATATCACCCAATGGGGTCAGTGCGCGAGACTTGGCAGGAAGAGGAGTGGATTCTTCCGAGGTGATTTTGAAACCAGATTTGGCTGGCGTGGTTGGAACTGGTTTCAATGGGGTTCCAACGGGAGTGCTTTCAGCAACCGCTGACTGGTTCTGGTGCTGCTGCTGAACAAGAACAGGCGTTTCTTCGTCAGTTTCGTTTTCATCTTCTGGATTCAACAATACGAGTGAGCCTCGGATCTCAATTAAGATATTGGCCAATCTAGGCAACGTCACAGTTTCATCGCGATTCACAACAAATTCCGTATGGTTAGCGTCCAACACCACTGATTTCCTCGTGGCTGGTTCTAAGCGATCAGCGTCAAGTACTTTCCCCTTATTTTCCAATAAAATGTAATCGTTTTTGCGATTAGTTGCAAACACCAAACACGGGCGCGGGATTCTCATGGCAAACCCATTGAACCCAAGACACTGTAGCACAATCTGCTGCTCGCTATACGACGCCTTGATGTGGGTACGAGATATGGTTCTGTTTTTGGAGTCCAATTGGAAATCACTCGACTGTTTTGAGCGTCCGATGGTCAAATGACTGGCACCAGAAATCAACGGTACACGAAGAACAGCTTCTTGGGGGTCAATTACATTGAAATCCTTGTTCTTTACAATAAGATTCTTAGGCTCAACCGACCTAGACCTAGTAGGAGACGAAGTTCCGGTGGTAGATGAAGGATGGGGAGTTGGATAAATTGGTTCAGATTCTTTGAAAAGTCGTTTAGGAGCAAAAGGATGATCCAATTCACGACGAGAGTCAACCAACGGCGACGATGGTGGAAATTGGGACATTTTTTGGAAAAGTTTGAAACAAAAGTTAGGAAATGGTGCCTAAGGTGTTTGTTTGTTACGCGACGCGAAACACGCGGTACAAACTGCAGACAGAGTACTGCAGGCAGTCCGAGAGATCTGTACTGCACGTAAAGTGAGAAGCAATTTGGTGGTAGGGCCTCCGTCTAGGGCTCCGCCCTAGCGTGATTTATTCTTCCTGTATAGTGTCTCCTGCACACTGCTTCTCCCGCACGGTGAAACTTTTGTGAAAATTTTCTACCATAGAAACATAGACATCAACCATGGGTAGTATGTATACTTCAACCACGCAACAAAAATGACACTTTCCAACTCCCCTAGCCAAAGACAAACCAATGCTTTGTTTTCAGCCCAGAAAGTAGAGTTCTAGTTCAGTTACTAACATTTAGAGGGTACTCCATCTTTAGGTAAACGTCACAACAAGTCCCACACTTTGTGTAACAGATGCGGTAAGCGTTCCTTCCACATTCAAAAGAAGACCTGTGCTTCTTGTGGATACCCAGCTGCCAAGATGAGATCGTACAACTGGGGCCAAAAGGCTAAGAGAAGAAGAACTACTGGTTCTGGACGTATGGCTTACTTGAAGCACGTTTCCAGAAGATTCAAGAACGGATTCCAATCCGGTGTTGCCAAGCCTCAGACCGAGTAAATTAATACGACTAGTCAATACATTGTAACATAAACGGTGTAGATAAAACTATATTACATTACCAAGTCCATTTCGTCAAAGCGTGGCTCTTCGTAGTTCATGTTAAAGTACAAGTTGTCGGCCTCCTCGTGGGTTACACATGGTTCCAAGATCTCACGAGCCAATTCGATGATTTCGGGCTCGTAGGGAAATTCAAGACCGTTCGCAAATTCGCTTTCAACATCAGCCATTTCTTCAACACCATCGCTATGGCCCAATTGTCGGGCTCTCTGCTCGCACCAGTAATTGTATATAGTTCCTGTGTAATTCATCTGCCTGGCATGGCTTGAAAGTTGATAGGCATCCACAGATAATGAGTCGCTACCAAATGCGATTCGCAGAAGTATCACGAACACTTCATACATGGTTTCTGGATAAACGACATTTGTGATAGTCTTGGCTTCTGTTGCTATGTGATGTAGGACCCGTACCAAGGTGGAAATGATTCGAACTCGAATGTGAACTGTAGGTGCTCTTGGTGAGTTCATGATGAGACCTTGTTCCAAGCCAATGTACCGTACGATGGATTTCAAGTATTCCTTGTCCTGGAATAGCTGGGTGCTTCCCTTGGTCACTATGTGGCCTTCTATCATTGTTGCAACTCGTAATCTCAAGTAAAGAAGGTGCAATTCGTGGTTGGTTTCCACCGTCACTGCCAGTTCTTGTTGCATGGTTTGTGGAATTGGACAAGGAATAAGTACCATGGACTCTTGTAAAAGTGTTTCCAGCTCCGGAACAGTTGCCTCGACTTTTGACAAGTCACTATTATTGCCTAGAACTCGATTGAGTCCATAAAATTTGAAGTCTTCTTTGATAGGAATATCAATCAAAAACACCTTTAAAAGAGAGCTCACTATGGCATCATTTTTCACCGGTTGGTTATCAAATGCAAAGCCCAGCTCTGTAATCGACGAAATCAACATCTCAACCACACTATAGACGAGGTTACTTTGGGTAGTATTCATGAACCTCTCACTATTTTCTGGAAGACAAAATTTGAACAATTGTACCATTTGTGGTTCCTGCCACAAGCCACTAGAAAATTCAGTATCAAAGACTGTAGCCACATAGAGAATTCTCTCCAATATATCGAAGCAGCATATCAATGAAAATTTTTGAAGCACCATCACTTGTAATGGTACATTATGGTAGTTTATTATATCGTCTTGGTCCTGGCTGGAGTCAAGAAGAAATGCAAAATCGACGGCTATCAGACAAATTTTAGGAACAAGCAATTGAATGGTTTCCTTATTGAGTGCCGAAGATCGAAATATGAGCGAAGCATAAACGAGACTAAGCAAGAATGGAACGCTGGTGAGAATTTGGTGAGCAATTATATCCTCCACTAGTTCACACATGGTGAGGGAAAACTCGTGGATGAGAGAATCAAGACGCAACGCTTTTTTGACCATAAGAAATTCAGTCACCGCCGTTGAAATTGGCTGTTTTTTGTGTAGCACGAAATCTCGAATACGCACATCTCGGTCGAGATAAATCTTGCTCAAGTATGAAACGGTGGTTCTTTTGGTTCCGTTAATGCAGTGGTTCCATAAATGGTCTTCGAGAAGCGAAGCGTCGTTGTCGATTTTGATGACTTTTTGCGGCACCAATGGCCGAGTATCAGATTCAGGGACACGGTACTGACCTGAATTTGAGGAGTTTTTTTGTTTCGAAATTGCTGGACTTTTCAGCTGAGTAGAAGGTGTCGCAAGTGTAGTTGCACCCATTGTACCTGAAAAAGTTATATTTGCCGTCTGAGACTCACCCACCTTTCGTCGCTTCAAAGCGACCGACGTAGCCCTCAATTCGTTATTTAAAAACTTTCTTTCGTCTTCCAACAGTTGCACGGCAGCGCGAAGCAGTTCCACCTGGCCGTCCTTATTGTGCTTTTCAAGAGCCAAAGTCTCGCGGAGCTTGGCTAATTCGTCTCGTGACGAGTTCTGGAGCTGCTCGAGCTGCGCCCGGAGAATCGACACCTCTCCTTCGGCTTTATAAAGACGATTTTGAAGCGACGAGCCACCATCGCCGACACTATTATCTGTGTGAGGAAGCGAGTTTAACTTTTTTTGTAAAGCCGACGCGTTCTGTGTCTCAGCCGCCACCAACGCCTTCAAAATGTCGTCGTCATCGTCGTCGAAATCGTCATCTGACGTCATTGCAACCAATGGAGGTGTGAACCAGTTGTGAGATCGAGTCGCATCGCTTATCAACTATCCGGCATATAAGCCCATTTCTGTCGATAAATTTTTCAAGCCCACAAGACACTCATTATGGCACAACCAGAAAAGGACAGTGCAGTTCCTTCGGCGCCTCCCGCTTCTCTCGTTCCAGAGCAGCCTGCGGTGCTCAGTTCCAAAGACAAGACCACAAAAAGACTCATTGTGGTGTTGAGTCAGGCATGTTTAGAGACCCACAAGGTCAGCACCAATGGACCTGGTGGAGATAAATATGCGTTGTTGAACTGTGACGATCACCAGGGGTTGCTCCGGAAGATGGGTCGTGACATAGCGGAAGCGCGGCCCGATATCACCCATCAATGCCTTTTGACGTTGTTGGATTCTCCCATTAATAAAGCTGGAAAACTCCAAGTTTACATCCAAACCGCCCGCGGGGTGTTAGTGGAGGTGAACCCCAGTGTCAGAATACCCAGAACTTTTAAACGGTTCTCCGGGTTGATGGTGCAGTTGCTTCACAAGTTGAGTATTCGCTCGGTCAACTCTGAAGAGAAGCTCTTAAAGGTGATCAAAAATCCTATAACCGACCACTTGCCCACCAAATGCAGAAAGATAACGCTTTCCTATGACGCCGAGATCCAAAACGTACAGACTTATATAAAAAAATTGGACGACGATGAGAGTATTTGTGTGTTCGTCGGTGCGATGGCCCGAGGTAAGGATAACTTTGCTGATGAGTACGTTGATGAAAAAATCGGACTTTCCAACTATCCGTTGTCGGCGTCGGTGGCATGTTCCAAGTTCTGCCACGGCTGCGAGGATGTATGGGGTATCATTTAATTTAATGCATATTAAGGCTATTGTAATGCACGCTGCAACTTTGACAGAAAACGGCGCGGCTGCAAATTGCGAAAGAAACACAGACGCAAATTTACAAAACACAAACTAATTACACAAACAACTCTCTTCTTCTTCTCATGTCAAGCTACTTACAGGCTGTTGCCGTTCACAGCTTAACTTGTGCACTCACTGCTGGAAACTTTACCTTGGATTTGGTGGGCTTAAAACGAGTACTTGAAATGAGAATCTACTCTGGTACTACCGTCCCTTTGTCGTCGCTGTCGTCTCGCTACTACTTGAGAGCTGACCGGAAAGATCAGCTGCGGGTGATCAACATCTTTGACGCTCAGGGCAATCGGGTGTATTCTATTGAACGAATTTCGGGCTATAATCCAGTTTGGAGTTTGTTCACCTACCCTCAACGTCGCGAAGTTGCAACCATTAATACTGGGTTCCTCGCAAGAGCGGTCGACTTCCATAACAAACCAGGAATGACTCATCGTGATTTGACGTCGGAATACGGGCTTGGAGGATGTTTCCAGTCTTTTTACGTCGATGACGGTGTGAGGTATTCGTGGTCTCGTTCGTCAAAATTTCTTGAAAAAGTGCTCAACCCCAACCAACGCACCGAAGAAGTACGAACCCAGATCTCCAAAGTCCGCTTGATGCGCCAGTTCAAACTCGACTTTGAAATCCTCGTGGACGAAACTGCCATTGATCGCGAAGTGGTGTTTTCCACGGCTTTTGTGTCGATCTTGACTCAATGGGGCTACGGCGAAATCACCAATACTGTGGGTCCCACTGCCACCAATCCTGTGGTCGAAGCTCCAGTTGCAAATGAAGAGCGCCAACCACTTGTAGTAGTCGTCAACTCGGAGAACTTGAAAGTGGAGGAAATAAGCTAGCGAAGAGAAAAAGTGAAGTAGTTAGTGAAATACTGTAGCTAGTAATATTGACTCCTATACATCTACTCTCTTATCGTCTCTACTTATCCATCACTCCCTCCTTCACCAACACCTTTTCGATCTCCTTGAACAATGTATTGGCCGTGGTCTTGGAGCCCTTCACATACGCACACACAATGGTCGATTTTTGGTTGTACTCTCGAGGACTTATCTTGATGCGGAACTTGCAACTCTTCATGTCAAACGAATTGTTCTTGGAAATCGCTCCCGTGATATAGTACCCAACAGTGTCATTTCTCAAATCCTTCAATCCAAAGTTAGACCAAGATTGCAAAAGCGCAAAAAGTGCACCAGACATTTCCTGCTTGGGCAAAACAGTATTGAAACGCTTGTTCTGCATAGGTACATTGTCTTCTTGATGACTGCTCGATAACCACCTGAAAAATCCATTGCTCTTGGGCTTCTCATCCATTGATGCTTCTCTAGAGTCAGCAGGTGAAGGTAAATGACTAGTTTTTGGAGGTTCTTCCAATGTCTTCTTTGATCCCCACGACAACTTGCGGAAAATAGACCGGCTTCTCTTACCAGGAGCAGGATCAGGTTTGTTGGTTGTGTCTACCAATGGCTTCTTGGGTTCGGTTGGAGGTTCAGGCTTGGGCTGACGAACCTTGGCGTAGGGTTGGGGCTTTTGGGGAGCACCGTCAAAATCTGGAATAAGCATAGTTGAAGCACTAGGTCTCATCGACTTTGTCCTTGACTCTTTGCTTACTCTCTTGGGCTCTTTGTTGTCCTTCTCGGTTGGTAACTTGATATGATCAAACAACTCAACATCCTCGTCGGGATTATCCCCTCCAGCTTCACCGTCCAAGTCATCTCCACTATACGCAGATTTGCGCTTCACTCGAACTTCATCATTCTTAGTAACAAATGTATCGTCATAATCATCGCCCCGAACCGTTGGGTTTGGTAACGTGGGTAATTGGGAATTGGGACGATCAGAGGAAGGTTTTCCAGAAGAATACTTGGAGTATCGTTTGGAATTCAAGTCTCCAGCATAGTACGAAGAACGCTTGTTGGCAAGGTGTTCATCGAAATCCATTATCGAGCCCTCATCTAAAGGCTCTTCCTCTTCTTCACCGGTTTCAGGAAGTCCAGCACGGTTCAACCGATCGGCAAAACTTGTCCTCATGTGTGGCATCTTGCTGGCTTCTTCGTCACCTCCTTCAAGAACATTCTTCAAATCGTGGTATGACTCCCTCGTAGATCTGATGGTCATTACTGAGAGCCGCTTATTAGATTCGGTGAAGTTGCGAGACTTTCTTGTTACGTTTGGAATCTTGACATCGGCAATCAATGACTTTGCCTCTTGAGTACTCTTGCGCTTATCCTTCAGCGGTTTTTCTTCGAGCATCCCGTTAATATTAAGCTTTGAATTGAGTAGTCTCGATTTTCTAATTTCAGAAAGATACTCTTGACTTAAATCTGTCGCCTCCAATTGATGCTCGGGTAATTCATAGTCTTCTTCTCTTGCGTAGTAGCTGTTACGACTTGGACGCCTTTCAGTTCCATTTCCATAACCGTCCATAACTGAAACCATAGACTCTCTATTAATTTTCTTTTTCGTCTTCAAGTCAGCATCGCGGTATTCTGCTTCCAAAGCTTCTTGTGCTCGGTTCAACTCGTCATTTTCATGTGCTATCCACAAAGGATCCAATCTCGAAACGGGACGCCTGGTTAATACTGGATTTTTTCGTGCTCGTGGGGTTGGCTGGGTGACTGATCTCTTCTTGATCTTTTCAAGTTCCTCAGCAGTCAAATCATCAGATTTAGTTACAGCGCCGCCCTCGGAGATGGACCTCAAAGTTCCTCTCTTGGGTTGAGATAATGGTTCCGAAGTAATGTCTTGTTCACTGTTATTGCTGTCGTCTTTGATTAAGATGGCAAGCTTTTTGGAAGACATCAACGACTTTCGCTTCAGTCGTCTCCTCTGTTTGTCAAGTTCTTTCCTGGCCTTGATTTCAGCCTCATGCTTTTTACGTTCGATTTCCATCAACCGTTCGTACTCTCTTGCCTGGCGTTCTTCTTCGTCAATCAAGTTTTCATCGTCCTCGTCATAAGTCTCTTGGTTGAAGATCTTGTCACAAAGACTTGCGAAAGTGGCGGACGTTCTCTTCGTTTGCTTGTCCATATATTCCCATTCTGTCTCGGCAGAAAGCTTTGTGTAGGTCGAAAGAAGCTTCATGGTTATTGAGTTACGCTTTAACCCATTGGATATGGAAGCTCTAAGCGATTTTCGCCTCGACAACCTATTTTTCGAATTGCTCTTGGGAATTCCAGATAGTCTTTTCGACTTTGTAGGCGAATCGACACTGGCTGAAGCCATTAAATGATCGGCACCGTACTCGTCAACAACAGGATTTTTAGAGCCCTGGCTGTTTCTATGAATACTATCCTTCGATGGAAGAGAAGGTGGCATTGAAGCCATTGACCCATCACGTTGAGCGGTGACGATCTCATCGTAAATGTTTCTGGGAATAGCGGGGGGAGGAGTGTTATTGTCTTGTTGAGGACGACACTTTCTTGGAGACCTAATTGGAGATTTTCTTGGAGACAATTTTCTTGGAGACGCTTTTCTTGGAGAATTGTTGACACTGGAAGCGGCCGATAACCTTGAACCGCGAACACCATTCTTATATTGGAACAGTACCGGCCTGTTACGAGATGTCGAAGCACTAACCTGACTAGCTCTCTTTTTTCTGGGAGTACCTTTGATGGAGTTTGAGCGATGAATACTTCTTCTATTCATTCTTGGAGACATGAACGAAGCCTCCTGTTGATTGTGTGAGTACCTCATGAGCAAAGCATAGAATGTCTTTTCAGGATTAGAGCCTTCAGTGAGAAGACTACGAATGATTTGCTCTTTTGGTCTATCATGCCACAAAATGGACAAGTTTTGGAGAATTTGCTTATCGATGTTGGCTACCGATCCCAATGATTTGTAGGCTGTTTCTGGGTGGGGCAAAGATTTGACACTGATCAAATCTTCGCTGGGAATTGGGTACTTTGTTAAGAGAGGATGCGATAAGATGTTTCCGGTTTTGATTCTCTTTTCTGGGTCTACCGTCAACATTTTTGCAATTAAGTCCTGAGCCTCGACGCTGATTTCGTATGGCATTTCGAAGCTACCGGCCTGTACCTTCAACAACAAGTTGCGGATATTTTCGTCATCAAACGGTAATCTTCCCGTTAACAATGCAAATAATATGACACCACAAGACCAGATATCGGAACCAGACCCGTGGTACTTTAAGCCCGACACGATTTCTGGAGCAGCATAATGCGGCGAACCACAAGACGTTTCGAGCAACTTGTCGTTACTTTCAAGGGCAGCCATACCAAAATCAGCCAACTTTACGTTAAGATTACCATCCAAAAGCAAGTTTTCCGGCTTCAAGTCACGATGACAAATGCCCAATGCGTGGCAGTATGCTGTTCCCAAGATGATTTGACGAAAGTACTTGATTGCCTCCTGCTCTTGAAGCGGTCCTCGTTCCACAAGAAGGTCAAAGAGTTCACCTCCCTCCACGTATTCAAGCACCAAATAAAGAGCTTTGGAGGTTTCCCACACGTCGTAGAGTCTCAATACATTAGGATGGGTGAGAAGTTTCATAATGATAATTTCTCGCTCAATTCCGTACGGAAGTCCAGCGTCATCTGACAGCTTTGCAGGGGCATCGTCGTCTTGCAATTCGGATTTCGACACCACTTTCACGGCGGCTTTTTGACCCGTGCTCTGATGAGTGGCCAAAAGCACCCTTCCTGTGGCGCCTCTGCCCAAAGTTTTTCCTAGTTTCCACGGCCCCACTTGGGCAGGATGATTGTGGGCCATCGACGAAGCAATAGAGGGCTGTCTCGAGTGCATTGTGAGTTGTACTTGTGAGTTTATAAGTTAATTGATTATAATTTGTGAGCTTTACTAGTTGTTTGCGTGGCCCAAAATTTGCTGAATGTGAATTGTTTGTGAATTTGTTTGCTGAGTCAAATGGATTGTATGGTCTTAATCTGGTTTGTTATGACTGCCAGGAAGAAATGGTGCTTTCGAAACGAGTGTGAAAAGATGAGGCTTCGATGCTGAAATAAAAAATCGACACGGTTAGACAGTCGTGTAAATCAGCATTTCAGGCTGAGGGAGCGCGTGGGACGCGTCGGTGTGCGAAGAACAATGTTGCGAATCGCGCCGGTGTTGGATGCGGGAGAGACGATAGTGAGACAGAACGGTATCAGAAATACGGAAGATACGGAAACAGATATACGATATCAGATATAAGGTATCAGACATACAGTATGATATATGGTATCAGACATACAGTATGATATATGGTATCAGACATACAGTATGATATATGGTATGATAGTATAGTATTATATAGCTATGTAGACCTATTGATGTGTCGTTATTCGTGGTTTGCTAGGTTTAGCAGTGATGAGAAGAGCCAAAAATGTTTTAGGATGTTCGCATTTTCCCATAGTTGTGTCAGTGTTTCTTGGTAATTCAGTCAAGCAAAGGATATTAGTGGAAATTGGTTGGTAATTGTCAACTGGTATGAGTACTGGTGACTACTGTTTTGTAGTTAAGAGATCCACTTCTAACTCCTTTCATTTCCCCTTTCCAAGATCCATTCCCGTGATCATTTCCAATTGGCTCGCCAACTCGTCATCGGCTCGCTTTTTTCTGTCTTTTTTCTCCTCATCATCTCTCAATGCTTTTTTCATTTGCTTCGAGTCCAACACACTATTGGTCTTTTGCGGCTGATGGACCTGCATCAACACCAGAACATTTTCCAAACTTGCATCGAGTTTTTCCACCGCCTGTCTCGTTCGGGCTATATTGCGCTTGCGCACATGTTTACTAGGCTTCTTTGCTATTTTGGATTTTGTCATTGCCTAAATTTCGCGATAAAAACTGGAGATGCTCATCGGTCTCATCGCAAAAATAGTGTGCATATTACAACAGAAATGAAAATGAAAATTAATTTCGCATTGGTTCTTCATTCCTGCTTTTCTTAGTTGCCTTTCATGCCTTCGACTCACAATAGAGACAAGCCCTGGGACACCCCAGACATAGATAAATGGCATGTGGACGAATTCAAGCCGGAAGACAATGCTTCGGGACTTCCTTTTGCCGAGGAGTCGTCGTTTATGACGTTGTTTCCAAAGTATCGTGAACAGTATCTTCGGACTATTTGGAGCGAAGTCACTAAGGCGTTGGACAAACACAACATAGCGTGCCAGCTTGACTTGGTGGAAGGGTCCATGACGGTGAAAACAACTCGAAAGACGTATGATCCTGCGATTATCATCAAGGCTCGTGATTTGATAAAGTTGTTGGCGAGATCAGTTCCGTTCCCTCAAGCAGTGAAAGTGCTTCAGGATGATGTTGCGTGTGATGTGATCAAGATTGGTAATTTTGTCACCAACAAGGACCGTTTCGTCAAGCGTAGACAGAGACTTGTGGGTCCCAATGGTAACACATTGAAGGCATTGGAACTCTTGACAAACTGCTACATATTGGTCCAGGGTAACACAGTCAGTGCCATGGGTCCATACAAGGGGCTCAAGGAAGTACGGAGAGTGGTTGAAGACTGTATGAAAAATGTTCATCCAATCTACCATATTAAAGAGCTTATGATCAAACAAGAATTGAGCAAAAAACCAGAATTGGCCAACGAGGACTGGTCTCGTTTTCTCCCCATGTTCAAGAAACGTAATGTGGCCCGCAAGAAGAAGGCTGCTCCAGATAAGAAGAAGGTTTACACTCCATTCCCACCAGCGCAAACTCCTAGAAAGGTGGATTTGCAGATTGAAAGTGGTGAGTATTTCTTGGGAAAGAGAGAAAAGAAGCAGAACGACCTCCAGAAGAAGCGGGACAAGCAAGAAGAGGTCAGCGAACAAAAAAACAAGGAAAAGCTTCGTGGTTATGAGGCTCCAGAAGAGCAATTGCATGAGAATAAGCTTTTGAAAAAAAGCAAAAAATCCAAGAAACGGTCCCACGACGAAGACGAGGGCTCCAACAAGAAACCTCGGGTCGACTCCGATTAAACCATCGACGTACTATATACTGAATACGAGACATGAACCTTCCGTAGTCGCAGCCGCACACAGCCGCACCGCCGTTGTAAATATTTGTCCTGCATCGCTTTTCGCTCTTTCTAAACACCACATCCCATGTCCAGAATAGACCAGCTTATGCTGGTTGTGGAGCTGTTGGAGAGAAAATCGTGCTCCATAGTGGACAAGAGCCACGAATCTGTGGCATTAGTCCAGAAAATTTCTCGTCTTTACGATAAATGGACCCAAGAAGAACACCATTGTGCTCATCTTCATTCGGAAGCAGCCGCCAGTTTTCTGCTTTTGACAGGGTTTAGAACCCTAGACGAAAAGCTCTTTCTCTTGGACGCCAGCTTAAGTACTAGCGATGTCTACACCAGCTCGATGTCGTTGGAAAATTTGAAAAATGAGTACTACTATATGTTGAAGAATCCCGAAAATGATGCAACAAGTTTTGACACAAATTTTGACAATTTTGACACAAATGTTCTTGAACTGCCGTATCCCAGACCGTCCAGACTCTCCCACTCCGAATCCCTGCCATACACCCAGAAATCATACCATCAATCACACCATCAATCATTCAATCAATCATTCAATCTGCCCCTCCATCTGTCTTTGCCCACGGATCTGCCCCTCCCTCATAAAAGCTCGATCGCCGACCTTAAACTCAAACCCATCAAGTGTCGCACATCGCAGCCATACAAGAAAAAGTCAAGGTACCGTCTCTCGCAGATATACACCCTCAATCCTGTGATTGATACTTCCTTCGAGTCATTGTCTCCGGAACGCTATGTGTCGAAAGCATCACAAGTATCGGATGCAATGTCTCGTCAGAACACTCAGGATCAAACAGCTTCAACTTTACCCACCACTTTCGAGGACGACCGGGAAACCAGTGATATAAATGTAACCATTGAACTTGAGAAAGATTTGGATGCTTTTCATATAAATGGTCAAAATCCTTCACCCGATAGAGTATCTGCCAGCTCAATGTTGTCGCTTTCTCCACCCTTGGAATTCGACAATTTCAACGATTTTTTGCGAAAATCAAGACTCGACTTGCAAGCGTCACCTCCCAAGCTTAAACGATCAACTTCTCACGACAGCATATTCCACGAAGCCAAGCTAAAATTCCACAATCCTGCTGAGAAAATCAGCTTGAAAAGCGACGTTGTAACCCCAACATTTGAGTCGATTTATTGTCAGGAATCGGCCCGTGAATCCTCCAGTAAACTTCTTGCTGAAATGATCCAAAAAGCCGATTTGCAGCCAATTTCCAAAACGCCCACGAAACAGCCATTTGCCTTGGGTTTGGGTTCACCGCTCCAGCCAACTTTATCCCATGTAACTTCGTCTCCCCCACGACGAAACAGCGTGAGTAAAGCACTCGCAAGCAGTTTTTTCTCGTTGATGGCTCCGTCTCCTCGTCAATCAAGTGTGGATTCTAAGCGTGAAAATATACCGACAACAGTTGAGAAACCAAAAAAAACCGCTGCTGCTCCTGTTATGATAACTAGTGAAGCACAACGAAAACGACTTCCTCTTCATCCCATTTCCTTCAACGGGGCACATTCCAAACTTAAAATAGACAATAATGCGGCAGTGATCTGCCATGGACAGTCGGCTGCAATTCGTCGTCCGATTATGACTCGGGTTAGTCGTAATTCGTTAAATGAAGCATTGAGTAGCAGTATTAAATAGTATACAATTTTAGTCAAATCCCGACCCAGAAAATAGCTTGGTTTTAGTTTGAGTAGCATGGTTCAAGCGACGTTCCAACTTTTGTTCCTTGACACTTTTGACTCGTCTTGACCTCGACATCGAAGAGATCGAAGCCTTTCCGCCGGTTGCAGCCTTGTATTGCTTGCTGATGGTGACCCCAGAAAAGCTTCCTTCGGATCCTGAATTAGGGTTTGATCTGAACGATTGAACCAAAGATGGTCGCTTGAAAGCAGGCATAATATCGTCATCATCGGTATCACTGGTACCTTTCCTTGGAGGTTCTTCAGCCACAAGTTCAACTCTGCTTCTGTTCATTTCACTAATACTCCTTTTGAGCTCATTCAAGTCTTCATGTTCTTCGTCTGAGCCAAAACCATGTTGTAATCTTGATATTCTCTGCTGCTCGAAATACTCATCAGTACCAGTTGAGGACAAAAAAGAGAGCTGTTTTTGCACAAACGACTCTTCAATACGAATCACTCGGCGTCTTTTGTTTGTCTCGGCTTCAATATCGTCTTCATCTTCTTTATCGTCGTTGCTTATTTCTTCTTCGTCATCGTCATCGTCGATCTTTATAACTCTCTGTGAATCTTCCTCCATACTTTCAAAGAACGCCTTTGCTCTTTCTGTCTTTGACAAGTGCAGAGACTGCTTATTTTGAAGGGCTCTTTGGCGTTGTTCATTCATCTTTTGCTTTCGATACGCGGCCAAAATTTCATCTTCTTCGTCGCTCAACTCGATATCAAGCCCATTGGGACGTACTCTCTTGGTCAACCTGTGGTTTTTGATATCGTCAAGTAACTTTTCCAACTCCTTTTGGTCCTTTATTTGATACTGCTCCATGAACTTGCGCTTGACCTCGGCATCATTGAGATCAAAGTTGAAGCTGTTGTCAATCATTTTTTCGTCTTCCGAGTTCGCTACATCCGAGAGTTCACCATCCATACCACCAAGCCCATGCCATTCATCTTCCGACTCCTCGGCTTCGCCCTCAATAATCTTATTGAGGCCCCTTTGCGCCATGATATGACGTTTTTTGCGGCTCTGTAACTCTTTCAAGCGAAGCTTTCTCTCGTACATCTTGATTTGTTCTTTGATATCTGTGTCGTCTTCCTCTGCTTCTTCTTCTTCTTCTTCTTCTTCTTTTTCTCCCTCTTCATCCGCAGTTGGACCATTTTTTTTGATCAACTTGCGTGCTATATTGAGAGTAGCTGGTGTCACTTCTTCGTCATCAACCTGAGTAGCGATTCCTTGAGTAGGTGTAGGATCGGCTTGGGTTTCAAGATCCTGGAAAGATGGTACCTGACCAAAAGCTTCATCTTCGTGGTTCTGTGATTCGTGGTTTTGAATGGGCATGATCTTTTGGGTAGTATCTCTTAAATTCTTGAACAACTCTTGCTCAGCAACAGAGTGTCTTCGAGTTCTCTTAGGAGAAGTATAGGAGACTGGCGGACGCTGTGAGCTGGTTGTAATGGTATCCTGTTCACCAGCATTTTCCTCGTCTCCCAATGCACCAAACATGTAACTGTCATCCACTCTTATTGCAGAAAAGTCAAGTTTAGTGGTGTCCTTCTCAGGTATCGAGTCTTCATCTTCAGACAGAAGTACCACTCTTTTCCTTTTATCGACCACTATTGCATCGGAGTCGTTGTCCTCGAAATCATTGGCTTCTGAATATCCTAAATCACTATCGGGTATTTCTCCATCGGACTCTGGGATCGCTTCCAAGTACTCTAGATCTGCTCTCTTCTGCTTTTCTCTCATCTTTTCCTTCTTCCTGATATTGCGAGCCCGTTCGATTTCCCGCTCGAGCAATGATCCCATGACTTCTTCGTCTTTTTGCAACTCTTCAAAAATGTCATTTCCGCCATTTTCACCTCGGAGAGCCTGGATTTGATCTATATTGGCTCTCTTCAACTTCGACAAGAGCTGTGCTCGTTTGGGCCCCGTTCGGTTCTCCTTCAATGCTAATAAAAGAGACCGCAAATGGGTGGGTAATGCCAATGCTATGTGAGATTTTTTGCCCAATTTCTTTCTTGAAAACCGCTGCTTGATCGACAATTTGTCCTGCTTGGGCAATGAGGGAATTTGATGCTGAGATTCCGAATCCGAATCTGAGTCAAGGTTGATAATTTTGGAGTTTTCTTCCTTGAGCTTGGATGCGTATACCTCAATTGGACTCTTCTTTTTTATGCTTTTTGCTTGCTGTGCTATAGGTTGGCCAATCAAGTCCAATACATTAGGTTCTTCGTCTGAAACTTCATCCTTTTGAACGGGAGATGTCAATGGGCTCGATTTTTGTGGTGGAGTCAGCGATGCCACAGCAGCAACGTCGCTATCCAGTATATCGTCGTCGAATGCAGAAAGAAGTTTTTGCTTCGAATGGACAACTTTGCGGTTGAATTGAGGCTCAATATTGCGTTCTCTCTTTTGGACACTAAGAAACTGTTCCGTTTCTTCTAATTGGTGGTTGGGAACAGATCGTAAAGCCTCTTCCTCAAGGTCGTTCTCGTCGTCCGTCAATGTTGTGCGAGACACATCGGCTTCCAATTGCTCAGCAATGGCTTGTTTCTCACGTTCTTGCTGCTTGTGCTTTATTAGCTGGTTTATTCTTTGCTGGCGGTCTTCTTCGTCTGACTCTTCGCTGAGAAAAAGGGCAGAAAGGTCTGGTTTGGGGACTGTTTCGGGTTCTTTCTGTGTCGTGGAAATTTCTTGCGTTTCAGGTATTGTTGCATTCTCGTTCGTTTCAGGTAATGGTGAGTTTTCTTTCGTTTCAGTCAATGGTGAATTCTCTTGTATTTCTGGTTTCTGTGAATTCTCTTTTTCCAGCAATTCGTCTAAAAACTGGATTTCCGCATCCTCTGCTGGAAGCTGTGCAAGCTGCATAGGCTTGGCTACAACCTGGGTTTCCTTCAACTCGGTTTGAACCTCTGGTTCTATTACTTGTGTGTCATTGATGAGTCCAAGACGACGCTTCATTCTTTCTAGAACAGACATATCGGGTTCCTGGAGAAACTGGGAGCTCTGGAGCAGCTGAGAAGCATCCTGGGAGTCCCCGTCATAGGAAAAGTTATGCATTGATAGATGGATGGGGTGGTAGGTTGATCGGTTCTATACGCGAATCGCGTCTGATGAGTACGCGACTGCACACGGCTCAATATTTACGGTACGATTTTGGTTATGTAAGCAATCGCTCTTGACTTATGTAAGCGTGTTATTTGTTATTTTCATTTTCATCCTTCAACCGTCTGGCAATTAGTATGGTGTGGTAGAGCACATGGTGAGTGTATAAGCGACTGTGGCACCACTATTTCCCTTTTTATTCCTTTTCTATTTTTTAGTATGTTGAGCTTTGTCGTTCCGCGCACATGCGCGTCACGTGCTATCACCACCACGTTGTGGCTCTACCAGTATAAATATGTACAAATTTTTCTTTTTTCGAGCATTTGAAAATGGCCGAAAAATTCTTGTTCACGTCAGAATCCGTGGGTGAGGGTCACCCCGATAAGATTTGCGACCAGGTATCTGATGCCATCTTGGACGCTTGTTTGGCTGTGGATCCTTTGTCCAAAGTGGCATGTGAAACCGCTTCCAAAACCGGTATGATTATGGTGTTTGGAGAGATCACCACCAAGGCACAATTGGACTACCAGAAGATTATTAGAGACACTATCAAGCACATTGGTTATGACTCGAGTGACAAGGGTTTCGACTACAAGACATGTAATGTTTTGGTTGCCATTGAACAACAATCTCCTGATATTGCCCAAGGTTTACATTATGAAAAAGCCTTGGAAGATTTGGGAGCTGGTGACCAAGGTATTATGTTTGGTTACGCCACCGACGAGACCGACGAGAAGTTGCCGCTCACCATTTTGTTGGCTCACAAGTTGAACGCGGAATTGGCTTCTGCCAGACGTTCCGGTGCGTTGAGCTGGTTGAGACCCGACACCAAGACCCAGGTTACTGTCGAGTACAAAAAGGACGGAGGAGCCGTGGTTCCATTGAGAGTGGACACCATTGTGATCTCGTCGCAGCACGCCGAGGAAATCTCTACCGAAGACTTGCGTGCTCAAATTCACGAACATGTGGTCAAGAAGGTGATTCCCGCTCATCTTTTGGACGACAAAACCGTGTACCACATCCAGCCTTCTGGTAGATTCGTCATTGGAGGACCTCAGGGAGACGCTGGATTGACCGGAAGAAAGATCATTGTCGACACTTATGGTGGATGGGGTGCTCACGGTGGTGGTGCTTTCTCCGGTAAGGATTTTTCCAAGGTGGACCGTTCTGCTGCTTACGCTGCTAGATGGGTTGCCAAATCCTTGGTGAACGCTGGATTGGCCAGAAGAGCTTTGGTTCAATTCTCGTATGCCATTGGTGTTGCTGAGCCATTGTCGGTTCACGTGGATACCTATGGTACTTCCAAATACTCCTCTGACCAATTGGTGGAGATTATTAGAAACAACTTTGACTTGAGACCAGGTGTGATTGTCAAGGAATTGGACTTGGCCAGACCCATCTACTTCAAGACCGCTTCTTATGGACACTTCACCAACCAGGAAAACCCATGGGAACAACCCAAGAAATTGAAGTACTAATTGCTTAATGATTAATGTGACGACTCATCAACCAACGCTCAACTCGTTGGTCAGCTTGCTTTTTGTTTGTTCCCTTTTTTTTATATTGGCCCAAGGCCCGGTTTACTTCAAAATCGTTTTTGTTTTAGATACATTTTAGGATAGAGTTTTGCATTAATTGGGGGTCCTCAACGGACGAGTAATAAATATATTACTAAAACGTTTAGATCAAAGAGGTAGTTCTGTTTTATCTTTTTCTTTTCTGAAAAATGTGATTGTCGCAATTGCGATGCCCATGGCCGAGCCAATGATGATATCGCTGTAATGATGTCGGTAGTCCTGAGTTCGACTCAATGCTATGTATGTGGCTAGCAATGAAGGAAGACAAGACGATAATTGGTATCCAATGGACAAATGGCCAATTCGACTATAAATCCATAAACTGAAATAAAATAATCCAGCAAATGCGATCAGCGAGTGTCCAGATGGAGTACTTTTCATGCCATCAACAAGATATATTTGCCCAAGAGGAGCAGAACAAACCTCAATTCCTACCAATTTATCTATAGGAGTCCCTACTATTGGTCCACATCGCTCCAAAAAGTCTGGACGATGTCTGGCTATCCATGCTTTGAGAACATCAGTTATTACTCCAGTAATGGAAATTGAGAGCCATAAATTTTGTAGGGAGGTGTTGACCAATTGCTGAAACTGGAATTTTGTGAGCTTTTTGCGTTTAAGCAAAGCTGTGCACCATGCTGTGATGGCTAATGATGGTAAAATACACGAAATAACGTATAGTTGGTTATCGGTTACCCGTTCGTGAGTAGCAAATGGAAACTGAATAGAAGGATCTGAAAGTCGAAAAGGACGCACAAAGGGCTTTGAAGGCTCTGCCACGAGGTAGAAGTAGAGGAGAAGACCCACCACCACTAGCCACTCGGCATTGAATTTGGACATGGGGGAGTGAGAAGGATTGCGAATTGCGAGACTGAGATCGCGAATGGAGAAATAGCGAGACTAGCGAGTACCGCGAAAATGTAGCGAGAAGTCCTCTGAGAATACCGCGAACTTTAAGAACTTGCCGCGAAAAATGTCAGCGAAAACAGATCAGACATTACTGAGAATTTCTGAGAACTACGAAGCTATCGCTTTCGCGATAACTTCTTTTTTCTATCAATCATTAATTATCCCAATATCTATTTATTGCTTTTCCTCGGAATCATAGCTTTCCTCGTGCGTAGTGTATCTGTCTCTTCCAATTTGTGTGGTGTCAACTTCATCGTGATACTTCTCACAAATTTGTTCTAAAGTCATTCTCTTGGTTTCTGGAATCAAAAGTGTGGTACCAATACCGAGCAACATGAACAAGGCAAAGATCTCCATAACGTGGTTTAACCAACAGTTTTGGTTTTTAGGGTCGGATCCACATCCGTGGTTGACCAAAGTACCAAGACAAGTTTGAGCAATAATAGCACCAACCTTACCACAGGCAGCAGAAATACCGTGGGCGGAAGATCTGTACCTAGTTGGGTAACATTCACCAGGAACGATAAAAGTGGTAGTATTAGGACCGAAATTCTGGAAGAATTGAGCAAGAACGTACAATGCAAGCAAACCTTTGTCAGTCAACTTGTGGTATCCGAAACCAATTCCACAGAATAAAATGGTCAAGATGATGAAGCCTCCCAATTGAATTGGTTTACGTCCAATGGTGTCAACGGTGGCAGCAGTGAACCAGTAACCTGGCAAAGAACCGGCACAAACCAAAATCAAGTTTCCGGCAGCGGTGTTGTAAAGCTTGTGGTAAAGGTTGGTGGAAGAAGCGTAACCAATGGCTTGCAAGATGACCGAGGTGTTCAAACCCAATCCGTAGTAAGCCACATCCAAGAAGAACCAAGAACCGGCAGTACCAATCAAGTATTTTCCGTATTTCCATTGTCCGAAATGTCTCCAGAAGTCTTTGAAAGAAGCCTTTGGAGGGGCAATCTCTTGGGCATGAACATCAAGAGCACCTTCAGCGTCGGCAACCTTTTGAACATCATCGTGCTCGTTAACATCCAATGAGTATCTTGGAGATTCAGCAATGGTCAATCTGTAGTACAAGGCAATGCATCCTGGAACACATCCAAATCCAATCAAGATTCTCCACATTTGGTCACAAGCCTTTCTACAGTCACCCACACATTCGGTGGTACTCACGTTCAATGGACCCTTGTAGGCAGCCACCAAAACCATGGCAACAATACCGGCAAAAATTTGACCAAGACCTTGGTTGGAGAAAACCGCACTCATGATAGCACCTCTCCATTTTGTGGTGGAAAATTCCGATGAGATGATGGAGGAAAGAGGGTAATCTCCTCCGATACCGATACCCATAATAATTCTCCAGAAACCCAAGACAGCCACAAAGTTAATGGCGGGAGAAGGACCCAAAGAACATTGGATAATGGTAGCCGCGATCATGACAATCGAATTCCAAACCATAAATCTTCTTACGACCGAAAATATCAGCCAGCATACCGAAACCCAATTGTCCAATAACGGTACCAACCGAGGTGGAAACTTTCAAGAAAGTGGTGGTGGATTGGGGCATTTTTCCTCCTTCCCAGTAGACATAAGACAACATGGTAATACCCAAGTTAATGGCAAAAATATCATAAGAATCGGTCAAGAAACCAACACCGGCAATCATAATCATTTTGACTTGAGTCCATCCGAAACCAGCATGGTCAATTTCTTCAAGAGCCAATCTTCTTCTCTCCAATGGGTCCTCGATGTGAGCAAACTTTCCAATGTAATCCTTGAAGGCAGTCTTACCACCAGCGGTGTTTTCCTTGACAGGATAAGCTTCGTTGATGTCAGCCATAGTGGTAGTTGTGGTGGATGATAATTTTGAGGATTCGAGGCCTTTATATACTTGGGGTCTACGGCGAAATTAATTTATTTTTTTTTCAGATGCAGATAATTTAGACCACGGGTTGACGCCTCGCGAGAGGTTTTGGGCTAGCGTTGGAGAACGGGAAAGATAAATGTGGTGGAAGAAGATGAATGATGGTTAATGGTGGTAGTCTGTGGTGATGGTTAATGTCAGTATCTTCCAACTTTCCTCAAAATTTCTCCCTGATGACCATTGTCCGAAGCGAATCTGTCCCTACTTACGACGCTGCGGCGCACTTTATGACCGAATTTTTTGCACCCATGTGGTGTAATTTGTGACGATTAAAGTGGGCCCAAATTTGTTTGTGGTGGTAGCCAAGGGTCCCGTACATAAATGATCTTCGCTTGCGTTGTTGACAGCTCTTGGCTGTGTCAAGCCAAGAGATATGGCTAAAAAATGGTGCCAATGCAAAATTGCAATGGTTGAAATTTCTTGGCCCACCCCACGTGTTTCCTATTTGGGCGATTAATTTGCAACACCGGCCCCCCACGTGGCTGCAATTCGCCGTGAACGCGCACTGTCAACGTGGTGCTGTGTGCAGTCCGCGGGTCCCTTCAAATCAGCAATGCCAGAAGAAAGATAGAGTTGGCCGTGGACCAATTGGTGTTGGCTGGTGATGGAGGCGGACGGAATTCCTTGATTTTATTGGATGGTGGATCCGCCTACTCATTTCAATTTTTACCGCCGGTACCCCGCTAATCTGGCGCCAATTTCCACTTGGTCACACGACCTTAAGCTCGTAAACCTAAGCGACTTGCTTGGCTACATTGCATTATGAATTGCATTGGTGCATTAATTGCTTGACCGTTGATCAATTAGCCGTTGAGTGCACCCATACACCAGCATGAATGTGGACCAATTGCCGGAGGCGGTTTTCCGCTGAGCCTTGTGAATGGTGGGGTCAAGAAGCTGAAAAATAAAATGACGGTTTAAGACTTGATAATCTCATGTTGTATTGCTTCTTTGCTTGGTATTGTTATTAGTGCTACTAATGCTTACTATTGCTTACTATTGCCAACATACTACATTTATTCCGAGGGTCGCCAACTTCATCAAATGCACAAAATGCATGAAGAATGACCACGTATTTCTAGGCTGTTCTGCTTGAATTTCACTTATAAGCTCTTATTGATAAATAACAAGAGCAAAGAATCTGTCTAGTTGTACTACCGATCTAGACAGAACCAAATGAAAAGTGATATAAATGATATAAGGCACAAACCAAGATAGACTAAGCTCTTATAAGCCAAAGATCTCAACTCCTTATATTGAAAGGCAAAGATTACGACGTTTATCCATATTGCAGCACCAATCACATGGAAAGCTGCAGAAGAGAGCCAGATATAACCCGGAATCCGTACATTAACATTTTCCTTTGGAAAGGCGACGGGAAATACCCAGCCCAAACTCAACAGGAAAAAAGTCAAAAACAGAACTGCATACTGGTCGATCGTACTAACTTTCTGCAGAGTTTCGGCCCCAGTTTCTTCAGTCGCTTTTTCTTCCATTGTGATCAAAGCTCAGTTTATAATTAAACGTACAAATAATCTGCCAAACCTAGAGTCGTGAAAAAAAGTCGTAGCTTTCGCAGGTCAAATGCACCTGAAAACGACTATCGCGGAGTCCAGCTTACTTCTGCTGTCTTTATACTCAATTAGATCCCTATACTTTCCATTTCCTTCATTCTCTTTTCTTTTTCTGGTTAATTGAATTTTATTATTCCTTGTACTTTCTCGTCTTATCAGTACACCGGTACACCGGTGTTGAAAATGCAGGACCTGGACGTTGCATCTATGTAGGATCAGACGACACGACAGCACCGAGGAACTCGAAGAGTTTTTTTCGGCCTATTCAACGATGAGCTCCGGTAGCTGGGAAGACTACTGGGGTAACTAGCTACTACTCCATATGTCTCACCTGCCGCTCTATATCACACTCACGTGGATACGCTCTAGACTCGCCCCCACCGTGACCATTGGAAGTTTAGACTAAACCTGTATACTGCTACCCCCGCCCAGTATTACAATAGACTTGAGAGTGTACCGAGTTGAGGCACACTTATTGCTGTTGTTCGTATTTGGATCCTGATCCCGATATGCCCGTCAATTGTTAAGTAAAGTTGCAACACATTCTTTCATTCTGTTTTTTCCTGTATATATCTGATCAAGTGTGGCTAAGAACTTCACCATCTTAAAGATAAATAAGTAATAATCTGGAAGGATGAACCGAAAATTTCCAGTTTATGAGTCTATTTATGTGACTTCCATACCGGAATATCAAGTTTATAAACTAACGTTCGATAAGGCAGACAGAACATGTCTTGCATTTCGCATCTTAGCTCGTGGGTATTAGAATGATTTGACAAGTTTTTGTGACAAACAGTACGTGGGTATCATATATATAAATAAAGGTAAACATATATAAGCTAAGAAAAGCAAATACCCACATTTTTAGCGAGGACATGCCGCTAATGGCTGTAAACATCAACATAACCAAACATACAAATACAGTTGGATGTTGTTTTCGAGAAAGGTACCAGCCGGCGACACCATATACCGCTGTGGACGCAACAGCAGAATACATGCTCCAATGATAATTTTTGGGTGGGTCCTTGCGCCGATTGGAAGCGGATATGCCAAGCACCCGATTAATTGTAAGAACCCTACAAGCAACTGCCAAAGTGATGCTCAACCCTTTCGGAATTCTTTTCACGAAAATCTCGGATGACACCACCGCACCTAGACCAGAGGTAAGTGCAATCGCTATCCGCCATTTATTCAGGGTTGACATCAAGCTATCCAGTGTTTCGGGCGTAGCTTCGGACGTAGTTGCTATGGCCATTTCCTCCACTGGTAAAGAAGTCAGTTCATCCGTTCGTGGTGTATAAAATGCTCTCACAAGATGTCTAACCATTTCTTCCATTTGTTGTGGAGTAACTCCTTCCAATTGGAGTGGATTCAGCTCTTCCGGCTGTTGTGGAGGTGTCATTTCTTGCACTGGTGGTGTTGACATGAAGAAGTACAAATGCGAAATAGTTTTGCAACCGCGTTATGAGCCACGCGACCAACCGATCACGTGATGATATCCTCCACGGTGGTGTAGTGTTGTGCGAGCTGTGGAATACACTGATACTATATTGGTGATATAGCGTCTTTCTGCCAAGGTATGATCCCATGATTCGTAGTCTCAGACTTAAAGGTAGCGAAGAGTCTGTGTATTTGTGTTACCGATCTAGACAGAACCAAATGATAAGCGATATAAATGATGTAAGGCACATACCAAGATAGACTAAGCTCCCAAAAACCATAAATTTTAACTCCTTATGTCGAAAGGCAAAGATTGTGACGTATGTCGATATTAATAAAGCGATCACATGGAAAGCTGCAGAACATAACCAGATATAACCCGAAATCTTTACATTAACATTTCTCTCTTCAAAGGTGACGAGAAGTACCCAGCCAAAACATAACAGGAAATAAGTCAACAATTGCACTGTAATCCCAATATTGATTGTCGGATTTTTGGCCCCAGTTTCTTCAGTCATTCTTTCCCCCATAGTTTCTTCAGTCGATTGTTTCTCCATTAGTGATCAAGAAATTATCAAAGTGCGCTGCGAAGCTCAGTATGTAATTAAACATATACGAGAGATAATTTGCCAAACCTAGAGTAGGAAGTGGAAGCTACTGATCCTGCTATCTTTTATACTCAATTTCTTATTCTTTCCATTTACTACATTCTCTCAATTTTTCCTTAAACTTTCTGTTCGCATCAGTACCGATTGAATCACAATTACTGCTGTTTTCGACCACCAGTACACCAGTACACCAGTACTGGAATGACCGTGATCAATAAGAAGTTGAGTGCGCCCATACACCAGTTTATCAATGGACCAATTGTCGAAGTTGCTCCGGTAAGGTTGTAGATGGCGGGGTTGAGGTGATGAATATAAATAGGGGTTTAAGACTGATAATCTTTTCATAACTATCCCTTCCATTAGTCATTTCCATTATCTAGATTGTCGCGGCTCTCCATGCAGTCCTTATCCCGCTCATCTCCGCCATCTCCGCTATTCCGCTATCCCGCTATCCCGCACTCCGTCCAGGCGAAGTAACGATGTATATAAGATCATGGAACTCAGGACCAAACCCAAAACATGTCCCTGGACTTTCAATTCTACCAGTACACCCCATCTTTGGCCGCAGCCATCATTGCGTGCATTTTATTTTGCATTGCAACCCTTTTTTGTGCATATCAATTCACAGCAGCATTGAGAAATCGAAGTCAAACGGCATTGAAAAAAATTTTATCGCTTATTCCTTTTCTATTGGGAGGTTTATTTGAAATAGTTGGGTATGGAGCTAGAGCTCTGTCTTCTAAGAACGACGAATCATTGACTCCCTATATCATTCAGTCGCTTCTTTTGTTGGTTGCACCAGCGTTATTTGCAGCCACTATATATATGACATTGGGGCACGTTATTCGGGTTACAGGATGTGAAAACCTCTCGGTTATACCATTGAAGTGGCTTACCAAAATCTTTGTATGTGGAGACGTTCTTTCGTTTCTTGTTCAGGCTGGGGGAGGAGGTATTATGTCTCAAGGACAAGACCAAATGAAACTTGGCGAACATATTGTTATTGCTGGATTGATCATCCAAATAGTCTTCTTTGGCATTTTCATTGTTGTGATGAGTGTTTTCCAGTACAGAATAAGCCAAAGACCTTCGCCAGCTGCTATGCATTATCGTTATCAGCCTTCATCAACTCGAAACTGGCAGATGATTCTTGTGATTTTGATGATCTGTTCTGTGTTGATCTTTGTCCGTTCTGTCGTTAGATGTGTTGAATATGCCCAGGGCAACGACGGATACATTATTTCTCATGAAGTGTTTCTTTATGTGTTTGATGGCCTCTTGATGTTTTTGAATATGGTGGTGTTTATGTCCCAAAATTTGGGCTCATACTACAACAGGGACTTTCGTTCTAGCCAACATTTGGCAGTGCAGCCTATATATGACTGGGAAAAGTAGTGATTGATGAAGGGTGAACGGCTGCAAATTCACCATCGAAATTCTGTATCGCATAAAATCTAAGAATATTGATAGAAAGAATACACCAGCTTTGGAAATTAACAGTTTTAGCAGTCACTACCACCTGACTTCATTTTTTGTAACTCATCTTCGGTATATAATATATGTCATCGAAAAGTTTGTTCGTCTATTCGTGCGATCTCAGATTTAGATTTGACATTTCGATTTCAGTGCGAACTTCTAATTTTACTTTCTTTACTATTATATTTTGCTAATCACGCTATATTTTGCTAGTCAGGCTGACTTGAAACTGCTGTTTTCTCATTGCTTCTCCATGGAACAAGTCGTAAAAAGGGGTAGAACAAAGTTTTCGTGCACAAACTGCCGCGTGAGGAAGAAAAAATGCAACCGTAGATATCCCTGTTCTTCTTGTATAAAGCTGGGAACCGAAGCCACTTGTATGTTCAATGGCAAAAACACCTCGATATACTTGGCCACTTTGCCTCCCGGTGAAGTTTGTTCTGTGAGTGACGAAAATTTGAATGAGAATTTTACCGGAAAGTTGACTGGAAACCTTACTGGTATGGAACGATTTCAACCAGAACTGGGTTTTGAACAGACAACAAGCCTATCCCGAGCTTATGGGGGTTATCCCAATACACTGAGAACTGAAGACTTCCATTTCAACCTAGCAAATGCCCTTCATTCTGGTCCTGATGACTATGAAATAAAACACGGAAACCAGTTTCGACATGGCATTTTGGTCTACTTGATGATGGCGAGAGCGGACCCTATCACTGGGCTAATGCAGAATCACATATTAACCCAAAAAAAAGTGGTTTGGGACGAAATTCCCATGAGAAGTAGTATGATACCAAAAGCTCAGATTGAAGAATTGGAGCAGAAGGCCAGTAATTACTTTAAAGATTCTTATATTCAGCGACTAGGGCATGATTTCTCTCATGACGACCTACTTGTGGCTCGTCAGAGAATATCTATTTATGGAGCTTCTGCGGGAATAATTTACAGTGCCCGTCCAGACTGGGTGAGCAGTTCATTGCTACAGATAATTGAGTCTGAAATTCCTGATAAAAATACCATTTTGAGTTGCCTTGATGTGTTCTTCTCAGACTGCAGCTTGGGCTCATTTTTGGTTTTTGAAGACAGGTTTAGAGAGAATATTGAAAAATTGATTGATGAAAATGTTCTCACCACGAACGAAAACGGCTCGAAACTTTGTGTGAATCTGAAAAAAAGACATTGCAACCATCACTACATTGGTGGTTGTTTTGCGCCATGTCTATTTGCACCTTTTGAACTTGGGCGAAAACCAAATACTTGCTTCAAAATGCCGGATTTCCATCGACGCTATCCATGCTCTGGAAAGCCTATTGCAGTGTCTTGACTTGACCTATGACTCTAACTGGGAGGTTCTTCAAGCCTTGACTTTGCTTTTTGATTACAACTTGCGGGCGCCAGAAAGCGACTGCTATTTCAACCATGGAGATCCCAGTATAATGTTTTCTACCATAGTTGCGATTGCAAGAAGCCTTCAATTTGACCAGAGAGTGCGTTCCCAGCTTACAAAGTATGATTTACTGTGGATTCAGTTCAGAAGATGTTTTTGGTTGGTTTTGCAAATGATGAACATGGAGTTGGCTCACTTGTACTACAGTCCATTATATTTCCAAGACTCAGATTTTGAGGTGAAGTTACCACAGCAAGCCATAACCAACTCAGCGATGCTAAACCAGGTGTGTTCAGCGTTGGCATCTTTGGCTCCTGTGATTCATAAACTCTATAAGTTGATTGATATGCTGATGGTTCGAAAATATTGTTCTCACCATCAATTGGTGGCAGAGATTAGAGAATTTGAGACGCTTATTTCTCGTGAATTGGGCACTTTCGAAAGCTATTTCACGCCCTACAGCAAAAATCTGGCAAAACCTATCAAGTTTCGGTTCTTAACTATGTCCAAGTGCTTCTTGATGGTACTCTACTATGCTTTGTACGTGGGTCTGGAGACTAGAGGAGACAACATTTTGGGTTTCAATTACCTCAGAAAACTTGTTTTAATTGCTTATGGAGAGTTGCCTTTTCTACAAAAAGGCTTTATAGATTCTTGCTCTCGATTTTTTGGTCCTTCGAGAGAGTACTTTTTTCGTCCTCTTTTAATTGCTTGCAACAGTATGCAATTATTGACAGGAGTGCTCCGACTTCGAGCTCGGTGCACCTTGAAAAAGCTTGATAGACTTAAATGTGCCAAGAACAAGCCACTATTAGAAGCTGGTTTGAAATCAATCATCGAGAACATCATCTTGATGGAAACCAAAATGATAGAATTTGATGAACAACTAGGTAAGGTGTCCAATTGTGGTTACTTGAAGGAAAGACAATACAATTACGGGACTCTCTTGATGTGCCAGGAGTCCATGTACGAGAATTGTGATGAACTTGTGGCTAAAGCGATGCTTCCATTTTCTGAGGAGGAGCTTAACGAATTGAGTGGTTTGATAAGTGGGTCAGCTAAAAAATTTGAAGCAATTGAGACATTTCAGAAGTCACTTACAACTAAGAAGTCGGCTCTGATAAACCCAACAGCAGAATTAACCGGCGTTGAACGACAGATTCATCTCATAATGGAGAGATTGCAAAGAGACAAAATGTGGAGTTTGGTAAATTTGATAAAGAATTACTACCACGACGAAACCTTTCGGCAGAAGTTCGATGCTGGTCACGCCAATAATAACCTTGGTGATTTGTTTTATGGTCAGGATGACATTTTGAATTATTTTGCAGCCGACGGTTCACTTGATTTTTTGGAATATCGAAAGGATTCTTTCGTTTAGTAAGGGTTCTACATCATTATCTGGTTCGGTTACTGTTTCTGTTTGTTTCTGTTGGTTTCTGACACTGGCGTTCTTGACTGTACTCGTGACTCACGACTTGACTCACTATATGCCTGCACCTCGCTCCATCTACCCGAGCGGAATAATCCGCGCGGCTCAAGTCAAGGCTAGAGTCATACGACCATTACCAAGCCAAATGTTTTCAAATCGAAATTCCTTCAACTTAGAGACTTGTTTCGACTTGTTTCAAGGAAAGCAAACGCTGTTGTTTGAGTTTTTCTTTTTCTTTCCTATTTGCAGCCATTTTATATCAGCTAAGTCCAGACTATTTGGCGCGCCGCGCCGCACCAACTGTGTCGAATTTCTTTTTTGTCCCAAATGGGCGAAGTCGGTGTCGAGTTCGGAGAATGGCTCGCCGACCGTTGAAAAACAAGTGTGTTTAACGAGTTCAATTTCGTCCAAAAAACTCCAAAAAAGACTCGCTATGCCACGCTTAGCGGGCCCCTCGCATACCCTTCAAGTTCGCTAACTCCATCTCAAACTCCATCCGGACTTACTGTGTACCCCTCACTGCTGGTGGGGCGGGGTTTTTCCGGTGCGAAAAACGCGCCGGGCCAATGGAGATGAGGTTGGCCGCATCGGAGTAACTGTTTCCATAAGGCCGAAAATAGATATAAAGGGCGTTTTTCTCGATATCAAACATTAAAAATGCTTGCACCTACCAAAATGACTGCCGCCGAAAAGGAAGCCCAGATTATGAAGGAGATCAGATCTGCTGCTGCTAACAAAAAGAAGCCTGTGCGCAAATTCCAAGGTAGCTTTCTTGGAGAAATCTTTGACATCAGTCTCAACCGCAACTAGAGACCATGGTAGACGGAGCCAATGGTCCAATGAACCAATTAGACGAAATCCGGTAGTCCACTGATAGATGGTCCAATTGGACTTTTATACTTAATAGACTTAATGATCACGATTACATATCCACATTGTAGCCCACTCGCACCAATTGGCTGAACCAGCCGTCGAGTCCGTCTCGGGGAATCACCTCGTCTTTTCGCTCGAAAACACACCTGTTAATTCGGATATATTTTAGCTGCGAATTATGGTGAAAGTACATAATCGCAACATGTTGAACTTTAAACCAGTCGTCATAGATGGTAGGGTGGACCATACCTAAACCAAGATTGGGTGCCCCGCCTGCTTGGGCTCCAAAGACATCAAGAAATTTGAGTTTTGGCAAAGATTCCACCATTTGCAACACTTCATGACAATCGTGCGACACATTGGGATTGATTCTTAGAGCTGTAAGTTGCTTGAATTGACTCAATTCATGGTAGAATTTGTTGGAGGGAAGTGGAATAATCAAGTCACAGAATTGGTTTTCTTGCTTGATTTCAATTGAAAGTTTGGTAACGGTTTCTTTCTTGTTTCCTGATACAAGTGATTGAGCATAGCACAGGTAGAGTCCATTCATAGAAAATTGCTCTAGCTTGGTACTGTTGTATCTTAGGATCAAGTCCAATGATTTTAGAGCTTCAGACTTCAAATTGGAAAGAAATAGCCAAACGGTGTCTGTATATGCTTCGCGGAAGTCAAGAGCTAAATGCTCCAATTGGCCTATATGATCACAAATTCTCGTTAAAAAACTGTCCTCTATACCTTCAGTTGTTGTTTGGGTGATTCTTTGGTATTCAGATACATTTTTGAGTTCCAAAGTTTTGAGATTTTTGAGGTTGACTGACTTGAGTAAAAGGTCGGCATCGCTGGGTGATAATAGGCAATTGTTGAGCAGTAGAACTTGGAGGTTTGAAAGATATTCCAACTTGCTTTCTGAAAGAGATCGGATAGTGTGCAAATCAAGTTCGTTCAACGAGTCAGAATTCGCCGAAACGAGCTCTCCACATGGCGGAACCAAGACATTGACATCTTTGTCAAACCGAGCTATTTTGAGCACTCTGAGGTTCTGCAGAACCTGGGAGATGTTCTCCCCCACTAGGAGATTGTTAATAATGCGCTGAAGCCGGGTGGAGTTCTGAAATGGTCGGATTTGAAAGTTGGTGATGTTTGGAAAAGTCAATGGTTTCAGCGACGAAACCGAGGATATCAGCTCTGAGTCGGAATGTTCTGGAGGCTCGGAACTGAGCTCCGAGAGGTAATTGCTGAATTTTATGTTGAGAACAAGCGTTTGTATGGAGCTGGTATTGGGAAGACTGCCCAAGTACTCTAGTCGGAAATTGTCGTTGAGCCAAATGAGTTCTCTAAGGTGGACCAAAGTTGTAAAAAAATCACTTATTTGGTCATTAAGTTCGTGGTCGTACGTGTTGAGGGAGTCTGGGAGCTCGAGGCACTTCAATGTCTTGATATAAGGAAAGCTGCTGGTGGGAATATTCGACGGTTCGCAGTACTTGAACTTGGTCTCGTAAAGCAGAATGTAATGGGTCAACAACCTCCGAAAATTGTACGAGCTTTTGACAAAAGTACACGAGTGCTCTTTGCGGTAATCTGGTCTGTTTTTCACCGTCTTTTCATAATATTTGAAAGATATCTCCTTGTTGAATTGACTGTAATTTTCATCAATGACAATATGCTGGTAGAGCCGAGGCATCGTAGACATGTACATGGCTTTGTTTGTGCGGAGGAGATTGAGACAATCAAATTGGCTGAGTTCGTTGGCTATTTTTGCCCGTACTTCGAACGGAAGTGTATCGAGTCGATTTCGTTTGGGTATTTCATTGGGATGAAATTCATTTTTTTCTTGGCAGGAAGAATTGATTAGTGGAGGTATAAGTGGTTTCTTGGAGTAGCCCACTGGAGAATTGAACAGATAATTTTCCTGTGTCCCAGAACGTGACTTAAGCATGTAGAGCGTAAATCAGTTGGTTGCTCTTATCAGCTGGTGGGTGGATGTGTGGGGAAAACGATAGACGAGACGCAGTATACAGTATCTACAAGTTGCTAGAGCTTAAGATTTTCATTTATAATTTAAGTAGCTTAAAACATTGATTAAGGACACTAGTCCACGAAATGACGAAGGAATTATGAAGAGCACTGTGCGGGCCAGCAGAAGTTGGGCAACACATTGGTAGAAGATTGAAGGTCCTTCAACGACGACTCATCAATAGCAGCAGTAGAGTTCGACTGAGTAGCCTTACCTTCTTCGTACTCTCTCTTTGAGACTTTGTAGTTACGACGGGCCTTCTTCTTTCCCGAGTCGAACTGTTGAGACAAAGTGTACTCGTAGGTGGTATCAAAGTAGTCAGCCCAAAGTTTATGCAATTCACTGGAGTCGTTTGCGTTCCAGTCAAACTTAATAGCAAAGTCGTCTGGCAAACAGTAGAGGTTCTGGTGCTTGGAAGCCTTGACCAACACAGAGGCAGACCATTGGTTAAAGTTGTCGATCTGGCTCTTGGAGCTACCATCCCACAACACCTTGTTTTCGTCTTCAGTTCCAGAAAGCAGAAGCGACTTCAACTCGTCTTGGAATTTGGCGAACAATTGAGCGGCATCTTGGGTAGCAAAGTTGATGGTCACCTTGAACAAGTCATCCTTGACCCAAGCAACGTCCGATACGGTGAACGAAGCCTTAGGGACGGATCCAGTGAATGCACTCAAGACAACCTGCTTGGCGTCTGCGATGTTCTTGAGAACTCTCTTGAGGATAGAGCCCTCGGCTTCGGCCATAGCTCCAGCAGAAGCTACGCCAGCGTCGATCTCACCGCCAAGTCCAGCGGCAGCTTGAGCCAAGCTACGCTTGAGGATTGAAGCGTCAGCTCCGGCAGCAATACCGGCAGAAGCAAGACCAGCAATGTCAGCTTCAGCAGCAGCTCCGAGACCAGCTTCCACCAAGTGTCTTTTAAGGATAGAAGCCTCAACGCCAAGTCCAGCCTCAGCAGATACGAGTCCCAAGACATCAAGATCGGCAGCTGCTCCAAGACCAGCATCGACCAAGTGTCTCTTGAGAATAGAACCTTCGGCTCCAGCACCAATTCCAGCGGAAGCAAGTCCAGCAATGTCAGCTGCAGCGGCACCGCCAAGACCAGCGTCAACTAATCCTCTCTTGAGGATAGAAGCATCAGCGCCAGCGGCAATACCAGCAGAAGCAAGACCAGCAATATCAGCTGCAGCGGCAGCTCCAATGCCGGCCTCGACCAAGTGTCTCTTAAGAATGGATGCAGCACCGCCAATTCCAGCTTCAGCTCCTCCGATAGGAGTGTCGAGTCCAGCACCAATACCGGCAGCAGCGTCAGCCAAACCTCTCTTGAGAATGGAACCCTCAGCTCCGGCGGCAAGACCAGCCGAAGCAAGACCAGCAATGTCAGCTTCAGCGGCAGCTCCGAGACCGGCTTCGACCAAGTGTCTTTTAAGGATAGAAGCATCAGCTCCAAGTCCAGCTTCGGCAGAAACGAGTCCCAAGACATCGAGATCGGCAGCAGCTCCAAGACCGGCCTCAACCAAGTGTCTCTTGAGAATAGAAGCGTCTGCTCCAATTGCAGCAGCGGCGTCAGCAACTGGAGTGTCAATTTCGGCAGCAATGCCTGCGTCAGCTGAGATCAAATGTCTCTTATTCAAGTCGGTAGCATCGATCTGAACCAAGTCATTGTCCAAGCAGTAGGCTTTGGTTTCTTGTTTTGCAGCCAAGTCGGTGTAATCGTTGTACAAATATTTGTTGTTTGCCTCAGCACCTCCGAGAAGAAACGAAGATGCAGTGAGGGCAATCGCTGCCGCTGCAGATTTAGTGAACATCTGGCAGCCTTATGAGTAAATACAAACGAAGGAAAATGAGGCAGAGAAACTCACGTAGGAAGAGGGATTTGGGTTGCGGTGGGGTTTTATACGCTCGGTACCATTGAAGGAGTGTTGTGGATGGAGGCTATTGTGCCCATTAGAAACAATACGTGGGACACGTCAAACCAAACCACACCGCTCCTTCGGGGGTAACCACCACCGTATTGGTATGAGTAGGGGTGTGCAGACGACGGGAGGTAGGCCGACGATTGTTCCAAACATAATAAGCCACATAAATTGCGTGCTAAGGTTCGCAACCAGGTCTATTGAACCAGCCTTTAAGGTGGTATCATCACGTGTGGAAACAATGTCTTCACCATTTTGATATTATTATTACCCAATTTGTCAATGACAGGTCGATGATGCGAAAGTCAAAACAATGGAACAAGATAATGCTGGCGGCCGCTGCGAACCAAAGGCCGAACAATAGGGTTCGCGAGAAGTTTCTCCGTTAGTAGGTCGTAATTAAGGGGGAGCAACGGTGGAAAGTGAAAGGGGAAACAAGAAAACACCGTTAGATGGCCTAAAAAAATAAGTCGCGTCTTGTAGAAATGGTGTCAACACGGAAGCGAGCCAAAAGGAGGTTAATTGTTTTGGAGATCAATGGATTCAGGGGTTATTGGGAGTTTTGACACAGCTCAATTGCAGGATTTGGAGAAGGCTGGTTTTGATCGATTACGGGTTTTGATCGATTTCATGGAAGGGATCGGTTTTATTCGGTTTGTTTTTGTTCGGCTCAAGTTGCTAATTTAACCATTTTGGACCAACAAAAGAGTATTTTAAGAGCCACCATGCCGGTATGGGACCACAGAACACCAGATACACGATTTTTACGCGATCTTTAATGCGTTGGACGCACGGTTTTAGTTGCCACAATAATGCAACTAAAAAAATGTTCGCGAATTATTTTTGCGCAGGTTTATTTTGGATGTTGAACAAGTTACCAAAACCAATTCCAAAACCAATCTCCATACAATTTTAGTCAAATACGATGGAAGACTCCAACAGCCTCAATTGCATGTGTTCTTAAGTTGAATAGTGATGTAAAATGAGATCATCTAGCCATTGCTCATAACGAAAGATTACCCCACTCAAATATACATATACGAGAGTAGGCAGTGACTTTTGAAGGCTGAAGTTCTGAGTTGCGGAGTTGCCCCTCAGTTTGAATGGTTTTTTTGGGGAAGAACCTTAATACAATAAGTAGAATTGTGGCTCGTCATGCGACTAAAATTGTGTTTTAGGTTGCTAAATTTAATGTGGTTGTGGCGTGTGAGCATGTGGTTGTTTTGGCCAAGTATCGGCTGATAAAATGAACCCACAGTTCATTTTAGCGTTGTATTAATGAACCGGAACCTTCGTAGTTTGCGATAATTGAAATTGAAATTGAAATTCGCAGCCAATTCGAGTCGCAGTCAATTCGAGTCGCAGTCAATTCTGAGACTGTGAAAATTAGTACCGGTAAGCCTTCATAGCTAAATGGAGAATTCGACCAAAGCATAGTGAAGGTCAATCACTAACAAAAATGAAGATTTGACTCACTTTCAAATTATTTCCGTCTTTAAAGTACCTTAGAATTGGTTTAGTAAGGCATCGAAGAGCCTGCGTATTTGCTAAAAGAAAGTGTTCTTCTTTTCGCTACCCAGCTTTTCTGCTTATTGAACAGCTCAATTCGCTGGAGTAATTCGAGGAAGCATAAATTGAGACTGAAAGAGATTCATCCAGCGATTTTAAAAGCTAAGTTACTGAAGAGTACCTTGGTTCATAATCTACATCAAAAAAATAAACAATTCTTTTCTTTCTTTCTTGATTAAAATGTCCTTGACAAGGATTAATCAGCAAAATATAATACATGGGCCGTTCTGGTATTCAGTGTTTGCAATCATACTCTCTGCATATAACCCTCCAGTCCTGCATCCACTCCCAATTAATTTTTCAATTCTGAACCGACTCGCCAGTCAAATCATGATCACAAAATATTTCACCAAGGTATCGGTCAAATTTGACCCTTTTGCGGCCAGTGCCAAACCCGCCCGGCTCTTCTTGTCCAGAATACCCACTTCGTTGCGTGCAACCTGTGCTGTGGACTTTAAGGTACTCACTTCCACTTCTCCAGCATCTGAAAAACCCATCGTAAAAGTCACTTTTAAGGACAAACACAGCATGGAAGCCGACCCTCAGGCAATGACTTTCAAGGAAATCAGCGAACATTTTGATTCGCATTCCAGAAAACTTGTGATGCAAGATTCCATCACCGAGTAGGTTCAAAATGTAAATTCAAATGGAAAGGAAATGGAGTGGAAATTTTACAATTTATGGAGTGGAATGGTGAAAATGGTTGTACGATAGCAAATATTGTAAATAGTAATGAGCACATGCGATATTAAGTATGGGAAAAAGTGTATATTGAGAAGACCAAAGTGAATATTGAGATGCGAAAAGAGTGTTTCAATGAATTTAGGTTGAATTGCTTTTTTTCTACTAGTCTGCTATTGCAATTCTATTCCTTACTACACTTTCACTTTTGCATTTTTGTATTTTTTCATTTTTGCATAATTTTTGATTTTTGTATAATAGCTTTTTCATTCGACTCTCATTTCCTTTCGTACTACGTTTTCTGAATTTTTGATTTTGCATTCTACTTGATCATCTATTCATTTACTTGCCGTCATTTCTTTCACCGTAAGACTTGGTGGCATATCTTCCGCCAGACACAATCACATCCTGAGGACGGTAGTCGTGTTTACCGCTAAAGTAACTCTCCAAAATGTTTTGAACACCAGCAGAGTAACGAGCTTGAGCGTCCAAAGAAGTACCAGAGATGTGAGGAGTCATAGCGTTACCTCCACCGAATTGGTTACGCATGGTTCTCCATGGGTGGTTGTCTGGAGCTGGTTGCACGTTCCACACATCTCCACCATAACCTCTCAATTTTCCAGACTCAAGAGCTTCGGCAACATCCTCAGCAACACAAATGGCTCCACGAGCAGTGTTGACGAGCCAAGCACCATCCTTCATCTTGGAAATCAACTCCTTGTTGAACAAACCCTTGGTCTTCTCGTGCAATGGAGCATTGATGGTAACCACATCGGACTTGCCAAGCATGTCCTCAAGGTTCTCCACACGTTCAACAATGTCTCCACGACCGTTCAACACCTCAGAAGCCTTGTTCAATCTGTCAACCAACTCTTTGGAAAGACCCTGGTAGTCGTAGTAGTACAACTTCTTTGGGTTGAAAGCGATCAATCTCTCCAAAATACGGTATCCAATACGACCAGCACCAACGGTTGCAACGGTCTTACCTTCCAAATCGTACAGGTTCATGGCAGCTCCAGCAATGTCCCAGCCCTTGCTAACAGCCTGTTCGTGAGCAGGAACAAAGTTACGAACCAAATCCAAAATGGTCATAACGGCATGCTCAGAAACGGAAACAACATTGGAACCAGTGACCTCAGTAACGGTGATACCATGCTCGTTTGCTGCGTTCAAGTCAACGTGGTCAGATCCAACACCGGCAGTTACACAGATCTTCAAGTTTGGTGCCTTAGCCATTCTTTCCTTGGTAATGTAGGCAGGGTAGAATGGAGTTGTGATAACAACTTCGGCATCCTTGAGGTGCTTGTCCACTTCAGAAGAACCAATTGGGTCCTTGCTGTCGGTGGAAACAAGTTCGTATCCCTTGGATTCGATGTACTTGCGAATTCCTAATTCATTTTCAACACATCCCAAAAGACCCTTAACTTGGTGGGCATGTTGACCTCCACGGTAGAGGCAGAGAAGTACTTTTCCTTTGCTCATTTTTCGTAGTTCAAATTGATAATGAGGAATTGGGGCATCGTGCCCATTTTATAGCAAGGACCGGATACGGCGCCATGTTCCCGAGTTGTTTCTCTCGTTCGATTTTGGAAGTCATTATGCAACATGTGTGGGGGTGACAGGGTTATGTGCAGTCGTGCAGCACTCCGGTAACGAGCCATTTTGTTGTGTGCAGGGAGCAAGCATCGAAGGCCGATCGGCTAGACCGGAACCACTACGAAAGTTACTGTTCTTGCCGCAATAAATGGATCGGGACGCATAGAAGCGCGGTTTTTTTCTTAATTGCAGATAAGGAAGTTCCACACGCTAAGGGCTCACGGCCCGAACTCCGTGGTCACGTGCTCCAGTGCCGAGGTCGGCCGTAGAAGGAAAGATATTGAATGATGGAACGTTTGGTCAAAGGGAATTGAAGAACCACATAGATTGGAAGATATTTGGTAGTTTGTCCAATTTCTTCGTTAGTTTTTAGATTTTTTCGGTTAATACCTTCATATAAGCTGATGGTCAAAAAGATGGCAACGAAAACTGTTCAATTGAGTCATATGAGCTTGTTACTCAACATATGTTTCAAATTTCTTGTCGTTCTTCTTTTGGTTTTCTTGGTACTTCTGGTTTTCGGTAGTCCGTCTCCCCGGACTTTCTCCTGCATATAACCGGCCAATAGGACCGCGGGAAATATTCATTTCAAATCCTCCGGGGTTATCTTCTCACTTCTTCTGTTGATCACATTAAATCCACATCATGATCAAATCCGTACTCAGACAGAGAATCCCCTTCAGAGGATTGGCCACCCTGGCCCAGCAACCTGCTCTTAAAAAGTTCCAAATCTATAGATGGAATCCGGACACACCCGAGGTTGAACCTCAAATGAAAACTTATGAAGTCGATCTTAACCAATGTGGTCCTATGGTTCTCGATGCTATTTTGAAAATCAAGAACGAACAGGACTCCACCTTGACCTTCAGAAGATCTTGTCGTGAGGGTATTTGTGGATCTTGTGCCATGAATATTGGTGGAATTAACACCTTGGCTTGTTTATGTAAAATCGACAAGGATACCAGTAAAGATACCAAGATTTATCCCTTGCCTCATATGTTTGTCGTGAGGGACTTGGTACCTGATTTGACTCACTTTTACAAGCAGTACAAGTCCATTCAACCTTACTTGCAAAGAGAAACCTTACCTTCTGACGGCAGAGAAAATTTGCAAAGTATCGAAGACAGAGCCAAGTTGGACGGTCTTTATGAATGTATTTTGTGTGCTTGTTGCTCCACTTCATGTCCATCGTACTGGTGGAACCAGCAAGAGTACTTGGGACCCGCTGTGTTGATGCAGGCATACAGATGGTTGATTGACTCTCGTGATGAGGCCACCAAGGCCAGAAAGCAGATGTTGCAAAACTCCATGTCTTTGTATAGATGCCACACCATCATGAACTGTGCCAGGACCTGTCCAAAGGGTTTGAACCCAGGTAGAGCCATCGCCGAAATCAAAAAACAGTTGGCATTTGACTAAGCATATAGCATGTAATTTATTGGAGTTGAGAATATGTAGCAAGTGAGATAGCAAGTAGATAGTGAAGTGCCAAGTTTGGCGAATCTTGGTTGACAACAGCTAGAGCAGTGATAGCTGTAGTTGTGATAGAGATAGCTGTGGATAGCATGGAATAGAGATTGGAGCAACCTTTCGATTAACTCAATGCGTTGCTGACACCGGCCGAAAACGCTAAACTCCAAGTCCGACTTTGACCGTTGTCAAGGTAGGCAGAAGACCATGAGCTCGAGGAGAAGAATGCGTACGAAGAAGATGCGTCGAAGAGCGCTTGGTTCAATCGCAAAATTCCTGCCCATCCGTCTTTGACGTTGGAGATAAATGTGGAGATTTGATCTTGCCATTCTTCCTTTACGTATGCACTGCCTCGAATGAGTGAAGATGCTGGTGTAATTGGAAGCATATGAATACCATGGACATACTCGGGATGTGCGTTTGGTGCTCCAAAATAAGTTGTGTAATCAATCTTGTTATCGAACAAGATACCAGATACTTTATTTGGAAGTATCTGTGATGGTTCAACCGAGTTTGATGAAGTATAGTACATGTACATGTTCATACTTCTCTTCATCACCGCGAGCATAAGATCTCCTGTTGATTCCATTCTTTGATTGCCTGATACTTTACCCCAAAGCTTCATTCCGTACGCAAAGTTGTAATCTTCAGAACTCGATTCCTCATTACGACCATCACCGGCTGCGAAAAGCCCCGATGCCCATGAATGACCAGCAAACCAATCGAACATTCTAAATACGGGAAATTGCTTGTCATCTGGCGATGGATTCGCTACATCTCTGATGAGCGCATTCACCCAAAACTGTTGATCTTTATACCAAGTTCCTCCGTATTTCTTGTCGACATATCCAATGATGGCTGCAGCATGTACAAAGTATCCATAATGGAAGTGATGATCGTTGTAATATGCGCTTCCAAATTCAGCGCCAGTATCACCTCCTTGTGATGCAGTCGAAGTAATTCCTCCAAACTTCGTATCGTACATCAAGGGATAATATTGCTGATTGTTGGTGAACACTGCAAAAGTGTCCTTGAGTATTTTCAAGGTTGACTTTGCTAATGTTTCGTCACCAATGATATCACTCACAACCAAGAGAATGTAAGCATATTTATCAAGAACCTTTCCTGAATAGTAGTTTGAGTTCATGGATAAGACCATCGTCTTTATATCTACCGATAACTCAGTATTGGCCGCCAGTGCAAGAAGCTTGAGTTGATTCGTCGTGTAAAATGGTGCAGTTGTACCCATTTGTTGAACCCAAGGCAAAAACTGAATGTTGTAGTTTAGCGATTCATTCATGATGATTTCGCTAGCCAAATAAGCAGACATTGTTCCTTTAGTTGTGGATGACAAGGTGATACCAGTGACAGCGTTTTTGGTGGTTGCATCAATCAGGTCAACATGGTGAGGCAATAAAAACACAATAGGTAAGTTGGATTTTGATGAACCTGCTTTAATGTATGAGAATCGATATTCAGCGGTCGTTCCACCATAACCATGCGCCTTGATTTTGGATTCAGTAACATACGTTCCTGCCGTCTGGTCGTAGTATTTGTCCTGTGACGATGATGGGGCCACGGCAATTTGAATCATCAAACCATTGATATTCTTAGATGCTTTGATTGTATTCGAATTTGAAACTGAAAATGTGAATCCGCTGGTGGACGTACCACTGGGAAACGTCACATATATCAAATATTCAGTGCCGCTGAAAAGAGTTGCTCTAAATTTCAATATGTTGGACAACAAGTTGGAGGAAGTTTCCTTCACGAGAGTTTTGACTCCAACTCCTGAGTTTATTTGAGGTATGAGATTTCCATGGTATATGGAAGTAACGAATCCCATACCTTGCACCACAGGGACCTCGATATAGTTAGTTGCCAGTCCTAATTTGACCAAAGCCGACATTACCTTCATGTTGGAGACTGACATCTTGAGATTTGATGTGAAAGACGTTGCTGAAAGAATCAATTCCTTGATGTTGATTGGATTGAAAAAGTATGAGGGATTGTTGTTGTTGGAATTGACATTACCAAATACTCGAGCGCTGGGGATCGTATGTTGTACTGCCCATCCGTAGTAGGTTGACTTCAGGTACTGCATTCCATAGGGATAAGACCAGATCATATCGGTTTGATCACCAAGAAAGAGATTGACATAAAACTTGTTGGTTTGGTATTTATCCGAGTTTGTCACACCAGATGGAATTGCCAATGGTAAGCTTTGTTTAGGAAATTTACCTGAGACGGCGTTGGTGGAAATTGCCTTAAACAAATCGCCTGTGAAACCATTTGCAGTCGAAGTTGAAGAGAAGACCCTAAATAATCGAGGCGAAGCAGCCGACGAAGTTTGGGTCGAGGTTGCAATTGTTGACTCGCTAGAGGATTCCGTCACACTTGCCGACAGAGCAACGGAAGACTCGGAGGTTGAGCTCTCACTTTCTGGCGATGAGGAAGGAGCTGAGCTTGAATATCCAGACAGCGAGCTTGCAATTGATGATGCAGAACTCGAATATCCAGACAGCGAGCCAGCTGATGTTGCAGAACTTGAGTAGCCAGACAGCGAGCCAGTCGATGCAGAGCTTGAGTAGCAAGACAGCGAGCTTGCAATTGAAGAGGCAGAATAGTGGGGTGCAACCAAGACAGATGAAGGAGCGGAAGTGGCCAGTGCAGAGGTCAGATTCAAGTACCTGCCCGAACTCAACGGAATACTCGATGGCTTGGACCTGAACGGGATACTCGATGGCTCGGAACTGAACGAGGATGGCTCGAGAGAACTGGACAGTTCACACGATGACTCTACCACTATAACATGCTTCTCAACCAGTGAGAGTTCAAGTGACCTTGACAGTAAAGTATCGTTGGTCTCTAAGGCAGTGTTGGCAACTTCTGTCAACGCTTTGTTGGCCAAACTGTCAGCCAGCTGAATAGCAGATGCAACGGTAAATTTCGTGGTTAATGATGGCTGTGTATACCGCATTTTTGGTCCATTTGTTGGAAACAGGGTGTTTGTAAAGACCACACCATCGGTTATGCTGGCAATCTCGATAGACTCTGCAAGAGGTTTAAAGATTTTGATTCCACCCGTTGCAAGAGGGTTTCTTCGAGTAGTTTCCAATTTTTCGACAGACGTAAATGTGGTGGAGGCTGGAGTCGATGATGCGGTATAGATGGTGGAGGTGGTAGTACCGTATTGGAAATTTGTCACAATAGTGGCGGGAGTTGGAGCAGCGGTCAACCCAGCAGTCGACGTAGCCAACCCAGCGGTTGACTCAGCGGTCCGCGTTTCAGCATCCACCACCTTGGTGATTTCTCCATCCAAATTCTCTTCGCTGGTGTCACGAGCCTTATAAACAAACACCAACTTGATCCCCGAAGGAGACACGCTTGGTTCCAATTTATCAACATTCAATGCCAACTTGACTTGTTCCTCAAAACATTCTGGATACACAATATTTCTCGCAAATGTTGCGGCAATCAAACTTAATCCAAATAAACCAGATTTCATTGAAAAACAACCAAATTCTTAAGAAGAAAAACTTTAAATTGAAGAAAAGTCCTCTTTTTATATTAAAAATTTGGCAGCCAAATTATTTCACGCCACATGATGCATGATGCAAGACAAACGCGTTATGCAAGCCATCTGTTGTTTATCCCTCGTAATTGGACCAGTTACGACGCCGCACGCATAGGAAAAACGGGGGCTGCATGCAGGATACATGTTATGAGATGGGCAATTTTTGGCGGCGAAATTGGGAGTGGGAGTAGTGACAACGGAAAGAGGGAGAAGAGAGGGTTATTTGAGTGGTTTCTCGGGTATTTTTGGGTTGTTGGCTGTGAATTTAGGAGGAGAATGGGTAAGTTAGTTATGGTGACTTGCATGGGTCCGAGGGCGCGGTGCATAAACCCAATCGAGGGCGTGTTGCGAATTTGAGGTGTGGGTGTGACCGGCGATGGTGTGTGGATGTGATCGAGGTCCTGTATGGTGGTGGGGGCCCCCACCATTCAGTTGGTGGGTGGTTGATTGGTGGTGGGCGGTGGGGGCACTGTGGGGACTGTGGGGCGGTGGGGTTAACTTATATATTCTCCTCTATTCATGTTTTCTCCAATGACCGTTTCTAATGATATTGTACCTGCTGGTATTTATACCCCAGTAACCACCTTTTTCCAAAAAGATGACCAATTTTTGGATTTGGAGTCTCAAGTTAAACATGCAAAATTTCTCTACGAACTGAAAATTCAAGGTTTACTTGTTTGTGGTTCTATGGGTGAAGCAGCTCATTTGACAAGAAAAGAAAGACACGATGTTGTTGCTGCGGTTCGCAATGCCATTTCTGACTCGGAATTCAAGATTATTGCTGGTGCTCCTTCCATGGCTAATGTATCTGAAATTGTTGAAGAATCGCAATCGGCAAAAGACGCTGGAGCCGATTTTTTCATTGTATTGGTACCAGGATTTTTCGGTCCAAATCTCACGTCACAAGCTGGAATTGTCGACTACTTTACTCGTGTAGCAGACAAATCTGCTTTACCTGTGTTAATTTACAATTATCCTGGCACCAGTAATATGGTTTCTATCACCGCTGAATCTTATAAAAAGCTTGCGGCTCATCCTAAAATTGTCGGTGCAAAATTTACTCATTGCAACATTGACGAATATACTCTTGTTGCTCAAGATCCAAAGATTAGAACCCAAAACTTTCGGTTATTTACCGGCTTGGGTCAGGTATTATTGCCTGCTTTAACCGTAGGGTTCTATGGTGCCATTGATGGACTTTCAGCAGTATTTCCCAAATCTTTGGTTCACTTGCAAACCCTTTACAACCGTGGAGAGTTGCAGGAGGCTGCAAAACTTCAACTTTTGGTCAATCGAGCTGAAAAATTGGTGGGTGAACTCAATATTAATGGAGTCAAGTATGCGTTGAAAGAGTTGTATGGGTTTGGAACTGGTCTTACTGCCAGACCACCATTGAACCATTACTTTACTGTTGAGGCTTATAATAAGTTCCAGGGTGATTTGAAGGCGTTGAAGGAGGTTGAAGACTCGTTAGCATAAATAAACCAAATATTTTCAAGAAAAAATTCTTGAAATTTTGCAAAAATTATAATTTTGTAATTATAAGAAACGAAAATAATCAGCTAGTGAACCGTATCAAACAAAGAGCCATTCAGATGAATTCAATATTTGAATCGTAAACTCTAAAAGCCTGAAAATTGTTTTTCGCAGCCAACATGATGTTCTCAATTCACTGTGAAAATGTAGATGTTCATACTTGCTAAATATCGAAATCTATACCCTTCCACAGAAATCATCTAAAACATGCAAACTAGTCAAGGCTATCGTTCAGCTAACTCATAAAAAGAAGAACATTATCTTTTTTGCAGCCAATATTATGACCACTCTTTCAACTTGCGGTTGCAAAAAATAGTATAGATTTGCTTATTCTTTGATTTTTTATGACTCCACCTCCTAAAACTACTCTTGGCCTTATATTCTTCTTCTCTATTCATATATGAAATTTTCAACATGACAATAATCTCATTTTCTCTTCAATCTCCTTTCTCTTTCTCATTTTCTCTCTCTCTTTTCTCACCACACATCTACAACCTCGTCACCCCCCACCAAGTAGAACCACTGTAGGACAACTATGCACCAGATTGCATTTTGGTATTTCACGCTTTGCTTAGAATACCAGAACTGTCAATTGCGATAATTTTGAAAATGCAGCACCTCATTAGTTATGCAGGCATCGTCAGTTAAGATGCACCAGATAGATTTACGAGGAACACTAAATGTCAAAGGGAGAATTGTGGATGGCAGCTGATTATGTGTTGAAACGTAGATCAACCGACATAGATTACATGAGGCTGTTTACTGTGAACTTATGCGTTACTTTAGTCTATGAACTAATTAACTTTTACAGAGCAGAGACTTCCTTTTTAGCTCCCAAGGTCGGCTTAGTAAGCCGAGACTGTCGTACTTTAACCGCGCTGCATTCTCGCTAAGCTAAGCCTAGTTAATCAGGATTATGTCATGAAGTCCATGACAGCCGATTATGGATGCCGACTAAGCCCACTTGAGCCTATAAAAGGGTCAAAGTTGTGGTGAAACTCCACCGAAATTGAGAAATATTGTGTAACCGTTGTTAGGAATTATACTATCAAAGAAAAGTGCATTCATATACTCTACACTCTCACATTAATCGTGAACGCTTTAGACAAACTCAGTTTCACCCATAAAAACTATAGTCTTTTGGTCTGATAGATTGAAAGTCATAAGGGTTACTGGTCTAAAGCTTAGACCAACTTTGAACCAAATATCAATGTTATTCAAACAATTGCTTTCACTTGTCACGCTTACAGTCGTGACAGCACTCACTGATAATTATCATTTTTATCACGATCCAGAAGACTTTAGAGTCAGCATTAATATGCTTGAATTCGGCGACAAAACCTATGTCAACTTGGCCAAAATAAACCCAAAAACTACTTATACAAATGCTGATCGATTTCGAGGTGAATTGAATCCAGAAGATCAACAACTCTTAACACAAGTATTAACCATGCTGGGTCTTGATAGTTCTTTACTCACTGAAAAATTATCTGACTATTACCTTGGATAAGGAGATATCTACAAAAAAATATTGTTAAAGACTCTGTTGACGATAATTGGTGGTATAACTCATTTGATAGTATTATTGGAGAACACCTGAGATGAAGTCATGGCTAAGGAAATTGGTCATATACTCAAGTTTTAAAGAAAGGATCCAACGTTGGAACTATCTGTACTTCACTTTCGAAGCAATTAAAGGTGCATCAACTTCAAAGTTGTAATGGTTTCGCTTACTGGTTAACCTTAATGATGAACATGAACTTGACTTTGGATGTTTCAAATGTTGTCTACAATTATTCTGACTAGTAATATGGTAATTATAACCGCTGAGTCTAATTCGCGGCTCCTAAAATTGTGGGTGCAAAATTTACCATTGCAACATCGAATACTCTTGTTGACCAAGATCCAAAGATTAGGACCAGAACCTTGGGTTGTTTATGAACCATATCAAAAGGATTTTCAGACGAATTCAGTTCATATAAATTTTAACTCTAAACGAGTAGGAACAATTTCGCAGCCAATATAAAAATACTTCTCAATTCACTGTGCAAAATGTAGATATTCAAACTTGGCTAATTCGAAATCTATACCTTCCACATAAATCATCAAACAGGTAAATGAGTCAGGGTTATCTTTTTGTCGGATGAAAAGGAGAACTATTATTTTTTTGCAGCCATTAAGACCATTCTTCAACTTGGTTGCAAATAAAAAGTACAGTATTTATGATTTATTGTCCATCTCTCTCGACTGTGCTCCATTCTCTTCACTTCCTCTACTCATATATGAAGTTTTCAACATGACAATGATCTCATTTTCTCTTCAATCTCTAATTCGTTTTTTTCTTTCCCTTTTTTTACCACCCCCTCCATGGAACCCACACATCCACTACCTCGTTTCCCTCCACCACGTAGAACCATGGGTGAGCAGCAGCAGTGATACAACTATGCTGGGGAACCACTCCAACTCGGGTTCCTATAGGAATGAAATCTGTCGGTTTATCTTCTTCAGCAACCAAGATTCCATGTTCTTGACTCAAACGGCCCACGATCCAGTTTTCGTAGCCTGCTGGTTCGACTATTCTTCCATGACCAGGCATAGGACCAGTTTCTCTCGCTAAAGCTATGGCTCCGGCATTGATCAATTGCTCACCTGGACCTTTATTTCCACGGCCAGAATAGGTCGAAACAACGTCCGCATAGAGCTTGATGGAGACATCTTGGTAGCCGACACAATTGGTGGCTACTTGTTGCAAATCACAAAATGGATAGTTCCCAGCATGCAATTCCAACTTTGCTGCGAGTGGCTCGCCCAACTTTTGTTCCATTTCCTCAACAGATAAACACTCAGAAGCATGAGCCGTGGGTGTGGCTCCAACAGACATGTGCAATTGCAAGCTAGGATCAATTTTGAGTGCTTCTTTGGTGGCTTTGTGAGCATGGGTGATTTCCTGGAGCAAAAAATCTTTCGCAGCATCTTCGGTTTTCGAGCTGTATGAGTGCCCAGCGTGACAATAAAATCCATAAATTTCCACTGCACACTTGACTTCAGGACTCAATGCTTTCACGATGGTTTTGTGGAGGTTCTCTGTGTCGTTGATGAGCCCGGCTCGGTTGGTACCCATATTGATTTTGATATAAATTGACCATTTCTTCGCATGAGTATGGCCCTTGTTGTACGCTGCCAACATATCCAATTGCTCGGGATTGTCCAACATCACTCTCAAATGTGGAACCTGGGTGCTCACGGCAACAAGCTCGTCGAGCGTGGACTCATAAATAGGCAAACTGAAGTGGATATCGTTGATCTTACCTGCCTTGACCAACGGCATCACCATCCATGCCTCTCTCAAAGTCGACACCACCACACGATCGGTGGTCAGTTTTCCACTCCCAAGTTGCAATTCCGTCCCCTCAACCGTCTTGTGGGTTTTCACGTGTGCCCGAAACGCTGCGTTCAACTTACGGGCATTTTCCAACATCAGCTCGCAATTCCGACGGAAAATTTTCCGATCAACCACAAAGTTCGGGGTGGGCAACTCCGAGATTTTGGCTCCTTTAAAGTGCGCCACAAGCGCCTGCTTATCGGGAAGAGTATTGAAATCGGAACAAAATGGCATTTTGGTATTTTTCACCGGTCGCTTAGTTAAATACCCAAAAAATGTCAATTGCCGATAACGCACTGCATACAGGAGCCGCCATTTGACGCCCCCCACCAAATGCCGAAATGTGGGGTAAGAATTTGGCAGTGTATCAGGCGATTTTTAGTAGTATAGACATGCTTCTGGCTACGAAAAGTGCCCAAAATGGTACATGGCGCAATTGCTCATGAGTGGCACTTCAACTCCAAATCTCACATGTTTCCTTATCTTATCTCTGAGCTTATCTCGCGCCCCCACCATTTTGTTTGGTGGCGGCGCACATACTCGCTCGCACCGGCCTCCACCATCCCCACACTCTCCATCATATTTAAATCAAAAATCCAGCAGATAAGCCAATGCCCGAGTATACCCTTCAAGACGACCACTCCTTTGCCGGGGGAGTTCCTCCGACCCCATTTCGTATCCATGAGTCGATGATCGACAAGTTGGATCCGGAGTACGTGAAATTTTTCAACTCCACCTTGAGTTCCAATGCCAACATTGTGTACACCCACCGAGTTCCCTTGGAGGAATTGAGGAGCGCCGGCAATGTTATACCTGGTCAGACTCCAATGAATGATATGGCTAAAATTTTTGACATTGAAATTCCTCGGAAACATACCCAGGCTCCCAAGCCGATTCCCGCGAGAGTATTCGTTCCCCACGGTGAAGCGCCTGCTGATGGGTGGCCGTTGGTGATCTGGTACCATGGTGGAGGATGGGTTCTTGGCGGAATAGGCACCGAAAACTCATATTGTACAAAAGTGGCCGACAATGCCAAGAGTATAGTTGTGTCGGTGGACTACCGATTGGCTCCGCAAGATCCATATCCAGCCGCCGTTCACGATGCTTACGAGGCATTGCTCTGGGGTTTTGAGAGCGGACCTACGGAGCTTGGCATAGACAACACCAGGATTTGCGTGGCTGGTTCGTCTGCTGGTGGAAACTTAACGGGAATTGTTACTCACAAGTATGTGAATTCTGAAATTTGCAAAGAATTTCCACCGGTGAAATTTCATTATATGGTGGTTCCAGTCACCGATAACACTGCCACGGCACAAACCATGCCTTCGTGGGGCGAAAATGAACATACTCCACAACTTCCAGCGGAAAAAATGCTCTGGTATCGTCGCCTATATCTCCAGAATGGAGAGCACGCTGAGCCAGAATCGTCTCCATTATTTTACCCCGACGAAAGTTTTGCCAAGTTGCCTCCATGCTTCATAGCTTGCTGTGAATGTGACGTTTTGCGTTCTGAAGCAGAAGCGTATGCCGACAAATTGAAAAAAAATGGAGTCAAGACCTCCATCGTGATCTACCCAGGAATGCCCCATCCTGCCATGGTTATGGACGCCGTGATGCCTCAGGGCCGTGATTTGGTCAGGGATACTACATCTGCTGCTAGGGAAGCACTTTATAGCTAGACTACTCGATAGAATACATGCCATCACAAGAAATTTTCGTTCTTCCCAAACTGCGCTCGATGGCATTTTGAAAGAGCCTCGAATATTCAAGACCAACTTCCCAGTTGGAGCGCTCAAACATCCTGAAAAACACCTTGAGGAGGCCCACTATATGGTTCTTGTTGGGTACCGTCGGTAGGTTTTCAGCATGTTGCCGTATGGTCGAGTGGTAGATGGTGCTGGTGGGATTGTTCTTACTGGTTGCAACATATGTTGGAGTTTCCACCGGGGCTCCAGAAGCCTGGGAGAGCTGGCGACGGATCCGCCGCAAGTAGGAATAGCCGTCTTCCTTCTCAGGGTAGAAATTTGCGTTTGGTGGAAGCTCGTCAAATAGCGAGGATTCGGGTCCCTCGAGTGAAAAATTGTATGCGAAAATCACCAATATGGCACTGGCCATAATATTCTTGCGGTGCAAAAAAGGGTCGCAATTGGGGTCGTAGGTGTAAGTTATGTCTTCGTTGGTGGGCGAAAGTAGCATTTCAAAGAGAAACATGTACGCATGGATAACAGAAATTCTTCCAGCTGAAGACTGCGACCATTTGAGTATACGATTTTCCACTGTGCGGTACTCGTGCTCTCCCACCTTAACATTCATTCTGCTCGGAGCCCCAGCATAGATAATGTAGTCGTAGTGGGTGATTCTCATGTAGATTTGCGAGATATGATATAGTGCAAATTTGCATCGCAGGTCGTCGGGTCGGAGCATGGGAGGTAAGAGCTTGCGATCGTTTGGAGCAAAGCAAAGAGAAGTTTCTGTCGAGCAGCAGCCTGGTGTACATATATCGACTCTCCAGACGTCAATAGCTAGCGAAATGGTATCTGTCCACGAATCTTTGACTGAGTTCCATTCGATGAAAGATAGCTGCAAATCCTTTTGTTGCATTTGGAACATTATAGTGAGAAGTCCTGCTAGCAAGATCTTTTTTCCAAACGACGAAGTGGGTATTTTCTGCCGGTGGAGTAAGCTTTTGAGAGCTGCGAGGAATTTTGGAGTTTTTAGTCCTTTGAAAGAATCGGTTTTTTGGCCCACATTGTCAAACTCCCAAAGCTCGTCTTCGCAGGGAAGCGAGAGTCGGATCTGATGAGCATAAAGAACTACCATATGGCCATATACTGTGGCATGGACGGTGTCGAGGTAGAAAGCCATCAAGGTGGCTCTTTTCATCGACTCCACCTCGACCCATTTTTTCCACACATGGTTGGCTGGAAGGTATGCGTCGTCTTCGTCTTCGTCTTCGTCTTTCAATGGATCTCCTCCAAGCACTGGAGATCTTCGAAGAAGCTGTATTTTGGCACCGTGGTGCAAGTAAGCTCGCTCATGAAGAAACCGGGTCGTGGAGGTGATTTCGTAGGTTTCTAAGAGGAGCAAGCTCTGGATCACCCAGAGCCTGGCTGGAGGTTTGCAGTCTGAATTCGACAAGATGAGCCATCGAAGAGGTCCTGCTATTTCGTCAGCTAGAGCTTTTGGATGGTGGAAGATTGCCAGCTCATCGTTGCCTGTGCAAGTGCTTAGACCGGCTCCTAGCATGATCATAGCTAGAAGAAGTAGCGGGTGGGCATCGTAATTTGAGAACGACGGTTTGTGAAGAATTGGATATTGCGGATGGTAGATAAGCCAGTAAACTTGAAGGCATCGCTCTATTTGGCGAACACCAAATTCTGGGTTGTACTGTAGCAGCGGAATGAGAGATACGAGTACCAGACGAATATTCTCATCGACATTTTTGCGGGTATTGGAATGGGGAAATTCTGGAGAAACCGCAAACATCGACTCGAGAAAAGACATTGGAGAAAACCCTGATGGCCGTTCTGGCGAAGGTCCAGGAGGGTTACCGATCTCAAGATCATCGTGAAAAAGCCATTCGATAAGATCGGATGGAGATAGAGATTTGCCCAAATCTCCCCCACTTTGTTGCAACCCATTATTGGCATTTGGGTGCAAATTGTGTCCCCCACTTTCACCCAAGTTTCTTTCACCACTCGATCTTGGGTGTGTCTGTGGTTTTTGGCCCTTGCTGTCCATTATAGGAACCAGCTGAAACAGTGGAGAAGGTTGGTGGTTATCTTCGGGTGATGGTGGGGGAGGATGGTCGTCCATTGGTGGGGGGTCGTATTCGCAGGAGACCGTTGAATTCTCCGCTACTTTTGCTGAGCTCCCATAACCACTTTTGAGCTGTCGTTCCTTGTGTCGCCGAAAATGTTTCTCCTTTATATCGTTTCGAGCGAAAACTCGGCCACATCCAGGCCAGTTACACTGGTAACTTTTAGCTACATCGTGGTTTCTTTTGTGACGTGAAAGGTGGTCGCCTCGAGAAAAGACCCTTCCACACCCTGGATGCTCGCATTCAAATCGACCGTGAATTCGTTTTCGTTGGCGTTTTTCCATGGAGAAATGTGGGGCGCCGGGTTTATAAAGGTGCATGGATGCAAAAACGAGAATACTTACGAGTGATAGAACTGATAGGTCAAAGACTGACAAGTCATTTAATGATAAGTTACAAACTGATCTGTCACTACTGATAGGTCACTTTTTGATCCAATACGAATGATCGTTATTTATTTTAATCTGTAGTAGCTATAACCTCCAACTCAACCTTGATGCGGGCATCCATGAATGCGGCTATCACACAGCTGCGGGCCGGCTTTTGAGGAAAGTACTTGCCGTAAATTTCATTAAAAGTTTTGTAATCTGCGTGCGAAATGAACATCATCACCTTAAACACCTTGTCGAGGCTCGAACCCGAGGCCTCGAGAATGCGCTTAACGTTGGCAATTGCGAGTTCCGTTTGCTCTTCGAGCGATTCGGGAATTTCGCCAGTAGTGTAGTTCTGGCCTACAATTCCAGAAGTGAAGACATGGCCGTTACTTTTCCAAGCAGGACCCAACACCGGGTGTTCCTGACCATCAATTGCTGACCATTCCAATTTTTCGGCTACCATGACTGAGGGGGAAGAATTGGGGTTGGTGAATATATACCTTGCCCCCCACCAGGGTGGCCGCCGCGCTAAGCGTGCGAAGCATGCGAAGCGCCCGATACGATTTTGCCGCGCACGGACGGTGGGGGCCCACCGTTCGCGGCCCCCCACCACCAACCCCACATTATCAGATAGCTTATCTCTCCACTTCTGTGTACTTAAACCCCCTCCAGATGCTTTCCAGCCATAAACGATGTCCAAGCAAACGTCTAAGAACCCCTCGGTGGTAGAACGTAAGTCGGTTTCAAGCCTAGAGTCAAATAACCAAAATTTCACCACCGTCACCTCCAACAACGGTGCCATTATTCCTGTCAATGATGACCATGTTGACCATAAACTTGAAAGGAGGATCTGCCGCAAGCTCGACTTTCGTATTCTTCCCATGACGGCTCTCATGTACCTTTTCAATGCCTTGGATAAGGGAAATATTTCAAATGCCAAGACCGATGGGCTTGACGTTGATTTGAACATTACTGGTTCCAGATGGAATTTGATGTTGTCTATCTTTTATATTCCGTTTGTGTTGTTTGCGTTCCCACTCTCGCTTCTTATCAAGCGATATAATCCAGCCAGAGTGATCCCAGTGTTAATGTTCACGTTTGGATCGATTACACTTTTGGCAGTGTCGGTGTTCAATTTCGAGTCGTTGATGGCTGCTAGATGGTTTTTGGGGCTTTGTGAGCTGGCCTTCTTCCCCGGAATCATTTATTACTTGACAAAGTTTTACAGAAGACACGAACTTGCCCGAAGACTTGCGATATTCTATGCTGCGGCTAACATTGCCAATGCATTTTCTGGGCTTCTTTCGTTTGGAGTTTTCCAGATTAACAATCCTAATCTTCACGGATGGCAGATTTTGTTCCTTGTGGAAGGAAGTTGTACGGTGGTTTTTGCTGTGGTGGCATACATGTTCTTGCCTCGTTCTGTGGAAACTGCAAAATTCTTCACCGAAGAAGAACGAGCTTGTGCCATTGAAAGAGTATCCACCGACTCTTCGGCGGCTTCTGGTGAGACAATTGTGTTCAAAGATGCCATAAAAGTGTTCAAACATCCAGTGGCTCTCGGGTGGATGTTTGTTGAAATTTGTATTGGTGTGCCTTTGAACTCCATTAACAATTGGTTCCCGCAAATTGTTGGAGTTTTGGGCAAGTCGACGGTCCAGACAAACTTGTACACTGTTGCTCCCAATATTTGGGGAGCAGTGGCTCTTATTGTTCTAGCTTTCAGTTCGGATTATTTCAGAGTCAGATCGGCATTTATTTGCACCGCCGTGCTCATCACCTTGATAGGTTTTGCAGTTTATGGTGCCATTGATGTTCAGTCTCATCTTGGAGTGGCTTACTTTGCTTGTTTCCTAATGACTACGGGAGCTTCAGCTTCTTCAGTTTTGACTTCAACTTGGTACAACAATAATACTCCAAATGAGAACAGAAGAGTGGTGATAAGTTCGGTGGGAGTTCCTTTGGCCAATGCTGCTGGGCTCATCTCCACCAATATTTTCCGAGCACAAGATGCTCCCAAGTACGTTCCAGCATTGGGAATTACCGCTGGGTTTGGTGGTCTTGCAATTGTATTGATTGCGTCAATTACCACTTTTATGATCTTTGATAACCGCCGGAGAAATAGACAGCAGGATGTCAATCTCACATACAAAGATGTACCTACATCAGAGCTTCGAGAGGGTCCCGCAAACCCGAACTACAGGTGGATGTACTAAAGAGAAACTTGAAGTACAGATATACTAGCTATGTATTATGAATCACGAGAGCTTGTGGGTACACTCCTCTTCCTCCTCGTAGATTATCCAGTCTTCAAACCCATCGTCAAAAACTCCTTGTAAACTTCTGTCGACTTTGAAAAGATTCTTTTGTTCTTTCACCACTTCTTTATAAGAGTTGTACTCATTGTCATCAAGCAAGCATTTGTCGAGAGCGTTTGTGAGTGCTTTCTTATTGATGTCAACTCCAATAAAAACAATTTCGTTTCTTCTATCACCAAATTCTCCTTCCATATCTTTCTTGATAAGTTCTTCTGCCTCAGCAGGAAGGTCCGGTTTCACAACGTCAAACCAAGGAATTCCGCCTCTAATAGTTAACATAACTCCAGAAGAAGACCATTCTCCTCTCATGATATGGCGGGTAGCAAGCCAAATGAAACCTTTGGATCGAAGAATAGGGCCAAATGGTGACTTCTTCTTGTTGCGAACGATTTCTTTTTCGGAGGGTCCTTCAGATTCTTCAGATTCTTCATCCTCCTCCTCTTCTTCATCATCCTCATCGTTTTCTCCATTTTCTTCTTCCTCTTCCTCTTCATCCTCATCATTTTCTCCCTTTCCTCCATTTTCTCCATTCTCACCAGTGTGCTCGATAACATAAAACTTGTCCCTAATAAGCTTGTACAATCTCTCGGGATGAAAGGGCCTCCTAGAAGTATATACAAAGTTGGAGATACCATACTCTTCGGTTTCGGGTTTGGGTGCCAAAGTTTTGTTTCCATTATTGTCTCTCATCTGCATCTCGTTGATACTTTGGAGCCAACCGGCAGACGTCGAAGCAACCTCAAAATCAAATCTTTTTGTATTTACAATGGCTTTAATGTCCACTTTGCAATAGTCTGTTTCAATAACTCTTGCAATTGGGTTCAAAGACTTGATCACTCGAAGAATTTTTCTCTTCTTTTTCGACTTGACGAGCGAAGTCTTGTTCAAGATTATCACATCTGCAAACTCAACTTGGTCTGTCATCAAGTCTGAAATGGTTCTTTCGTCTTCTTGCTGACCACTGTTTCCCCATCTGTCAGCCAAAAAGTCGGTGGTTTCAAAAGTGGACAAAAAATTCACAGCATCAACGACAGTGACACAAGTATCGAGCTTGGTGATGCTCTTAAGACCTCCAATATCAATGACATCCTTGATCACTTTCGACTCTTCAGCTGTCAAAGACAAGTCTTCAGCAAGAAGAGCTTCGCTAAACTCGGTTGTGAAGGTTTCTGCTACTTGCATAGGCTCCGATATACCAGTTGACTCGATCAAAATGTACTGAAACTCACCACTTTTCCCAAGAGTTACCAATTCCTGAAGCAAATCTCCTCTCAAAGTGCAACAAATACATCCGTTTTGAAGCTGGACAAGTTCTTCTTTCTTATTGGTGACTTTATGGTGCTTGATCAATTCCGCGTCAATGTTGAGTTTGGATACATCGTTAATAATCACCGCCACTTTGAGACCATGGTTACTGGTCAAGATATGTTCCACCAACGTGGTCTTTCCAGATCCTAGAAAACCAGACAAGAGAGTAATTGGAACGGGTGCAAATTGTGTCATTTTGACCACTAAGGTGGCTGCAAATCGTGCTTATATATGTCTGCAACCTTAGTGGCTCGACCTCTGTGGTTATGCAAAATTTTTTAGAAAGTGCCAAACAAACCTCGGTGGCATCGTTGGAGGTTCAATTGCATGCACTTGAGGCTAATCATCGGATCAGAGGTACGTTTAGTTTAAATGGTGCAGATTTAGGTTGCAACTTGCAGATTTGTGTGCAGGACACCGGCTGCAAAAAGATAAGAAAAACCAAGAGTATCATAAAACTAGTGGGCTACTGACTATTTATTTCTAATCATATATTTCAGAACTTGCAGAATTCAAGAATTGAGGCTTTAAAAGTAGAATCTTGGCCAAATGCCACAGTACGATTAAGTTTGGTTGGGCCCCGGTTTGTACTGAGGTGTATGCTTGATAAATAAGTGCATGCGTTATACATGATTGCATGCGTTATACATAATTGCATACATAATACATAATTGCATACATGATACATAATTGCATACATGATACATATTTGCATACATTATACATATTTGCATACATTATACATATTTGCATGCTCAAGACATACTCACATCTCCCTCACAACTAACACCACCAACTTTAAATCTTAAATAAACTCTCCTTTCTTAAAATCTCTATTCACTTATAAAAACATATATTAAAACTCTCAAACTAACATTGTTGAAGTAAAATTTGGGCTTCGGAAAGTACTTGCGAAAAGACGTTCAGCCTTAAGGTACAAGCTTCCAATGAGGTCAAAGCATTAGCGGCAACAGATCCTGCTTTACAAGCGGTAGTAATAGCAGGACCAATCAAAAGTCCAACTCCAAACTCACTAAGAATAGCAGTTCCAGCAGTAGTAGTAATGCTAATACCAGCTTGCTCGAGGAACCTAATGACAAGATTGATAAAAGTATCAGCATCATGTGCGGTCTTTGGAGACTTGGCAATGGCTATAGCCTCCTCAGCAATAGCCTTCACAATAGCAGCAGCAAAATAGTTGACAATTGGGAAAGTTTCGTTGGCTAAAGCAGCGGCTTCGGGTGCCAATCCAATGTAGCCTGCCAATTCTTGAACGAATTCAGAACCTTGAGCCTCGGCACCCTCAATGATTTGCTCAACGGTTTGGATTGTTTCGTTCTTGATGTACTCAGCAGGACCAGAACTCAAAATTAATCCTGCCAAGTACTCGGCATCTTCATACCATTCAATACCGTTGGTGTGTGGAGCTTTGCTGGTACCAGTAAAGTTCTCAGCAGCACACTTGAGATCTTGAAAAGTGGTTTTGGCCAATGCTTCGAGGTCTTGCACGCCATGAACAATGGCTCCTGTAGTTTCGGCCACTTCGTGGAAAAGGTCGCTCAAGAAACCTCTGCGAGTGACTTGAACCGGAGAAGCAGAAACGAGACTAGTTGCAAAAGCAGTGAGTGCAAAATATTTGATGGAAACCATTGATGAAAATCGATAGGAATACCATCAGTTTATATACCCATCAGCTGATTCTCGATGCATTCTAAGCCCTTAACGTGGGTTGATAGTGGCTAGCGGGAACAATAGTATTAATGCAGGTGTTTTAATTATTACTAGCCGAAAAAAAATATGCATTATCTTATACATACTGTACAAGCATGTTAGCTGACTCTGGTCATCGATACCATACATTAAACATTCCTTATCAGACAAACCATCAAAACTTTGGTTCATTATCACAAGCATTCCACGAAAATGAAAAAAAGAAACCACTGTTGTCCGTCAAAAGTAGTAATGCCGCTACTATTTTGGATGCAAAGAAGTTACCGGATGCGTCCGCGGCCACTCCATATGCATAACATGCGCGCCGCAATCAATAATTTTGCAGCTTCACCCGATATCATGCCAACGGCCAATATATTCACAAATCCGAAGTGGATTTCTCGCCGGATAATCCGAGACTTTAAATCGATCCGAATAGCCGATATGCATCTTCACTTTACCACGTTTTGCACAAGGAGCGGAATCAGATCAAGAATCAGCTCTTGAGGATTCGTTAATTAGAATCCGTTAAGCCACAGAACTGTCCTACATGATTCAGGGGAAAGTAATGCTTAAAAGATTTTCTCAATAACGGTTTTTGCTTGTTTTCAGTCGTTGAAGGATTAGGCGTTCATGCATAACGCAACCTGCAAAACCCGAACGCGCACATGTGTCAAAACCTGCATGCTGTCCCAGGATGCATATGCGCGGCTGGGTGGCTGCAACTTCTACCCATGAGGATTACAACGACTAGAATCAAAAATAGCATCATCTAAATTGCTACTTGAAAGCAATGATTAAATTCTGTAGCCTAACAACTGTTTTTGAACAAGATTTGCATCTCGGAAAGTACTTGAGAAATTGGGTTTATGTTCAAGGTACAAGCCTCCAATGATGTGGCGACGTTAAAGGTGGTAGATCCAACAATACAGATAACTTGCTGGGATGGAGCAACAAGAAATCCTACACCGTATGGAGCAAGAACAGTGGAAAGTCCAGTAACGGCAATTTGAACTCCAGCTTGTTCGAGCAATTTGATGGTGGTATTGATGATACCATCCACTGCGTTGGCAGTTCCTTGACTGGTAGCAACAGCCTAGACATTTTGAGCAATTGCAGTAACAAGAGCGACCGCATACTTGTTCACAATAGGAAAAGTTGCATTGGAAAGTTTTGCAACTTCTGAGCTCAATCCCAAGTGTCCGGCAAATTCAACTAAAAAATCTGTACCTTGGGCTTCAGCACCCTTGACAATATTTTCAACAGTCAATGTAGTTTGTTGCTTAAGATATTCAGCAATTCCATTATTGATGGCTAAACCAGCCAAGTACTCTGCATTTTCGTACCACTCAATACCATTGGTATGTGGAGCTTTCTTGATACCAGTAAAGTTTTCAGCGGCACATTTAAGATCTTTGAAAGCAAGAACTCCAAGAGAAACTCCGGTCTTAAGGCCATTAACGATACTTGGAGCATCTTGATAAATCTTACCAGTGAGTCCAGCAACATCATTAAAGATATTCCGGACCAAACTTCTCTTGTCCACATCCTCGATAGGCTGAGCAGAAACCATACCGAGAGCAACGGTGGATACGATAATTTTTTTGAAAGAGACCATTTGTTGAATGAATGATATTGTTGAAGGAATAGCTTCTTTTATAATTTACTGAGAGCCATAAGAGGTTGCGCTCCAATTTTAACGGTTATGCACGAAGGTATAATAGTTCCATTGCAGTATATCTTTCTGAATTTTTTAACAAATGAAGTGGTCATTATTAAAGTAAAAGATCACGGTGTTCAAACTACACAAGCTTTCCTGAGCAGAAATTGGTGCCGATGGTAGTTTTTCAGAACCAGGTTCTAAAGAGTCCAACTTGAACCCTTCAAGTTGAATGCACATGGTGCAAATTAGGTGCTGCACAATACATGTACAATATGCATAATATGCATAGAAGCTGTCACAATTAGTCCCTATATGTTTCAACTTTTGTCGGAAAAATCACAATGAGAGCACCAGAACCTGCTGCTTGTTCTCAAGCGATTTCGATAATATCTTATCAACTCACATTCTCTCTCAAGATTTACTATTGATAGTCCTATCTTACAACATATTGCGCTCTGTTCATGCACGATGTCCTACCAACTCATCAACTTGAAGATCAAACGTGGGCCAAGAACGCTTGAAGGAACCCTCTGTGCATCTCTATCAAAGTGGTATCTGTAGACCATTCTGGGAATAAAGCCGAGGTCTGAGTTTCGGTGGCGGAAGTCAATGTGAATTTGGATCTAAAAATATTCCGATCTCTACTCTATACTAACCGACTCTAGTTCCTAAAGCATCAGCTAAGTGCTTGAATCTCTCTTTGTGGAGCAGAAATGAACATACTCATGGATATAGTTGGGACACCCAAGACGCATATCGCCTATTCGGACTTAATATTTCCGGGCGGTTAATCTAATTGGGTTTAGATAACTTTGTGGATTTTCGAGATTCGTCTTCTCATTTTGTATTTCGGGCCGAACAGCGGGATTCGCTTGTTCATAAGTGCTCGCAATTTATACGAAAACTGTTTTGCTAAATATAGAACGAACGGGTTCAATGAGAATGTAGCTTGCATTATCATATTACGCTGTGAATTCATTCATCATTCCAGCCGTATTACGAAGTACTGATTGCATTTACATGCAGAGATATGCATATTTGACGTATTTTCTATGCACGATGCAAAGCGATAAGGTTGCAATAGCGCCAGGGCAAAATCAAATGGAAATGGTTTACCAGTACTGGTATTGGCACTCGTGGTCTACGGTGAATTCGGTCAACAGATTCATTCAAGAAAGTCTAACGATACAGGGCATCTGTTTTCAAACGTCCCCAATTGACAATATCTGCTAGAACATTGCACATCAAACCTTCGCTTTTACGAATCAAAATCAATACCCTTTTGAACCTCGGGGATCGAATCAATGTTCTTAAACCATTTGTCAACCAAAGGCCATTCGCTAAACGAGATACCCAATTTTTCGGCGGCTTTAGCCCACCCGAAGCTCGCAATGTCACTGATACTCAAGTGATCACCCACCAAATAGGGACCGTTCTTTTCGTTATTTTTCAAGAAAATCTCAAGAACGGAATACAATCTCTTGGTTTCATTAATATACCGGTTGATACCATAAGGAACCGTTTCCGGAGCATAGATCTTGAAATGATTGGCCTGTCCCTGCATTGGTCCCAATCCTGCCATCTGCCAAAAAAGGGTCTCCAATTGCAAATAGTACTCCTTGGTACCATGCTTGTACGAAAACTTATGGTCCTTGTCGTAAGTGTCGACCAAGTACTGCAAAATTGCTCCAGATTCACTGATGGTGATTCCAGTAGACTTGTCCTCCAAAGTTGGAATTCTGCCATTGGGGTTTTTGGCAATAAACCAAGGTTCTTTCGTTCCATTGTTGGCAATACTGAGTTGCTGGTAGTCATATTTCAAGCCAAGAAGCTCAAGAAGAATGGAGACTTTGATCCCATTGGGAGTCTTGGCAGTGTAGAGTTTCAATTGAGTAGACATGTTGTTGAAAAGTTGGACAGAAGTGAAGTTTATAAGGAGTAGACGATTACTAATTGGTGAAGAAATCGCAGCCATACTATTGCTTCACCTGCATATGCACTGTGGCTTTACCTGCATAAGCTTGGGTACCGTGCGTCTCGGATCAACGTCGCCACCCTCTGATTAGTGGAATTACACGGAGGAGCTTGAATTATCCCCGAGTGAAGGATATAACTCGTTTCTTCCGTGATTCTGACAAATACAAGCCCTTCCAAAAGATCAGCAAAGAATTTTTTGCAACTGGGTCCTGGACTGCTCCGCTCTATTTGTGGGGTAACCTGTGCGCATGTGGAGCCTGCATGCGCATAATGCAACCAGCGATTGGCAATTTTTGCATTGCAATGGGTTATCCTACCAAAATCAAAGCTGCTGTACGCAAGCTCAATGACCTGGTGGTTATTGTATCTTGTCCTTTCAGTTACTTGGGACTCTTTAATATAGGTGCCAGAACTGCTCTTATACAATGTGAAGGAGGAATTGTGGTTTGGTCTCCGATGATCTATGGCGATTATATCGTTGAAGGGTTGCAGAAATTGACTGGAAATTCGTCCTCAAACCCAGCAGACTATAATGTTACTCATATTGTAGCATTGAGTACTGAGCATTACTTGGGAGTTGATTCTTTCACTGCTCATTTCAAAAAAGCCAAGGTGATCTCATCAGAAGCTACCACTCGAGTGTCAGTGGACTACAAATTAACTGATGCAATTGCAAACAAGGTTATCACTTTGAACGACATTACTCGTGCCAATGGCTCTGAAACAGAAAAGGGTTTTAACGAACTCGAGTTCGTTTACTTACCATTGCACTTTGACAAAGAAGTTGTGGTTTACTTGAAACCACAAAAGATGCTATTTCAAGCTGACATTCTTATGAATTTGGGTATACACGGCACCACTACGGGAGACGTAGTTTTAGAGCAATACTCACCAGAAACTGGTTACCCAAAAGGGTTCAATCCCCATGGATGGATATCATTTGCAACCAGATATTTTCAGCCATTCAGTAAAGTATACAATTTAACTTTCACTCGGTTGTTTCCCAGGGCTCATCTTTCAAAAGCGAGAAAAGGTCTAGCTGCTATATGTGACTTGGACTTTGAAACAATTGTGCCTGCTCATGGTAATGTGGTAACCACCCGAGCAAAAGAAGCCATGAGACATGTGTGCCGACTTGAAAACGACTTACAATAAGAAATTGAAAGAACTATCAATGCCTAAAGAACACTTGCAAGTATGAAATTTCATTAGTTGTCTTATCTTCATTTTCCTCTACTACTGATACCATCCTTGAGCCATAAATTATATCAATTGTAGGTCAACTTCTAGCATCAAAAGTCAGCATTAAATTCGAAGGAGCCAGGGTATTAAGATTTCCAAGCTGTATGGGAAGCACCAAAAGTTTCAGAGACATCTACTGACTTATAATGGAGTGAATATTAAATTATTGACTTGTTGACAGCCTTATTAGTGCTCAAGTAATTCAGCAGATTATTTTAAACTTCTGGAGGCCCAGAAAGCAATTGCTGAAGATACTACCAATCCTTTGTCCAGGCAAGGAATACAAAGTGAGAGTCTAGTTCATAATCAGGTTTCCCCTAAGAAGCTTAATGTGGGTTCACTGAAAGAGAGAAGAAACCTTAGCCAATTCTGATTCAGATTCTTTGTATTTTGGAGACTTTCCAAGAAAATTAGGATAATCGTTTCAACATCTCTTACTGGTTGTGCCATGAGTTAGTAGCATGGAAGCGCCGCATCTTGGCTGCAAATCAAAGAAATTATAAAAGGCATAGACTTGTTTAGAGTGATCTCCATACCTTCACTTCGTTATAGTTCACAAACAAACAGCAACACTTCATCTAGAAACGAAATGAAAAATCATCATTAAGCAAGCTGAATTCCAAAATTCACTGAAAGATTAAAAATTGGCTGAATGCCATATGACTTTCCAAGTCCATTATATCTTTCTTGAGGCAACCTCTGGGACCAGAGAACTTTCCCTTTTCACTCCCAGCCGCCTCGACTTCGACTCAATTGATAAATGTTAGTTGAAGTTTGTAATTGATAAATCTTGTTTGCATAGCTTGTTTGATAAATCTCATTTGATTTTAGCCTATCCTATTTATTTCATCTTGTGTCTTTCACCATAAGATTTGGTAGCGTAGTCTCCATCAATGACGATAACGTCTTGTTGACGGTAGTCGTGCTTACCGCTGAAGTAACTCTCCAAAATGCTCTGAACACCAGCAGAGTAACGAGCTTGAGCGTCCAAAGAAGTACCAGAGATATGAGGAGTCATGGCGTTACCTCCACCAAACTTGTTACGCATGGTTCTCCATGGGTGGTTGTCTGGAGCTGGTTGCACGTTCCACACATCTCCACCATAACCTCTCAATTTTCCAGACTCAAGAGCTTCGGCAACATCCTCAGCAACACAAATGGCTCCACGAGCAGTGTTAACAAGCCAAGCACCATCCTTCATCTTGGAAATCAAGTCCTTGTTGAATAAACCCTTGGTCTTTTCGTGCAATGGAGCATTGATGGTAACCACATCGGACTTTCCGAGCATCTCTTCAAGGTTCTCCACTCTCTCAACAATGTTTCCATGGCCATTGAAAAGTTCAGAAGCCTTGTTCAACTTGTCAATTGCATCCTTGGGAAGGTCCTGGTAATCGTAGTAGTACAATTTCTTAGGGTTGAAAGCCACCAATCTCTCCAAGATACGGTAACCAATACGACCAGCACCAACGGTTGCAACGGTCTTACCTTCCAAATCGTACGAATCCTTGGCAGCTCCAGCAATGTCCCAGCCCTTGCTAACAGCCTGTTCGTGAGCAGGAACAAAGTTACGAACCAAATCCAAAATGGTCATAACGGCATGCTCAGAAACCGAAACCACATTGGAACCAGTGACTTCAGTAACGGTGATTTTGTGCTCATTGGCAGCGTTCAAGTCAATATGGTCAGAACCAACACCGGCAGTAACACACATCTTCAACTTTGGTGCCTTGGCAAGACGTTCCTTGGTGATATAGGCTGGGAAGAATGGAGTAGTAATAATAATCTCAGCATCTTTGAGGTGCTCATCAACTTCGGATTCTCCAATTGGATCCTTGCTATCAGTAGAAACAAGTTCGTATCCATTTTTCTCGATGAAATCACGAATACCCAATTCGTTCTCAAGACATCCTAAAAGTTGCTTGACCTGACGGGCATGGTCTCCACCCTTGTAGAGAACGAGAAGTACTTTTCCTTTTGTTGCTGGACTCATATTTGATAATTGATACACCACAAAGGTAGGTCACCCTCCTTATAAAACCCGCATCCGAACTCCGAGCCTTTTTCAGAAAATCCCTCCCCTCAATGGGCTAAAGTCCACCGACTGTAGTTTTTGTGGGGTAACGTGCATATAGTGACGGATCTTTTTCCGAAATGCGCCATTTGTTGTATGCCGGATGGTCCGGGGCAAGTGCCCGACACCGGAGGGGTGAGGAAGAGCGATTTGGATCTGATAATTTGACTGTGTGGTTTTCACTCGTGCGACAGTTAGGTCCGGGTTTCCAGTTGCTCAAAACGGTGATTTTTTTGCTGAAACAACCACCTCATTCGGTGGTCGGTTCGGAACTCCAATGCACCTATACACGTCAATATGCACGATTACGTGTTGGTTGCGAAAATATAGCAAGATTAAAATCCCGAATATTTGGATCTGGCTCTAATGCGTGGACCCAACAAGTAAAACGTTACCGGGATGGATATCATGCCAACACAGATCAATGCCAAGATTGTGCTTCCCCAGGCGACTGGAAATTTATGGGTTTTGAGATTGTTGAAAAGTGGAGCTCCGAAGAGCGGAAAGCAACCGGCCATTAAAGACCTCAAAATGGCATTTCCACCAAATGCAGAAGCCATATACCGCGGGAAGGACATTCCCATGTAGTTGAATAGCGCCTGGATCACAGTGAATCCGCCTGCTCCAAACAAGGCTGCGCCAATTAAACAGCCAATCCAATGCTGATTGGCACTGGCACTCCAGCCAAAAATAAAGATTCCAATTGGCATAACCACACTTCCTACAATTGTAGGAGGAAGGAACACTTCTGGAGTTACTTGCTCGGCTTTTCCTTCTAGAAGTTTTCTGGTGTGTGCAAAGTACATGTACGCAATGTACAAGCTGGAACCGATGAACATGCCAATGTACACACTAGAGTAAGACACACCCAACTCGACCAAAGTGAACCCATACGTCTCCACAAACACAATGGGGAATGCCTCGAACCACAAGTAGATGATGGAGTAGATCAATGCTATGTACAAGTCTATCAGAAGAACCACTGGTTCAAAGACGATGATCTCAATTGGTCTCCATAATGTGTCAATTGCAACTTCCCTTAGTGTCATACTTTGGTTCTCCAATTCTCCCTCACTGACGATATTTGGGTTACCTGTGAGTGCTCTAAGCCTTTGAGCCTTTCGACGCAAAATGGCCTTTCCCAGACTTTCAGGTAAAGTGAACCCGAACAAGAGAAACGAAGCTCCAGAAATTATCATCATGAACCTAAAAGTCCATATCCACAGACCTTGCGAAGCATTGATGATGGCTGAACCAACCAATGGTCCAAGGGTAGGTCCACATATTCCTGCCATACTCCAGGCAATAATTCCCATTGGCATATATGGCACTGTCACCACATCACTAGCACTAGCACCGCCGGTTCCCATGGGTGCAGAAGCAGAAATTCCAGCTAGAAGCCTAAGCACAGTAAGGGAAGCAAGGGAATGAGTTGCTGGTCCAAAACTTTGGGGAATCAGAAATATGAAAAAAAAGAACACCGTAACGATGTAAATGGAGGTTCGACCAAGAGCAGCATTTTCTGACATCGGGGAAAATATCAATGGTCCGATTCCATATCCTATGACAAACATTGCCAATGGTAGTGTCGCTTTGACTCTGGTTGTATGAAGATCTGACATCATATCTTCTATTCCTGGAGTGTAAATCGCCGAACCCATGTACACCGAGATGGTCATAATGCCAATTTCGATAATAAAAAAAACTTTTTTGTAGATCGCCCAGTTGTAAGGATTATCTGGGTCGTCGGGTCCATCATAGTCCACTATAATTGGAGCAACATCTCCTTCACACGGCTCGGTTTCAAGTTTGGTTTTGGTGGTCTTGGCTTCATTACCTTCAAGAGTCAGCGAGCTTTGAGTCTCGACCAAGTTTCCGTTGAGGTACTTTTCAGGTATGACATAGTCTGGCTTTTCCTCCTTGTATCCCAAGATTTTGTGACCAGAAACATGGTACACTATCCGACCAAAAAAGCTGTCTCTGATGAACCTCATAATCCAATGGATATGTTAACTTGAATCCATGCTTTTTAAGTTTACCTTCTCGTTTAGACTCGTTTACAAACTCGTTTACAACCTGTTAAACCCGTTCCCACCGTCAATTAGTAATCTTAGGTTATAGGATACATCCGAGAAGCTTCACGTGTGATCAAGTCGTCCTTTGACTTTCCAAAAATTTCAACATTTTTCAGTAAACTAAACTTAAAGCTTATTTATCGAGCTTTCTCCGGGTTATTCACATAATAAGCTGCTACTGAGTTTTCATCACAGCTTGACCATGGTGACTCAATCAGCATCGATGACAAATCTTGGACATGTAACGCCGAACATTTCTAAACAATATTCCATTTCAGCTGAACGGAAACGAAACAATTTGCTCATAAGCTGGTAGATCCAAGCATATGACATGATGTGATTCCGATATCTCCTTCTTGACCAATCATTGCCAATACAGGATTTTAAATCCGCGATGCGAACGGCTGAAACGAGCGGCTGCAAAAAGAGAACGAAATCCGTTTTTGAGAATCGCGGAAATTTTTCAGAAATTCGGAAATTTTCAAATTGACTCGAAAAAAATTATTGGCAAGATTGTCTTCTTGTAGAGATATTGCTTTCTCAACTAATGTAGGGTTACTGCTGTTCATCGATGTAGAGTGCAATGAACTCTTTTGAAAGTCAAATACCGGTATTTAATCTTCGGCTTTACAATTGACAGTATGGTTGACTCGGCCTTAATTGTCTATCTCTGCATTGATACGAGCGGAAACCAACAGATTCAATGGAAGTTTACTTCTTGGTTTGGAATGTTATGTCAATACACTTTAGTCTTTAGTCTTTAGCAATTACGAGAGAGCCAGAAAACAACCATGAAGCATTACAATTCGACTAACTTTGTGCTTTCATGGAGACTTACAAACTCCGTCTGTTTCGCCTAGAGTCTAAATTCAATACTTTCCGTCTTCCTTATTTAATGTTCGGCGCATAATCTTGAAAATAGTTCACTTTAACTCGCCTAAAGTTGTCTATTTTCGCCAAAGAAGGACTTTCAGAATTTGTAAGTTCACTTGAATAGAAAACTGAAATTTTAACCTTAAACCGATGGTTTTGCTTGCGTTTTGGTCAGTTTAAATGGTTTTATGATCACATGTAATTGCCCTTTATCAAGACAATGGTTCTTATTAACCTTCCTTATACAATTTGTTGGCCTCTTCTGCTCAAATTCTGGCACGCAACTCTTTCTACTTTCAGTAAATCTCCCGAGAATTTCATGTTTTTCCGAATCAATTCAAAATTGGTAAGCATTTTTTGGCGAGTATCTTTCCTTTAAATTGCTTTTGGTTCCTATTAGACAATTTGCAGCCATATGAACCACCAATAAAATCACCCTAGCTTGTTTTATTCGCAAGCATACAACAATAGGTGCTCGATTTTACCATTTAATGCGAACCCCACTTTGACTCAACATCAACGAATTCAGTAATTTTAAAATGTTCAATTTTCGCAACAATTAATAATTTCAACATGCAACCACCCAAAAGACCCAGTAAAGCCTGCGATGCTTGCAAGCGACTGAAACGGAAATGTGATCGCTTAGAGCCATGCAGTCAATGCAAAAGAGCAAATGTAATGTGTGTGTTCAATACCTGGCAAACCACAGTGTCTAATCATAAAGTACAAAAGCCTGAAATTAATCCGAAAAAAAATCCACCACCATTATACAAAGAGGAAAAAGTTTCAAAATCTATTGATGAAAGTCAGTTGGGTGATCTGAAAATAAGCATTATGAGAGATTATTCTTCCATAGACATCAAAGACCTACGTAGGGTCAACTATGGTCCGTTTTCGTGGCCCAGTTTGCTCAGTTCAGACCCCATGTTGAGCAACCTAGAACAGTACATTTTGAAAAGGCGACCCAACTTTTCGTTTTCTTCCTACAATAGCCAAGTTTTGGAAGAATCTAAGGCAATTCACTGGAATCCCAACCATGAACAAGGCACCAGAGTCCACAATCGAATGAGCTACAAAAGTGCATTTGACAATCTGGCCGTTGATGTGATGATTGCCGTTGCTCTACCTCCACGACTGGTGATTTCAAGGTATCTAGACTATTTTTTCCGGACCTTATATCAACTTCTTCCCATTTTCGACGAGACCGATTTCAAATCCCATATTTTCAAAATGCTCCCTGACGATGACTCGCCAATTACAAGATTACATGCCACCAACAAGCTGCAGCTTGCCAGAGCCGGCTCACTTATCGTCATACTTCGATTTACATCTCTTTTTTGTCGGGATCGAAATGTTGAAGAAAGAGACTCCATTCTCATTGAACATCCTATTTCGATCTCGATTGTGGAAGTGGCCCTCGAAATCCTTGACCAGTTCAACTTGAGCAAGTATTCGACTATAGAAGTGCTTCAGTTTGTCATGTTGGTCAAAAATTACCACAGATTTGCACCAGAAACAGTCGACGGAGTAGACGACTGCGACGCAAATGTGTCTCTCGATATTGCCATACTCATGGCTAAGAACCTTGGTATAAACAGAGACACCTCACACATGCGAAGCGTCCAAGATGAAAGCAGCTCTATGCACCTTATGAGCAAAATCTGGTATTTGCTCTTCTTTTGGGATATACGACGTTCATGTATTTCTGGAATTCCCCTATTAATCAGTGATTCAGACTACGATATTCCGTTTCCAGAATACAAGGAAGGAGTCAAAAATGTTCTTGATGAAAGTACGGAAAGACGTTGTATCGAGGCTTTCCAGTTCCTCAAAAGTTACTGTATGCCGTTGAAGAAAATCGTGGATTTGAGTTTGAATTTGAAATCAGCAATTTCATTTGTGGAACTAACTACCTTGATTGAAGAACACTCCAAACTATTACGTGGTTTGGAGACCGATATAAAGACGACAACCAGGCAACCAGACCAATCATTCAGTCTCGCATTAAACTACAAACCGATCATTTATTTGGATACAAAAAGCTGCTTCATGTGCTATTATTTCTTGTTATACCTTCACTGTGAAAAGTACTGTGACAAGAATAGCCAAAGGTTCACAGAAGTGCTCGAGAAAATCATCACCAAGGATATTACTTTGATGTGCAAATTTTTTTTCTACAATGATGTTTTCTACGACCTTCTTTCTGCTCCATCAGTAGAAGGAGCAGTACAAAAGGGAAATATTGTCATGACATCCTTGTTGTTGCACAGAAAGGATTGCTCGAACCACATGAAATGGCTCGACACATACACTAAAAAGTTTGTAACCTTCAGTTCCAAATTGTCAAAAGAGTATTGTTACGCATGGCAAACTACCAAGTCTCAAATTTTTGTGTTGGATCTTATAGCTTCAAGTGAATTCAACGCCAAGGAGATTCAATCCGGAGCAAGTGAAGATAAAAAAGTTGTGGAAAATCGACCATTATTCACTGTGGAATCATTATCGGAACCTTCCTTGCTGGAAGTCGATAATTACTGGATAAACTATTTTAGCCATTTTGGAGGAGTGTCTGACCTAACAGGTGATGTAAGATTCGATGACTTGTTCTATTCCCCAGCAATGTTCCTACCAGGCACCAAAGAGAATTAATCAGATGCCTTGGTATGTTGGCGGCCCACCTGCCGTTTTGGGAAGGTGTTCCGCCACGGCTGCGAAATATGAAATAGAAATGGGAGAGCACCTGCCGGTTTGGGAAGGTGGCCCGCACCGGCTGCGAAATATATAAGACGAAACTTTGCAGCCTTTTCAGCAATCATGTTACGACACTTTATCAGAGAGAGTTTCTTTGGATACTGCTACGAACAGGTGACCGGAAAATATCTATTTGCAAGTTCAGCACCTCAATTAAAGTGGGATGATGATTCCATAGAAACTCTTGAAGGAGCCTCCTCAAAAGAGATCAATAGTATTGGATGGGATGGACCTGATGATAAAGAAAACCCTTACAACTGGTCAATGGCAGCAAAACTCTTCGTTGCTGTCCAGCTTTCCCTTTTGCAATTTTCAGTATACATGTGTGCGGCAATCTACACTCCTGGTGCCGAAGAGCTCATGAAAGAATTCGATATTAATTACACTTTGGCAATGCTTCCGTTGACAGTTTATGTCATTGGTTATGGTATGGGAACCATGATCTTTTCCCCATTCTCGGAGAACCCATTAATTGGTAGAAATTCCGTTTACGCTGTCACAACGTTCATATTCGTTGTGTTGCAAATCCCAATCGCTTTGTCCAAGAATATTGCCCTGTTTGCTGTTTTAAGATTTTTAGCGGGATTCTTTGGTTCGACTCCATTGGCAAATGTTGGTGCTTCTTTTACAGACATGGTAAGTGCTCCATTCATGCCCGTTGGTCTCGGTGTATGGGGAGTGGTTTCTCTCTCAGGACCAGCCTTGGGTCCATTTTTCGGATCTTTACTTATAAACGAGAGAAACTGGAGATGGACTTTCTGGTTTACTTTGATCGTGTCTGGAAGCACCTTGTGCATCTTAGTTTTTTTCTTGCCTGAAACTCATGCCGATACTCTACTCTATCGCAAGTACAAGCGGATCGTGAAACAAACTGGAAAAACCGATATTTATTGCGAAGCAAAGGAAAAGATTAATAAGGATGTGATGGCTTCACTCAAGGAAATGCTTTGGAGACCTTTGGTTATTTCAATTGTTGAACCTGTGGTGCTCTTGATCAACATCTACATTTGCTTGGTATACTCGGTATTGTATCTTTGGTTCGAGGCATTCCCTATAGTGTTTTCCGAAGTGCATCACTTTACAAAAGTACAAACAGGAGCATGTTACCTCAGTTTGTCCGTTGGAGTTGGACTTGGTACAATTCCCTACTTGATTTACTTGTACAAAAACTATACCAAAGCTTTGCTCCGTGGTGATACGGTGTATCCCGAGGTATTTATTCCGTTATCTATCGTGGGAAACCAGCTAATGACTGCTGGAATCCTCATTTTTGGCTGGACAGCTTCTGCAAAATTACATTGGTTCCCTCCTATGATTGGAGCAGCGCTTTGCGGTGCCAGTATGATTATCAACTTCCAGTCTTTCCTCAACTACTTGGGTATGAGTTTCCCCAGATACGTCGCCTCGGTGTTTGCTAGCAACAATTTGGTTCGTTCCGTCGTTGCTGGTGTATTTCCATTATTTGGGCGATCTTTATACAAGAATCTCAGCACTCCAAATTATCCTGTTGCATGGGGTGCATCCGTTTTGGGTTTCTTGTCGCTAGCCATGAGTGCTATTCCGGTTTTGTTCTATCTCAATGGGCCAAAATTACGTGCCAGATCAGACTACGCTGGTTAGCCAGTCTCGTCCATTAATGTATATATTGCATACGGTGCGGCTCAATTTGCAGCACTTTTCGCAGCCAATCAGTACTAGGTACTACGCATCTTGTTACTAGTTTACGACATATTATATAGAAAGCATTATATTATTATTGAATTTTTGTTAGGTTGTTGTTATTTTGAACCTATTTCAGTCCTGCAGCGGTACCTTATGTCAAGAAAAATTCGTGCACAGCGCTAAATATTAGCCTAATCTACAAAAAGGTACTATCCGCGCGCGAGTCAATATCCGTATCTGTGCCTGTTTCTTGATGTCATCCTGCATTGGGTATGTGCCGAGGTACGATGGGTAATGTCAACATGAAGCTGCTTGGCTGTGCTGGGGTGTACGGAGCTCTACGTGAAGATGCTCGAGTCAATGAATCACATAAATGTTCACTTGCTCAACTTGTTCAATTTGTACAATTAGTTTTAATTTATTAGGGGATTTCTATTAATAGCTCATCTTGATAACACATTGTTTCACTGCGTGAAACACATGCTCGATTGCATAACGCGGAGGTGTCAAACCAGTTCCATGCATGGCGGTTCAAGCTCAGGTCTCCGGGGTGAAATTGAAACGGTGCCGTGCTGCTTATTTCAAGTATAAAAATGGAGAGATTTGGCACTTTCAACAATGAAGTTTTCTTATACTTTACTCCTTTCTGTCGTTTCGATAGTTGCAGCCGCTCCTGCAGCCGCTCCTGCAGCCGCTCCTGAAGATTCCAAAAAATACTTGGCACTTCCTCTCGTTCCATCATTGAACAAAACATCCCACTTGGCCAGACGCAATGAGCCATATCCTGGTGACTTGAAGTTCACGGGAAGCCATTATGATCTTTACATCGAAATGGGTTCCGATAAGCAGGGTGTCATGGTTGAACTCGATACTGGATCTTCCGATTTATGGGTATGTCAATCCAACGGAGCCGGCGACAAAGGTTTCAACCCGGAAACGTCCAATTCCGCTCACAACATGGGCCACAACTTTTCCATCACTTACGTCGACCAGACAACTTACCAGGGTCCCTTTTACCAGGATACTGTTTCTTTTGGAAAAGATGGTAATGAAGCGCTGCTTCATGATTTCCAGTTTGCGGTGATTCCAATCCAAGACAAGCTTGCTGGTCTTTTGGGAATTGGTCCTGTTGCCAACGAAGCGACACCACCAGCTTATCCAAACTTTATTCAGGCCTTGAAAGATCAAGGTTTGATTTCCTCTCGTGCCTTTTCCATTTATCTCAATATCAATGAAAAATTCCACGACGGAAGCATCGTGTTTGGAGGAATTGATAAGGCCAAATACAAGGGCGAGCTTGTAGCATTGCCAGTCACCGACGACGTAAGTTTTGGAGTTGACATCAAGTCTTTTACTGTCAATGGAAAGACCATCGATACCAACGAGCCCGCTTCGTTTGATACCGGAACCACTTACCTCAGTCTCACACAGGAGTTTGGAGACGCCTTGTTTAACGAATTGGGAACTGCCAAATATAACACTGATGCCGATGCTTATCTTGTGGATTCCAAGGACGGCTATGACCAACCCATTAAATTGAACTTTGATGGAACATCTGTCGAGTTGTCTCTTATGGACATGTACAGAGATAATATAGTTGATGATAACGGAAATTCATTAGGACCAGGATTCTATATTTACCGCCTGAAAAACGTCAACTATCTTGGAGACTCGTTTTTGAAGAACCTTTACTGTGTTTACAACTATGAGACCAACGAGCTTTCCATTGCGCCAGCTGTTTATACCGACGAAACCAACATCGTTGCAATCTAGTTGAATAATAGTTGTTTTGTTTAAATGGAAGTAGGGTCAAGTTCAAAGGTCACATACAACAAGAGCTAATTTGTAGTACTAGATGTGTACTTTTGCATAGATTCGTGTCACGTACCTTGAACATGGATACTAGAAACAGTTAGAAATATCATTGTTAGTCGTCAAGTTGGGATTATGAATTTTTTGTAATGTATAATCCAATTCAAGCATCAGCCAAGAGATATTTGCTTTCATTTTTTACTGATCTCAGAACGGATTAAAGTGTAGTGAGACAAATTCCTAATCTGATTTGTCAATCTAAAAAATTGGTCGTGCGTTGCACGAGTCTCGAATATTTTCTGCTTTATCTGAGTTTGATAATAAAACATGGTAGGAGATTCACAGCTTTATGCTCCTTGATTCCCAATTTCTTGTCGTAAAATAGAGATCTTCCTGTAGCCATATGGTGGCCTGCCGAAACTTTTGATTGAGAAAATGGACATTTATTTTTTTAGACTTGATCGAACTATTCACTGATTATCAGAGGATATGGTGCCGCACGTGAACCAATTGTTTCATTAAAACTTGGCGGTATTACAACAAGAATTTCACAGTTCCACCATTACATTTAAGTAGTTTCAAGGCGATGATCTTCCAGCAATTACACTATGATTGGTGGCTCGATCAATTTCTTTTACATCAGCACAATGAAGACATATTATCAACTAGACTCAACTCTTTTCACTCAAAACCGGCTCTTCCGTAAATTTACATATCAGCTGGAAACAGAAAACTCTACCCAACTTTTCGTGGTCTATAAAATTCAAACCCACAGCCAACGTGAGTGTGATTCCCATAAAAGCCAATGCTGATACCATACGACCCAAGGTCGCCGGGTCAGTTTCAAGAAGCATTTTTATTCTTTTGATGCTTGTGCTTATTTATATAATCTATTTAAGCCCCGTTTGAATTGGTGGCTGAATTTTAAGCCTCCTACTAAACAAGTAACTTCTCGAATTCGTGCGGCTTGACACCTCGAGTTTCTGCGCCGCATGATGTCAACTGAAGAAAAGCCAGGAAAGAAAACTGTCTAAAAATAAAGGGTACTCGTGACTAGATATACAAGTTGCGGGAATACAACTGACACGATTTGGTCTAAAGTAAATGGTAATCTAAAAAAATGACCAAATGTCATAGGAAGTATCTGAAAACTGTTGGAATCGATTGTATGTGAGGCGAGTAAAGATCAATTGCAATCATTGTGAGCAACTAGCTAAGAGTGTATTTTATCAACCATGACAACGAAAACTACCTCGATTTGCGAAATTGAATATTTGCGCGCGAACTTGAAACTTCGTGGAGAGAATTGTTGTACAAAGTTTTTTTTGCAAAGGGTTTTCATAAGCTGTTCGCATTCGAAAATACTTCTATTGATCTCCTAATGCAATATTTTTCATCTTATAGCTCTGAGAATTCGCACTCGAAAAATGAAGCTAATCCAGAACCAAACATCTCCTCCACAAACTGCAACAACTAATTTTTTGACGATTTCTTGAATTATTCCATGTACAAGCCGCCAAACCGGTCTCAGAGACTAGAGGAATTATTTCTACGATGTCAGCGATACCTAATACCACACTTTCTAAAAATAGTCATGGGTGCAAAAAGTTGATCGGGCAACAAAGACTCAAGAGACTCAGGAGAATAATGGTACAAAAAGAGACCAGACGTTCATTATATACCCATCCACCTTGTTTTGGACAACTGACTCGATTGCAAAATTCACTTTAATGAGTACCGAATTGTATCCTAATCGCTATTGAACTCTCGAATTGCATTTGCACAGTCCATTACGAGCTCCTCGCCTTTATCCAACACTCCATTCATGGGCCATGACCACATGAGGCACTCCTTCATACACTTTAAGAGTGGAACTAATTCCATTCTTGACAAGTTTTGCATGGTAAGCTTCTCCTTCTCCTCTCAAAACGTCCAACCCAGCCACAGCTATATAGGCTGGAGGTGCCAGAGCAAACGATTTATCGTCATAAAATAAAGGAGAAGCTTTCGGATTGGTCCAATCTTTTTCGTCTGGCAAATAATGGTACCGGTACCACATCATTTTCTCAGCAGGCAAAGCAGCGGTGTATTCATACTTTTTCCAAGACTCATAAGTGTTCTTGTTAGCGGTATTGTCGGTCACTGGTACAATAAGAATCTGGTACTTGAGCAAAGGAAGTGAAGCACCAAACAGATTTTTTTGCTCAATGATCATATGAGAAAGAATTGCAGTCAAATTACCACCGGCTGACGAACCACCAGCTCCCACACGGTTGATATTTCCTCCCAACTTTTCAGCACCTCCATTTACCAACCAGAGATATGCTTCCCAAGCATCGTCTACGGCAGCTGGAAACGGATTTTCTGGAGCTAACCTATAATCTACGCTGACGCAAATACACTTTCCAATGTCTGCCCAGTAAGTGCATATGGACATTCTCGGTGTCAATGTTACCTAAAACCCAACCTCCGCCGTGGAAATAAAGAAAAATAGGAAACCCACCCGAAGGTGAATCTCCAACCGGAGTGAATACTCTGACCATGAAATTTTCACCTTCAGTTTCGGTTCTTTCAATTGTGAAATCTTCAATTTTTGAAACCGGTCTTTTTGTTCCACCTCCAGGAATCAACGTACCAGAAGCTCTGGATTTTTCAATTGGCTGCAAATGCACCTGTTGCTGGTCAATGATGTACTTGTTGTAAAACTCCACATACTGGGGATCGAGAAGGGTCTCAATTTCTGGATTTAGTGGGTAAGGTGGTGAAGTCATGGTGATATGATACCATGTCTCGATTATATAAAGATCTTGATAAGGTGTGGGCAGACCCACCGACCCACAACCCACAACCCACAACCCATACCCCACCATATCCAAGCAGAGACCAAAGATTCTGGTGGGGGGCATACATCAGTGATGTCAAGTCCATTTGGACGATGTGCCATACGCTCGATAAAGAGATTGTTGAGAGTTGAGTCTTGCTCAGAATCATATTATCTGGTTTATTCGTCATACTCATTCTAAGCTATTACCTCTGGCTTGATCATCTCTGGTTTTTCTTCTTCAGTGGTATCCTCCACTCTCTTGAAAACCAAAATCCCCAAAGACAATACTCCAAAAAGACACACTGCCCAATAGGAACCATACATTCTGTTGTACGACACACCTCGAGCATCTGTTCCAAAGGCAATTGCTGCAGCAGTAGCTCCCATAACCTTGTAAAAAGCAGCATACATGGAAACCACCCTAGAGTCGTTTGTGAGTGTCCCCATTATCCAGAAAGCATACGACTGAACCATCCCGTCCTGCCAGCCATAGAAAAAGTATAATACAATGTATTTGGCAGCTTTGGAGCCGTCTTTCAAATCCATGGGTGGGTTATAAGGAACCAGTCTATTGGACTCTTTCATTGGAAAATATCCGCAAAGACTGACGATGAAAACGGTGATGAAAAGTATGCCCCATCCGAGCCGAGCCCTGAGCTTTCGTTTGAGCATTGGCAAGTCAAGAAAAAGACCAAAAGTGATGGCACCAAACATCTGGGAGATTCCATAAAGAAGTCCATTTATGGAGCGAGTTCTCACGTTGAAAAAGTAGCCGTTAAAGTCATTCGCCTGGTACGCCGGGTAGTATAACCCCAAGAAGGCATAAGGCAAGAAAAAGACAAAGTAAGGTTCAATCTTGATAGCGGTGTAAATGGCTTTAATTTCTTCTTTGAAAGAATTTTGCTTGGAAATTGAGAACTCTGGTTCCATCGCTTCTGATGATATGTTGAGGATCGGCCACTAGAAACCCGCTAAAAAAGCCAATGATCATCAAGATGGTGATAGCGATGTATGTTCCATCACTAACGTTACTGGCAGTAGTATTGCTGTAATTTTGGGCCACCGGAATGATTCCGCCTATAACACTTCCCAAAAACGATAACGAAAAAAAGATGGAAACAAATCGACCTTTTTGGTTTTCCGTGGCATAAGCAGACATCACCGTCCCACACGCTACCCAGAGAGTTGCAGCACCAAGTCCACAACAAACCCCGCCAATATAGACGGCTACTATACCTCCAGTTCTGGAAACATTACCCTTTGGAACATTATTAAAAACCCAAAAAGATGCACCATAAACAGCATATCCAAGAGCTCCAAAAGCCAATGTGATCTTGGCGCCAAACCGGTTGACGATAGATCCACCAAAGAGTGCCAAAGCAGCAAAAAGAGCATAAAGAACCGTATTGGAATTGGAAGCAGTGGTAGCGTCAACCTGTCCGCTTCCTCCAAGAGATATCAAAACATTGAACATTCCAACCGAGAGAAAGTTGGTGCATCCAGCAAACACAACTTGAGTGTATGGGTGATAAAATTGAGGAATAGTAATGAACTTTAGTTTCAAAGACCTGTCTGGATTTGCAACAATACTGTCGTCTTCAAGCAAAGCTTCAGCATAGCCTACTTCATTTTTAGTCTCTGTGATCATTGCTTCAGTTCATGTGGTATGTGTATTGTGGTACTTAAGTATCATCATTGTCTACTAGATACCATTTGTTATCTGGTGGGTCGACCCACTGGGTGGGGGGCTCGCGAAACACTGGTGGGGGTTTCGCGAAAATCGAAATGTGCGATTGATCTTATCTTTATATGTTCCACTACCCTCCTTAGAAGGAACCATGAAATCACTCAATGTCGTTATGGTCGGGGTACAGCACCCGCACATGTTCCATAGGATCAAATACTTTCCAGGAAAATGTCAATTTGGTCGGTTTCTTTGATGAAGACGAAATCACTGCCGATAAATTGGCTGCAAAATATCCATCACTTCGAAAGTTTGAGTCCTTAAAAAAGCTATTTTCAGAAGCAGAGGTCCATGCGTGCTTCGTTCATGCCTTGGACCACGATGTGCCTCGCTATGCTCGAAAAATTATGGATTTATATCCTCTGTTGCAGGGTCTTTTCTTGGAGAAGCCTGGAGCCGCTATGCCTCTGGATTTGTTTCAGCTTGAAAAAGACCTAGCAAAATTCCCCAATCTTGTTGTGGAGTTTGGGTGGGAGATGCACTATTGCGAGGTAATGGACTATACTCGACAACTTGTTAATCTGGGTACTCTAGGTGACATTACTCTTGCCCATTTCCATGGTGGAACTCCAGTCGGAGGAGCATTAGAAAAATGGCAATGTTTGGATTCTACGCTTGGAGGGTTTGTCTATACTGATGGGTCCCATACCTTTGAACAGGTGGTTGATCTTTTTGGCTTACCAAACCGAGTTGTAGCCTCTGTGAGAAAATTACCGTTGGGAAAAGAGCAGTTTAATTGCGTTTGCATCATAGACGATCTTTTTGGCGAAGAGAAATATGATAGTGTACCTACTCGTGTGGGTTCGGTCAAGTGGGAAGATATAGGCTCGGTAATTTTGGAGTATAGTGACAAGAATATCACTCTTGACTTTACTTGCTGGGAAGCCAAGGAATGGTGTGCTGATTGGACTACAGATATCTATGGAACAAACGGAATTCTTCACACTTTCTTGAATCCTCCAAAGGCAAACTTGTACTTGAGAGAAACGAGAAATGGCTTTGAGAAGGGTGAAAGTTCCATGAAGACCATGCTTCCGGAAAACCAATCCAATTGGGTTTACTACTTTGAAAAGCAGATCCAAGTTTTTTTCGAAAGATGTTTGGGAAAGAAGCAAACTGAAAAATGTGATATGGAAGCAGAGGTGACACTCATGAAGCTCTTGGAGGCAGTATTTGCGTCGGTGGAAAAGGGTGGATTTGTAGAAATAAGGAACTAAACGAAGCAATGAATGAGAGAATAAGATATGTGACTTTAAAGATATGGTGAAAGTTTTTTTTATCCAGCAAATTCATATTTAAATGTTCCTCTTGCACTGGTCTTAGTCCTGAACAAATGCCCACCCAAGTCTCCTTTAAGATTTTCCTTGTTGTAAGCACTCACAACAAAGAGAATATCATTATTCTTTCCTCCCCATGTAGTACAAGCCATACACTTGCTCTTGTACCAAATAGTCTTGAATTCTTTTCCTTCTGGATTGTACACCTTAACGCAAGAACCGTTAAACATGGCTACCCACAAATTTCCCTCGGTATCTGAAACCATTCCGTCTGGCTCACATGGACCTTCACTAGTATCAATAAAAAGTTCTTTGTTGGTTATTGACCCAGTTTCAGCGTCAAAATCGTAGCGATATACTTTCTGCGCGGCTGAATCGTTCAAGTACATTTTTGTATTATCGGGACTCCAAGCCAAACCATTTCCACAAACTAACCCAGACTCCATTAGAGTCAAGGTACCATCGGGATCGTAGCGCCAGAGTCTTCCCAACGGCTCACCATGATCCGCAGGTAACTTTTTGGCGCCGTAAGATAAGCCTTTGACATCGATTTCTGCTGCCCAAAAACGACCTTTGCAATCGACACCGCCGTCGTTAAAACGTCTGATATGACGCTCAGACCTGGGGATTATCTCCTTCAATACCTCTAGCTTGCCGGTTTCTTCATCCATAAATGCAATTCCTTGGTAGTAAGCACAAATATAAGACTTGGGTTTGTTCTTTCTGAAAAATTGCACCGTAACGCTATCTTCCAAGTCAATTACTTTGAGACCTTTCCTGCTGACATTTTTGTTTGTTTTTGAGGAATCTGTGGTGTGTGGATACCTGGCGTCTCCAGTATCTGGATCGATGTCCAAAATATGAAGTTGGGGTGGGTTTGATAAGCAATCTACGTAGTGTAAAGTGGAGTCTGAATGGCGGTAAATTGGTCCTTCACCCAAGACACAAGGCCGCTCAAGGACATAGAATGGTTCTGACATACTGAAAGGGAAGAAAGTTATGCTTTATTAATGGACTACCCACATGAGTTCAACATCCAGTGGACCCACCTGAACAATTGAACCCACCGCGATCTGACTGAACCCACCTCGACTCCGCATTCCTGCACACTGCTTCACTTTAGTGGGTCAGATAAGACTCTTGTTCAATCCCACCCTCATGTACAAGCGGTACCAATGCTCATATTCTGGCTGTGGAAAGTCATTTTCCAGCTCCAGCCACTTGTCTCGTCACAAGTCAAATCGTATGTTTTATAAAAGTCATTTTATACAAGACTAACGTAGATACCGACTCATTGCATTTATGTAATTTGTGTTCCAGAGGATTCAAAAGGCTAGATATACTCAAGAGGCACACGAAAAGAGTACATAATGAGGATCTCGTAGCTTTGCACAAGCCGTCCAAAGACAATCCTAAGGATAATGATATTCAGTGTCAATATGTGCAGCCAGAACCAGAAACCAATATGGAAGTCAACTTGAATTCTGAAATGGAAATCAAGTCTCCTCAGTTCAATGCTTCGGACACTTATAGCTGGCTCTCTGACTTTAGTCCTCTCGAAATATTGGATAGTGTACCTCGAACTTTTGACCCTAATGATGTCCTGTGGCTCTTCTTGACAAATGAAAAAACTCCCTCCCCAAAGAAACCCACCAAAAACGAACGCCAACTTATCCATTTTCAGACACGGCTATGGACTTGCTCGTGGCTGCCGCTAGCGAAAATGTCGTTGAAGAATGTGATCAGAATAAGCACCAGTATGACATTTGGGAGCAGGTGAAAAACAATGTGGTAGATGTGCTTTTTGGAGTTCTGAATAAAAACTCCAATATATTGCCCAACTCAAAGCTAAAAGATTTCGTGGACCTTGATTTTTTCAGGCCTCTGACTATTGAGCGTCTTTTTCAACTCTACTTTCGGATATTTCACGACCACTTTCCCATTCTCCATAAGCCCACTTTCAGCAAGAATCCGGAGACAATTCCGCCGCTTCTTGTGGTTTCAATAATCACCTTGGGGGCTTTTCACGATTCTGTGGAAAACTACAAAACTGCGGTTGAGCTTCACGAAAATTTCCGATGGATGGTTTTCAGCAGCTTGGATCTCATTCCACCGAAACTATGGGTGATCCAGACGTTGGCACTTATCCAGGCATTCGAAAAAATGGCCTCGACGAGAAGACAGCATGAATTGTCAGCTACTTTCCATAGTGCAGTTATCACCTTGCTCAGGCGTGATGGCTCGTGTGCCAATATGAGAGCTGATAAAGAGCCTGCCGAGCTCAATACTCTCCAACGGCAATGGGACTCATGGATTGAAAAAGAGTCGATAAAGAGATGTGTGTTTTTTTTCTTCATGATGGATGTGCAACATGCCGTACTTTTTGGTCATACTTCGATCATGACCATAAATGAGATTCGACTAGAT